AGTCGCAATTTACTCCAATATTTTGCGGCTGACTGCGAACTAGTCACCTCGGTGTCTGAAAGGTCTCGTTCCCGGAGGACATCGAACTCAGGGAATCTTATCAGCGTTGTTCTCGGCAGCCAATTAGACCAATCCGACCTTGATACCTTTCCGATATCCGCTCTTGATACGCGTTTAAGACTCAGGCGGCCCGATGGCCGAAGATATGTTGAGTATAACTTTGAGCCTGGCTTGGGAGCAATATTTTTGAGACCTCTGGATGATGAGCGCGTGGAGCTCGTGGTCTGGGGCGCCGATCTAGACGGCTTGCGACAGGCAGCTCGCCTTGTTCCCACCCTCACTGGGGTTGGCCAACCTGACTTTGTAGTTTTCAGCACCCGCTCTCCCTGGAAGGGTGTTGGAGGAGTCTATGCAGCCGGTTTCTTTGACTACTCCTGGCAGATATCTCCAGGGTCTTATCTGTTATAGAATTCTGTGATGTTTCTATTTTAACGACCCTTCTCCAGGCTGAATAGCAAGATACCTTCCAATGACTCTAATTATTTTCTGTTTATACCCATGGGGATCCTCTTTCAACAGCAGGCCCTCATAGAGTGAACTTGCATTGAATGCCCACACATCGAGACGTACCCAGGCTTCATCTGTACTGCTGCACACTTGGAGCTCACATTAAGCCCTAATGTCCGCGACTTGCCTTGCCATACCCCGCTAGGCTCCGCTGCTGACCCTTTGTTTTGCGTGTCTTGTGTAGAATAAAACACGTAAACGTCCTCTTTTGGAAGACGTGTCTATGAAACTTTCTTCTCTGAAGGAACATTTCCTTCACACATCTTTGCTTCTTTATCTCAGCGATATCTCTCCCTGTATTTTGTATTCCAGTTGAAAATTTGTGTCTTCTTTTCAGCTTTTGGGCGGATCTCGTCTTGAATTATCTTCCGGTTCCATTTCCGGCTCCAAAACGCAAAGGAGCCGCGTACTGCACAGCGCGGACGAAGCTCTGAGGTGCGGCTCACTTCTCTGTTTTCTCCAGCAACCCGCGCTTCCTCGCGCATCGTTTTCCTACTTGCCCCGCCTTCCCATCTGGTGCATTGTATACCTTTAGCACTCGCTCCTCCTCTCCACAGTCCTTCACTACTTCGCGCTTTCCCGCCTCACGGCGTCCTTCCCTCCTTGCGCCCCAATTCTTCTCATTATCATTGTTCCTGCCAGTCCTTCTGTATTTCCTTCCTTTCCTGCCTCTCTAGGCCTGCCCGTTCCAGAGGTTTTCAAATTTGCTGTTTTATCTCTCCGTCTCTCTGCTTTGTTTCTGCTTTTCTGCGTCGAACATCGTCGGATATGCTTTGTTCTTCTTCACCTATGCCGTGAGCCTGTCTATCTCGAGCGGCTATAGTTGAATACGCACTGCAAAGATCTGTCTACGCGTATTATTTGTGCCCTTCATTGTCCATCTCACGTCTATTTTCTGAGAACAGCTTTTGCCCCTCCTTCTAGCATCCACCTGAGAAGCTCACTGAGTCCCAGAGAGGATCTAGCGCACTCAAAGCTGCAATGATGGGCTTCGTGGCTTCTAATTCTCCAGCTTCTTCTCGAAAGCCGTCTGCCCAGCTTCAGGGGCCACCGGATGAAATTCTGGTAAGCACATTATGCATGAACGTCTACTAGAAAAAAGCGTCTCGTCTGACAGCTCATGGTTGCCCAAAAGCACTCCGCGATGGAAATTTCTCCGAATCCGCTTATCACCTCCAAGTTGGCAAATATCCAGGCCGCGTCCGCCCATGACGAGCATGCGGGGAAGGTACCAAGCTAGATCATATTTTCGTCTAGCTTTATATGCTAACTGGCCAACCTACAGAAGGTCGAACAAGTTCCACCCTCAGCTATAGATAAGATCCTTGCCAGGCTCTCCCCAAAAGATCACGCCTCCACTGAATCTCTCCATGAGCACACCACATCGAAGGCTCCTTCTGGAGAAGGAATTCCAGGTGTCTTGCCTCTCGCTAGCGATGTAGTCGGAAATAACGACGTTGGACCGGGTCGGGTCGACAAGGAAGAGGTATTTAGGTTGCAGCAGGAATTAATCGCTGCCAATTCTCGCATTGCGATGCAAGAGCAGGAACTAGCCCAAACTCGAGTTATCAAACATACGCTTGATCAGGCAATGGGTCCTCTTTCTGAAGTTGACTTTGGAGGTAGAGAAGTCACCGAGCAGACCCTTAGCACCCTGCAGCATGCATTCAATAACTCATCTACTCGCTCATTCAATAACCAGCGCCAGGACTTTTGGATGAACCAGGACGATGCCCACTCGGACATCTCAGAGGCTGTTTCTGCTGGTGGCTACAACCAAGCTCGGGGCATTTGGAACAACTCAAACTCGAACGTTGCGGGATATCGTGATTTCCATGTACCTGGAGCTGCTAACTTCGGTCACAATTGGAGTAACCAGCTCACTCGCCAAGCAAGTTTGATGTCTAATCAGCGCATTGCATCAGGACCAGCCAGCCCACCCTTTGATCAGGCACAGCCGCTTCCCCAAGGGCTTCGCCGCTCGGTCACTCAAGTCAATCGTGGTGGTTCATGCTTTCCTCCTCAGAATTCTCCATGGGGCACTTTCACGACAGGAGCTTCTGGAGGCACCCTCCCGCGAGCCATGAATCAGCAAGCTGGATTACAAGGCGGAATGTTCAATGTGGCTCCCTATCAGCCTCGTCCAATTGGGACACCACTCTCCCCAACTGCTGCTGAGTTTACTTCATTCAATAGTGGCACATGGACCCCAACAGTACGTGGAAAACCCCCTTTTAAGTTCTCTCGGTTATAGCTAACTCGGGGGGGCTACAGACCGCTAGCTCACAAACGTATGTATCGCCACTTGAGCCAATGAACTACCGTCGTTTGTTGGATAAAAGCGTTTCGTGTGACTGGAAATATATTGTGGATAAAATTGTCTGCAACAATGACCAGCAGGCATCGATTTTCCTACAGCAAAAGCTCAAAGTTGGAACCGCGGAACAAAAGTACGAGATCATTGAAGCTATCGTTAACCAGGCTTATCCACTTATGGTCAATCGCTTTGGGAATTTTTTGGTTCAGCGTTGCTTCGAACATGGGACCTCAGAGCAAGTTATTGCTATTGCCAATGCCATCCGCGGCAACACCTTGAGCTTGAGCATGGATCCTTTTGGCTGCCATGTTATTCAGAAAGCATTTGACTGTGTACCGGAAGACCACAAAGCCGTCATGGTGCATGAATTACTTCGCCGAATCCCTGAAACTGTGATCCACCGGTATGCATGTCATGTCTGGCAAAAGCTCTTTGAGCTACGTTGGAGCAATGAGCCGCCTCAGATTATGGCTAAGGTTAATGAAGCGCTCCGTGGTATGTGGCATGAAGTCGCTCTGGGAGAAACTGGTAGTCTGGTGGTGCAGAACATTTTTGAAAATTGCGTAGAAGATGAAAAGGTTTGCAGTCCTGATATAATGAATCAATTGACCATACTGACCTCACATATAGCGCCCCGCTATCGAAGAAGTTCTTGCCAAAATTGACCTTCTTGCTCACGGCCAATTTGGTAATTGGTGTATCCAGCATATCTGCGAACACGGTGCTCCTCACGACAAAAGCCGCGCAATTGAACATATCCTCTTATGGGCTACTGACTACAGTATGGACCAGTTTGCTTCTAAGGTTGTCGAAAAATGTCTTAAAATTGGTGGATCTGAATTTCTTGATCGCTACCTTACTAGAGTTTGTACAGGTCGCCCAGACCGTCCTCGCATGCCCTTGATTGACAGTGTGTTTTCCTTCTGCGCAACCCCTAGATAAATTAGTCGCTAATTCATTGTGCAGTTGCGGGCGATCAGTACGGAAATTATTTGATCCAGTGGATCCTGATGAACTCCGCAGCCCACCAGCGTGAGCTTGTGGCGAGTCACATTCGGTGAGTAACTCGTCTTCATCAAGATGCTGTGCTGTGCTGATTTTATAACAGTAAGCATATGGTTTCTCTCCGTGGTTCTAAATTTGGTTCCCGAGTTGCTATGCTCTGCTGCAACCCAAATCATGTTACTCGCCCAGGTCCCGGCGCTGGCCTCCAAATCAACCGCTTTACTACTCCGAATGAGGATCGTTTCGTCTCTGGGATTTCCGGCGGCAACAGATTCAACCGTGGCAGCCAATGGGGCTCAAACTATCCCCCATTCCGCTAAGATCCATTACGTTTCTATCCCCCGATGCTCATTTAATCCATGAAAACAATATGTTAAACCAGGTACTCCGCGTCTAAACGAGCGTACTGGAGAAAGAAGCTTCAGATATCGAAATTCGATTTACGATCAACAGATTTTCTCCTTTCTAGGATTCTCGCTGCATGTATTCATGCTTGAACCCAACGCTACCATTAAGTTCTCATTTGGCGTTGGCTTGTTGGAGTCGATCTGGCCCACAATCCAATCTGTCCTCTTTTTTTCTTTAGTCTATTTTTTGCTTCTGTCAGACCTTTTTTTCTTGTCTGGAACTACTTCCATTTCATTCACTTAAATTGCCATATCTCCTGTGATGATGATCTTATCCTGAATGATTAATAGGCGTGGGTGGTTCCTGCGTGCTTTGGTTTACTTACATGAAGGACCTAGTTCCCTTGTGTTTCGAAGGTGGTTGCGTCTCAGAGGCATCATTCTATTCTTTTACCGGCCGTTTTCACTCCCCGTCCTGGGATTTCCACGCCATCAATCCCCGGTTGAGATCATGTGGTTCTACCACCTGCAGCGTTTGGGCGTGCAAAATCGGTGGATGGGGTGTTTCTAGTCAATTGTTACTACTTTATTTTAATTATTCGTCTATGTATGTTTTAGCCTGACAGAAGGCAGGGATTCCAGTGAAAAGTGTGCCAGTCAGTAGTTTCAGAGAGCCTGTCGAAAATGTCTACAGTCATGAATCGTAGGTCAGATGGCCGGATCTACAGCAAGGCAGGGAATAATGTCATGTGCAGGTCTGAAAAATCCAGCCTGTCCATTGGTAGGAGCAAAAAGGAAAATCATATTTATCATCATGGGTTCTGGAGCGGCTCCGAGGAGAGACCTGGAAGAACTCGGGAATTCGTCTCGTCTTTCGCCTCTTGCTCATGACATTGTCCTTCTCCCCTCGAGGCTTCTTCGGGTGCCTTGCATTCCTCCCCTTGTACGCCAGGTTCTCCTTGTCTCTCCCAGGGCTTCCGTCTCCGGGCAGCCGTAGTGGGACCTTCCTGCCCCGTTAATATTGTATCTGGGATCTGTTGGATTCCGGGGATCGGTTGGCCTGTTGTGATCAGTTCGACGATGTGTGCGAAAGAGGAAGGATAAGCAGGCTCTTCTTCACTTGCAGGTGTTACTGCTGTCGTTGTCGTCGTCGTTGTTGTTTGTGGTGGTGGTGGTTGCTGCTCGGAGGCTGAGGAACAGGGGCCCGCTGCCGTGGACTGTGGTGGCTCCGAGGGGAGCTGTTGGTCTTGGGGCTGGGGCTGGGGTTGGGGTTGAGATTCAGACTCGCCGGGGTGCGTTTGTAGCCAGGCCTTGTATTCGAGGAGGTCTAGAGGGGGCTGGATGGAGTGTTTTCTGGTGTGTGAAGTGAGTTTGGATCCGGACCGGTGTAAAATTCGTGTCTTTGGGGGCGGGGGTTTGAGGGGGATTACCTGGAGAAGTAGAAACATTTGGCTTTCATGACGAGGTCATCGGTACGATTGACCTGCTCATCAGTCGCTGGCGTTCCTGGCTGACGGAGTATGACGGCGAGGCCGAGTTTGAATTCCGGGTCTTCTGTGAATGAGTACGAATGAAGTTGTTGGTATGGATCTATGGAGGATGTGCCGTTGGCTTGCTGAGAGGGGCTCGCCATTCTCGAAGGCGGAGGTGTATGTAGTATCTATTCGAGGTCCGAGGGCAGGGGCTGGAGTCAAAAAGTAACATTGGGTGATTTATCCTAAATGATAGAGGGAGTGAATTTGGGCGCTGATAGCTAGGGGTGGAAGTGCTGGATGTTAGTCCGGTAATATCTGTGTTCAGCGCGACGGTGCGGGATACGGTTTCCGCCCCGCCCCCTTACGATGCTCTGCGGGAGTCAAAATGTCCGGTTGGCGTTCCGTTGCGCTACCCTGGTTGCGGAATGCACTAATATGCAAAATTTTCCCCCGTCAAAGACCACTTCGAAGCTACCCGCTGCTCCGTGGTTGGATGTAGAGCACGATGTGGGAGATGCGCTATTGGGGCCTCAAGCTGTCACTACCCTAGGGTCGGTTCCTCGGCATAACTACGGCGTACTTACGATCAGAGTTTTGATGATTGAAACACATACTATTCTGGACTCTGTTGGTTACGCAATGTTTACGGACCACGGTGCTTTATGATCAAGCCATGGTACTCCGTACCTTCGCTCTGTTGTTAGTCATGGAAATAGTCCCGATTTGAGAGAGTTGGTGAGATCGTAACTAAGAATGCAGATTAGATGGAGGACACTGGGTGGAGGTAAAACAGGCAGAGTGCGACGTAGCTTGGCGTCTACGGAGTACATACACTGCGGTAAAATTCCACGCTGCGTCGGAAGGGGGAGGGGGCCGGGAAGAGCATTCAATCAGCTCCTTTGGTGCCAAACGATCGGGGAGGAAGAATATACGGAGTATAATATGGGGTAATGTTGGCCAAATCATGTTTGTCTGGCTCGCCGGGCACGGTTGATGGTGGGGAGGAGGCTCGGAAATCGAATCATAGAACTTGGATCGGTGCTGCGTAAGCCGGAGGAACAAGCAGCACGGATTTTGATGAGCGATCATCGTTTGCGGGCGATCAATTTTGCTGGGCCGTCACACAGATCGGATCCAAGTCTCCTCTTCCTAGCAAGGGTTGTGTAGTGAGTCGCCTGGAGTGTGCGACCGTCCTCTTAAGAGAACGTCGATTCAGCCCGCCTGGCCGTTTGATTCCATCGCAGCGTGCTGTTCGCGAACGAGGCGTGTTCCAGAGTTCATGGTGGGCTGCGGGCTTCAAGGTTGCGAGGTGGAAACGTGGGTGAGCCAGCCCAATCAGCGCCGGTCGTCGTCCAGGTGCCAAGTGCGATTAATCTTCGGTGGTGTCTCTCCTTTCGATCATCAAAAAAAGATAAGCATGGTGATGAGACACACCCCGAAGGATTTCGCAACATGCCCTCCTTGGCTCCTTGACTGCACGGCCTGTCTGCTAAGATTGGAGCCTTTTTTTGCCCTTTTCTCCTGCTGAGTGATCGATAATGAGTGTTACCACAGTCCTACATCCTGTGCAGCATCCGTCAATTGGGTCCCTGAAGCAACAGCCCCAAATGAACCTCCCCAGCTCAGATGGCACCTTGGACAAGTTCCCGGCTCTTGATGACGAATCCCACAGAACGCCCGCCGACGCCGACGTCCCTCTTTCAGCGAGTAATTTTAGATATTCTCCGGAACCTTTTTGGCTGCCACGAAAAAATGGGACTCTATCCCATGGCTTTCCAAGCTCGCGAAAACAGCGACCCCGGAAGAGCATCAGTGAGGCTATCGGGTCGTTCAAGAAGAGGAGTGCAAGCGTTAGCGTGAATGCACAGGAACTGGCAGAGGCCCTGAAGGCGCCTGTCTCCTACAGACTCATTGTGGGTGGAAAAGGTCCCTGCTCCTATTAATAACCGCCCTTGGGCTAACCAGTCGTCACCTAGGGACTCTGCATCGTGTGGTACATGACATCCGCGCTCACGAACACTTCGTCGAAAGAAATCCTCAACGCCCTCCCAAAACCTATCACCCTCACTATTGTCCAGTTCGGCTTCGTTTCGACATGTTGTCTTCTTCTCTCATACCTGGCGTCGGTCTTTCCGACGTTAAGATCCACCGTCCCGGCGCTGAAGAACGGAATCCGATATCCAACCCTCGAGGTCATCTCTACCGCTCTTCCCCTAGCTCTTTTTCAGCTTGCAGGCCATATCCTAAGCTCCATGGCGACCTCCCAGATCCCAGTTTCCCTTGTACACACAATTAAAGGCCTCTCTCCGCTATTCACCGTTCTCGCCTATCGCGTCTTGTTCCGAATTCGCTATGCACGCGCTACCTATCTCTCGCTCGTCCCACTCACGATGGGCGTGATGCTTGCCTGCTCTGCCGGCTTCTCGACCAACTTCTTCGGCATTCTGTGTGCGTTTTGCGCCGCGCTCGTGTTTGTTTCTCAGAATATATTCTCCAAGAAGCTTTTCAACGAATCCTCTCGCATTGAGGCGGAAGGCCAGGCGCTCACCGGCCGGAAGCTGGATAAGCTCAATCTCCTGTGCTATTGCTCCGGTTTAGCGTTTTTCCTGACGGCTCCTATTTGGTTCTTCTCTGAGGGTTACCCTCTTCTCATGGACCTTCTTCAGGACGGCGCGATTGACCTTACGGAAAAGAAGGGTAGCCTGGACCATGGACCGCTAATTCTAGAATTTATCTTCAACGGGATGTCACATTTCGCTCAAAATATCCTTGCCTTTGTGCTTTTATCGATGATCTCGCCGGTATCCTATTCCGTCGCGTCGTTGATCAAGCGAGTCTTTGTCGTCGTGGTTGCGATTGTCTGGTTCGGAAATGCCACTACGCCCATCCAGGCATTTGGAATTGGGCTTACGTTTGTCGGGTTATACTTGTATGACCGCAACAGCCACGAAGATGCCGCAGATCGACGCGCGAATGCGGACCATTTTCACATCAAGAAAACTATACTTCCACTGAGCGTGAGAAACACCAACAACAACAACAAGGGCTGGAGTTCTAATGGCTATGCGTTTCCTCCCATCAAGGAAGGCTCCCCAGAAAACACAAAGGGGTATATCTCAGCTTCAACTGGCAATTTCAAAAAGGACGATAGCGGACCCAACGGACGCCCACGAAAGAGCAGCGCTGTTCGGCCGTGGATGCCACCGGGTACAAAACAAGAATCCACATGGCAGCCTGGTGATTCCGCCAAAACACACCCGCAGTATGTTTCGTGATGTTCAGCAATTACGTTGTATGTGTATACAAAGGTCGGCGTTCAAAGGACGGCAAGGGAAGGTTTCGGGCCATCACGATGAAAGGCGTTGACGATGGTGGCATGAATCCGGACTTGATTAATACGAAAAAAAAAGAAAGCCTTAATGGATAGATTTGTTTTCATGTCGAGCTTGTAATATCCTCCCAGAGGGCTTTTTTCCCCCCCCCTTGAAAGGCTACTGCTATTTAGATTCATCTGTAGATAATTGAGATCACTAGCATAAATTATGCCACAACAGTGAAGATCCCAGCTTTCGAGGCGATTGGGAATTGCTTAGACTCATTCTTGACAGGACGGCAGACTACTGAAGTGTATTTTAAAAAGTGAGGATGTAGCGACCGTCGGTAAGGAACTGTTCCATAATCAGGCCCAAATGGAGCCCTAGGATGCTCCAGCTCGGCGCAAAAGTCTGTTCTTGGAGGATGCTGTAGAGGAAGAAGGGCTGTAAATGTCCTTGGAAGACCAAGAAGTGCCTCTGCTACCTACAATAATCCATCTCCGTGAAATGAGTTATTCTGTAAGAAGAAAAAAGAAGGGAAGGTAAGAAAACCGAAAAAAGCTCAAAAATAAATTTTTTGGGGAAAACGCTTGGCGGCGCGGAAGAACCAGCTTTTCCGGCGCCCGTTCGCCGAGCCAATCCGAGGCTGCTGATTTGTTAACTAAGCAATTGGCAGACTGGAAGTTCCAAAGGAAACCGATCGAGAATAACACAAACCGACGAAACGACGTCGTTCTCGTTACCCGCAATCCCCCGTCCCTCCCCATCATTCCCTTCTCCTCGCTATCTCCCTTCTCTTCCCTTTCATATTTTTCCCCTTGTGATATCTTTTCATCTCTTCAGGATGCGGCCGCAATTGTTCCGTGCGGCGGCCCGCTCGAGGAGATGGTCCAGACTCAATTGCTCCCGCACATTCGCAACGACTGCCCCTCGTCCAGCGGAGGTTGAGCTCACAATTGGTCGGTAGCTTGCTTGGAAATTTATCCTGAACGGTTATGCTGACGGTTTATTGGGCTTTAGATGGAAAAAAGGTCTCGATAGAAGGTAGTTTGGAACCCCGAGTGGGAAGCTGAATCGCGACTTTATACTGATGCTATAATAAAGCTGGATCGGCTCTAATTCAAGCTTGCGAGAAGGCTGGAGTAACAATTCCACGGTATGTATACCTGCAGCATCGGACATTGGGTCAATTGGCGCTAATTATACTTGCAGATATTGCTACCATGAGTAAGTACATGTTGACCCGCCTTCGGTTGATTTGCACGATATATGTGCTGAACGGATGGTTAGGAAATTACACATTGCAGGAAACTGTAAGGCTGGCATTTTATTTCGGGAGCTTTCGAAATCGCATTGTCATTAACCGCCAATGTTCCTATAGGTCGTATGTGTTTAGTTGAAGTGGAGCGAGCCCCAAAACCCGTGGCCTCCTGCGCATGGCCCGTTCAGGCTGGAATGGTGGTGAAGACAAATTCGCCCCTTACGCACAAGGCTAGAGAAGGTGTTATGGAATTCTTGCTTGCGAATCATCCGCTTGATTGCCCCATCTGCGACCAGGGAGGTGAATGTGATTTGCAAGACCAGTCGATGAGATACGGTGCCGACAGAGGTCGATTCCATGAAGTTGGAGGGAAGCGTGCCGTGGAAGACAAAAACATCGGTCCTTTGATCAAAACATCCATGAACAGATGTATTCATTGTACTCGATGTGTCCGCTTTGCAAACGACATTGCTGGAGCTCCGGAGCTTGGAACGTCCGGGCGAGGAAATGATATGCAGATCGGCACCTATCTTGAGAAGAACCTCGATTCTGAATTATCCGCAAACGTTATCGACCTTTGCCCCGTCGGAGCCCTCACCTCCAAACCATATGCTTTCCGAGCACGACCATGGGAACTTAAACATACTGAGACCATCGACGTCTTGGATGGATTAGGCTCAAATATTAGGGTTGATTCCCGAGGTGTGGAAGTTATGCGCGTCCTTCCGAGACTCAACGATGATGTTAACGAGGAGTGGATCAACGACAAGACCAGATTCGCATGCGATGGCCTTAAGACTCAGAGACTCACCACACCTTTGATTAGAAGGGAAAACAAATTCTTGCCAGCAACGTGGGAGCAAGCATTGACTGAAATCGGAGCTGCTTACAGAAGCTTGGCTCCAAAGGCTAACGAATTTAAGGTCGTTGCTGGTCACCTCATTGAGACTGAATCCATGGTCGCTATGAAGGACCTAGCAAACAAACTCGGCTCCGAGAACCTTGCACTTGATCAACCCGGTGGCAGCCAACCTATCGCACACGGTGTCGATCTCAGATCAAACTACCTTTTCAACTCCAAGATTTATGGCATTGAAGACACTGATGCTATCCTTCTTGTTGGGACAAACCCTCGCCATGAGGCTGCCGTCCTCAATGCACGCATTCGTAAGCAGTGGCTTCGTTCTGATCTGGAGATCGGCCTGGTCGGCGAGTCCTTCGATAGCACTTTTGAGTTCGAGCATCTCGGCGACAATGCGGCTGCGCTGAAGACCGCTCTTTCTGGAGAGTTTGGAAAGAAGCTGGCAGCTGCCAAGAAGCCGATGATCATTGTCGGAAGCGCAGTTGCTGAGCACCCCGATGCCAAGAACATTTTCGAAACGATCGGTTCTTTCGTTGATAGGAACGCTGCCAACTTCAACACTGCAGAATGGCAAGGATACAACATTCTTCAACGCGCAGCGTCTCGCTCCGGGGCTTACGACGTTGGATTCACAACCCCATCTCCAGATGTTGCTCAGACTAGCCCCAAGATGGTCTGGCTCCTTGGTGCTGATGAAATCAACGAAGCCGATATTCCCAAAGGCGCTTTCGTGGTGTACCAGGGTCACCATGGTGACCGTGGCGCTGAACTCGCAGACGTTGTCCTGCCAGGAGCAGCATACACCGAAAAGTCTGGCACCTATGTCAACACGGAGGGTAGAGTTCAAATTACCCGCGCCGCTACATCGCTTCCCGGAGCTGCTAGAGAAGACTGGAAGATCATCAGAGCTGTTAGCGAATTCCTGGGCGCGCCGCTACCATACGATGATATCGAGATGCTGAGAGACAGGATGGAAGAGATCAACCCCGCCCTGAGAAGATACGACGTTGTCGAGCCCGTGTCTCTAAGTCAACTGAGCAAGGTTCAACTGGTCGATCAGAACAGAGGATCTAAGCCATCTGGCGAGCCACTTAAGAGACCCATTGAAAACTTCTATTTCACAGATGTCATTTCCAGAAGGTATGTTCACATCCCCATAAATCCAATTATTCTACAACGAAACAACTGACAGAGATTCAAGCTCGACAACTATGGCAAGATGTTCAGCCGCCAAGGAAACTGGCAATCCAGATACTAACTTCATGGCCCCCGGCGAACCCGCGCCCCAGTATTTCGCGGCTCAATAAATAGATCAAACCATACGCTTTTCTTCCATTTTCATCAGCATTGATTCTATCTTCATGTGACACCAGCTCTATTATGTCCTTTCGTGGCTACGGCGTTTTTCAGTCTCCTACGTTTTTGCCCTATATCGCTTCTTTTCATTTTTTTTTTTTTTTCCCCAACTTTCGTAGAGCTGAATTACATCCCATGTACCTGCGGCTCCGCTCGTTTTGTATGTCTCTATCTGTATATAAGAGAATCTCAAAAATTATGCGAAAGGGAGCGGGTTTCTTGACTGATGTAATTGATTCATTGCGGGTGGAGACTTTATACTCTCATACAGATAGAGAAGCTACATAGGTAGCCTTGGGAACTGTTCAATCCTCAGCTTTGGAATGTGCGCAAAATTAATCCAAATTGATACAGGTATCAGAAAATGTAGCATAGATAACAGGTGGCTTTAATTCCTTTATAATTCATCATCGCTTTCGGTCTCGACTTCATCCCGCTTGCGTTCAGCAACGACTGGTGCTGGTTTAGCATTCCTTCCTCTCCTTGTAAAAGGTAGCTCACGACGAGGAGGGGGGCTGGAAGCAGATTCTTGAGTCCCAGGAGCACTGGATTTTCCTCCTTTATTATCATTCGGTGCAGTGCGCTCCTTATTTTTCGATGGCACAGGGGCTAGTACCTCAGGTTGTTCGTCTTCGGATGCCGTTTCTTCATCCTCTAACGGGTCAGGGGTTGATGGGCGGTCAGATTCCGTTGCGGTTTCGTCTTCCTGTGCTTTTTTCTCTTGGTTGTTTGCAGCGTCGTTGTCCTTTGTGTCCACATCCATTGTGTCAAAAGCATCTTCGCTTTCGGAGTCGCTTGGGGGCGCTTGAGCTTTCCGTTTTGATTTTCTACTCGCGTCGGCTTTTCTGGGTTTCTTTTCGGCTTCTGCAGCCTCTAACTCGGCAGCTATCATGCGGTCAGGCAGGTATTGATTTTTGACGGGGATTGGATTTTAGGAGAGGGGAGACATTAATTAGATACTCACCTTTCGTGGGATCGATCTTTGCAGTGGCCAGAAGTCGCTGTTGGTTACGGATTTTCAGTTTTTTCTCATTTAGCAGTTGGGCAAATTTAGCAATTAGCTGGTCGTCGTGTTCCTTTTTCGCCTGAATTAACTCCTCCAATTGGGAATTGAGCTGATTGATGGTGTTTTCTGCGTCGCGATACTTGGCGTTTAGGGAGACTATTTCTTGAGACAGGCTGTTTGCCCGGGCGACAGCGATGCCACTCCAGTCAAACAATTGAATCGCCTGGTCGTCGTCTTGTTTAAACGTGATTGAGCCCAAGCGTTGCTAGAGCATGAAACTATCGTCAGCGCGGCTGATGACGTGGACCATTGAGATGGGGTAAGGTGCCCATGCAGAACGGGAGACATACCGTAATGGCATCAATCCGTTTCCGGAGTGTTATAACGACCTCTTTGTCGCCGTCTTCGTCGTCCTCGTCTCCCATTGACCTAACCGTCGCAACTGTCTCCAGTCCAGCCGCCCAGTCGTCCGATTTGAGGGCGCCTTCATCTTGGTTGAATACGTAAGACAGGATTCCAGACCATTCCTCGTCGCTGCCACGATAGTTTTTGGCACGTAGCTTGCTTATTTGGGACGTTTTCACTAAACCATCACAGCGTCAACCGATTTGCATCACTGGGACGACAGATTGGAAACCAATCCGTAAGCGGATGTATTGGGCTTACCAGAGCCGGCATAAGGATCCTCTCCTTCAGTAGCGACCAGACTGAGGTCAAGCTCATTCTTACCAGACCTCGAAACCTTGACCAGAACGAAATCTTCCGGGCTGTCGCTGCGTGGAATGCGCAAAATCCTCTCCAGTGCCATGGTGAAGCCGCATGCAGAGAGTAACTTCTCTGCTCCGTGGGTTAACTGCCAGTCAACAGATGGCACACAAATTCACCTCGAGCCCAAGGAGGTTCCTGGTCCGACTGGAAATATCATGCAGAGAAAAGCCGCAATGGCCGCCAAACCATCTGCTGCCTGCACCGAGCTGGTCTCCGTCCTTGCTGCCTATGAAGGGGACCTGTTGTAATGTAACGTACAGCAGTTACATGACATCAGCACAAAACTTACAGCAACGCGCCAACCCATCGCTTAGCGACTAGCCGCCGGAGCGCGTTGGGGTTCGTACCGTGACAAGCCTGTAAATTACAGTAATAGTGGTGGATGGAGCAAGCGACCGTCCCAACCTCCTATGGGTAGGTGCCGGGCCGCCCCCCAGGAGACGCCCAAGCCCAAGCACGGCGGGCGATCCACTCAACACAACCTCCCAACTCCTTCCCCTTCCCACCTCGCAAGGGATGCCGCTTCGCAGGCCGTGGTCATCGTTATTATCTTTCAGCCGGTTATAGTTCAATATATCTCGACTTTGTTGTCTCGTTTTCAGCTGCGCGCCTTTCGTTGCAAGCAGCCTTGTTTTCCCTGTGAGTCTGTGACGCTTGCAAATTTGATGCTTAATCTACCATATGCAGCCCCCGACAGACCCTAGCAAATATCGATCTTCTCAGAATTACTCGTAATATCAGCTTTGTGTCCAACTGAAACACCTTTTGGCCGGCCTTTGTGTGTGAAGCGGAATTACCCGTAATACTTCCGATACTTGCAATCTGGACGTTGCGACGCTAAAGGCCAGTGCTCAGTTGCCCAGGATTCTACTTTCATTTCCAAGTTTCGCCCGAATTTCCTCCAAGCGGATCCTCGAAATTGGCCCGTCGCATCGCAAGGAATGACTCCCCAGCCCCCCTCTACCTGCTTCGGCCCAGACCTAAATAGCATACGTTGATATACAAATCTGGATTTGTCCATTCGGGGGAGACGGTCTCGGGCGATTTGAACTCGTGGTCGCCGTGACAAACCTATAGAATGGACATCTCTCCGTTACGGCTGCGAAGGCCCGAGGACGAAGCGATCGAGTGCTGGGACGACGACGAAGACCTTCAGTGTGGCGACGAGATTTATTTTCGGACTGTTTCCTCGGCGACATCGGTGACTGGGTGCTCTGTTCGACCCTCCGGCCATCGAGATTCCATTTCGTCACGTCGCTCCTGCAGATCAGACCGCGAATCTAACTACGGCGACGAGGAAAGCTGGCAGTTACTGTTAAACGACCAGGATGAATTTGGTACCGACGATGCTATTGCATCTGCGAAGAATGCCGGGATCCCGATCCCCAATGGGATACCCAGGTCAGCGCTCTTAGGAGGCACTATCAAAAGACTTGGTGGTCGAAAGGGCAAAAAGGCCTTAGGGGATGACTGGTCTGAGGATCTAGATCTGGCAGGGTTGAGCGGAGAAATCCAGCTAAGGTTCAAACATGAGGCGACTTCCCCGGAGTCGTTGCTACATCTCAGCTCTCTCCCAACAAGCCCATCGAAATCTCGAGAATTGGAGTATTTCACTGATATCATAAACCATCCACCCGCACCGAAACAACAGCTGTTCAACGATTTAGATAAATTTAAAGATACTGAAGAGGATGCCTCCTTCGATGATGTTCCAACTATTAAACTAGGAAAATCTCGCCCTCCGCCAATTTCGAATCCATTCGCTGCTTCAACTGCGACAGAACCTGGTACGCAAGACGACAATATGGAAACCGATTTGGTGCTGCCCTCGGATGGTGAGCCTTTACGCCTATCCACCAGACGAGAAACCTCCAAGACACCGGATGCGTTTGGGGACGAATTCGATGCCGAGTGGGCTGAAGGGAGTATTGGAGTACGATTCGGTGGAACAAAAAGAGAAGGGTTTTCCACCCGTAGCTCAACTGTGTCTGCCCTGAGCCCCAGTGTTTCAAGCTGCTTGACTGCAGAGAGCGATGACGAAGGATTCAACGATTTTGTCTTGCCTGACGGGCCCTTGGACCTGGGAAAATCGCTGCAGAAAAGGCAAGAGTCTGCACTACCTGTCGACTTGGACTTTCCCCCCGAACCTGAAGCTTCAAAGCAACCTGATCCCGCAGCGGACGATTTCTTCTCTGGGATCGAAATTGGCGACGGGGAGCTGTTTGACACGGAAAAGTTGACCCTTAATCGGAATATTAAGCGCAAGGTGGAGAGACCAGCAAGCCCTGCTAGACGCGGAGCAACAACCATAACTTTCACAAGCCGAACGCCCGGCACTCGGATCCCCAGGCTGTCTGACAGGCCACATTCCACCCAACTTGAACCTGTCTCAGAAAGTGGAGCGCCGGTGTCTAAATTTGTTCGACCTGCTTCTCGACTGAGCGGACACGCCACACACTCATCTTTATCCAATATTTCGATATCAAGCGCTGGTTCTGCGTCATCCAACCCTCCTACTCGTCGACCTTCTAGTAGTAGAAGTTCAAAAGATACAATACAATCAACTAGTACGAATTCTCAACTACTGAAAACCAAACGATCCATTCCAGGACTACGAAATTACAATGCCGGCATGGCATCAACACTGCAAAGGTCCCCTGGACGACAAGAAAGCAATTTGAAGACTCGAGCTACAGTGTCTCCTCGTCCAAAAACTCCCGTCAATCAGTCTACCGCTGAAACTCGTCTTGGGCCTCAACGGCGACATCATGTTCCTTTTATTCCTGCAGGAGCTTCTCCCAACCAATCGCACCATGTTAGCCTTAAAACAAGTAGGCACTTTCGCCGCGCAGATTCAGATAGTTCTGGAGATATGTTCACCCACCATAGATCCAACTCCCGCGTCTCAAGTTCTTCTGCCTTATCAGATACTACGCGACGTGGAAGCACTGATCTTCCTACTGGCTCGTTTACAGCTGCTGCAAAACATGCCGTTACCAAGCCAAATAGGAAGAGGCATTTTGGAGATGGCACGGAACTCGATATTTTCGACGATCTCCCAACCTCAGCAACCGCTGAAAGTAAATATGTGAAAGTTCCTATCAAAAAAGGCCCTCCACGTGCCTTGCGTAACAGACTTAGTCAGTCTGGAATCCCTTTGCCTTGCAAAACGGAGACAACGGGTTCCTCTCTACCAACGAGCCCACCGCACCAGGATCATACTCCAAGATTTGCTCGTGACACTAATGCATCCAGAAATGCTCGAGAGCAGAGAATTGCTTCCATGACTCATAATCAAAGGGAACGCGAAAACGGTCCTTTGACTCCAATTAGTGTGAATTGGAGGTCGCCGCCGTTTAGCCGACCACCTTCAAGTCCGACAATGGTTAAAAGCAGACCAGGACATAAACATCGCGATTCTATTAGCAGGCCCCACCTGATTAAGCCCATGGGTAGCGGAGTGCATGAGCCAAAGTGTAAGTTATCGCTGACAGAACGTCTATACATCTTTGGTACTAACATATTATCGATTAGCCGTCAAAGGAATGAAATACAACCCCACATTATATAGATGGGAAGGGAATGAAACCGCTACGGCTGCATTTGATCCACCAGCTTTGGGAACCCCTCCAAAGTCCACCCTTGCTCTTATCAGCAATATCGGTGGAATAAGTGGTGCTCAAGTTGTAGGTTCCATGGTCTTCGATCCCCAGCGTATGTGCTGGCTCAAACTAGCTTCCCCTGGGAAAACTGGTGCCACCATTCCTCCAGAGGAAGATGATGTGTTTGCCGGGCTCGAAGATCTTGATGATCGACCGCAAAAATCGAATACAACTTCCCGAATAGCATCAGCAGTTTGTGATATTGAAGCAAACGACCCGTTGACTGGTGATGACAAAAGTGGTGATTCCTCTGATGACTGGCCGATAACAGAGGAATTTGATGTTGGCCCAGAGTTTATCAAGAGACAACGTGCCGAAGAAGAGAAATGGAGGAGGAAAGTCAGTAAATGGGCCAGCGGAGATCGCAATAAACTTGGAGATTCGTGGAGGTGGGCAATTCGCGATTTGGTGAAGACAGACGCTCCCATCGATATTCCACTTTCGTACAAACGCTGAGCGACTCGCTTGGACTGAAAGAAATTAAAAAAGGATACCGAAAAAAGGATAAATAAAGCTTGATATTCTACGGTATGGCTGCGTGCTGGCGTTTCCGGCTCAGTTTCGTTGAATCGTTTGCGCCGCGATGATATTTCATAATTACTCGATAATTCCTTAATAATAGGGATGTACCAGAAACCCCCTATACCGTTTACGACAAGACGTTTCTGAAAAGCATAATTCCCCGTCCCAATGCTTTGACGAAACTATGATGACTGTTTTTTTTCCCTTTCCCATCAGAAAGGTCCGTTTCTGGGTTGCAGAACAGCAATCCATGTTCCCTGTTGGAACCGGGACCTTGGTGAACGACTTGATGACTAGCATACAGTGAGGAGACATCATTACTATTATTGACTTATATGACATTTCACCCCGTGTATTCTAGATGTATCATTGCGCTTCCTTTGGCTACTCCTATTTTATCTTGTCGTTGCATCTGGGGCCTTTCTGTTTAAGCTTTTGTATTCATCGTTTCACGAGTATCAAGCTGCAGGCGGAGATTACTTCCTCTTCTCGTTTTTCGATGATGGTTAGTTTTGCTCTATCTACCTATGTACTATCAAATGGATGGGTGTTCTCTCAGTATATTATGCGTCCACTATGGCTGACAATCCAAAGAAACCATTCTTGGGCCTCTCGTCGCTTCATCGCCCCTGGACCATCAATCCATCTATACTCGAACGCATGCCCTACCCGAGAAGAATGGATTTCTCGTTCTTCAATGTGAACCGTTCACCTGTGAACATCAACCAAATCAATCAGGAGAAAGCGCAGAACTTGCATATGGAAATGGCGAAGCTGCCACGCCCACCGGAACTAAGGTGCTTCTTCCCCGCGATATATAGATGGTCAGCAGCCAGGGTCAGAGGAGCCTTCGTTCGGTGATAATCAGTGCGCACAGCAAGGAACAAATAGCTGAGAATATGGAAGGTCTACTTATTCTTGTCCTCATTGGCCACGGAGTATTACAAGCTCCTCTGTGAAGCTTGCCATCTTAGCTGGGGTGATAATGAAATGAGATATTAAATATTGATTAGCCCGGACCTCAAGTCTCTTGCCCATCTGTTCATCAACAGAGTGAAGAACATTTCCGAGCCCTTCCCTGCAGAGTTGCATAACATGTAAGCTAGTAGCCATGGGGGTTTCCGTCTTTCTCAAAGCTAAACTTCAAAAATGGACCCCGATCGATCTCCAAGCGGCCGTTAGGTTTAAAGGGTGATCGAATTATGGCATCGGAGAAATGACTATTGGCTCCGTCCACGGTGAAGTGCATGTCCCTCCCGTGTTAGCGCTCGGATTTTGGCGAAGTGTTTCACACCGACTTTTGAATTTCCTGCCTCCTCAATTTCTTTTCTTTTTTGGTCTCTTTTTTCCTTAACCCCATTCCAATTAAGCTATCGGTGCCAGGGGCATCCCGTGCTCAAATTTTTAAACCTAATGCGGGAACTCGCTGATCTCCTTGAGCATTGGTGCTGTGCTGCGGAAGTTTGGAGCTCGAAGCTTAAACGGCTCGCCTGATCAAGGAGCTTGGCAGGGATTGGGTGGTGGTGACGATGAGGATGCAAGCCTGATGTACTCTGTAGATGTGCATTCTAGAAGATCAACGTGACATAAATATGAGATGGACCCTGATCATGATTCTCCATCACCGAAGCGTATCCATGGTCCATCATGAAGAAAACCAGCGGTCGCCTGTGGCAAACCCTGTAGAAACCACGTTTCGATGCCGCTGCGGAACCGATCTTTATCGCTTCTGCAGGACATCCCATTGTTGACTTGGTCAACAATGACTGATTCGAGAATGACTGACTCTACGATGACACAAGAATGAGATATCTAGCTACCGTATATAAAAGGGCGAAGGAATCCTTTCCTAACATTCCAACCAGCATCGCTGCATCCTTACCAGCGGAAGATATCTTCATACACACGGCTTGAAATAACTATCAGACTTCTTGTTCGAATACAACATGGAGAGCAAAGCAGCCTTTTGCAGACGAGTGAACGAACTCATGTTCATGCGGCAGGGAAAGTGGACTCAGCACCAGGCCAGGCTGCTGAATGTCACCTGGACGGACGGGCTTCCCGCCGAAGCGATGATGAACAGGTTGTGGTTCCCGGAACATGGAGATGAAGGTAAGGGGCAGTCCCTTCGCGGCAACTTAAATTGCACCTGACAAGTCTCGGTAGTAGTTGAGCAAGACATCTTATCCGACCCAGGCCACGTCCAACTTCGACGTTCCTGCATGGCTTTCCTCAGGAGAATCGATCCCAAGCTGTTGGGCTCCAGTGCTGAAGCCCAGCAGGCTTGCAACCGGCTGTCTCTGAATATACTGATGCGGTCCCTCATTCGTCAGAAAGAGATTGAAGCTTTGCGGTAAGTGAAAGCCAAATCCGCTCATCTGGGAATGCTGCAGGCACTGATAGAGTGACCAAAAAAGTGTTTGTGACCCATTGATACTGCAGTTCGAATTCAACAAAGTCATCAGCCAAATACAGGCTGACGGAGGTATTTTCAGGAAGGTAGCACGGGGTGGAACACCAGAGGACCCAGTGGTTTTGATCTCCGTAAGTCCCAGTCCATGAAGCATATCTTCTTATTCCTATATCTCTCTCTCCCGTTTTTTGAGGGTATCATCAGCTAAGGCTTGGGAATTTGCAATGATAGACCCCGCAGGAAGAGAAGTGTCACGATGTACTTCCCTCAGAACTCCCTTTGTTCCTGGTCCAGGCGGTGGTCGCCTTTCAGCGTAATCCTGACTTCATTAACCATACAGCATATGTGATCAGAATGTCTGGAACATCAGTGCAACTTGCTAGCGCAAATATCTCTGTTGCCTCTCTTGAACGGATGCAGCAAGGGGACACCACCCACCAAAAGATGGAGATCCGCCAATCAGTGTGGTATAATACCCTCATACCAGACCAGCAGAGGAAACTAATTCGGCTGTTTTTGGCGCTGTTGAACCAGTTGGATGCTTGTGTACAGATCCAGAGCTCGACGGCGAAGAAATGAAAATGGGCCCTTGAGCGGAGTCGAAGCTTGAAGGTAAGGACGTAGCCGGTAGGCATCTAGCCCTTTCATCCTTCTGAAAGACTTCCCCGGCAGCTAGTGAATTAGTGCTGGCTTGGAAAACCGAACAGCACTAGCTAGCTGCTAGTCAGCCTTAATTGATGTCTCTTAAGCATTCTTATGACTGGGGCAGCCAAGTTAGCTCTTCGCGGAGGCGTGTGGAGTAGCGGTACTCTTTTGGTACAAGGTCTTTGTATCTCGACTGGTGAGGCGGGAGATCTACATACATGGGCCAAGGCGGATGGGATGTAAATAAAGGTTCTTTTATCAATCTAACGATGTATCTACAAGTTTATATGGTATCCAAAGTCAGTTGTTTCGAATCTACTTTGCGCATGACTCGCAGAACTGAAGGGATCTGCTACGCAATCTGGCCTATAGCGCCGCCGTTGGTTGCCTGACTCGAATTATGTCACGATCAAATAGATCTTCCAACAAAAGAGAATCTCCCATCCTTATTCGTCAGCTTCTCATCGCCCATACTTTCGCTTCAAGAGAAACGATGGAGTGTGGTCGTCCGACACGCCTCACAATATCTTGGTTTAGAAAAACAATTCTACCATGGCATTCAGTTATCACAAGGGTCAGAGGCCAATTAGCGGTCTTTGAACGGTCGCACAAGTGCATCCCACACTGACTCAAGACAACGAACCAATTTGCACAGGCTGATCGTTTCGGAATTGGCCAGTTCCCTTCAAGGATTTTCGAAAACTTGGGTGTGAGGGACCAGCCTGCACAGCCATGGATCCAGCGGATTATGAGCGGAAAGGCAGACGCAGTCGTCAGTACGTATATTATGTAGAAGAGGGGTGCGAATACGGTTCTTCTAATAATTTTACCGGACACTCCGGAGAAATCGGATGGCTCATCATCCCCAGCCTGCGGACGGTTGGCAGCAGAGGAGGGCGGGATAAGCAGTGTCAATCCTTCAGACGCCAAATATTGATGCACCGTTAGCTTTGGAGGTAAAAACATAGCACTTTTCGGGTATTGGAAAGACGAAACGAATATCCAAGCCGATCACCCAGCTTTGATGCTAGATTACCCAGTTTTTTATATTAATTTGGATGGGTCACAGGGCTGAACAAATTGCTAAAAATTCCTTTTAACGGGATAGAGGGAGCAGAACTCGAGCAGACCACGCGTTTCTTTGCCGGATTCGCCTCTATTTGTCTTCCAACAGCCGTTTGGGGCCGAGGATGTGATGACGACGACAGCATGTCTGATTGATCGGGATTCCTTCATGTCAGAGAGTTTGGCTTTCTCTTTTTTTTTTTTTTTGGCCTTGTGTCGGACACCCTCCCGGGGGTCCTCGAAAACGAATATCCCCGAGGAAAATAGACATGGGGGGAGGAATAAAATAAAAAGAATAAATAAAAATTCTTCGATTAAAAGCAAAAGCTTAAAGCAAATCCCTCGTCGATGGTTCGTGTCGGAAGTTAAGATAGCTGCATAACGAGGAGAACTGGTCAGCAGGGCCTGTTGACGGCGTACAAGATGCACACCCTCCAGCCCACCAGATGAACATATTCTTTTTGACCCTGAGGAATGGCATGCTGAAGACGAGGGACCGTCGTCAAATGTTGTGCAATGCAATGTAATACAGTTCCAATGAAAGTCGCTACAGCCAAAAGAAAAAAGAAAGCAGGGCTTCTGCCGAACAGTCTTGTATGTACAAGAAAGGTTTGACCGCCAGATTAAATCATTCCTGATGCAGGATGAGGAACCTCTCAAACCCCATGGCGAGCTGAATGGAGACAGCCCGCCTGGCTGAATTGATCAGAGATGCAACGGCTTCTCAGGACGTTGGTGAGTCAGCTCTGCGAACGGGGCGTAAACACATTCCAACCCGGAACGCCGCCCCAGGACGCTTTCGGCTGGTTCGCCAAAGTCCGACGTCTGACCCTGCTACTACCCCGTATTGCTTCCCAAGTATGGAGTATGGGGTTTAATATTTTCGAAAGAATATGGAGCAGCTTCACATCCTCCAGAACCCGAGGAGGTCACTTTAAAAAAAGACAATGTCAAAGTGTGGAGAAAACGCGCGCACCGGTGGCGAGATCTGTCCGGCGCTGTGTGGTCCGGGAATATGAAACATGCTTTGCTGTCCTTTCAGTCCGGAGTATGGGCAACGAAGAACACCAGGACGACCCTTGATATTGATCTAGAAGGCAAAAGGCTTGCATGACCCATGTGTGTTTTGAGACTTGGCCAGCGAGCACACAGCCAATGAGGCCGGCGCAGGTTGTGCTAACAGGAAATACCGACGCTCGTGTTGGGTGGACTGCGTCCCCTTCGCAAGTTTCCGCAACAGTTGGCAGCACGTCCTCGCTACAAATTATGCATACTAATGCACCGAAAGGGATTGGTCGCTTGGCTTCGAAAAAGGTGGGAGGGAAAATCCCATCGAAGGTCCGCTGCTAACTCCGCAAATCTTGATTTTCGGCCTCTCCCCTGGAAAGTAAAATAGCAAAAACAGGTTCATTTGCCTGTAAAAAAAGGTGATAGCCAGACAAGCTGAGGGCTCTCCTCGACACCCCCCCCCGCGGGCCCATCTGGAGCTGGAGGAGAAGAGAGGGGGGGGAGGATGAAATGATCTGCCGCTCTCAGGCTCAATCAGGAATTAGGCCGGGCGCCAATGGAGAGAAACGATCAGGGAGTATCGTCTTCGGCGTCCAATGGGTTCGTTTGGGCTCGCTCACCATGCCAGGAACCACAGAGACGGAGTGACGCTACTGCAGGCAAGTTTGTTCCGTGGTCCCGTCCCCCAGTCCTGCCGCTAACTGGACGGCGATGAACGCTGCGATGATTTAGGTTAAGGTCAACGGGTGTTGGCCTCGATCGTCATCGCTAGTTAGTCTCGATGTTTATCCTCCGTGTCCGGACCGTGGAGAGCTACATGCAGCTTTTCTTTTTCGCGTTGCTTCTCCTCGGCCTGCTTTTTATGCTTTTTTCTTTTTTCTTTTTCTTTCTTTCTTTTTTTTTTTTTCGTTTCTTTCTTTTACGGAGAACTATGATGGTTTGCTCACCTTTTCGTACGAAGGCTCGCTTGCTTGGAGCCGTTCTGGTTTATTTAGCGAATGCCAGGTCTTGGTCTTCACGGAGGGCATGCACAAGGTCATGATGACATGCAGCTCCTCTAGCCTAACGAGAAGACGACCAACCGAGAGCGAGGGGGCGTTCTTGTAGCTGTGATCATTGCGGAGACTCTGCACACGGCACATAGGCGTGGCATCGGTCCCAGTTCCATATTCCCTCCGCGAGCCTCGACTTCTTTTTTTCCATTCTAATTTTTGTTGTAAGTCTTGTTATGGAGTAGTTAGTTACATGGTGGGCTGTGTGTACGTAAGAGACCACCAAGGAAAAGTGACCTTTTTTGGTTTTAGTAAATGTCTCGCACATGGCTGCGCGTTAGAGGTCTGAACGCTGAGAATCGATTTTATCCGGTGAGACAAAACAGGATAGCAGCGATGGGGTGAGAAAGCAATCAACGGGAGCCATGTCAATCGCGCAAGGCGATGACAACATCGCAGGACGACGAAGCACCGGTGCCCACATCACAGCGTAGTGTGTGTGAATGTGTGTCTGTGCTCAGGCGAGCAGGATGTACAGTACCTACAAGTACTTATCGGAACTTAGGAATGCCGTGTCAAGCTCCGTCTTTAACGGCTGGCGACGAAGTACCCTCGTCTCCGGCCGTGGACGTTCACAGGTACCCGTTCTCATGCATGCAGGACGGAAGATAGCCAGGTATATCGGGAAGGGAACCTTGTCATTTTGTGCCTATGCAAAGTTTCCCGTCATGTTGTCTGCTCCGTAATGAACAGTGTGTGGGATGGGCTCTACATATGTATACATATTTGCATGCATGTATGCATGCAGGATGGATGTGTGTATGAATCTAGTTTATGTGCGTGTGGACTCAAAAAACGAGACTCCCGTCTGCTGTCTGTGCTCCAATGATTTGGAAGGATTCGACGCCGGCAATGTTGATCAATCAGATTTGGCAGATAAGCACCGCTTGCTTTGTTGCCCAACGAGACTCCAAACGGTGCCCTGGGGATTCTAGGCCCTTTTCCCCTAAAGGGCATGCAGAGTGTTTTTTTGTCTCAGGTTGCTGTTCATCGGAGGATTTGCCGTCGAATTGGGATGACGGTGATTCAGCGCGGAGCAACCACTCGAGGCGTGCCGGGAGGAGGAGGACGAGGAAGACGATGCTAAAAGAGGTTGCGAGTTTGTGTATGTAACTAACCAGTTGGCGCAGCGAAATGCAGGGTTGTACAGCGTCCTGCACCAAGACAATAAGTCGCAATATATATGGGGCCCGTGACGGGGATGGTCCTCGAGGGTTCTGCGGAACTGACCGCAACATCACCTCATTAGATCCATGCCGGCCTCAGGGTTTGACGTCAAGATCTGGATTCTGGAAACACTCGTATCGGAAAATTAGTCGTTACTCTGTACTCTGAAATTTATTGCCCCAAAACGAGCAGCACAAAGGGGGTTCGGGTACTGATCACTCTCTTAGCAGTCAGCTTGAACCAGCCCATCTATCGCAGGGGGGAGTAAAGGCGTTGGCTTGCAATTGCCGGAGGATCCGTTTATATGCGACTCGACCTGTTGCATTAACTCTTCGTTTTACTTTTTACTTTTTACTTTTTACTTTTATTTCTTATTATGCTTACTTTTTATTTGTCGCTGGGAGGAATGGAAGCAGACCTCAGGTCGCTGATGGTTAGGGGATGATAAATGGCTCTCTCTTCATTTGTGAAAGTTTTCCTCTGCTCCGTACTTAGTTAGTTAAACCTAGGCTCTCTTGCCAGACGACTCATGTTGCCTGGGCGCATGGATGGCCTCGTACATATTTCCTCGCATACATACGACGAAAAATACTCCGTACATATGTCCATACATAGCCGATGCTGAGGAGCGAGGACTGTAGGAACAAGCAATGCCACTTTCGTCGTACTGTTTCGCCCGGGGAGGGGGTGGGATTCAGCGGAATGCAAGTGTCATGAAGCGGCAGAGGCCCATCCTCTTCCTCATCCCATCACCCACATAACTCTAACATGCAACTCTTTACATGAACTTGCATGCCAGCGCTGAGTGAGGTGGTCCTCCTCCTTGCCTGCATTCGCGTCCCATGGCGTCAGCCAGCCAGAGCAGCCGGCGAACCGTGGAAATAGAGGGCGATTCGGGAAGCGAAGGGGGAGTGTGGACAGGCAAATGGGGCTCGCCTGGAAGCACCAGAGAGCAGTTTTGATGTGGCACAAGCAAAGAGATCCTGTCCGTTTTTGGGTTTCAGGTTGACGACAGCCTCCGGTGTGGTTCGTTTTGCGCCTGTTGCAGCGATGCTGATGATGATGATGATGAGTCGACGGAGTTTCTTATCCGACGAGTCCCAGGGCGGCAACGCGAACGGCTTGCTTCCAGGAATTAGCTCTGTTGGAGAAGCCTGCCTCTTAGGGCCTGGATCCAGGCGTCTGCAGGACTTCAAAAACTGCGAGTCTGACAACAGCGATCGTTTGGTGCCGGCGCCACCAAGCCTTGATCACCATTGGACTCTTGACATCCCGGCGCATTAATAGAGCCTGAAGATATCCGGCGGGGATCAGGGAACCTGTGATCTCAACGTGGCTGTCTGCCAAAGTATAACCCACTCCCAGCATCCCGTGATGCGTCCTCGAACGATGTCTGAGTCCGTTTAGGTTGTTCATCCGAACGGAATCGATCCTTCATCCCATCTTCGGCTCCGTCAATCCCACACCCACCTGCGCTGCCCTGGTCTCTTCTCATCCTCGTCGGCCGGGCACACCAAGCCCACCTCTGTCTCTGGCAGACATTAATAATAATTATAAAAAAAAAAAAAAGAAAAAAAAAAGAAAAATCACACCGAGAAAAATGGAGCACAGTGGGCAGCCAGGAGTGTGTCCAGATCTCTGATGGAGCCCTTCTTCTGGGGACGGATCTTCACCGGGCTCGCGTATAGTAAAACCTGAGCTTGCGGACGAGCATCCATCTCTTGTCTCATGCCCGATCCCCCCATCTGTATGGCTGCACCACATCGTCAACACGCTCACACTCGCTCCCTCTCAATCCTCTTGTCTGGGGGGGAGGGGGGAGGAGGGGAGCAAAAGGCAGAGTAAGGAAACACAGACACATGGATTGTAAGTGATCACAGCAGCTAGATTGACGAATCCCATCCGTCCTCACCTGGCTTGACACATTTTCCCTTTTTCCTCCCTTTCCTCACCTTCCAGCCACCCTGCTTCTCGGCGGATCCGCTCAGCCCTGCCTGCTTGTCCTTCGGATTGACCTGTCAAGGCCCCTCACTGGCTGCTGTCCACCCATGCATATATTCCTGTCGTACCAGCGCTTCCCTGGTCGACGACCGCTGTCCACGCAAATCAGAGCAGAGAGGTACCCTTGCCAGGGACCTTCCCGTTATTTTATGCACTTCGCCTTCGCGATCTTACTTCCGCTGCTTTCTCCGTTTTTCCCGACGATCCTCCCTCTCTGCCATTGACCCAGCAAGGCTTGTGCTGATCTGCTCCTCAGCTCTTCGTAGCTCCCGCTGCAGACTGCTGCTTGCTTGCTTGCTCGGCTGATTTCTCCCTGCAACAAAAATAGGAGAAACCCTCCGTAAAACAACCATTCGAAAGCGCTGTATCATATTGCCCGTGCCCGTTTCTCCCTTTCCCTCCCTCTCTATCTGCCTGTTTTATTCTCCGAATCCCGCCGTGCTGGCAAATTTGGTTTGCCCGTCCTTATAACCTGCGTTTTCCCCCTCCTCCACGCGAGAGACGTGCGAACACACCATCCTCGCTTCCCACCCTTGCTCTGCTTGATTGCTTTACTATTGCTTTATGCCTGCTTTGGTCGAGCTGCTCGCGAATTTGTGTCTGGTTTACGCAAGAAATAAATAAAAATTTAAAAAACGTTAGTCTTCACCTTCTAATTTTTCCCCTTCATCCCTGCGCTGTCCCTGCAATCAAGTGGAGGAACAAGAGAAATGGCAGCAAAAACCGATACTTTATATGAATTCTGCCTGTGCGCGACTTGAATGACAATGCTATTTTCCTTGGGATTCTATCCTTTCTCTTGTCATCTCTCCTTCAGTCGGTTTGCGACCCCGTATGGACCCGTTTTGACCTCTGGCCTCCGTGGGCCCTCCTATTGCAAGGCCTCTCATGGTAATGACGGAACATTTATAGGCTGAAATCCACAAATCCAACTCTTGTCAGAAGCTCAATTCGCGAGGCAGGTCCGATGTCTCATCAATACCACAGCGACGAGGGCCAGCAATACGGGTACAGCAGAAGCGGTCAATATGGCCTCTCGCAGCAATCCTTCCAGTCGTACACACATCATCTTCTCCCGCCTTACAATCATCATTCCGCTGATCCTTCGTCGCTAAATTCCTCGTACAACTCGTCTCAGTCTGTGTACCCGCAGTCGCCTCCAAGCTCTCTCTCTTCTCCCGCATATCAGTATCCCCAGCAGTACGTGGCTCGGTCGGGATGCCCCCCTTCAAACCGATTTTATTTCCACGATTCTCTTCGAGAGGTGGAGATTGAGAGCCAAGAGTCATTCAATGAGCACACCATGCAATCAGAGCCTGTTTTGCCGCCTCTTGAAGGGTTTCCGGACGTTAGGGAGTTTGATCAATTGATGAAAAGGTAATCCTTTTCTTTCCTCTCAGAATCTAAACGTTTTGAAATCGGAACCCCATGGGCTGATGAGAATGGCACAGTTATGTGGACGATCTATCCGTGAAAAAGCAGGACAAGGCCTTGATTCACTCGAGAAGGGCGCGAAATATTAGAACTGTGCTATTAGATCCCAAAGACACTGCCGTCGAATCGGCACAATTTAGGTATGTGTTCGTCTGCATGGCAAGTTGGAGCCAGGGTCTACCCGATTTTCTAGAGAATCCCCGGGCTCTCCGTGCATAGAATGCTGTGCTAATATTATCATCTTTCTTTTTAAAAGATTCTGGGTGAAGAAGATGTTTAAACTCGAGCCCAACGATGCCCGAACACCTGAGGTAGCGCCTTCTTTTCTTCCACTCCTTTAGGGCTTTGTCTGATTCAATCCACATTTCAGTTAAGGCGAATGATCTGTCATGAAGGGAAACCAGTTGCCATTCGGGAGAAGCTGTTCAAAATTTTGACACGAGCACACCAGCAATGTCAACATGGTGGCCGAGACAAGACATCAGCGCAGGTCCGGAGGATATACTCCTGGTAAGAGAGAATAGCGTAGCTGGCTCAAGGCTATATCATTTTTGGCGACCCGGTACACTGAAACTAACTCGGCGAGTAAACAGGGTTCCCAAGGAGCTAATATCTCGATTCGTTAAAATATGCCCGACGTGTCAAGTTCGCAGAGGAGGATCACGTCTAACGCCTCCCAATTCCTGCCGAAGCTCCCCAAAACTCGACGTTGTGCCCCCACCACCCATTCTCTCACCTCCAGATTCTCGACGAGAGTCGATAATAAGCCGCTCCAGTGCACCGTACTCACGAGCTGAACTCCCCCAGCCTACCACCGGATTAAACTGGCCCAGCTCCCATCATAACAACGCGCATGGCGGCCAGTACCACGGACATTACCCCGTGGCATCTGCTCCGACTTGGGCTACACTTCCCAGATCGTTGTCCACGACTATGCATAACGGTACTGGGATACCTGGGTCAATGAGCATGGGTTCAAACCACATGGAATACGACTCGACGTACGACGAGTCGCACAGTCTACAAGGGCCACATTACTAAACTGGCATTGTGCATCAGTGAGTCGCGGCCATCTTCTCCCCCCATGCATCTCTTCATTACAGGCAGGCAGACAGACGGGTTGTTGCTAATTGCAAGAAAAGCCCCAGACAGTGCAAAATAGTGTCTCGAATAATAACAAGAACGTGTTCTGATCGTGGAAGTTTGGAAAAGCAAAGTCAGCGGGATTTTTTTTTTAATGGAGCTGGGGCTAGTGGGTATATCGTTACGGATTCATGGAAATAATGGGCGTTTCCAATTTTCTTCGTTTCTCATATTTCTTTTCTCTTTCTCCTTTAATCAACACTCAAGGGTCGGGTTTATATTTCTTTCTTTTCCTGTTTTCGTCTCTTCTTCTTCCTCTTTTTTTAATTTTTTAAAATGGCAGCGAACATGGCTCTCTTTTCTGGACAGATCTTTGCTATGTGAGCATGGGAACTCCTTTTATCGCCTGCGGATATGGGTTTCTTGTGTTAATTGGGATCGGGAATTTGTCCAAAAAAACCTTGCCGCGAACAGGCGGCTCTCGAGGGGTTGAAGGAAAAAAGGGGAAAAAAAAAAAAAAAAAAAAATTTTAAAGAGAAAATTTACATGCCGATAACTTTTCCTTTTTTTTTTAATTTTCCTTGGATATATTACGAAATATGCGGATTAACCTCATACTAGACATATATACGGCTGGAAGTTACGGGTGACGAATAAAAAATAACAAATAGATTTCTTTTTATCCCCTTCATCCCCTCTCTGTTTGAGTACTACTACAATGCGCTCCCTGGCTGGCCCGGGGTGGACGGACAGGATGGTATGTCCTTACGCCTCCTTGAGCATCCACTCTGGCCTATTTTCCCGCGGATTTCCAGACCGGTCTGGATTCGTCGTTTATGCCTGACAAGTAATAGGTCTTCCTGCACTCCCGGCTTGGGTTCTTCGATATTCGAAACGAGACCGATCACCCGCACACAATCCTTACTCCTGGAAGGATAGCCGCTGCTCGAACCAAGGTTTCCGATATGGTCAGGGTTCCCTCAAACCGTCATTGCAGGCTCAGTTCCTTGCACTCCGGAAGGCAAGGGACGGGGGCCGCAGGAATCCATGTTCAAGTCTTCCCGATCTTGCAGAAACCAAGACATCGAGTTTCATCTTGGAAATCCGAATCTCGTACGTAAACGCCTAGGGATGCGAAAACGAATCTCCGAAGATCGAAGCGGATTGTGCAGCGTTCATTTCTAAAAGCAACATCAAAAGTGAAAAGCAAAAACATTATGGAGAAATGACACCAAAAACAAGGTGGTGATTGTTTACACTGTGAATTAAAAAGATAATAGCCGACCATCCGTACAAATCTATACCTTCGTCAAGCGATAAAGCGAACAGAGCTTTGCATCACAAGGTAAGTTCATTTCCCGTAGTCGTTTTGAACGCCCCATATAAAACCATTGCTCGACCGCCGTTCCGCATGTTTGACCTGAGCCCAGTTCCGGCCTTTATTCGATTTATACGGGCAACGAGAACTTCTTTCCTTTAAGGACCCTGTGTTTTCAACCAAGTCAGAAAGCCTTGCATGTCTTGCATTTAAGGATTAGGGAAAACTGACTTGCTATAGTAAATCCAGAAGAAATCGGAGTAGAGGATTGTTTGAAGGATCCCTGCAATGACGGCAATTGGGTCCGTGCGCCCTTCCATGAAATACCGGTAAATCCAGTTGGGGATATACAGCGCGCGGTACATGCCTAGAGCGAAGAGGTAATGAGTCGTGATGGTCTCGGCTTCACCAGTTCGTTGAAGCATGAACAGCTGGGGTAAGATGGCGACGGATTCAAGCCAGATAGAGAACGCCCATAAGATCTAAACAATACGTATGAGTTTGGATAGCATCCAAATGGCGGGTGTAGAGGGGGGCTGGAAATGGCATACCTCGGAAGGTGTATAAGAATATGGAAAAAGGATGCCCAGAACAGCGCTGGCACCTAGAAGATATTGGACTTTGAAAGTATCGAGATTGGGGTCTTGAGTTGGTTTGTAGTCATTAATCATGAGATAAATCGTATACGCTGAGGAAGCAATAAAAAGGATTTTGAAAATAGTATTGTAAGCTGAAAGAGTGAAAGTCCAAAAAATATCTAATAGTTTCAAAGGTGTAATCTGTTAGCTATTGAGTTCGAGAAAGGATATCAGGAGCTGTGGATATCCGTACCAAGATATCGTGTAATATAAACAAGGAGGTATAATGCTTGGGACTTGAACGACAGGCCTGAACAACTCTATGGGCCGCAAAGAGACCGTTAGTTCGATAATCTAGCGCAGCAACCCGGGATTGAGAGAATCCATACGCTCGAAGATTTCATCTTATGCAATAAGATGAAAATCGAGATCAGATGGGATAAATCGGCTGCGGGCAATCAAAAGACGACCTATTAGCCTTGAGCTTTCAAAGGGGCTTTGAGCGATAGTCCGGCCACACCTAATACCCGGAAAATATTCATCTTGCCGGTGATATGTCGAAAGCAGCTCTAGAATGGATCGGCAATGTTTACTATCTGGAGCTGCAGAGCTGGGACGTAGACAGACGGGAGAAATATTGGCGGTTCGCGATACTCAGGAGCAGGCAATTGGAATCGGCGCAAAATCCGCCATGGAACGGAACTATAGCTCAGATACAGGCTGCTCTTCGCGCAATTGGGCTTTGCAGGCGGGGATATTGCTTGCTCATGCGGGTTGAAGCTGGCGATGTTGACACGAAGCCTCAAAAAAGCTGGTTTGCACTGGAGTTTGCGCAAATCCTAATCGATAACGATGATGCATTATGTAAGATGCTGTGGCGCCACCACACTCACTAGCCACACTTTGACCCCCTGAATTCAGCCTCCGCCGATCACGATCACAGCCAACATGTCAACACATCAACGATAAGGATACATTCACTCCTGGATCCGCTTCACGTTGAGGAGATGTGCTGGTTTAGCTCCAGCATTGTACCTGCCTAAGTCCTTCACCACAGACAATGACCTCTATGTGCTGTGTTTGCCGCTGGACCGCTGGTTAAAGAAACCGGTTTCTGTTCTTTCACTATGTGTTCCTTGTCATATGAAGGAGCAGAAAATTTGTCCTTGAGATAATGAAGAATGAATTGATACCCATAGCCATGCCTACAACTCTATTCTGTGATATTCACATAGCTACATAGGCTGGAGTGACTCTGTGAGAATTCATACGCACACACTCAACCAGGTTCAAAACAATGCTGCGCCAACGTTCTTAGTTGTGACAATATTATGTAGAAAGGGAGAAAACCCATCGTCCTTTTTAGCGCTTGATTCTTACCACTCCTGCTAAACAAGGAATTGAGTCAAGGCCAGGTTTCAGTCAATATAGCAGAACTCTTGGATTTGCCATCAAACCAATCCTAATCGGGTACGAGTGATATCTGACAAGCAGCTATCAACGCTCCCTTATCCATTTTTGCACCTAGGTACGACGCCCTCCACACCCGCAAGTTCTACACCACACGCCATCAACAAAACGTCAGCGTCCATCTCCATCCGTTTGGGCAACATCCAGCACACCTTCCTCCACTTCCAACTTCCCAGAGTTATGATCCTGAGTACGCCAAATCCACAATCGCCCTCTGGTAATCCCAACAGGACCAGCACTACGATTTTCCTTATTCTACCCGCCGTCATCGGGCTGGCTTTACTCTGCGCTGCGTATATGCTCTGCCATCGGAATGCGCGACGACGGCAGAAGCTCGCAAGGGAGCCACTAAAACTGGGACAAGGGATCAAGAGGATATCATGGTTCCGATATGAGAGATGAATTTGACTCTTTGTCCCGGACAGACGCAATCAAATATGTTCGGCCTAGTATTCTGTTATTGGAGGATTTACGATGCCTGCCTGTGTAAAGATTATACACCCATATATTATCAGCGAATCATTGCATTTCATCATCTCCTCAAAGGCCCCGATTTCTCATATTGAATCAGAATATCCCCATCATCGGTATCATACATTTGATTGCTGGCATTAAAAGAAATATTGCGAGAAAACAGAAAACCCAGAACGCTCACGTAAATGTGAGAGACCCATACAAGAACCCATGACAATTTCACATTAGACGCTATAAATTCGATCGAACCATACTCCTTTGTAGTTTGAACCACATATAGGACCCCGAGATGAAAAATTACTTAGAATGCTGCGCCGCCACCAATATCATCGCCCTCTGCCATCCGTTGCAGATGACCCTCTGCGAGTTCGCTTCTCAATGCTCCTGTAGCACTTTCGCGACTCAACTTATCCCACTCTCTCAAAGACGTACGTTTGGATTTTTGTTTTTCTGCAATTTGTTCTAAAAGTCGCTCCTTGTCCGCCTCGAGTTGTGCAATGCGCTTCTCATACGCCGGATCGAGACCAGAAGGAACGAGCTTCCCACCTGGAATGACACTGGGCAGCCCTGAAAGGTGATTTGTGAAGCGTTGCGTTCGAGGATACGTTGTAGATGTGCTGTTGCCATGCCGGAATGGCGGTCGATGTGAGTCATAACCTACAGAACTTGGAGAGCGAGCCCCGCGACTTCCTGGAGGTGGTCCGTGATATGGAGGACCGTGGTTTGGACGACGAAGGCTTCCTCCTCGCGGTGAATCGCGCGGAACGGGTTCCCGGCTATAATGTGGACCTGCAGCGCCTTTCGGGCGAGTTGGAGCCGAGAGTAGGGCTGCATGACCACCACGAACGGACATTTCAGCACCCTTTGGGCCAGAAGGCCCAGGAGGAGGGGAAATAGCTTGCGCGCTATTGCTGCTTGGAGCTCGAGGAGGGATTGTCTTGGCCATCTGATTATCGTTTATGGGTATCTGAGAGGACGGTTCGCGCGACGCAGGCCTAGGGGTCCAACCAAAGTCCCTTTCACGTTCTACGCTAGCGCCTGGGGAGGGCTCCAAGGCTCGACTGTTAGAGGGTGTATTAGATAAACCGCTTCTCGGTCCCCTGGGCGGTGAATGGGGTCGACTAGGCCTGGTCTCCACGGGACCGCCAGGGCGAGAAAGGGGCTTGCTAGAAAATGGTGGTGGTGGTGACCTAGGAGGCAAAGTGGAGGAAGGATGGGCTCTGCTGGAATATGCAGGGGCTTGTGATATGGAGCTGCCATATCCTCGACCTCTGTCAGTTCGGGGCGGCGGGGACGAGCGACGTGACGTAGAGGAGGAACCCGGCCCAGAATTTGGACCCGAACGAGCCAGGGGCGAGGGCGAACGGCGCCGCCAGCTTCTCCCACCATAGGATTCCCTCCAACCGTCTCGTCGATCGGGACTTCGTGGGCGCATGTGATCGTAGACTCTAGACTCCTCAGGCCGGATTGGTGGTGAACGCGGTCGGTCATACCGACTTCTAGGAGGGGAAGCGATGCGTTCTCTCTTTGGGGATCGAGGCGCATAACCTGTGGGTGACGCTTCGCGTGCACGTTTCTGACAACCAGGGCTACCACCGCGAGAGAAAGAGGACCTTCGGGAGGCGTAAGCAGGCGGAGACCGAGATCGTCTATACGATCTGGGCGGACTTCTACCATTCTCCCGTCGAGGAGAGAATCTTCTTGGCGGTGGTGGAGATCGCGGACGTCCGCCATAACCCGATGCTCTATCACCTCCTCTGTATGGAGGAGACCGGGAGCGGCGCCTGAAAGCACCAGGAGACCTGCTTCGCGGCCGTGCTCTATCGGAGGGAGCCCATGTGTCTGCAGTAGGTCTTATGGGGGGTGGCGACCGGTTTCGTACGGGAGAGCGGCCAAAGCGAATGTCAGGGCGTGGAGAACGTCGAGGTAGGCGGTCGGCAGGACGATAGCTTTCTCCTCCCCGTCGGCCCTCGTCATACCTACCACAAGGCAAGCAAGTTAGCGCCACGAAATCGCAACCATAAGGATCACAAGATGGATCTGACGCGACTTTACTGACCTTCTGTCATAGCGATCGCGATCCATATCGAGGATGTTCGCCGTCGTCGCGCTGTGTCAAAGGTGAGGGAGGGACCGTGGCAGGTAAGCAATCGCCCTTAGTTCAGGGAAGAAGAAAGCAGATTCCGGCTTTGCTGAACGTGAAAAAAAACAAAGAAACGGGCACAGGCCTGCAAATACGACAAAAGGACACTCGACTCAGCCAGCTAGCATCCTCTCCAGGCGCGGGGCAACGTGTCAAAACAATTTGCAGCGCTGTCGTAGCCGGGTTTCATTTGATGCTTGGACGCGGCGTTCTCAGGCGATTTTTGGTTTTCCGGAGCTGCAAGCCAAGGGGACCGCCGCGCTAGACCCAACCGGGAAACGCCTACGTCGAAAAACTCTTATGGTCACGTGTTGGGCGTCGAGGATCGCAACCTCAGACGGCTGAAGAAAGCAGAGGAAGAGGACTGCAAGGGGCCGCTGCGAGGGCCAGTATCGCATATGTAGGGAGGCTGGCTGGATGGCCGGTGGAGGCTGATGATGGTCTTTTTCATTCTTACAGGCTCGCGCTACTAATAGAAATCGAACGCCGCCTCTTTTCCCAGAAACGCAAAAATGTCCTCCTTGACTCCAGTAAAAGTACACACTAGCACCGCTCTTGTATTTGCCCCTTCTACCGCCTAGAACGTCTTTCTTCATCTTTCTTTAATCTCTTGCGGCTCTCACTGGCTATCATATCGCTTAGATCCTCCTGGAATGACCAGTTGGGATTATTCTCCTGCTGCCTTTGGGACTCGTAGAGGCTCTTCAAATTATCCTTGCTGATGCCATCATGTGTCTGCAAAGCGTCTGGGTCCAGAGACACGTCCACGTCGCCTGGTTTCTTTCGCTTCCGGTTCTGCTCTTCGGCACCAAGTAGGGGAATGTTGGACTCCGCCGCCTTAAGGTCGTAAACTCGATCACCACCGAAGAAGCCCTGGACCTGAGCTTGTCTTTCAGGGATAACTTGATAAGCCGACCTCGGGTGGGTTGTCTCTTCCGTCTCCGTTCCGCGATGATGCTTTCGAACATCGAACTCTCCAGCAATGCTTTCAGCAGTACCAAATTCAGACGGTACAGCCGATACCATGCCGCTGGGCGTTTCCAATCCGCTTGGAGTCTGCAAGCTTGCACCAACTTCTTCCTCTTCTTCCTCTTCTTCCTCCTCCTCCTCTTCTTCCTCTTCCGACTCTTCTTCTGGGGCTTGCAACTCACCCCATAAGTCTTTCTCAACTGGCTCTCCTTGCTGCACATTCTGCTGGGTCTGCAAAACGCCAAAAATATCACCGCCATACAATGGACGGTTATGTTCATCGACGGGGGGTTTTCCATAACCGCCTGGATGATATCCCCACATTGCACCCGGTGGAGGTGGAGCGTTAAGTCCGGGAATCTTAAGAGCAGGGTATGAAGGAGGAGGACCATAACGCTGTTGATTTATGAGCCATGGTGGGGGTGCACCAGGAGGAATATTTAGAGCTTCTTTCAGTTCATCACTGAGCTCACCTGGTCGTAGATGCCGCAGATTAGTTTCATACTCCTTTCCCTCGTAGTAAACCTCTCCGTATCGAGTCAACTCCGGCTTCGTCTGGAATCTGAAGAATGCTTCGTATAACTTCTGGTAGTCAATATCAAGCTTTCCCATTTTAGGTTGCACACGTTCGCGCTGTTTCTGTTTGAGAGTCTGTTGATCCTGCTTCTCCAAAACTGCATCGCGCATTTCCGCAATACCGGTTTCCTGAATGAACTTGGGAAGTTGGAAAGGTGGTTTCTCTATACCTCTTTTCGACGACAGGTACTCCCGCTTCAAGGACCAATGACTTGGAACAGGAACCACATTTCGATATTCCTTGATATGAACGAGGAGTCTTGGATCTGTAGCCGAAGCATCTGTCCACTCAACAGTCTCCGGTCTCTGAACCAGTGCCTTTAACTCCGCTACCGACAACTTATTGAGCTCCTTTCGTTTCTTCTTCGAGATCTTCGGTGTCGAGTTTTCTTCATCTTCATCAGGAATGTCATCGTCTTCAAAGTATACTTCCGGCTTGTCTAGCTGCTTCGATGAAGCTTCTTCGACTTCATCCTGATTGAACCTTCCCATCACATCTTTATACATCTCAAATAACGGATCCTCCTGGTCGAGTTGGGGTGCAAATTCCGTCGAGGAATAGTCTACATCTCCATCGGCATCCGCTCGTTTCTCGGGTTGGGGTACATTCTGTTTGGTGTCTGGTTCTGCACCCGTCTTTTTGGTTTCGGACTCTGTTACCTCCTGTTCTGACGGAGTGACAGTAGCTGAGACATCCCCATTGGTTTGTGATTGGGCCTGACCCATCACAGCTTCATTAGCTTGGATCGCCTTGAAATGCAAAAGGAGCGCGCATACCTCAGCCTTCTTAGCCTTCTTTCTGGCCCGCCTCAGCTGATTCTTGGTAGGTTTTGCAGCAGCAGCCGCCATACTGGTATCAACCTCTAGATCCTCGCAGCACGTAACCACAAAAGATACTCTAATCAATCTGCAGTTCGGAAAATCACAAAAATTTAAGCTATGAAACGCCGTATATATCGCGGTGTGAGATGAGGGATATGGATATCCTCCCGTGGATGGCGAGGCCGAGTAGCTGTGGCGCGAATCTCTGGGAGTTCAACGAACAATTTTGTCACGTGATCAACGTACCTGGCGGTCGGCCCTCAGGGATGAACGAAAGCAACAGAAAGAGTCGAGATATGACCAAAAGGATATCATTGATAACTTGAGTTCGTTTGCTTGTATGTATTTTACAATCGCATAAATAGTGGTAATACAATTCCGTTCCCCAAAGCAGCCAGCCAAATGAGATAAATCTATATGCAAGAAGCACTCCACCATCGCCCTGATCCCGCAAATTTTGACATCTATATAAGGAAAGAGATGTGCGACAACGTTTACTTCTTCTTCTTCTTCGCGGTCCTGGATTCTGAGTACGAAGAAAAATTGAAGGTCAGCAAGGCAGAAAAGGCCAAACTGAACCAAGAGTATCTCACCTTCAGCAGAACGCTTCTTCTTCGGAGCTCCCTTTCCACGCATCTTTGTACTGTACTCCACAATCAGCAAAATATATCCTCTCTCGGTAGCTCTCACAGGCAAATCATGCAGCACATACATCTGAATAGCCTCTTCCCGATCCTCCTGGTAGTCGTCCCAAGTCTCCAAGTCTAATGAACGGAACGCATCCTGTAGGTCTCGGATCGAGGCTGTCTTTCGGGGATAATATGCTGCCAGAGCCGGCCCCCGTAGTCGTTGCCGCAGGATTTTGTTCCCAAGCCGGGCGCCTTCGGGGTTATAGTTGAGGTCGAAGATGCGACATTGAGCCTCGGAGATCAGTCAGTTCGGACGACTTTGAAAACCGAACATTGAAACTAACCTTTGCTAAGGATAAAATCCGCGATCGAGCGACGGATGCCATATCTGCGAGCTGGTCTTTGCGGTCATCAACCCATCGCAACGGCGCTGCAACTCAGACTCTCAAACTGACTGGAAGGCCAAGATCTGAAGTCACGTGAGTCTGCTGCAATCTAAACCTTAAATCTACTGCGTCGAGCGACTATCGAGATCGAGCTCCGGTTCCGGACCCGCCAAACGGACATAAAACCCCTTTTCAGAATTAATATTAAGATGAAGCGAAAGTCTGAGGATGTAGAAGGGAAGGACGCAGTGAAGCCAACGAAAGAGAAGAAAAGGAAGGTATGTGATAAACGCACTTCTAGTGGTATCTAGGCTAAGTAAAACCGTCCTCTCGCTCTAGAAGCACCGACATCGTTCTCATGGGTCTGAAAGTGAAAATTCGGCGCCGCGCATAGCGTCTACGGACGTGGAAAGCACACTTAGCAAAGGGAAGTCAATATCGAAATCGGATGGTGAAAAATTGAAGAAAGAGACGATCAAATCTCACCTAGAGCAACTTGAACGAATCACGCACGACATTGCTTCGGACCCGGAATCTATCAGAAAGTACATCGGGAATGGCGCGAGCATAGAAATCATCAGCGCAGCAGCAGAGCTAGCGAGGGCCTTTGCCCGGTCGAAATTATCATCAGAGCAACCTTCCGAACCCAAAGAACCACCTAATGCTCCGTCTTCCTTCGAAGCGCCTCCGATCAAGGATAAGACACTCGAAACCGCTGTGTTCACGCACCAGGGTGAGGTCCATGCACAGGCGCCATCCGCAGTTCACTCTAGTTATGACCGACTTGAAATCCTTGGAGACGCATACCTCGAAGTCATCGCCACAAGGCTGATTTGGGATCGCTTCCAAACCCTACCAGCAGGTCGCATGTCCCAAATCCGCGAACTCCTCGTCAAAAATGAAACGCTCGCCCAGTTTTCTGAACGATATGGCTTTGATAGACGCGTAAAAATCGCCACTGATATCCGCAGCCAAGCAAAGCGCTGGATGAAAGTTAAGGGGGATATCTTTGAAGCGTATGTCGCAGCCGTGATTCTGTCCGATCCAGTCAATGGGTTCAATTTGGTTGAAGAGTGGCTGGCGCATCTTTGGATTCCAACACTCAATCATGTTCAGCCGGAAAACCAAGCTGCACATTACAAGGAGACCTTAGCCAAAAAGGTAATGGGGAAGGGTATCAAATTGCGATACATCAATGAGAGTCCTCCTGTTAACCGAAAAGGTGGGATGCAAACCTTTTTCATAGGCGTGTATCTTACAGGATGGGGATGGCAAGATCAACACCTAGGCTCCGGGAGTGGACTTAATAAAGCCGCTGCAGGCAATGCGGCAGCAAAACAGGCAGTCGAGAACCACCCACTTATCGATGAAATCCATGCCGTTAAAAAGTCCTTCGATGAGAAGGTTAAAGCAGAAAGGGAGAAGGCCGTTTCTGCGGATTGAACTATCCATCTTCAAGGCAGAAAGAGAAAAACGGTATTTCGATGCCTCGGTTGCATTAAATGCTTATAGACAATTTTAAACATGGAAACCACGACAGCCTTGCATGTCGGTCCTTCACTGTAAGTTCATGACAATGGTACGCCTTGTATGTATGTACTATACATACATCATGATCTTCTGATGTTTCGTTTTTACCGGAATCTACACACCACATCATACCAAGCAAGATGGAATGGCAATTGTAATTTAGAATAACCACTGTGCCGTGTAATAATAACTACCTCCATTGTAGATGCTTCAGAGCCTTAATTTGTTGCATCCTGGATACAATACTGCGTCGATAAAACCCAGTAGGCCGACCGCATATGCCGTCTTCTGTCGCTAAACCACCGCAAGGGGAACAACAATGGAATGCTTAAATCAGTGAATCTAGCCTCGACTCCCTGTAGCGGGAGTATCCTCGATGCCAGTTAGCTGTCTCAACTCCTGAGGCCAACCCCTATGATAAGGGATGCATTGCACGAAGGCGAAAAGACAAGACAGATGGAACAGATAAAAATGGAACGACTTTGGAACGAAGGCGTAGAGAACCTACTGTCACATAAACCATGCTGGTTAGAGGCGTCGCCTAAATCCAGCTCGTCCACCATCGCCTTGTCGGTCGTCGCTTCGTTTACCATCATCTTTTCTGCCGCCGCCTCGATTCTCATCATCCTGTTTATCATCATGTTGCCTGCCATCTGGCTTTTCATGGCCTTGTTTTCCGTCATTTCGTTTATCATCATCTTTTCTGCCATCTGGGTTTCCATCACCATGTTTATCACCATCGCGTTTATCATCATCTGGTTTACCATCCTCTCGTTTATCGTCGTCTTGTCGGTCATCGTGGCCGCAGTCGCCCTTTCCACGGTGCTCGGAAACCTTGAAGTGTTCACTTTGGGCGTAAATCACATAAACGTTCGTTCCGTTGATGGCATTAATTTGGTATCCGTGGGCAGGCATGGTGTCGCAGGGGACATGAACTTCGTGGTGGGCCTTGTGTGTTTTAACATCGATTGCAAGTGGAACATAGGTTGGTGGATACTCGACAAAGTTGACGAGATATAAGCTCAAGGTATGCGGATCCGTATCGACGAAGGTCCATGTCACTTTCACGTCTTGACCGGCCGCAACAGGGGTGTTTGACTCAGGGTTAGTAATTTCAATGGCCGCAGCCAGCGGAGCAAGAACAGAGAAAATAATTGGGAGGAACCGCATATTGAAGGACTTGAATTTAAAGACCCGGATCACCCTATAACGCCAGAAGTATACACAATCAATGATGTTGAAGTAAAAAGATGATTGCGAACTTTGTCAAGTAAGAGTTGATGAAGAGAGGAAGATAAAGGGAGGATTGGGGGCGGGGATTCCCTACTTATGGACGGCGACAAGAGACTCAGGAAGCTCGAATAAAGCGAGTAACCTGGCAGGTGCAGGGCAATCCCGAGAAGGGGCATTGAACAGTATCAGCAGGAACGGACACCGGAAGGAACAAACTCTCTCGGCGTGAGGAGCTTCTGCCATCGGCATCTGCTTCGGCAGCCGGAGCTCGGGTAGGAGCAAATAATTCTTTGAAAAGCGTTTTATATGAAGAACCCGCGCGCAAAGAGGTCCGCCGTTTCCGCATCGGAAAGCAAATCAACTTGAAAACGGTCTTCCCGTCCTCTGGAATCCGGTGGTGGATATAGCGCGCGTAGTGAATTCTCAACGGAACGGTTTCGCTCAAAGAAAGGCACCGTCTGTGTCCCAGCGGTTAAAGAGTAGAGAGAGAGAGATACGAAGTGTTCAGGGACATCAAAGGGTAAGAGCTCCATAGTCATAGCTATGCAGAGATTGAGGCGGCGCCTACACCTAGATCCAGCGCCGATTCGGGGGGCAGAACCATTTCGGTCCCGTAAGGTTCCTCTATTAGAGGCTCAAGGCAGAGGCAGCCGATCGAGTCTATATTTGGGGAATTTGTCAGCCCGCCGACATCGATTCCCCGTAGAATTTTTTGGGTATAAGTCATCCCTATCTAGCTTTCTAGTTAGCTGCCGAAGATTGAGAATGTCTAGCAGGGCGCCATATTATCTTTGGAGATAATTCCTGGCAAAAGGTTGCTGTAACTACAGCTCATATCCACGAAGCTCGGCGCAGGAGCGTTCGGATGGACGTCGGACGCAAGATTCAGCGACTTCACGATACATTCTGTTTGCTGCGTAACCAAGCCTCCTTGTACAGCAACGATTGAACGAAGAGTCCATATAACTGGACTTGAAGTTGGGGCTGAAGAGCTTGGTCACTACTCCATAGCTTGGCCCCTCGATCATCTTGGCAAGCAACCTGGATTATGCGCTGCGGGCCGCGCTATTAGTGGACTTCGGCAATCGGCAATAGCGAAGAGTGAATGATCGAGAAAACATCATCGAGTTCGATCAACGGCTGCTTTCAATCCTGCTGCTTGTGAGAACTGTCTATTCAACTTGGCTTTTTCTCATAGCCAGCTGTGCCAGTGGTGGATTATCCGGAGTAAAGCTTTTGGCTCCCGCCTTTTAGCCTTGTAGATAGGCCGGCTCTTGCCCCTTGGCCATGCGAACTTTCATACCCATATTCCGAAGGTATGTTGAATATTTGCCGGGTCGTTTTCCTACCCAGGCTATTGTTCTTGTTATCTTAATGCAACTATGATCGAGCTGACATTTCAATCCAGCTGCACCTCCAGACACCAAACTAGAGCCTCCTATAACCGAAGTATCACCCAGTACTTTATCTGCCCACAGAGCCGACATTTTGTGCACACGGCAGCGCGGTAAGTAAGGTTGCGGCTACCCTTCCCTTTTTCTTTTTTTTCCTTTTTTTTTTTGGGGGGGGGTGTTCACCAGAGTCTCTGGTACATTCAGTATGGAAACTGTCATCAATTAAATTAAGTTAATCATGTAGGCTATCGTTGACGACCCCAAGACAATACTTCGTGAATAAGAAATGTCCATTGCACAAAATGACTGGCAACAAGCTCAGCGAAGGAGCCAAAGGCACCATCAAGACACATATCACTCACCTGCCTTCATTTGGCACTGTTGCAACAGTTACAATTTCACGGCCAGATAAACTCAATGCCCTCAACAGTCACCTCCTTGTGGCCCTTCCGACCACACTCCTGCACATAACAGACACAAACGCCAATCTCCTCGCTATTGTTCTCACAGGAGAAGGTTCCAAAGCTTTCGTTGGCGGTGCCGATATCGCGGAAATGTCAGCGCTTTCCAGCCCCGCTGAAGCACGCGCTTTCATCACGCGAGTCCATGAAGCTTGTCAAAGCATCCGCGACTGTCCCGTACCAGTGATCGCGCGCGTCAACGGAATAGCCCTAGGGGCAGGGTTAGAAATCGTTGCATCTTGTGATATTCGAATCGCCAGTTCGACAGCGGTGTTGGGAATGCCTGAGGTGCGAATGGGGGTCCCGAGCGTCGTAGAGGCTGCATTGCTTCCTGGTCTGATTGGATGGGGCCGAACACGACAACTTCTACTCCTTGGGGACACGATCAGTGCCAACGAGGCACTGCAATGGGGCCTTGTCGAGAAGGTTGTGGAGCCCGACACGATAGATCAGGCTATAACGAAATGGGTGGGGAGTCTCGAGCACAATGGCCCTGAGTCTGTGAAGAACCAGAAGTTGTTAATGAGAAAATGGGAGCAACTGGGCATTGATGCAGCAATCGAGGCTGGCATTGACCACTTTGGAAGGGCGTTTGAATCGCCTTTTAGGGCTGAGGCTGGAGCAACGACTCCTGAGCCCGAGCCAGTCCGAATGATGGGAGATTTTCTAAGAAGACAGGCTGAGAAACGGATTAATAAGCTGTAAAATTGTCACCACAGCCCCAAAAGGAGCATAATTGAACATGGACTTGCTAAGGCTAAATCCACACGCTGGTATACGGAGTTGTTTGTATGCTAGATGGCAACCCTCATCGATAAATCAAATGCTTGCAGTCAAGATGCCCCAAAGCGGTAACTTTTCGTGCTGTGGTGGATGGGGATTACAGAGTTAACTGGTCAGCCAGCTCGAATTCCGCACCAATCACGTAAAAACGGCGCTTCGCTCCCGCATCTTGGCGCGACAGCCACGCTGCGTCACTGGCTAGGGGAGGGCCTCTCGTATTACAATTCGTCGTGCCCACTCAGAGACGACGGCTGTGGTTGAAACAAAGGGACCATGCCCGTGAAGAAAATCGGCACAGCATGCAGGCAGGCTACGTCAATTATGTATACGAGAAACCCATGCCTGGAACGCGCTAGGTGTCCCTTTTTGATTCTTCCATTAGCGCTTTCGTAGCGCCTGTTCGACAGCCGCGATATTATCAGCCACTTTGAATCTGGATCACACTTGTCATGGTTTGGATATTTGCTTGAATGGCGGAGGTCCACGGGACCTAACATGAAGTTCAAGTCTTGTATCCCGTTGCCTGCCGCAAGGGGCGCGCTGACGTATTCCATGCGAGCGGTGGTGACAAAGAATGGTATCAGGCCATGCCTGTTGTCTATATCCAATTCTATGGCCTTATACCCCTAAAGATGAAGGTATATATGGAGTATATATACCCCTTCCTTGGGTCCCAGGTATCACAATCTGACCTTCAAGCGGAGCACCTTCTTAAGAGTTCTGTTGATATACCAAAATTGTCTTTGTCGAACTTGTATCATTCGTGGGCGCTGCATATCGGCTCATACAAGTGTGCAACGAGACGAAGCAGACCCAGGTATATATCCATACAATGGCCTCCTCGGGTAGCATCTACTTTTATGACCCCTCACTGCCGGCTTCGATCCTTTTCACGATCCTATATGCATTTCCGACTGCATTCCTGTTTTACACAACTATTATCGGCCCAAGAACCGGCAAATATGGACATGCTGGTTATTTCGTGCCACTCTGCATCGGCGCCGCGATGGAAGTAGCTGCATACGCCGACCGCTGCGCCAGCATTAAGCAACCTGGCAGCATTCCCCTTTATGCGGTATCGTCGTCACTCGTTGTGATTGCCCCCGTTTTCATCTGCGCCAGTTTGTACATGCTGATGGGACGTTTGATCCGTGCCGGTATTCCTGAAGCCAAAGGTCAACAGCAGGTTTTCGGTATCGCTCCACGCTGGTTGCCACGCATCTTCGTTGCATCGGACATCATCAGCTTCCTAACTCAGGCCCTTGGCAGTGCGATTGCAGCAGCCGGTGTTTGGGAAGGCTCGGAGAAGGGAGCCGGAACAAACGCCTTGATCGGTGGGCTGGCGCTGCAGTTGGCGACATTTTCCATGTTCTTCGCCATTGTGGTCCGATTCCATCGACGTGTCCATGCATTGCGTCATCAAGTGGATGATAACCTCAAAAAGGTCTTGCTCGGACTATATGTGGCCGGTTTTTTCATTTGGGTATGTGTAACAGCAAAGAAGGTCAATTCTTCGTCGCGAAGCACTGATGGCACATGTATATCTAGGTTCGTTGCGTTTACAGACTCATTGAGTTTGCCTTGGGCATCGACGGATACCCGTTCTGGCACGAGTGGTGCCTATATGTGCTCGAGGCCTGTCCGATGCTCTTCGCGCTCTGCACATTGGGGTATTATCATCCAGGGAAATGGCTTCCGAGATCAGAGCTGAGTTCCGCAATGCAGACTCAAGACAAGGAGGCCAACCGCACAATCCAACACCAACTAAGCTAAAAAGAAAGAAAGAAAGAAAGAAAGAAAGAAAGAAAGAAAGAAAGAAAGAAAGAAAACGAAGAACAAAGAAGTGCACATTGTGCTCCCGCTATTGTTTTGGGCTTTTCAGAAGTGTATGTAAAGGATTCGGTGGTGGAGACAATATTACATATACATAGAATTCGACAGTCGTTTCAAAGATGAGAGATCCTTTTGCCATCCACAGGGTTGGCTTGCCATGAGCGGCCCCAGGAGCTGCGGCTGAACCTGGACACAGCCGCTCGGGTGGAGCCACCAAAGAATCAAAGATCAGTCCGGTTTGTTGTGTTGTGGACGAAGGGCGGCGAAAACCCACAGGGAGCTGCGATTTCACTGGCGGCTGCACGTCGAATACGAGCACGGACGTCATGCCCGAACGTGAAACCGCTTGCTCGCCTTTTCAGTGTCCGCAGCCTCTCGAGTTATTATTATTTTTCTTTTTATCTTCTCCTTTTTTCTTTCATTCTTTCCTTCCCTTTTTCTTTTCTTTTCTTTTCTTTTCTTTTTTTTTTTAATTCTCCATCACCATTCATTCCTACCCCATCGCACCCCGGAATACCTCCGAATTTTCATTCGTTCGTTCTTGTTCCCGTCGATCTCTTGATATAATCTCCAGCACTCGGGCTTCCCACACTCCTCCATCATGGCCAGCATCCAGACCAGAACCGATGTTGCTCCGACCGGCACCTCAGCTGTCACTTCAGCAGTTCCCACAGCATGCGGTGCCACGACATACGACATTCCTACCAAGGACGCTGCTTGTGCCGTCCCCGGTACGGAACATAAAGACTCCATGGAGAAGTGCTGTGACGCTCCCGTTGTAACCTACAACGAGGGCTGTGGAATGTACTGCCTTGCTTCTGGCGGTACAGTCGGTGATTTGGTTAAATGCCTCATCGGCGATGGCATCGCGGATGGCAAAGTCTTTTGCAACAAAGAAATGAACGCTACTGCTACCACGACTCCCACTCCCACTGGCAGAGATGATGATGATGATGATGATGACGATGACGAGCCGACCAACACCGATGGCTCGCCTGCCTCTACGTCCAGTAGTGCTGCACTGGCCAACCTCCCCCCACAAACCCTTTCGAAGCCTGCAATCGGAGTGCTTTTCACGCTCTTTTTCTCCATGTTTGCTGGTGTCGTTTTTGCATAAGCGGACGGAGAGCTACACCAGTTTCTTCTTGATAATGCGGTAGTAATGGTCTCGTGGCCCGGCCTTTTTATATATTTAACTTCTGCGCATTTTGCCTATATCTTTTTGAGCATTTAATCTTAATACGTTTCTTCGTGTTTTCCTCCTTTCTGGAAAAACAGGACTCTTGTCGACCGTCTATTCATAATCAGCGGTTTTATATCTCTGCCTGTTAATATGTCTAAATTAATCGCGACGCTGTGGATATTAAGATTCTCCAATATGCCATATATCCGTAGCCCTACACAAGAAATAAAAGGCTTATAATAATACATCCTTTATTTATTTCAAGGCCCTACATATTCGTGCCATTCAAGACCCGTAAGTTAATGCTCCGTATGCTACAGGGAATCAACACCCGCTTCCGGAATGTGTTCCTGTCCCTGGCCGCAGAAAAGCTTAAGCGCAAAATCCTGGGCCCGAGAGGCGTCATTCCTTGTCGCGGCGTTTTAAGAAGCCACAAGAACCATTCCCGCCAAGATCCTCCAAAAGTCCGATGAATTCTGAACAACACTCATGCAATCTGCTTCATTCTTCATGATGAGGCCCTTAATCCTCAGGCCCTGTCGCTCGGTCTCTCTTCGGCTATGTCGTGCGTTTTCCTCGTCGCGAGGAAATTCTCAGCTCCAATTGGCGTATAACCTCCACCGTGCGCGAGATTCTCAGAATGCGACTTCGGCGCCCAAGAAAACCCCGATTGTTTTTATGCACGGCCTATTCGGCTCGAAGCAGAATAATCGGAGCGTGAGTAAGTAAGCAAGGACTGGAGTTATTCCTTCGTTTTCGCGTATCGGCGGCAATGGAGAATGAGCGCTGACTGCGGCACGATCTCTGTAGGGCACTTGCCGATAAGTTGAATACAGATATTTACGCAATTGTGAGACAAAAATCCGGGCCCCCGTAGATTGGATACTCTGTGCTGGATGTCCATATCCTCCTTTTTTTTGCTGGAAAATATATAACTTACGGCTGGTCTGCTAGGATCTCCGAAACCATGGCGATTCCCCCCATCACCCAGAGCATAACTACTCAGTTATGGCGAACGACGTCGAGGAGTTCATTCACGAAAATGACCTGGAAAAGCCAGTATTGATTGGACACTCAATGCAAGTGCTAGGCTTCCGACCCTAACGTACCATGATGTCAAACTCACTGCTAATACGGAGAAGGGGTGCAAAAACTGCCATGACAATCGCCTTGCGCCATCCAAACCTTGTTGGCGGAGTGATTTCCGTTGACAACGCGCCAGTGCGTGCGCCTTTGAGTAAAGATTTTGCCAAATATATCCGGGCAATGAAAGAGATCGAAGCTGCGAAGGTCACGAAGCAGAAGGACGCGGATGCTATTTTACAGCCTTACGAGGACGTATGCGCACCCCATGCCGTCAACCCGCCTATTTTTTTTTAATGCTTGCTGACAACTCCCGATCTACAGTCGATAGCAATTCGCAGTTTCCTCCTTACCAACCTCATCCGATGCAAGGAGACTAACACCCTCAAGTTCCGTATACCTATTCATATTCTAGGCGACAAGCTCGATAACATGGCGGATTTCCCATTCACTCCGGAGGAAAGTCCGGCTAAATTTGAAGGTCCGGCGCTTTTCATTCGAGGAACGAAGAGTCACTATGTCAAGGATTCATCACTGAGTGTGATCAAACTTTTATTCCCGGCATTCAGGCTTCAGGATATTGATGCTGGGCATTGGGTAATTTCCGAAAAACCTCATGAGTTTCAAGAATGTAATCGACCCCGTCCCGCTCGCTGAATGAGAAAGTAGCTAATAATGAGAAGCCGTTGTCGAATTCTTCCAAAGGTTACCCTGAGTTTCGATTCGAGCGCACGATTGATTATACCTCCTTCGTACTCCGCATAGAGCTAGAAGTGATAGATCCTTGGATTCATGATTTGGTACCCTTGTACTAATTATAGACTTATATAGAATATGCCTTAGCAGTTTTACATTTGAACGACAGTGGCTTTTCCAATAGATGTCAAGTTGAGAGCAATCTAAATTGTTGAAAAGCATCATGAATGATGACCATGCTCATAAGCGGAAACGAGCTGAAGGAAACAAAAAGGAATTCAGTTTTAAGTTGCGCATCATACGTATTCAAACAGAAATGAAATAATTTGATCGTCACGGAATTTATCATAACACTACCTGACTTTCGCAACTGGCCTATTTCCGTTGAGAAAAATACATGGTTCGTGCCGGTATTCTTTCTGAGAAAAGCGTGGAGGGATGCTTATGATAAGATAATCAAAGAGGACAACGACGCCTTTTCATTTCGAATATAATTCCGTAGTTAAAATCGAGGCCATCGAGAATACCCAGACCGTACAGAGGAAGACCTTATCTCATCAGACCCATCGTTAAAATTAGACGCTCTCCAGAACCTGCTCCGTGAACTCCCTCTCAACCTATATCGTAGTTAGCACTTATGACGCAATATTGCTTCCGGCAAAGGAATGCACGGGAAGGACGAACCTTCTGGCCCTTGTCATCGGTGCTGGCCTCACCGTGGAGAGCCAAAAGACCACCAAGATCGAACTTGGGTTGTTTCAACAACTTGACCTTGCGGATATGAACCTGAACGCGCAAAGATATCCTGGTCAGCTTATGTCCCAGAAGGCATGCTATCAACAATATGCTATTCTCAACTAACATTCTGAAGAGGGTAGATGCCACGGGTGGCCTTCTCGATTTCACGGCCAATAACTTCAGGGACGAGCTTCGTAAGCTGGGTGAGGGTGCGGCTAGAAGCCTCACGCTGGATGATCTCGACCATCTTCTTGCGGATGGCACGGATCTGGGAGGAGCGGGCATAGGTGGTCTTCTTGACCTGGAACGATCGTCTCTTGGTGAAGGCGATAGCGAAGAGGCGGACGAGGTAGTCATCGGTGGTCTTGACGGTGACGTTGGCCTCGATCAAGGACTGCCACTTGCGGACGAGAGATCGGAGCTTGTCTGATGTGAAGTCCATGCCGTGGAAGTTGGTCAAGCAGTTCTTTCCTTGAACTTCATCCACGCGTAGCTTGATCTTGCGGAATGAGTGGGCCTGGTCGTTCTGCAAATCAGCGAGGGAGACCTCGAAGATACGGCCCTTGAGGGAGTCGTTGGCGTTCTTGAGACCGGTGGTTCGGTTCACAATCGTCTTTCCAACACTGTGCACATTTTGTCAGTCGCTTTGATGAAGCCGGAATATCAAAAGGAGGTTCTGCCATACTCTCGGACCGCGAAGGTGGAGGGAGCCTATACAAGTCAGCAATTGTCCATGCTTCCACCAATATATTCGGAATTCAAATTTACCTTGACCAGGTATTCATCTTTTCTGGAGAAAGGGTCCTGGACTCTCTTCTTAAGACCCTTCTTGCCCTTCGACAGACGCTTGTTCCTATCAGAGGATCAGTATGTGATAATCCATGTGAGGTGGGACGATGGCGCGTAAAGGGGAGTCGAGATTGCGTACTTTCCAACAGCCATATTTGCGATCCAGGTCTATCTTACAGCTGGGAAAGACAGACAAATTATCGCATCCGTTTGGCGTAGATGGAGCAGTCGAGGTGTTGAATCGCAGTTTAGCGAGGGTTCGGTCTCAAAATCAAAATCCCACACAAATTTCCCGCTAAGCGAGTTGTGTGCCGCTAAAACCAACGCAGTCTAGTGTGGATTATGTAATCGGACGGCGAACCACGAAACGTTCTCTGGATTCCGGTGTCCACAAAAAAAGACAGACTGTATTTACATATTGAGAGCATGTATCCTGTGTCTGAGTTCTATCTAAGGAGTACAGAAGAACAATTTATCCGGTCTTTCACTTGGAGCTTTATCCAAAGCCATGTCAATTCGGACGGCCCCCCGCTCAACCATACCTCCGAAGCAGGTTACCCTCCCGAAGGACCTTGACGGGCTGTCAATTTATCGGGATATGTCCACTAAAAACGTATACTTATTATGTTGTCTCTACTCGGCGGATAAAGTGGGAATATGCATCCTCGGGTAATTTGTGTATAAATTGAATACCCGCCTCAGTGCTGGGAAAATGTTAGCGATGCATAACGATGAGAAAGAAGCACTTACATCAACATCGTCCCAAGCACGTCCTTGGACACTCGCAAGTTCATCCATGCTCATGACATGGCCAGTGGTGACTTGAACAAGTCAGTACTCTAAAACATATCTTCGAGGATATGGGAACACACGACATACAATAGCCAGAGTGGATCTTCGCATCGATTTCAACGCGACTGTCTTCCGGTATCAGCTCATCTGGAATTGGAACTCGCTCGTGGATCGGTATCCCTTGTTCGACAATAGCATCATGTTTCATGCTGGGATACCTGTCAGTGCGATGAAATCAATTTCTTTTGGAGAAACCCCTTACTTGGACATGCTAAGCATTCTGTCGATCTTGGTTATGCCGAGCCAGTGCAATACCTAATACTCCTCGTTAGATACTGATATTCCGCGAACAGAATGGTGGGAAATCCTTACGTCTGGCATGAGGGCTTGGAATCGCATATCCTTTGAGGCATAAGCAATTGGCCACTGAGTTATGGAATAGCCTCTAGACACCCTACCTTTACCCCAGCAATATTTTCTGTTCTTTTGAAATACTCGCTAGCAACTAACGCCAAAGTTAGAAAGTTCCATTAAGGCGAGTCAGGACTTCTTACGATCAGAACCACGTTTCCGCGCGTTGTATACGAGATACTTGGTTACTTCACCAAGTGCGCGGCCTTCTTTGCGGAAATAGATCACTACACCGCTCCCTCCATTTTGCGCTTCTTTGACTGCTTCCTCCACTCCGAAAATCAAGTAAGGACGGCATGTGCAAATATCTGAACCGAATACGTCACTCCCATTGCATTCATCATGAACACGTAATGCAAGGCGCACATTTGGGTCGGACATCTTAGCGGGATCGCCGAAACAGTATACAGTCAAACCGCCAATAGGTGGAAGGAAGAGTTTTATATCTCCTCTGGTGATAAGCTCTGGGTAGGATCCTCCGGTGACTTCAAAAAGGGCACGGCGAAGAGTTCCCTCGTCTATGCGTCCAACGTCAGTTCACAAACATTGGTCGTGGAATTGGCGACCTTGAAAGGAAGTTCAGTATAAAAGCAGGCTAACCTATCTCAAATCTTTCTGCAACGCCTGGTAAATACCAGACTGGCTCCACGGCAATCTTTGTGACGGCTAATTCTCCCATTTCGTTTAAGCAAATCTTTCCATCTGGCACCAGGCGCCCTGACCGCACGCTCTGTTCCAGCTCTGGTAGTTTCATATGTGCCTTTGTGATCGCGATCGTTGGACGAATGTCAATATTCTCATTTGTGATAAAATCTTTGAAAATCCAAGGTGCTAAATGGCCCAACGGATCCATAGATACAATCTTCTTTTTCTCGGCCCACTGCGGGTGCGGCCCAATGTTTGCGGCCGGTTCGGTGTTCGTGAAGTCGGGTCTATGTTCGAGGTTTAAATGCTTGCTTGCGACAGCGAGAGCATGGTATATGGCGTAGGAGCCTCCGTGCGCACCAATTGCTTGGAGATGTGTTAGCAAAATATGACCGTGGAAACCGGGTTTCACGACACGAACCATTTCGTCTGCGGACAGTGTTTTGGTGTCGGCTTACGACCACTGGGCCTCTCCGTAGTAGGTCCTTGTTGCCCCAGTCCATCGGTACAGGGTCTATACCGGATTGCCCAGGGTAAGTTGTCAGAATAATGCGAGAGGTTGTAGTTTGCCGCTTAGAGTCCTTTGCGCTCACATCGTCGCTTGAAACGGAGGGCTTCGAGGGTTGCGTCGGGGTAGCAGGGATAGAGGTTGGTAGCCGCAGAGTGGTATCTTTGGGCTGTTCCACAGGTGTCTTTGGTTCATCACCAACTGCAAGTCGGTCTACGCGCGCGCCTATCGCATCAACAGCGGATGAGAGCTTCAAGTGGTCATGTTGAATGCTCTTGAGAGTAGCCAATATCTCGCGAAGCGTTGCATTTTGATCTCCTTTGTCCATTTTCAGAGCTGCTAAATTAATCAACCAGGCTTACAGGTATGTTTTAACAATTGTGAGGGGCAGCAGAAATGCTGGATGAAGAGAAGGACTGGCTGGTGTATTTGAGCTTCTGCGCAAGGTTTTAAGCTACAGGTTAGGCCAATAGCACAATGCCACAAGGATAGTTGGAATGATAATAATCGAGCGACGTATCAAGCGCAGAAATACAGGGAACTCGGAACTCGCAGAGCATAGTGATTGGAAGTGTTGAGAGGGGGAAGGTTTCCAGGGTGAAGAGCAGCCCCTGGGACTGAGCCATCCAGCTTGCGCGTGAGCATACACACTGCAAGGCTGGCCAAGGATGCGGGGAAGGCCAGAGCTTCACAGGTGGAGCTTAACGCGCCAAGCCCCATGAGGTCACGCTCGACCACGAGCTATAGAATTATGTAATCAAGCATCGCGAACTCTCCTTGAGCGCAATTTGATGCTGAAACTGGCTCCAAACTGCCCTGTTCTCCGACTTGTTTCTACATTATCTCGGACGATAACGTATAATAGAACTCAGCAGAATTGGCATTTGTTTAAATCAAGACCACTCCTCTTGCCCCCATTCTAATTAGTACATGATTCCTTCTCGAGAGAAAGACACATAAGCTCGCCCGTCTCCAGAGCCAGCTCGAGAACACGAGAATGGTACCACGACTTCCCTTTTTTCCACAATGAAACATCAGCTGATAACAGTCAATCATAGGGCAAACGTAAGAAGTCCAGCCGCAAACCAGCGGCTCCCAAGAAGGTTCGTTGTACTCCCATTCTCTTCAGCCCCATTCCGCTCCCGTGTCGGGCAACTCAGCCAAATCCTTTGAAATCTCCGTATTCCGCCTATTCAGAAAGTCTCATCAAGGCCTTGCTATCGCGCCGGCCAGCGCGTCTTCTCTCCAATGATGGCTAACCCGTTTGTATAGAGAGAACCGCTTCCCACCACTTTCTCCTGCCTTTTCTGCAACCACGAGAACTGCGTCATCGTCAAGCTTGATAAGAAGTTGGGCCTGGGAAACTTGACATGTAAAGTATGTGGTCAGCGATTTCAGACGGGAATCAATTGTAAGTCACCACTTCTCACACAAACCCAAATCTTATCCCCACCCCAAAATCACCCTGAGCTAGTTAGACGCGACACTAATTTTTACGCCCGGCGCGTTGATCAGATCTCTCCGCGGCCGTGGATGTATACTCGGATTGGATAGATGCTTGCGATGCTGTCGCAAAGGAGAAAGATGCAGAACGGGCAGCTCCGGCGGGTGGCTCCGGAAGCAAGGTCGCGGAGCGAGAAGAACTACCGGTCGGAGCCGATGACGAAGATGAATATTAGAGATTCTAGTTTAACGGATTTAGGGTTTTTCTCAGCATAAAGTGGCGTTTAGGATTATCATATATTAGGAAGTGGGTAAACAAGCAACATCGGGGTTCAATGCATCATGTATCAACGTCCTGCTTCACTCTCTGGAAATTAACGCCTTCCTAACCTGATGACTTTGATTCTTCTCACTGGCTGCTTTTCTTGGTATGAACCGAACCAGGTGCTAGAGACACAATGTACTGTTCGGTACCCCGGCTTGGCCGATACATGGTGATGATAACGAAGCTAGTGATAAGTCGGTAAACCCGAAATATGAGAGCAGCCCCCGGGTGGTTATAACATAGCCTGGTCCTCGTGGACGCTCGTAACAACGAAGGACAAAATGTGACATCAGAAATTCGTGAAATCATGATAGTTTCTCCTGTTCCTTCAAGATTGGATCGCCTCGTATGTATTATATCCCATTTATAACGTGTAATACCGGTCGCCGAAATCTCCCAATCCTGGTATGATATATCTAAAACGAAATTAGCAATTTTCGTTGATAGAGGATATACAAGCATTATGAAATGTTACGAACCTCTTCTCGTCCAATCCCTGATCAATGAATGCAGTCACAACACGCAGCTGGGGAAATTTCCGAGCAAAGGACTCTACCGCAGATGGACTGGCAATAAGATTTATAAAGAGAATCCGGCTTTCGGGGACCCCTTTTTCTTTCAGCACCTCCACAGCCATGGTGGCCGAGCCACCTATTGTACGGTCAGCATCATTGAGGCGAAAAACACGATTTGGCACATGCTCACCAGTAGCAAACATGGGATCCAGAAGAAGAACCCATCGGTCGGCAATGTCTTGAGGTAGTTTCTCATAGAAGAGTTTCGGTTGCCATGTCTGTTCGTCCCGCTGGATCAATATCTTGCCGATGCGCACAGATCTGCAACAGTCACGCAAGCCCTGCTCCATGGCCTCTCCCGCGCGCATGATGGATACACCGCATATCTTCCCCTGGAACCTCAAGCCAAGATAGGTCCGGCCAACGGGTGTTGTGACAGGCTGCTCGACGACGGGCAAGTGATTAAGGCCTTCCTCAACCAAAAGTCGGATGATACGGTTGGAGTAGAACACGAAGTCGGCACGTGCGGTACGCTCATCCCGGATCATACTTTAAGATGAAGGTAGTTAGCTTCAATGCTTCTAGCTCTGCTATGGAGACTGGTGAAAGTGCAGGCCTTCACTTACGTCAACAGAGCAATCAGCTGCGGGGTCTGAGGCAGGACATGAACATTCTCACAAGAAACCTCTTGAGAAACTGTAGCAGTTGGTTTCTCCCCGTCTGGCTTGTAGAGAGGGCCGACTCCCTGGACAGATGTAGGAGCTGGCACGTGGGCTGAGGCCATAAGGGACAACCCTGCTCTCGGAATCAATCTGTAGCTGTAGAATTACGGGAGCAAGGAGCAGAGAAATCAACAGATCTCGGATACTGTAAGAAGTAGCAGCGGCTAGGATATAGGAGAATGGAGCGACAGTGAAGTCTCTGAATTTGCTTCTTCAATTTAACAAGTGGATGCTACAGTGCAACATATCCACAGCGACATTCTGCGTGTGGGGTAACTTGGCGGGTGATGATACAGTTTCCGACAGGGCGATGTCACTCGGAAGCTAGCGAGTATGGCCACTGGATCAGAGGGAAAGAAGAGATGACGGACAATAGAGTTCGGCGCTGGCCTGCCGCTTCATCTCAACGGGCCCGCTTCATGGCTGGAGGCAGTGGTTATCGGATAAATGCTGGTGAAATTCAGTGGTGTGGGAAAGCCATCGGCGGGAAGCTTCTCCTAGTGTGGAATCTCACAGGCCAGCCCTGTCGAGCAGAACTCCCATCAGCAACTTTTGAGAGGGAGAGCCAAAGCATTCCCAAGGAGTTTTGCAGGCAGGGAAATCCATATGAATACCATTATCTAGAACTTGATTGTGCCCAGTCGGTGGTATCAACCAGGATCAACGGTTAAGCTAGTTAGTCAGACAGCGGTTCGCTAACATTGTCTGTCCTCCCGCTGATGAACGCGTGCAAGTCAGTTTCTTTTGAACGCAGTTTCCATCAACACGGATTCATTTGACCTTGAGAAGCCCTGCTTGTGTGTTCTGCAACAAAATTGCTTCACCCTGCCACTTTAACCAAAGGCGATTCTTTCCTCTTCTCCAGATTGCCCGGGTTCTACAACCAGTTGCGGCGACAAGCAATCCATCTCAATTCAAAGCATACATGGTTAGCTGAGATCCGGACATCCATCACGTTTTTTTCCTCCAGACGCGTCTATACTGACTACACCTGTGCTAGCGAAAGCGAATAGGGAGTCAACTTTGTCTGATCCCCCAATGGTAACCTGAAGTCGGTTCCTCAAGTTCGCATCTCGGTCCGGATCACATCTACCTGCTCTCGCGACGCATCCACAGACACCGTTCATTTCCCCTGTGGTTTGATTCTTTTAGTCAAACCGCCGCGAAATGCAAGCCGATATTGCGTCCATGGAATTTTCCTCTGGGCGAAAGCTGAAGACCTACAGACGGGCCTCACGAAACATCGTGCGCAGTCCGTTCCAGCGCACCCCGCCTGAGCGCTTCGATCAGGATACGTCTCCTACGCCGAAAGACGTCGGAATTTCTAGGAGGGATATTGAAACACCGCGCAAGGCACTACGCAGAGGAAACTCAGAAACAACGAAAAAGGTGGAAAGGCCTCGACTGACAGTTCCGAAAATTGAGGGCAGCATCTACGATATCCCCTCGTCAGACGATGACACGCAGAATAGGTCTGGACGCGAGCGCAAGCGCAGGAGGTTGGAGACTCCAACAGCTCTGTGCAAGTTCTCACAGGTTGATCGCACCGCTCTAGTAGAATCGCGAGAACGACCACAACAGGTTCAAATAGACAAGCCATTGGAACCACAGAGTAGTGCGGTTAAAAGGGCCAGGCATACTGTCGCAGAGAAATCTCCTCGGGTAGGAGTTGTCATTCGATCACCTCCCTCAGCCAAAGCAAACGGTACCAATCAATTTGATCATGACCAGAGAACGTTGCCAGGTAAAAAGCCCCTTTCGCTCGGGTCGCCAAGCAAACAACCTTTGTCTGCTGGTTCATGGAGTCATCGTTTCCGTCATGACCCAGGTTCGAGGCCAGGGCCCATGAACCCAGCCGCCTCAGTGCCTGCAAACCAGCCTGTTAGGCCCAGTCTCTCGCGGAGTCCATCTCAGAAACTCAAGGAAATGACGCAGCATTTGTCTACTGAATCGTATGTTAAGACTCCTCTCAAGCGGTCCCTAACCAGTGAAAAGGAAGGGTCAATTGCCGGGACCCCGCGAACTTCGTCCCGCTTGAGGTTGATAGACGCGCTAAATACCGGTGATATGGAGGATACGGAAAGTTCCAGTGACCCGGATACCGTTCGATCAGATCTATCTCATCGTTCGAGGACTAATTCCCGAGCCTCCTCCAGGGGGCCGCCAACGAAAGACCCCGTTTCAACCAATACCTTTCCATCCGTTAACCCTCGTCGGCGGCGACCAGAAATCTCAAACCAGCTACAACAAAATATTTCGAGAGTAACCTATGCGCGACAAAGGTCTTTTCGTACAGAGGGCGATATGGACACCAATATGTCGGGGATGAATGATATGAAACCTACGTCCGCGTCAAAAGCCGACCCGTTGTTATTCGATATTGGCACGAGCTTATTGCCTCCGAAACTAGTTCCGAACTTACAAGAACCCGATGACAACAACGATACCGGCCCCGGGATGGTTAGAAGCATTTACGAGCTTCGACGAGCAGGTGGCAACGCGAGGTACCAGGCGGTCATCGAGTCTATCTTTGAAGATCTCGAGGAGAAAACAGCCTCAAACTCGAGAAAACGCAGCGGGTTTTTTCAGTTGTGTTCGAAACTCGTAGATACCGAGTTTTCACGTCGCTTTATCAGCAATTCCTTGGAAAAGAGGCTTTCTGAATGCACCGTTAATGAACCCGATATGATTTGCACATATCTCACTGTGTGCATTTATACACTACTTCTTGCGTCTGGGCCTACTTCTCCAGCTCTGCAGACTTGCTTTACGCAGATATTGGACGCCGCTCCCTCTCTTCTTCCCGAAGAACGGGATATACTACAGCTAATCAAGCTTCGTAACTTTAACATGTCAAAGGCAGGCCAATCTAGTCTACGAGATCTTTGCGTGCAGCTTCGCGAAAACAAACTATGGTCAGAATTACCTCCCGCGAGGCTTTCACCACAGAACCTAGAGTTACGATCGCTAGAGCTAGCGGTGCGCAAAGTTCGAGAAGCTGGTGATCGAACGGCGACAGTTTCGAACCCTGTCCTTGCGCAGATAGTGGACCTTCTTCTTCAACATTCACGGGAGGGCGCCAATAGCGATCTTTTCGTTCTCGAGATGGCATTTTCAATTTTGGAGTCTTATACCGTTGGCCTACCGTCTTTGGACAGCGAGCAGGAAAGAATTCTAAAGCGTCTCTCGCGAATGGGCTTGCTCCTAGCACAGCTAATCGATAGATCTGATGCGGCGAGCCGGCAAATCCAGATACTGCAGATTCGTCTCATCCTTAACATTACAAACAACAATCCAGCTCTCTGCGAAAACTTTGCAACGCCTGATTTGGTTGGTGCACTGGCCCGACTTGTTTTGTCCAACTTCGGGACAGTAGCGGAAGATTTGGCTAGTGATAAGAAAGAATCGCTGTTGGATACAGTGATTCTTGCACTTGGAACGTTGATCAACTTGACCGAATGGAGCAGCAGGTCCAGGGGACTATTTTTGCAGATGAAGCATGGTCCTGCGATTCTGGTTGACCGTCTCATGGAGTTGTTCATTGGTGGACTAGAGACAGTCTCAGAAGTACGTGCAAGCCCCCGTAGAATATACACATCTGAAGTTTCTTTTCTTTCTTTTGTTCTTTTTTTTTTTTTTCTTTTTTTTTTTCCCCCTGTTGTTTCGGATTTCTCTTCTGACCTGAATTTTTTTTTCCAGGCTGACTCCGTTGTCCAAACACACTCCAACGTTGCTTTTGGCTATCTATCCGTGCTCCTCAGCACTTTATGCCTTGACGATGAAGTGCGGACCCAAGTGCGCAGGAAGATGCGCGGCAATAACCTCAGCCGTCTTCTTGCCATCGTGGAGGAGTTTCTACACTACTACCGAAAGGTCGAGGAGGAACTGAAGGATCCTGTTTTGGAAGAGGATGCTATGGCGGGGTTCACGTCTCGACTTCAGAGTATTGTTGACCGGATCCGTGAGGCGGAAGGATTGAGGAGGTAACCAGGATGGGCGTTTTGATGGTTGGTCACGCCGTGTATGGATGGTTAGATCATAATAATGTCATGTTGTATGGATGAACAATCGTTTCACAAGGAAATCATGATCTAGTGGCAAAAAAAAGGATGATATGAGCAACGATGTTGCGTTGGGCCGTAGGGATGTGCAGTTTGCCTCGGCCACGGGTGACTGGGTTTTTTAACTACCCGTTCCCCCGGCCATGTCGCTTACCCTCTTTTCCCGCCCCCCCCCCCCCAACCCCAGACGCCCATGGCGGCGCCAACGCGAAGCAGGAGGCGGCGGACTCTCCGATTGCCTGGAACCCGGGGCGGGCCTACGCGTGCACTCCCAGCCAGTCCGCGGGCGGCAGATCTCCCCAACGGGCGGAAAGAGTGTCGATGCCAAGGCCGCGGGTCCAGAACCCTCCGGCCGCCCCATATTCACGTGGGAGTTTGCCTTCTTTGTGTGGCCTAGTCGAGTGGAGCCGGGCTAACTAGCAGGGCGCGATTATTCAGCCCACCTCTGATTGGCCTGCGGGGCGATCGTAAGCTTTCCCTTCTGACGCTGCGGAAGTTGCTTTTTGCGCCTCTTTTTCGCCTCCCAGGGTTCTGGAATTTCTGGAGGAAACGCCGCCGGGTCATGTTCCTTGGAAAGCTTGCTCCGTTGTCTGTATCACCCTGTGTACTGAGTGCCGTGATCTGCAACTTTTGGCAGGCCCCGGTAATGTCGTATCCTGGATGGGAGTTGGACTGGCACTGCACACCATTCTCTCTCCAGAGTATTAATATTAATGCCGTTGTGGACTTGTCAATTTCTCACCCAGCTGGGCGAACTCGTATCTGCCGGCGGTTGATCAGCCCTCGAGCAAATAGCAGGTAATCCCTCTGGGCGTATTCTAAACCTTATTGTTTTCGGGGATCAAGCCTGTTGCCGTTCATATTATCTCCAATTGTTGTTTGTGGAAATCCTCGAGTTCACCGCTCCCTCACTTTGCGCCCTTTCTTTTCCTTCAATTCTCCCTCCGTGCTCCAATCGTCGGTATTGGGAGTGTAATCCGTTTGCTTTCGCTAGCGTGTTTTGATACTGTACACGGCGTCGGCACTGTGACCTGAAGGGAACCATCCGTCGTCCTCAAACGATTCACCTCGAGCTTTCCTCGTGAAAGTAATTCCCGCCATAAACAACGCTCGACGAACCCTCACTTCTTCCCTCTTCCTCCTCCCCTTTCACTCCAATCGACGTTCCATCCTACATCCCTCTCTTTTTCCCTTTAGAGCACTCATCGCAGCTCTTCCGCTCCCCGTTCTGTCGTATCGCTTTTTCTCTCCCACAAACATGGCTCCAATTCGACAGAGAAAGGTTGCCATTGTAGGAAGTCGTGCTGTCGGTATGTTCTGTCCTCTTACATCCTGAACACATTTATTCTCTGGCTTCTTAATGGAACCTGTCCTTAATGTTGTTTTGTCGAAATGCTAATGAACTCCACAAAGGTAAATCGTCTCTCACCATTCGCTTCGTTGAGGGAACCTTCGTCGAGAACTATTACCCCACCATCGAGAATACCTTTAGCCGTGTCATCACCTATAAAGGACAAGATTACTCTACCGAAATCGTCGACACCGCCGGGCAGGACGAATATAGTCTCTTGAACTCGAAACACTTCATTGGAATCCATGGATACATGATCGTCTATTCGGTTGCTTCTAGACAGTCTTTCGAGATGGTCAGGGTCATCCGTGACAAGATCCTCAATCACCTGGTGAGACATACCTGATGAGACATACCTGATGAGACATACCTTTGCCCATTGGCCTGTATTCTTTAGCTTGTAGACCGGACCATCCTCAAGAGCGAATGAAACCAACTGACTTGGATGCTTGATATCTAGGGCGCTGACTGGGTTCCCCTAGTCTTGGTCGGAAACAAATGTGACTTGCAGCCTGAGTGGCGCCAGATTAGCATCGAGGAAGGGAAAAAGACTGCCGAGGAGTTCAATTGTGCCTGGACCGAAGCGAGCGCAAGAAACGACCTGAATGTTGCAAATGCGTTTGAATTGATCATTGCTGAGATTGAGAAGTCCCAGAACCCCAATCAGCCAACTGGCGGAAGCAAGTGTGTTCTCATGTAGAACAGCTTCGACAAAGGACGACTCCGTGCTCGGCAGGCGACATGGGAAGGTGTCACTCTAGGGGAGGAAGGTCGTTTTGACCATGCACAAGCATGCGTAACTCTGCATACTTGTGCGCACCAAGCAGACATTACATACATGACAATCGCGGCAGCGCAGGCGTCGACAATTTGTGCCTGTAGCCACAGGATGCCTCCCTTTTGGCTGTCGTCTTGCGGCTTGACTTCTTTTCTACATGCTCTACTATTATCTCACCTTTTTTTATTGTGTTTCTTTCCGGGTGGCTTTCTCTGGTTCTTTTAATGAGTGCATGCTTCTACCTTCCTGGCACTTGGGCAACATGATAGACAAGCGTTAGAGCGGTACAGGTTTGTGTGGCATGGGTTTCTTTTCTTTGCCTTTGTGTGTCTTCTATGTCATTATCTCTGCTTTCATCATCGTCTTATTTTTTTTTTTTCCTCCCTAGGGTTTAGGCTTTCCTATTCATCAGTGGTGGGGATACGGATGCTCTCTATTCTGTGATCTGGGGGGAGTCTTAATGACCTGCAACGAACCAGCAAATGTGCACACATACATACAAGCATAATATCTAATAGTGCTCCTGTCATCTTCCATTAATTGTTCTTCCCAGGTACTCCTTTGATATCTGAACCTGCATCACATATCAACATGCATGTGGACAAAACAGGGCGCAGGAACGTGCAGGGATCACACCGTGTGCAGCAACACTGAGACTTGTTAATGTTACACGCACTGATAAGCAATTGCAACGCACTTTGTGCGCCCAGCGACCCCTCAAGTTTGCACCGAAGACAAACATGCTCGGCTTGGAGAAATTGAAACTCATCACTACTGCGAAGGGCCTCTGTGCACGAGAGATCCTGTTGGTGAAATATCACTGCTCTGTTTTTGCTTCACTGGGCGAGACTATCCATTTATTTTACCTGAGGCCAATTTTTTCCGTTCCTTGTTACCATGCTTGATATTGCAGACCTGATCGCCGACCGTGGCGGTGATCCCAAGAAGGTCAAGGAGAGTCAGCGCCGGAGATTTGCGTCGGAGGAGCTTGTCGATGAGGTGATTAGTTTATATGAAGACGCTCGTCGAAGTATGTTCTTTCTCGAGATATCGTCTCCAATACAATCCTTTTTTTTGAACGTGACTTAACTTTTCTTGTTCCTTGTGGCTTTTAGCACGCTATGAAGCTTCGCAAATCGGCTCGAAGATCAATGCGCTCCAGAAAGAGATTGGCATGAAGAAGAAGGTTCGTTGATTTCCAGGCCTAATATACCGCGGTGACTTGCGGGTGCGTGGGAGTCGCGAGAGGCTGACGGCGGGGGTGATTGTTGCCCGGTTCAGAATAAGGAAGACGCTTCTGAGCTTTTGGCGCAAAAAGCCAAGTTGGAGCAGGACAAGAAGGCTCAGGAAGATTTGGCGGTTGAGAAGGAAAAGCTGAGAGATCGCAAGTTGAAGACGATTGGCAACTATGTTCACGATTCGGTTCCTATTAGCAACAATGAGGTACCTAATATATGCGGCTCCCCTCCCCCAATCCGTCATTCTTTGATTCAATCTGACTCTAGGATTCGATTTGCCATAGGATGATAATGCGATCATCAAGACATGGGCGCCAGAAGGTGCCAAGGTCGAAAAGAGAGACTGCTTGTCACATCATGAAGTCCTCACACGACTAGACGGCTACGATCCGGAGAGAGGGGTCAAGATTGTTGGTCATCGTGGATTCTGCCTGACGGGTTATGGTCTTTTCTTAAACCTCGCCCTCGTCAACTACGGTCTTGAATTTCTGTTCAACAAGGGATACAAGCCAAATCAGCCGCCATTCTTCATGCTTCGGGATTACATGGCCAAAACGGCGCAGCTGGAGCAATTTGACGAGGAATTGTATAAAGTTACGGAAAATGAGGATAAGAGCACGGACAAGTACTTGATCGCGACTTCGGAACAGCCCTTGTCCGCATTACACGATGGAGAGTGGCTACAGGATAAGGAACTTCCTATTAAGTATAACCCCCCACTTGCAACTTCATGGTTTCTCGCCCGTCGAGAGCATCGATGTCCTGTGCCCAGTTGACCTAATCGATATGTAGATACGCCGGATACAGCACATGTTTCAGGAAAGAGGCTGGGTCCCATGGAAAGGATGCTTGGGGCATTTTCCGTGTGCATCAATTCGAAAAGGCAAGTTAATCGGGTCCATATTTGTAGGCCCGTGTATCTAACTTCGAAACTGCAATACAGATAGAGCAGTTTATCTTGACAAAGCCCGAAGAATCCTGGAAAACATTCGACGACATGATTACCACTTCAGAGGAGTTTTACCAGTCTCTTGGTCTTCCGTACCAGATCGTCTCAATTGTTTCAGGGGCCCTGAACAATGCGGCCTCCAAAAAGTGGGACTTGGAAGCTTGGTTCCCATTCCAGGGTGAATACAAGGAACTAGTTTCTTGCTCGAACTGCACCGACTACCAATCTAGAGAATTGGATATCCGCTTTGGTCCCAAGAAGACTACGGATACTAAGAAGGCTTACGTTCATGCCCTCAATGCCACACTGTGCGCCACGGAGAGAGCTCTTTGCTGCATCCTGGAGAACTACCAACAAGAAGATGTAAGCAAACCTTGCCAGCCTTTTGCCATTTTTAACTAACACGCCTATCTCCGCAGGGCATCATCGTCCCTGAGGTCCTCAGGAAATATATCCCTGGCCAACCTGAATTCCTGCCATACACGAAGGAACTTCCTAAAGATACCACCTCTCAAAAGACTAAAGCCAAGCCCAAGGCAAAAGCTGATAAGAGCGACGTGACAAAAACTATGGAAAATCTCAAAATAGAGTAAAGTCGATTGTACCCCCAAATTTCCCGTGTGTCTTGAACTGGTCGTCTTCGATTGCTAGGAGACCGACATAGATAGTACATACATAAGAATAGATCCGTTGAAGATCACCGTACTCCGTAAACATCCATAAATAAATGCCCATCGTCCCGGTTTTCCTGCGACTGAGTCATAGTGTCGAAAACTGAGGGAGTGAAACCCGCCTGGTGCGTGTGTGCAAGCTGCAACAATGATGCAATTCCCTTAGTCCCCGAAAGCTACGGGACAGTCACCAGTCAAAACCGCTTATCGCTCACCCGCAGAAAAGCAAAAATGGAAAAAAGAAAAAAAAAAGGTGGAAAAACAAAAAGCTGCACACCAAAACAGCGGACCCAGTTAAATACATTTATACCCCATAACCCGCTATTGCGGATCCTCTTCTTCTTTTTCTCTCTCCCGAATGTACTCTTATCGTCGTGAAAGCGGCAGCATGGCGACCGGCGCGAGGGACATATTCAACCCCAACGAGCTTTCCCACCAGGTCTCTCGCAGCCTGAGCTTTTCTGCACAGTCTCCGCCGTCCAGCTATGGTACGAGCGGCACACCATTTGCCAGCCGGGTTCCTGCACCGTTTCCATTGAAACAATTGAAGCCGTTTGCTACGGAGGATATAAAGATCTTGTTGCTGGAGAATGTGAACAAGACAGGCAGGGATATCCTGAAGGAACAGGGGTATCAGGTGGAGTTTTATAAATCTTCCCTGCCGGAGGATCAATTAATCGAAAAGATCAGGTGTGTGATTGTTGTTTAGCATCTACTCCTGCTGATTGCTCTTATTTTCTTGTTCTTGATCCGCTAGTTATAGAGAAGAATTCTTTTCTCTTTTTCTGGGCGGACATGAGCTAACACTCCCACCAATCTACAGAGATGTGCACGTCATCGGCATACGATCCAAAACGAAGCTCACTGCTAAAGTTCTTAGTGAAGCTAGGAATCTAATAGTCATCGGATGTTTCTGCATTGGCACGAATCAAGTCGATCTCCAATTCGCCGCTGACCATGGTATTGCCGTGTTCAACTCTCCCTTTAGCAACTCGCGTAGCGTTGCCGAGTTGGTGATCGGAGAGATCATTGCTCTCGCTAGACAGCTATGCGACCGTTCAGCAGAAATGCATAGCGGGATGTGGCAGAAAGTGAGCAATAAATGCTGGGAGGTTCGAGGGAAGACACTTGGTAAGTCTGCCTGCATCTCCTTTGATGCCCTGCCCTGTTATTGATGTGGTCCAAGGTATTGTCGGATACGGTCACATTGGCTCTCAGCTCTCAGTTCTCGCCGAAGCTATGGGCATGTCGGTCATTTACTATGATGTGCTCAACCTGATGGCCATGGGGACTGCTCGTCAAGTTGCTACGCTAGACGAACTTCTCGCATCTGCGGATTTCGTCACTTTACACGTCCCCGAGCTCCCAGAAACCAAGAATATGATCAGCGGTTCTCAACTCGAGAAAATGAAGGATGGAAGCTATCTCATCAATGCCAGTCGCGGCAGCGTCGTGGATATTCCTGCCCTTGTTCAGGCTATGCGTTCCGGGAAGGTTGCTGGTGCAGCTCTTGATGTGTACCCTAGTGAACCGGCCGGTAATGGAGACTATTTCAATAAGGACCTAAATACCTGGGCCGAAGACTTGAGATCGTTGAAGAACCTTATCCTTACACCGCATATTGGTGGAAGCACTGAGGAGGCTCAGAGCGCCATCGGCATCGAAGTTGCAAATGCCTTGGTGCGTTATGTGAACGAGGGCACTACCCTCGGTGCTGTCAACATGCCAGAGGTTACACTGCGTTCATTGACTATAGAGGAGCCCAACCATGCTCGAGTAAGTGTCGCCTTAGCAAACCGAAAAGGTAAAAAGATATATTAACGCTCTATTATAGGTCATTTTCATCCATCGAAACGTTCCTGGTGTGTTAAGAAAAGGTAATGTCGCCCACATATCGGCCGAAGCTTATCCCTGCTAATACAAAAAAAACCAGTTAACGAGGTCCTCGCAAATCACAATGTCGACAAACAAATGACGGATAGCCGCGGCGATGTATGTTCCATTGGTCGTCTCCGGCTAGTCAGGAACCAAACTAACGAGAATGTTGATTAGGTCGCCTACCTAATGGCTGATATTAGTGATGTCAACTCATCAGATATTAAAGAACTATACCAACAACTCGAAAGCCTGTCATGTATGTCGTATTCCCTGCCTTCATGTTTCCAGCCCGTCGCTGACAAAACTATCAACAGCTCGAATAATGACTCGGGTCTTATTTTAATCTAAGACATATTTAGGAGGGAACTTGGATGTTTATGAACTCAGGAGGACATGATTCCGCTGCATCAATTAAAAAAAAAAAAAATTATATTCTTCAACAGGTCAGCATGTCGACGACTGGCGTTCTTTCAACATGAGTGGGATAGAAATGAGGATAGGCAAAGGGATTCTATGGAAATACTGCTTTAAATGTACATGCACGATTCAGTTGATCAGGAGATTTCATTATTATAAAGTTCCTGCGAAACCTCCCCAAAAATGCCAAATCTGGAAATCGCCGCTGTTCAACGTATGTGCGAAAGCATTGACCACCCCCAATGTGGGTGTCTGCTATGTGCGTTCTATGAGAGCTTAACATATTCGAGAAAGTATGGCCCATTACCCATATAGATATCCTGAAAACGCCAGGCAAATGCATGATATCATCCATGAATCCAGCTTTAGACGCCCCAACATGAAAATGCATCAATACGCCGAATGTCAGTGAATAAATCCCAAGCTAAAAAGGTGTGAAGGCGCTGCTAGAAAGACAATGCCTACTCCAGAAAGGGCGAGAACAACAAAGGTCAGCGCCTATAAATGTTATGTGAATCCCCATCGCCAGCACGGCTGCGTGGCCTTTCGGGACTTCTGCTTCGGCTAGGTCTATAAAACCTATCTCCACGGGAGTCTGCACGAGGTCGACTATCGAGATTGTCTCTTCGGGAAACAGAAGTGGAATCATCGTCATACTTAGGAACGTAGGAATCACGAGAACGGTGGCGATCCCATTCATCACGGCCACGCTGCTCCCGACGATCACCGCCACGCCATGTGGCAGCATTCGGCCTTCCGGGGAGTTGGCCCGGTGGTCTTCCGTGAATGCTTGGGTCGCGTGAACGCGGAGGGTGATCGTCCGATGCTTGTCGTTTATGGCCACGAGCAGAGTCTGGAACACGACTGTCGTAGGCTCCTCTCGGACCGTTGCGTGCAGCACTAGGTATCCGGCTATTCAATTTCGGATCTGGTGGGACCCTCACCCCTGAGCCGGATGTCCATTCGCCGTTGGCACCCATGCCGACAGAGCCACCGGCGGGCGCGGGCGGCATCGCCTTTTGCCCACGAAATTTCCTTCTATCAAGCTCATGCGAATCCTCAAATTGAGGCAGATCACCAGGGCGGGCAGGAAGGGGTGGATTCAAGAAATAAGGGTGTTTTAGTGCATCAATCGCGTTGATTCGCTTACGCCAATCAAGTTTAAGAAGCTCAGAAAGCAATGATATGGCGCCGGGTCCTTGTCTATTTAAGAGTCAACGAGGCTAGAGGGAAAAGTGTCCACAATTTAGACTCACTCTCTGAAGACGGTTGAAAGGTTTCCTGGTTTGGAACCCCATGATTTCACCCCTTCACATCCGGGGAGAGCACTCCAGCCGGGCATGGTCTCCTCAGTTGGAGAACCAACGAGAGTAAATATGAGTTGGGCCTGGTTTAAATCACTGCTTCCAGCAAGTATGGGTTTGCCCTTAAACATTTCGCCGAAAACGCACCTAGAGGACGTTAGCAATTGGGATTAGGTCGGATCAATTCAAAAAAATTCTTACCCAGCTCCCCACATATCTATCGCCGTCGTATAACGTCGAAGCTGAAGTAATAACTCGGGCGGCCGGTACCATCGAGTTACAACGAGCGAAGTATAATCTCGCACAGCTTCTCCGCCTCCCTTGCCAGGAGCTGGGGGATGTCCATCGTATGGCCTCGCGAGACCAAAATCTGCAATTTGAAGTATACCTCTGTTACTGATAAGAAGGTTGGCCGCTTGTGGTTCCGGAAGTTAGCATTTTTGCTACGAATAAGATGGTTTGTCGCTGGCTCACCTTTCATATCACGATGAAGGATGTTGTTCTGAGAAAATTGTCAGTGATACCGTTACTGTGCGATTCAAACGCTGTCTTTCATACTTGATGGAGATATCGTAGCCCTTCTAGGAGTTGCAACATGTAACACTTAATCTGAGGCTCGGTAAGATGTACGTTCGGATTCTCCAAGAGGCCAGCGAGGTCATGTTCCATGTATGGAGTCACCATGTACATAGACGGCTTTTTCCGGCCTTCACCTATGGAAAAGTAAGACATGAGAGCCATCTATGATGCATAGGAACATACCTCTGCTTCGCTCCACAGCCATTTCTTCCAGGCGTATTATATTAGTGTGTGATAAGACTTTGAGCAGCTTGATTTCGCGAAGAGCCGTAATGGGGAACTATTGATCATGTTTACGTCAGACATTAATCTGTAAAGAATAGCCATTATCAGGCCTACCCCGTCCTTTTCATTGTGTAATAATATTTTCTTCAGCGCAACAATTGATCCGGAATGTTTTGAACGAGCCTTGTACACCTCGCTATGTAGAGAGGAAGCTACAGTTAGCTACCAGCACTAGTCCTGGAAGTAGAGAGTAAACATACCCAAATGTGCCTTCTCCAAGCTTTCCCAGAAATTCATATTCGCGGATCGACGAACAGCCTTTGAATCGTGGACGCCCTTCTTCGTCGCGTTCTAGTGGCACTTTCAAGTTGGGTGATGACGTTGATGGAAGCATTTTTGAAGCTTCGGAATCGGAGATGCCGGTGAACGCCCAAGGCTTCAGGGAATTGTAGTAGAAATATAGCTTCAAATCTCCTAGGAGAGGTGCGAGTTGATTGTAAGCTGGTGCTGGAAGAAGTGCCGGGTTCCCGTCTAGGTTGAGACACAGCAGCAAGCTAATTGCATCTGTAAGACAATGTTTGTCTGCATAGGGACAATGCCCATGGGAATAGCTAGATAGGACTGGAGATCCACTGCCAGTGAGAAGATGGATAGGAGAATCACGCGCTGGAACTCAAGACTGACTTCTTGTTCGGCGGTGAAGGAGGATAAATTCGCTTGACAACACAGGAGATCTAGGAACTGGAGTGTTATTAAGTCAAAGATGCAACTCTGAATCATGCACTTTTCCTGTTATTCATGACCCTTGAATAGACTGAAGCTGCAAAGACCACAACGCTGCGTTGAGGCCTCCGAAGCTGTGAGTGAGTGAAGCTCCATCCATGCCAGCCCGGCCAATCACAGCTGAGTCAGCTCGGTAAAACGTTCTTCCTTCCACGCTCATGGCGCTCTGGGCAGGTCAAATTGACCTCATACCACTGTGCAGGTGGGTTGGATCACCTTTTGTTCCTTGACATACTGGTGACATCGCTGCCAGAGCGAGTTATTCTAGGTCCATCTACACCAATTGAGGTCGGTGCATTGAATACGAACTTTATTTCTTTAATCTCATGCTGTGCTAACTAGATTTCAAGTCTCCCAGCATTACTCCGCAGACCCGATCCGATCCACTGAGCGCGATGGCCGGCAAACACCCAATCCAAGTGCCACCGGGCAGACCTCTATACAAATTCGCTGCCACCGCCCTAGGTGCCAGCATGTGGTTCTTCGTACGTGCAATTGCAACCATCTAGCGCAACAATCGTGCTGCGATACCTTCCCACCTTACCAAGAGCGCCGTTTCTGATGATGATCTTAGTTGTTTTACCGAGCCAAAAAGGATGGACCGGCCCTGTTGGGCTTGAAACACCCTTGGGACCATTGAGATGCCGTATTGGACCGACAGAGGATGTTTTTTCTCCCCTTCTACCGACGTTGCGAAAAAGCTATAAAGTTTGCATCTTGCCGATGTGGAAACGGAGTTCGGAAAGAGGTTTCATATCGCTCCAGGCCTTGAAGCGCCAGTTCGCTCTGCTTAGTGCAAGAATGTGCCATTTGCAAAGTACCTGATCTAATGGGCGCATCATCCTGTATCTTGTCTAGATGACCAGTTTTGTGTATAGATATGAATTACGCTTTTAAACCTGATTTAAACCCTTCGGCGTCATATCACACAATTCCCATTAAATCGAGGCCCGCTAGGGGATTCACCCTTAACAATAAAAAGGTATATAAAAGACTGCTCTTTTCTCTACCCAATGTCGGATACACGTGGATCGAATATATCGAAATGGAAGCAAAAGCCAAAATACAGGATAAGATTATATAGGGTCACAAGACGAGTTCAAAATCAAGTCCAGCGAGCTACTCGCGCTCGAGAAGGACCTTATATCGTCGCCGTTGTTTTCTCTTGCCAGGGCGGCAAACTCTGTATACATGACCAAGAAGCCGGGACAATTCCGGAAAAAGATGTCTTTCTGAAACGTAGGCGACAGCAAATCCTCCGACGGCAAGCGCCACTAGCCATCCCTTAAATGGTGTCGACAAATAAGTGAGCTGCATCAGGCGGAAGAGCCAATCCGCAGGTTGGAAAAGCATGTAGGAAGATACAAGAAGAGCCACAATTATGGTGACGACGAATGGAACTGAGGCCGTCAGCAATAAAGAAGTAAGGAACTGAGCGGTTCACACCTACCATTTGATGTCATCGGCTGTCGAAACGGTGGCCCAACACTCAATACCAGACCTGATAATATGTACTGGTAACAGGAAACAAGGAACAACGCAGTGTTCTGCGAATTTTCTATGCTTGTATCGTTCGGATTAAGCTTGGGGGGCTTATACCTACGCCAAAGTCAGTCTTGTAGTTACGAAATGCGCCCTTTCCTGCGGCTGTATATACCATTCTTGCTCCTGAACTGTTTCGAAAGCGGCAAGCTGGATGAATATGCAAATAACTATCTGACCCAAAAGGGGTGTCAAGACTTTCCGGGATACTAGATTAGCTGTGGGCCGTTTTCGACAAAGCTTCGAATAAGGCCCAATCCATCCCACTGATCAAGTCGTTAGCACCGCCTTCAAGGCCTTTTTTTTTGTGGTTTGGTAGGGGGGAATGGAAGGAGGAGCTTACTGAAAATTGCAATAGGTAGGATAAGAGCGAGGTCAATATAAAGGAACTATAAATGTTATGTGAGCCTAGTCACGCAGGACGTTATACGGCCCACTTACCTGGAAGTCGCCCAAATTGGATGCAGATGCATATAGAAAGCTGACGGAGGTAAACTGAATGGCAGAATAAAGACTCATATACTTGAAGCAGGAAAAGCTCGTTACGAGTGCCGCTCTACCCTCCCTACACAAGCGCCTGAGTACGGAGCTCAAAATACATAGGAAGAAACATACCTGATAAGCTTTGGAACACAGGATATATCAAATATCCTACTGGTGAAAGGGGCCGCTACGGACGCTTCTGCTTCTGATAGTGAAATACCAACATCAGCCGCTTTTAAAGCACCGCAATCGTTGGCTCCATCTCCGCAAAATCCGCAAACATAATCGAGCGACTGTAGCTTTTCAACAAGCTCATGCTTCTCGTCTGGAGACATTCGTGCAAAAACTTGCCCATGAACAAGCATCTGGACAAGATCAGCCCGTCTATTCGACAGCTCAGTAATGATAAATTACCTTTTGTAAAACCTCTTCAGAACCATAGTCCACCACCCACCGGAACACGTCTCCGGTGACCGCGATAGAGTACTTGAACTTGTTATAATTATGGTATGGAATTGACGTGTCAGGCACCGTAGAGATCGGAAGAGGCTAGTGACTGTTAAACATTAGGTCCAAACAACAATTCGGAGCACACGTACTGCAAGTGTATGTTCGTCAAGCAGGTAGTCCGGATTATCTGTGCTTTCCCAGCGCAAGCGAGATCTTGGATTGTAAGGATTTCCTAGATTTATACAATTAGTAAAAGGGCTTCTAGCTTGGTTCTGGGTTGGGAGGGAGGAGTTATCCGCACCTTCAACAAAATAGGGAACAAAGCACTGAGCAGTATCACCTATAAATCCGGATTCGCGAGCCACACTTATTGCAGTAAGGATGTTGTCGCCGGTACACATAATGTTCCGAACTCCAGCATTATGCAATTCATTGATAACGCCTGTAGTGCTTGGTTTTAATTTGTTTTCAAACACAATGAAGCCAACGAATGTTAAGTCAGACTCGGCCTGCGATCGACTGATCTTCAAGACGCCATTTTGGTTAAGATTATCAATATGCTTCATTGCACAGGCAATAACTCGATATCCACGATGTGTATAGAAGTTTAAAAGTTCATTGAAATCAGGCGGCACTAGTGAATAGAGTAAGTGAACATATCAGTGCTGGCAGTAGGATGAATCACTCACAGGTCTTGGGCACACATATATCTTTCAGCGACTCAGGTGCTCCTTTCACAAACACAGTTACATCTTGGTCACCAGGCTCCCGCACCAGCACACTGGACCGGCGGAGTTGTGAGACGAATTCGAAAGTCCTCATGACAGCCAATTCCGTGGAAAGACGCTAAGCAAGGGGTTAATGCAAATCATATCAATAGGATTAGGATAACGTACAGTTCCTTGTTCAGGGTCGCCAGGGGTTAAAGTTGGAGGTGCCCATGCGACAGAGGGAATGAAACTCTCAGACTCTTCATCAGCATCCGAAGTATTATGATTTCCTTCTTCGTAGGACCAGCCCGTAAATTCAAACATTTTCACATCAAGAGGATCCCCAATGAGTTCGCCATCAACAAGTTTCAGGGAGTGACATGTTGCCATCGTGTAAAGGATAGCCGCGTTAAAGTTGTAATCTATAGTTGGGTCCCTCTCATATAATGGATACGGTAAGATGGAGGAGGCGTCTACTAGCAACTCGCTGAACCTAAAATGTTTCAGGGTCATTAGAATCAAAACATCGCTGTCGACGAGGCTGAAATAAGCACCTAAAATCTTGGTTGACAAGTCTAACTCCTAAAACGTCAAGCCCATCTTCAGTAAGGGTTCCTGTTTTGTCGAAGCAAACGACATCGAGTTTCCCGGCAACATTGACTCTGGCAAATGAGGTAAGCAGCTAAGTCTGAAATTACGTGTTAGAAAGCTCACCTCTGGGGGCTTATGCAGAAAATTTTCTGCTTCTTTAGTCTCGAAAGCGCGAAATTCGTCCCAATTGTCAGTGTGGCAGGGAGTGCTGGAGGAACGACAATGGTAATAAGATCCAACGCTCGAACAATAATGGTATGCCACGCAATCTTCCCCAAATCTTAGTTATATAGTATCGTTTAGGCTAATGTGCGGACTTACTCCTAGGCGGATGAAATTAATGAAAGACGCGATAAAGCCCAACGCCGCGACAAAACTCATGACTGAAATATAGCGGAATGAGTCTCTATAAAATTTGAATCCAGACGGTTTGGGAAACAGCATCGAGCGGACCAGCGCGCCTTTCGTCGTATTGAAACCGGTCCTTACTACCATGGCCAGCGCAGCCGCTTCGTCAGTCTCTGGGTCTTGGGGTCTTCTCGCACGTATTATTCGAGTTCCGCAGAACAGGAAATGCCGAGCAACTGTCGGCTGGATGGATGGCGCATTTAGGTTTAGAGAAGCAAGCGCATCGTTGGTCGCAGGTAGCTTCGAGACCGGTACTGACTCCCCTGTTCCTAGTCAGATGATTTAACTCATAATTCAGATAAGAGACCTACCCGTAAGCATGCTCTCATTAACAATACAGTCACCGGATAATAACAAGCTGTCGCAGGGAACCTGCGTAAGCGAAGGGTCTGAGATCTCATACACATCCCCAGGAGTTAGTTCTCTTGAAGCAATTGGTCTCCCTAGATAATATATGTAAGTCGCACTTTTAACCCGAAAAAAGCGGAATTTCAAGACAGGGCTGATCCGAAAACATACAAAATCCGCTTCTCAAAACTCTCACATCACATTCAAAATGCGATATTTGCCGTAGGCGCTCCATGGTCTTAGAACCATTAGCGCCCTTCTATAAACCAAAAAGGAATACTTGCTACATACCGACTTCGTTTCAAGCGTCGTGGCCGCAATACTGGAAAGCGATATGAAAAAAATGCATGCTGCATAATAATAATACTCATCCAATGACCAGAGAATCAAGCTCGCCACCTGGAACACATAAAAAGGGTGAAAAGCCTACATCTGTTAGGAATTCCATCAGAAGAGGTTCCGGAGCGGTGGACTCACTTCATCAATCATAATCTGGGGAACTGATTTTTGTTGGATATCAATGATATTTTGACCGAACACTTGTTCTCGACGATCTCTCTCTTCGGCGTCTAAGCCTTCTCTCAAAGTCTTCACACTGATCCAATTTGGATCCTTCCAATCCCCCGTATGCATGAATTTATCCTCAAGGGGTTGATAACAGAAGCGAACGTAGCGGTAATCTACAAAACGAAGGTATGGCAGTATCGGATCGTTGTCTTCATCAAAATTTGGAGCCTCAAAGTCTTTATATGAAGATCCGAACACGGTCGACAATTGTCGGCCATACTTCGCGTTTGTGACATATTCCACCGTGAATTGGCCCCATTGGTTCTAATTGCAAACCGTAAACGATTGGCCGCATAAGAAGATAAAGTAATTCCTTACCTCTATCGCAACCCATTGACATCGATAGAGCGGTTCAGGGAATCCGACCAATTTAATACGCCATCGAGGAAGCCATCTGAACACCAGGTAGCCAAGGCCGCAAGTTAAAATGCAAATGATGACATATATGGTAAAACCTGCTATGCTCGTAGAGAAACCTGCAATTACAGCAGTCAAATCTTCAGTCACAATGTAAACCTTCTGGCTAACATTTCCTCCTGATGGTGGCCCTTCATATCCGCCACGATCGGAAGTCTCACGCCGTAGTAAGGGATGCTCTGCTGAGCTTCTTGAGCGCGAACGATCAAGGAAGCTTACGGGACTTCTCGAGACATCGATATCAATATCTTGGCCCTCCTCAAAATAGTGTTCCGGCTCGCTTTCATCCACTATGGCCTCCTCGTCGATCCAGACCGGATTCTCCGTGCTCTCCTCAAAATAGGCGAAGCTAACAGTTGAGTCTCGCCGTGATCGACGAGGAGCGAAGGAGGCGATGCTGGACGGTATACTTTCAGAGACTGGGCCAGCATAGACCTATATCACTCGTTATTCACTCCATGGCTACATATCGAAGCGACCGAGCAACAGAACTTGCCTCATCCTGAGCCATTTCTACATCTGACACAATGCTCATGCTCCTGGAAACGGTTAGACCGGTAATATTATAGATCTTAACGGAGCCGCCGCAATTACCTGCTCCTGGTGGAGCCAACCTGATGTACAGGCGCATGGTAGCAGGCTTCCTCCTGGCCATCATCCGAAAAATAATTGCCATTTTGGTCCACCATTTCGTGGATTTACGATGTTTTGCGGCAGATTTTAATGATATATCAATGTTAGCGCATACGCGCTATCGAACTGCAAATCCCATTTCGTTTGGGTGAAATTAGGTCATGAAAACTGTTGGAACTGCGGGATGAAGTCGAGTCATCGTCACCTAGAGCTCCTTGCATTATGACCCATGAATAAGCTTCCAAGAGAGGAATCCTGTTGCTTGGCATCTTATCATCACGTGAACGCCGTTCTTTTCACTTGTCATCTTATCTTATCTTATCTTGTTTGGCTGTTGGCATTGAGGCAGAATGGATGAGGTTACAATATGTCCTGAGCACGGCGGATACTCAGAGGACATTGAAATACTGACAATAGAATTAGCGATGATATTGACCCTTCAAACGACATATTCTTATCCAACAATAACTCCGGAGTATGCATTCTTCGATTGCCATTGCTAGACTCCCATCCTTCGCTACTAAATCCATCTCTAATCTAACAAAGGGATATTGAATCTCCAGGTGAAAGCACTGGTAAAAAACTCATAATTGCTTCACTACACTTGGAACCCCAAATTCTTCGGTAATTCCGCGCAGGCTTTTCCATTAAGCTGGGTTAAAGAGGACAAATTTTCCCACATTTAAACCTCGGACCAAGTTCTGGGGGTCCATCCGAAAGCTCTCTTTTGTCCCCAGCCCAAGGAATACTAGATCAGTACAAATGGAGCCCTGGAACGTCTTTGGTGATTGTCACAAGAGCCCGGCTCACCTTCGAGAACATATGTATGTGCTTGGTTGCATTTCCTCGTGTGTGGAGCACGAGGTGCCCCGGCTCCATTTGTTCATTCCGAATCAACACCCTGCCGCGGTTCCTTTGGCTCTCAAGAACTACACTTGTACATAAGGTTTGCAGCAGGCCACCGAAAGGGCAGGTTTACTCCAAGGAGTTTAGGGCCGGCTGCCAATTGGTTCGATTGCAAACCCAGTCAAGCGGAGGGACTAGGTCAAAGGTTAAATCGTCATTGAAGATCACATCGTCAGTTATAGATGAAGTGTAGGTGAAGCTCTGGCAGATACTGCATGCAGTTAAACAAAAGAATATACCATGCAATTGCCTGTCAGTTGCTGGGCAATGGTAAGGAAAGGGTGGCCCTTCGTCTGACGGCAAGGCATATTACCCCCAAAAAAAAAGCGGACGTGCTGATGACGGGTTAATCTAATCTGAAGTAATCCGGCAACAGATAACACAACTACATTGGTAGGTCTTGGGTGAAACCTGGGGTTTGACCATTCCAATATAAACATCAGTGTCCACAGAGATCTAACGAGAACACTCCCCGCAGTCAATAAGAACTTACAGATCGCGGTGCTGATCACCATGTAACCATGTTTTGGTCCCCCAGGCACAAGACGTTTATTCGCCTTGAACGCTGGCCCATTGGATCACCAAAGTTAAGGCTCTGAACCACAGCACAGCGAGATGTGCCAAGACTAGTTACACGAAAGTCAATCAAAGGCCTCTGTGTCTAAGCTATTCATTTTTGGATCAGTCAACTTATGGAGAGAGCAGTTGACTTGACTGCGGTCAAGCTTTAATTTGAGGTGAAGGCATCAGGATGAAGCCACTGCGGCACCACCTCAGTCCTAGGACTCCATAGAAGTATATGGAATATTCATATTGATAATGTATTTTCAGCAGCACATTGGAGTTTCCAACTCCCATTGATTGCTTCTCATTGCCCAGTGCCATGTTGCGCCACTGTAGCTCAGTCAATCACGTATCGAACATCCAGGCTGCAATCCTACACCCCAGTGGTTCATGAACCAACAAATGGGTCCTAGTTTTCCGTCTATCAAAGCAACTAGGAATGGTATCTGGTGGTGTGCATGTAGTCCCATGCGTAGCCCGACCATTAAAATGCATGAAAGGTTATATCATTCCTGTCAAAATTGTGATGGTAACCAGTGAATCCTCCAGCAAAATCTCCAAGAGGAAGTTGAGGTTCTGAGCTGACAACCGACTCCCAGCCCTCTAGCCAACATGAAGATAAGTGTTTCGGGCGCATTGATAGAGGGAAACACAAGACATGGTCGCACACGTAATTTTGCCATCCAAGACCCTGCCAGGGCCTGTCAAAGGAATAGTAAAGATATTAACAAGGTATGATAAGTTAGCCAAGCTTTGTAAATAAAACAAAGCCAGGTATCATCAGGCTAGCAGCATACATCACTGCTGAGATCCAACGACGAATTAGTGTAAGTACAGAAACTTGGAATACAGTCTCCATGCAAAACAGCAAGAAGAAGCCTCGAGAAAAGCTCCCTCTATTGGCTTCCCACCATCATGCCTTATAAACAAGGTGCGTTCAGTACTCAAAGTTGTGATCATTAAAACAAACTTCAGAGGTGGTATTCCGGTCGACTGCCCAGAAGCTCAGCTCGTCATAGCCAGGTTCGGCCGGTCAGCACCAAAGCTGGAGTATTAATATTCAACATAAACAGATCCGTGCGGTTTGATATTTACCCATGGCTGAAATACTCTGTAGTTTGATTTGGTTTAAGGGGATAATGGTTGAGAAATTTCCAGAGGCAGCAAAATCCCACCAGTCGACTCCGCTTAGAGCCATAGATAGTTAGGTATGCGGGTTTGCGTATAATATCCGGCTCCCTTGTGCGACGTCATCAATCAAAAACTGCATCATGGAGGAAGTGCAAAAGAAAATATCTGAGCTGGAAGTTGACCAGTTCTCTTGTCGAAACCAGGGATGATTTCCAGAAAGTGCGGTGATTGATTGGATCAGAGGTTAAAGGCTGTCTGCAAATCCGTGATGCCCAAGCCAATCAGCGAGACAGTCACTTGGCAGGCGGACTGGCCAATGGTGAGGGAGAAGGGCCGGCAGCTGGTGGCTTCGAGTGGCCAATTTTTGTGGTTGCGTTACGGTTTCTCTTATCTCCATGCTGGCGTCTTGATATGATGGAGATATGCACCACGCTTGCGTTCTTCCTGGAGAAGGCGGTGATGCCTGGCGCGAAAAAGACCGTAGACGAACGGGCAGAGCACGGCAAAGCCGAGCGTGGAGGGCCTGAGCAAGACCGCCGGCTCGCCCGCCTGGAGCTTCCCAAGTTCGTCCACAACAGAGGGGCAAAGGAACGCTGCCAAGCCACCTCAACAAAAAGTCTCCCACCAAGCGATTAGTCCTCCGATATTTAACGTTTCCATATAAAATCACAGCCTGGGAATCGCGTTTTCTTACTTTCCTTCAACAACACCCATCCCCCCCATCATCCGTACCTCTTTGGTTCTTCATTCACGCACAGGATTAAAGATGGCTGAACCTATTCCAAACAAGAAGGCTGACCTTTTAGGTGCTCCGTAGGTCGCCCATCCGCGCTCTCTGTTGCTTTTTTTTTGGGGGAATTTCTCTTTTTGCTGACCGCTTGAATCCGCCCAACAGCACTCCACAGAACACACCTGCCAACACTGCGCCCATTTCTTCTCGTGCTCAGCAGCCCAATATCGCAAGCATCAAAGAAGGTTTGTTGTTCTCTATCCCCGCAGCTTACATAGGCAAATCGCTGACCGACTTCTAGAGGATCTCGACCGTGCCGCAGCAGCTTCTATCTTCGCCCAGAACCCAAAGCTTGTCTCCATGATTCAAGGAAAACTCGGTTCGCTCATCGGCCGGTCGTCTGGCTACATCGAGTCGCTTCCCGCCTCTGTTCGCCGCCGAGTTGCTGGTCTCAAGGGAATCCAGAAAGAACATGCCAAGCTTGAAGCTCAGTTCCAGGAAGAGGTGTTCCAGCTAGAGAAGAAATATTTTGCAAAGTTCGCGCCACTCTATCAGAAGCGTGCGACCATCGTCAACGGCCAGGCTGAGCCCACCGAAGAAGAAGTCGAAGTTGGCAAGGCTGGTGAGGAAGAAGACCAGGATGAGGACAAGAAAGCCGAAGAATCCAAAGATGAGTCGAGCGACGTTGCTGTCTCTGGTATCCCAGAGTTCTGGCTCTCTGCTATGAAGAATCAAGTCTCCATCGCAGAGATGATCACCGATAGAGATGAAGAAGCCCTCAAGAATCTTACCGACATTCGCATGGAGTACCTTGACCGTCCTGGATTCCGTCTCATTTTCGAATTCGGAGAGAATGAGTTCTTCACAAACAAGACGATCTCCAAGACCTACTATTACCAGGAGGAGAGTGGTTACGGTGGCGACTTTATCTACGATCATGCCGAAGGTGAAAAGATCAACTGGAAGGAGGGCAAGGACCTTACTGTGCGGATAGAGAGCAAGAAGCAGCGCAACAAGAGTAAGAGCTCAATCCACACTTTCTTTTGAGCATTCGCTAATCCGATTGAAAAAAAAAATTAGCCACCAAGCAGACTCGTGTCGTCAAGGTCACGGTGCCGACCCAGTCCTTCTTCAATTTCTTCTCGCCCCCAAAGCCTCCACGTGAAGAAGACGAGGAGGAGGAGGTTCCCGATGATATCGAAGAGCGCCTTGAGCTTGATTATCAACTGGGTGAAGATATCAAAGAGAAACTCATTCCGCGTGCTATTGATTGGTTTACCGGAGAGGCAATGCAATTTGAAGAATATGACGGGGACTTTGAGGAGGAAGACTTCGATGACGACGATGACGACGACGATGATGATGACGACGATGACCGAAGATCGGGTGATATGGACGATGAGTCCGAAGACGAGGTATGAATACGCTCCTTCATGACGATTTATAGAATTAGTAACTAATGTGTAGTGGCAGGATGACGGATCCAAGCCAAAGAAGGAGGCGCCTGAGTGCAAGCAGAGCTAAACCACCGAACCACCTGCGCGGAACCACCCTTGCTTTTGGATGAGGGTGTTTCAATCATGATGCGCGATTTGCCACCCCCTTTACACAGTTCGTTTTCCGTTTTCCGAACCTCTAAAATCGAATCATGCAACCCCTCATACCTCAGTTGTCCTTCTCATCCAATAATTTCCTTTTTTTTTGAACCAAATATGGAGTGTAATATCTTTCTCCCTGTGCGCGCTTCCCCATTTCCACCCCCAGCATCGTTATCCTGTCTTGAACCTGGTATCATAAAGCTACAGAGGCTTCTTAAAACTGGCCTCATCACTATTCTTGCCTGAGTCATATATTTCGCCTTTTCCCATCAAATCGGGATCAGGTCTTGACGCGAGGTGCTGGTCAGAGCTTCTTGGCGTGAGGCGTGGTTGAATTAGAAATTGCCTGTGTTACTTATTTGCTGCAAGTATGCGTTCGAATGTGATGTAGAAGGACCATGATATATTAACTGCCGTTTCCTATACTGCTGAATGAAAAGTTTTATATGTCCAATGGACCTGTGGAGGACCCCGTCTTCGTCAGGGCTGGAGATATCCCATGGTGGCCCATATTAAATACCTTCAGCGGGGATCGTCTCGTATCGAATTTTACGCGATACCCTTGTTCATAAGACAACAAGTCCAATGATCAACGGTCGACAATACCATATGTACTCCGCACACGAGGTTTCTCTCGTCCAGCAAAAAAGGACCCGCGCCTGAGTGTCAGCGCATCGGGCTAAATAGCCCAAAAAAAAAAAAAAAATTCTCAGGTTGGCGCTCTCCATAGCAGAAATGGGGAGGATTTGTAAACCGTAGATCCACTAGTCCCGATATGTTTATGTCGGAATATATGTTTATCCGAATCCACAGTTGTTTGGAAGTTTAAAAATATATACATTCTGAATTTGGAAATGTAGCTTCCAATCCTCAACATAGAAATTGGGAAACGTTCAAACCCCTGATCAACAAATATATCTAGGAATGTTTGGGATACCTTTTTGGGTTTATAAATGTTTATAGTATAGAAACCATTATAGTATAGAAACCATTATAGTATAGAAACCATTATAGTATAGAAACCATTATAGTATAGAAACCATTATAGTATAGAAACCATTATAGTATAGTTACCCCAGCAGACACTGGAGAGATTTCAACTAATGTGCAATACTACATACATCAAACCACCCAATCCACCTATAAAAAGGAAACACTCCAAGTGCAGTTGAGAAAGGTAGTCAGCAGAGCAGAATCCAGTTTGAGCCTTTCAGAATCTTTGCTGACAGGTATTGTGTAAAGGCTTGGTTTGCGGATTGCAGGTAGGCCAATTATATGAATCTCATCCCAATTCACCTGTAAAATCAGCAAATCCAGTACCCTCTCGCACTGAATTTCATAAGCAGAGAACATGGCAAAAAAAACCCTCCAGCAGCTGCCCTGGTTGTGGGTGAATATGCATCTTATTTGCCTAATCTTGGTGCCCAATGCACAAGTATACTCAACCAGATTATCAAGTTTCAATGTAGTGTGATGTGCATCTCCATTGAATGTAAAGGTCAGCTTTTGAAACAATCAGATTGGAGTCAAACCTCTGCCAAGCATATGTTGATATGCCCAATCACTGCTGTATGAAAGTCAGAGCTTTTGCAAAAAGGAATGCATAATTGGTAGTTTGGAAAGCCACACACTTTGTAAACCAAGCAATTCCATGACTTTGTGGCTAGCTGGTAGTCAGCAGTAGGCATTGATTAAGGTATGGAAGAGGGTGGTAGCATATGAATCATCAGCTTTGTCAGCATTCTCATCATCATCTTGTTGCTCATTGTGTTCCAATTGCATGAGGTCTTGCATGAGAATTGGATATTCACAATGAAGTTGCTTCATCTGGCTGCTGATATAGGGTTCTGATTCTATAAGAGCCCCATCAAGAACCAAGGATATAGTGCATTTGAAGCTCTCATGAATCAGTAAAATCTTTTCAACATCATGCTTGTTGGTTTGCTGCACAAATGCTTTGTATTTACAGTGTTTATCCTCCCTGATCAGTACATTGCAGTTATTTGGCACAGCATACTTCTTTGCCTGGTCAGCATAGTGCACCCTGATATGCATGTTTGGTTGGTGTTTCAAAGCATGTAACATCTTACCTGCTTTCAGAGCAATACTGACAGTATTGATCAAAATGTTCTCTGTCAGGGGTGTCACAATTCAATTGAACACTGGTGAATTCTGCTGTGATCTCAGCATCCATACTGTCCAGCTAGCCAACTGTGGTGCCTCAGCAGCCATGACAGTAGCATCTATCACTTTCTGAAGCATAGTTCAGGTGTTGGCAACCACACTTTTAAGTTCATTGTACCTGACAGATGTCTGAGAAGTCAATAGTGAATTGCTTCTTGCAATAGCATCAAAGGTTTTAGCAAGCAACAAACACAGAATGTCAGAATCAATTGACTGTTCACCAAAGAAGTTATAGAGAGCCTGCTGAACAACAGTCTGAATCCAGTCAGGCTTTAGGGCAAAGCAGAGTATAATTGGGATCACAATTGAAGCTCAGGCATGTTTCTGGATTTGGTAGAACTCCAGATGGGTAATTGGGGACTGCAGTTGGGCTCAGCATCTTCAAAATAAAAACCTCTGTAGGGTTTGGCAGTATTTCTTCTGCCCCTCAGGTGTCAATATATGTGATATCAATAATGTATGCGCAATTTTGGACAGGCCCGAAAATTCACTATGACAGGGGTCAGAGGGGAAAAATGTCACCAGATTCAGTGCCAGGCAGATCTTCAAAACTGGAGGACTTTTCTTGGCCAATCCATGGGTCTTCCACAGTGCTTCTTGCTCACAAACAGTCCACTTCACCTCAATTTCAGCCCGCAAATTGAGTAGCTGGTAATGGTATCAGCCATGTTTCACCAAGTCAAAATTCATATTGAATCTCTCCACATTGGAGACAGTACAGCTCTGACAGGAGACTGTTGCAGTAGAGCATTTGATTTCAGCATTGTCATTTTGCTGCAGCATGTCATCAAGATAAGCAATACAAGGAGCAATGACCCTGACAGTTTCTTTACCAGTTACCACAATGTCAAATCCTCTTTCAACTGCTTGTAAACCAGGAGCCAACACCTCCACAACATCAGAAAAATTTGTAGCATGAGGCCCAAGAGCAATTGTATATACATTGTTTCATCATCTTCTTTCAGAATCATTAAGTCCTGCAGAAATCATATAGAAGCCAGTTATATTTCAGTACATGTTCTGATATAGACCAAATCTGTCAATGAACAGCAGGAAGGGAATGGATATAGTTCTCTTGATAGGGTCACCTGGGCAGAGCATCTTGATCAGCATATCCCTTCTGTATGCTGTGATTTCCAGTTCACCCTGGAGCAGAGTGCTAAGTCAGAGCTCTTGTACAGATGATGTGTGGCAAATTGTATTCATCACTTGCCATACAAAGAACTTATTTGTTTCTGAGGGTTTGTAGCTATCTGATCTGTCAAAGATGTAGTCAAGATGGACATCCAGTCAGGCTAGAATGTTGTCTTCATGTATGATGTGAGTTTCCTGGTCTTCCAGTAAGAGCAGCTTGTTTGGGCAAAGCAGAGGTCTCAGTGAATGGATTCTTTTATCAAAGCTGCTGGCAGTAATAGTGTACTGGACAATAAGAACAATTTCACCAGGTTTTGTGCAGGCCAGTCTCCAGTCCTGACCCACAAATTGAATTCTTCCAATATGAATTTCTTGTTCATTCCAAGTGCACTTACATGCAGCATTGTTGCATCTGAAATGAACAAAATCAGAAGGAAAGACTGGTGTTCTGTCAGGATACCATGCAAAGTCACCCAATGAACATCTAATGGAGCTCCCCCAGCTCCATGATTGCCACAATTCAGTCAGGTTGTCAACTAGGTTGGCCATACCAATATGTATCTTCTTGCAAAATACAGGAGACCTTGCCAGTAATGACAAAAGAGCCACAGGATCCTGAAAGAATAAATTAGATGTAAGAGATGTCTGTATTAGTCACTTCTCAGCAGGCAAAAGAGTTGGCATTTTCAATGGAACAGCCAGTATGGATGCCTGTTGGATGGGAAGTATAGGGAATTGAGCTCTGCATTTCTTCTTCAATGTGCTCAGCCCCAATGGTAGAGATCTCAGTGTACTGATGTCTTCAGGAATCTGTAAGACTTCCTGCAGTGCCTTGTAGTGTTAGTGAGATATTCCCAATTTTTTGCACCATAATCCTAAAGCAAGCATGAAGTGGTCCAGCATTTCATCAGGCTCTGCATGCGCATGGACTAGGACCTCTGATGGGTCATTCATTGTAGTCAGGATGTAGGTCTCAGCTGGCTGATCACCTAATGAATTCTCTAGTTGTGAATGAAAATCAGAATCTCCATTGCCAACCAGGTGCACTGGATGTAACATAGTCTGTAACCAGGGTTTGGATTCAGGCTCTTCATACTGTTGTGATTCATTGTTATCAACTGATCCCATGGGTAGAGCTGCTACTGCTTCTTGTATAATCTCCTGCACTCTGATGTCTTCTGGTTCAGAATGAGTGTCAGATAGAGTGTCGGGCAGAGCATCAGAGGCATCTGAAAGACTTGCTGCATCCTGTACACAGTAATTAGAATGATGCAGGCTGACAGAGAATTCAAGGTCTTACACTCAATCCTGACTCCTCAGTTTGATTGTTTGGCTGAATGTTGGGTTCCACTGAAGATAAAATGTGATTGCAATCTTGCAATTCCTGCAACAAATGGGCAGGCTGTCTGCATCTTCAAAACTGTGAGGCTGGGAATGGCAAATGAAGTCACCTTCTCCAAAACATATAATTCTCTATACACCTCAAGTACCTTGGATCTTGCATGTTTGCTTGAGGTTTATACACCAGTTTCTGCAGTGGTTGAGTTTCAAGTTGCAGGAACAGTGAGAGTTACTGCAGAATTGCTTTGAGACAAAGTATGTAGAAATTAGAAAGAAAATTGCTGTTCAATTAGGGAATTGGATGTATTATAGCAAAGTTGAATGTTAGAGCAGCTGCAAAATGTGCCAACTGTGCTGCAGACCAACTGTAATATCTCAATCATCTAGATCTGTAATTGGCCCTAAGGGATGCAAGGTCAGCAATGATCTGCATCCTCCTGGGTGATCAGCCTATTTCAAAGAAATCAATCACTTAGTGGCATTGAATTTTAGAATGTAGGGGAATATGGATACAGATCTGAATAGCAACTTGGGCAGTCAAATGTGCTCCAAGTCAACTATATAATAGATAGTGAACTCCTCCAAAATTCAAGCATTCACTCTCATTCATTCTCAACAGCAATCTGATAGCCAAAATGTTGGAGACACAGAGCACACCAGTACCAAAAAGGACAGCTTGCACCTTCCCATGGGCCCAATTGCACAACATGTCAAAGGCTCAAGGGGCATCATTCAGTTCAAATACAAGTACCCAAACTGAAGCATTCTCTGATCATACAGAGATTGAAAAGTGGGTTCAAGTGGTGGAGCATGAGATACAAAATCAGGTGTAATGGGCCTATATATCAACATTAAATACTGACCTGATTCCTGATACCATCCAGAAGGTGCTGAGTCTTGAGAACTGGAAAGCCAGGAACAACTCATATTTTTGTGAACTTTCCAGGCGCATGTCAGATCTCTGTAAAGGTTAGAAATGTAAGATCTTGAGTAGCTTGAAGGTCAGAACAATGTCCCTAAACTTCTAGTTATGGTATAAACTGACCTCATTTGCAGGATCATGTCAGGAAATGTATTGAACTCAGCTTGACTGAGAATCCTGATTTCAGACTCCATGAAATAACTGATCAACAAAAGCTGATCAGCTATTTTGCCTGATTGTTCAAGTGGGACCAATTCTGTGAAGTCTTTTACTGGGTCAAGCTGTGTGTCAATTTTGAGAAGTCAGCTCCACAAGGGAAATGGTATTTTGAACATAAGTCAATGGTAAATCTTAATTGCCATGATTTCTGCTCTGACAGTTATGGCAATAGAGGTGTATGCAAATTTAGCAGCATACATGAAGCTGTATCTTGATGACAACAGTCCAAAACAGAACACATTCACCTTATTGATCTACACCTGGAATTCTGTACTCAAGCTCTGGGACTGCTTGACACAGAAACCAGGACTGAGAGATGTCAATTCAGACAACTTCACCTGATGGAAGGTCTGACCAAGGAAGCCAAAGGCTGTCCATGTTGAGACTTTGCCAGGAATTCTGGATGTGGTCCAGTTGACATCTAGTATGCCACCCAGGGAACCTGATTCATGTCCAGCTCAGGCAGTGCAAGCTCTGTGGGAGCCAGAGAATGATGATTCAGACAAGAAGAATCAGAATCCTTTGCAGGACATTATGGAGGATTATTTTGAGACTGCAACAAATCAGCCTGCCTGTTCAAAGAGACCTGTGCCAGCTGCAACTGGTTGCATGCCCCAAAAGAGATACAGATTCTAGTTGAATACATGAAAAGATGTCTTCTTGAGTCAAAATTGGCTGTTAGTTTGTGCTTCAAAATAGATTTCAGGGTTTGATATCTAGACTTCAATGCAATGCTCTGTTATATCAATGCTTGCAAGAGCTGAATTTTGCTATATTCAATATATATCTCTTTATCATTCACCATAATCAGCTGTAGGAGCTCTAAGCAAAATGAGTTAGCACTTAGTAATGTATAAATAGACACATCCCAATTAGGAAATCCAAAACAATCAAGCAGACATGCTAGATATAATAATCTCTTTCCACACAAAATCTCTCTCTTCTTCTCTTCTTTTCTTTCTTTCCTTCTCTTGAGCTCATTATATTTCTCATCACTTCTCTCCCTCTATTCCAATATTGAGGTAAGTGGTGGATTTCAGAATGAAATAAGGAACTGCAGCAAACTGAAGAATAATATATGCAGAAATAGCAAAAAATGGCTCTGCAAATGTGTAAATTGGCAGCAGCTCAGGACAAGCACTTCCTGATGTTCACAAAGAAGAAGCCAGGGCAAAAGCCCTTGGCTGTTAAAGAAGAGTCCACTATAATGGGTGATACACTCTGTGGCTGCTGTTTGACATTTGTGTATACAGTACATATCAAAAAGCCTTGTTTCCACAAGCAAGGAACCACAAAGGCCTGCACCAATTATGCAGGAGATAAAAAAGCCTGTGCTCCTGTCCCTTCAGAGCTGCAGAAGGAAGTGGCAGCATTGCTGTCTGATCATGATGATTTCCTCAGGCTTAAGAATGTGATGCTCTGAGAGGAATTGAAAGCCAGTATGGTGGAACAGGCTGCTGGTCTCAGTGAATTGCTTGCCAAAATGGCACCTTCATCAGTCCAAACTGACAAATCCTCTTCTCCTTTCCCCTTCAATACTGAAGTTGGTGCTGCCACTTTGGCAGTGTTAGAAAAGCTTGTGTCCATTCAAGCCAAACAAAAAGAGCTTGTGGAGCATACATTCCACTCTGTCAAGGTAGGTTGAACTGATTGGATATCATACATTCAACTCATGCTAATGTAGTTATATATATAGAATATTGAAAGGATCTTGGCCAACATCCACCAGGACTTAAAGTCCAATTGTTTACCTTCTGTAGTCAGTATACTTGATGCAATGTTGGGATGAATTGAACTGACTTTGATATTTGATGACAGAAAAAGTGAAAGACAGAAGAAATCATCTATAAATCAGCAGCCAAGATAGGCCAATTTGCTGCTGTCCTGCCCTCTGCTGTGTCTGCTCCTCCCCCTCCCTCCCCCACTCTGATCACACCTTCTCCCTTTGTTCAGTTGCAGCTGAATATCTCTGTGTTGGGCCTGTCTCCAACTGGAGACAGTGGAGCTGATTTGCTTGAAAGTATGATCAAGCAGCCTGAATGGGCTTGTCCTGACAATTCTTCTGTGCTGGTTTTATGCCCTGTCCCTGAACCAGAGACTCCAACTGGGGAGGCTCAAATTTAAAAAAAAAAAAAAAAAAAAAATTCATTACAATTTGGGTTGTGCGGGTGGTTTGTAATACTTAGTTAGTTCCTAGTAATTGAAAAGCTTCCAAATCAGGTTCAAAACCCTCAAGTTTAAAAATATATACATTCTGAATTCTATATGTTTCAGACCCTTTATACATGCATTGTAAATATATGGTTGATCTACAGTTTCAAGCTTGCGACCTGTGGTTCAACGGGTCGCGTCGGATAAACGTTTTCCGACGGTTGCCCGAAAAGCTCATTTTTCCGGTATGGCTTCCGCTGGATATCACGTGATCATCTAAGCCGAATTGGGCATGGGGCTGGTTTGAGGCGGGCCCCCAAAGCAGCATGAAGCACGTAATTTAGCTTCACCCCAGCATTGCAGAGAGCCCGTTCGCTGTTTCAGGGGGTTTTTAGGCTTGCTTACCCAAGTGACCATCTCTTAAATTATTGCTGTTACGGAGTGTTTCTGAGAGTTCCATAGCTTCCAGTGATCCTACCGTCTCTGTTCAAGAGCCAAAAGGATCCGAGCTAATCCCCCCCAACAGGAGAAGGGTGTATGCACCTCTCCAGAATACTCTTAATCTTTAGTCCACTTCTTCCATTCATTCACGACTGTTGATCACGTTTCTTTCTTGGCTGTGTTTTTTAGATGCGGATGTTAAAAGTCGATGCTCTTTTCACCACCTTTGCGTCTCTCTAGATTTTGTCCTTTGTGGTGCCTGACTGTCGTTGCTCAACGCTCCTACGTCTCGGATCGGCGACATGGCGCATACCTTTGATGTTGGCACACGGGCCTGGCAAACCGACCCAACGGAGGGATGGATTGCCTCGGAAGTGATCGAGAAGACGGCGGATGGGGATAAGGTGAAGCTGGTGTTCTCTTTGGAGAATGGAGAAGTGTGTATTTCCCTAACATTGCTCGGCTGTCCCGTATCACCACTGACTGGGGTTCACGCGAACGTAGACCAAAACGGTTGAGACGACAGAGGCGGATCTACAGATAACTAATAATTCGAAACTTCCACCGCTGATGAACCCTGCTATGCTAGAAGCCAGCGAAGACTTAACAAATTTATCACATTTGAATGAGCCGGCTGGTACGTGGTGTGATGGTGGTCGGTACGGGGACCTAAGTCTTCGTGAGCTAACAAGCGTATAGTGCTACAGGCAATCAAGTTACGTTACTATCAGAAGGAAATATATACTTATAGTGGTATCGTTCTTATCGCGACCAACCCTTTTGCGCGTGTCGACTCCCTTTACGTACCACAGATGGTTCAAGTCTATGCTGGAAAGCAACGAGCCTCACAAGCACCGCATCTCTTCGCTATTGCCGAAGAGGCCTTTGCGTGAGCATTTCCCCGCGAAGCAGCAGGTAGCACCATTTTTATACTAACAGCGCTGTCCTAGGGATATGCTGAGAGACTCAAGAAATCAGACGATCGTGGTATCCGGTGAGTCCGGTGCTGGAAAGACTGTGAGTGCAAAATACATAATGCGCTACTTTGCAACACGAGGAAGCCCGGATAACCCCGGTACATTCGCCACCGGAAGGGCAGATTCCATCAGCAAAACGGAAGAACAAATTTTGGCGACGAATCCCGTCATGGAAGCATTTGGTAACGCGAAAACGACCCGTAACGACAATTCATCACGATTTGGAAAATACATCGAGATCATGTTTGATTCAGAGACAAATATTATTGGTGCAAAGATTAGAACATACCTTTTAGAGCGGTCGAGGCTGGTTTTCCAACCGTTGAAGGAGCGAAATTATCATATCTTTTACCAGCTTGTAGCCGGTGCTACAGATTCCGAGCGGCAGGATTTGAATCTCTTGTCAATTGAGGAGTTCGATTACCTAAATCAAGGAGGCACGCCGATTATCGATGGAGTCGATGATAAGGCAGAATTCGAGGCCACCAAGAAGTCACTCACCACGATTGGCGTCTCCACGGAGACTCAGACCGAAATATTCCGCGTATTGGCTGCACTTTTGCACCTCGGAAATGTTAAAATTACCGCTACGCGGACGGATTCGTCTCTATCGTCATCCGAACCTTCCCTAGTGAACGCCTGCGAGATGCTGGGAATCAATCCCGCTGGCTTCGCCAAGTGGATCGTGAAGAAGCAATTGACTACCAGAGGCGAGAAAATTATTTCCAATCTCACCCAGCAGCAAGCTATTGTCGTGCGAGATTCAGTTGCCAAGTTCATATACTCCAGCTTGTTTGACTGGCTCGTTGACATTATCAACCGTAGCTTGGCAACAGAAGAAGTTTTAAATCGCGTGGCGTCCTTTATCGGTGTCTTGGATATTTATGGGTTCGAGCACTTTGCGAAGAACTCCTTCGAGCAATTCTGTATCAATTACGCGAACGAGAAACTCCAACAAGAATTCAATCAGCATGTCTTCAAACTCGAACAGGAAGAATATGTGCGGGAGCAAATTGATTGGACATTTATTGACTTCTCTGACAACCAGCCATGTATCGACTTGATCGAAGGGAAACTCGGAATTTTGTCACTTTTGGACGAAGAATCAAGGTTGCCAATGGGATCTGATGAACAGTTTGTTACGAAACTGCATCACAACTTTGCTGCGGACAAGCAGAAGTTCTATAAGAAACCTCGATTTGGGAAGTCTTCTTTCACAGTCTGCCACTATGCCATCGATGTCACTTATGAGTCCGATGGGTTCATTGAAAAGAACCGAGATACCGTCCCTGACGAACAGATGGAAATCCTGAAGAACTCTTCGAACCAATTTTTGAGAGATGTTCTAGCCGCCGCCTCTGCTGTTCGCGAGAAAGATTCCGCTTCCGTGTCCTCTCGAGCTGTTGCCGCTCCCGGAAGGAAAATCGGTGTTGCAGTCAACCGGAAGCCTACCCTTGGAGGTATATTTAAGTCATCATTGATTGAGCTGATGAACACGATAAACTCGACCGATGTTCATTATATCAGATGTATCAAACCAAATGAGGGCAAGGAGTCTTGGAAGTTTGAAGGACCTATGGTTCTTAGCCAACTTCGAGCTTGTGGTGTTCTCGAAACGGTTCGAATCAGCTGCGCGGGCTATCCAACCCGCTGGACATATGAAGAGTTTGCTCTTCGGTATTATATGCTCTGCCATTCATCACAATGGACGTCGGAAATTCGAGATATGGGTCACGCTATTCTACAGAAGGCTCTTGGCGATGCTAGCCACCAAAAAGGAGACAAGTATCAGCTTGGTTTGACAAAGATCTTCTTCCGCGCGGGTATGCTTGCATTCCTGGAAAATCTACGCACATCAAGGTTGAACGAATGTGCCATAATGATCCAGAAGAACTTGAAATGCAAATACTACCGCCGCAGGTATCTTGAGGCGCGCGAATCAATTCTTACGACTCAGAGTTTGATGAGAGGCTTTTTGGCCCGGAAAAGTGCCAATGAGGCTCGTAAGATCAAGGCAGCGACGACTATTCAACGAGTTTGGAGAGGCCAAAAGGAGAGGAAGCGTTACCTTGCAATTCGACAGAACGTTATCCTTTTCGAGTCTCTTGCAAAAGGTTACCTGTGCAGAAGAAATATCATGGATACGATTCTCGGCAATGCTGCTAAAGTCATTCAGCGAGCTTTCCGAACCTGGCGGCAACTTCGGGCCTGGAGACAGTATCGTAAGAAGGTGGTTATCGTGCAGAATCTCTGGAGAGGCAAGACAGCCAGGCGAGAATATAGGAAACTGCGTGAAGAGGCCAGAGACCTTAAGCAGATCTCCTATAAATTGGAGAACAAGGTTGTGGAGCTTACACAGGCCCTTGGTTCGCTGAAACAACAGAACAAAGCCTTGGTGTCCCAAGTCGAAAACTATGAAGGCCAGCTCAAACATTTGAGAGGGAAAAACAACTCCTTGGAGGCTCGTACTCGTGAACTCCAAGCCGAAGCTAACCAGGCCGGCATAACCGCGGCACGCCTAGCAGCAATGGAGGAAGATATGACAAAGCTACAGCAGAATCACACTGAGGCTTTGTCCACGGTCAAGAAACTTCAAGAGGAGGAGCGCATCGCTCGCGAGGCTCTTCGTGGCACCAACTTGGAACTTGACAAGTTGCGAGAATCTAACACTGACCATGAGAATGAGAAGATTTCTCTTCGCCAACAGATCGCGGATCTTCAAGACGAGCTTGAATTTGCCAAGAGGGCAATGCCGGTCAATGGTGTTAACGGAGACGTCAATGGAGCGGCCAATCAGCCCGCGTTTTCTGGTCTTATTAACTTGGTTTCCTCAAAGAAACCGAAGCCGAAGAGACGCAGCGCAGAAGCTGGGCGTACCGATACTGACCGCTTCAGCGGTGCGTATAATCCTCGTCCAGTGTCCATGGCGATCCCCAGCAGTACAGCCCGCTCTCACCTCTCTGGGTCCACTTTCGCTCCAGGTCTTGACTCGATTGAACTTGAGCTGGAGAATCTGCTCTCTGAAGAAGAAGAGCTCAACGAAGAAGTCACCATGGGACTTATCCGTAACCTTAAAATTCCTCTGCCGAATTCCAACACTCCTCCCACCGATAAGGAAGTCCTTTTCCCGGCATATCTCATTAATCTTGTCACCTCCGAGATGTGGAATAACGGTTTTGTGAAGGAATCAGAGCGATTCCTTGCGAACGTTATGCAAGCAATCCAGCAGGAAGTTATGCAGCATGATACTGACGAGGCTATCAATCAAGGAGCATTCTGGCTATCCAACGTGCATGAGATGCTATCGTTTGTGTTCTTGGCCGAAGATTGGTATGAAGCACAGAAGACAGACAATTTTGAATACGATCGTCTTCTGGAAATTGTGAAGCATGACCTGGAAAGCTTGGAGTTCAACATCTACCACACTTGGATGAAGGTTCTGAAGAAAAAGCTCTACAAAATGATCGTTCCAGCCATCATCGAGTCCCAGTCCCTTCCTGGATTTGTCACCAACGAGACCAATCGATTCCTCGGAAAACTCCTTCCATCAAACAACAGCCCAGCCTACAGTATGGACAATCTTCTCAGTCTTTTGAACAGTGTGTACAAGGCTATGAAAGCATACTATCTGGAAGACATGATCATCACCCAGACGGTTACCGAACTGCTTCGACTGGTGGGCGTGACGGCGTTCAATGACTTGCTTATGAGGCGCAATTTCTTGTCATGGAAGCGTGGGCTCCAAATTAACTATAACATCACAAGAATAGAAGAATGGTGCAAGAGTCACGAGATGCCTGAGGGAACTCTCCAGCTTGAGCATTTGATGGTATGCGCTTTCTACCTAGGTGAACCAACTTACATGGATACTAATTCTACTTTCAGCAAGCAACAAAACTCCTTCAGCTTAAGAAAGCCACCCTGAATGACATTGAAATCATTCAGGATATCTGCTGGATGTAGGTTCCTCAGTTTCCAAGAGTACCCGTAGGGCTATGGTACGATATTAACAAATAGCAGGCTATCACCAAATCAGATACAGAAGCTTCTAAACCAATACTTGGTTGCAGATTACGAGCAGCCGATCAACGGGGAGATAATGAAAGCTGTTGCCTCTCGGGTAACCGAAAAGAGTGACGTGCTCCTGCTTACTGCCGTCGATATGGAAGATAGCGGGCCTTACGAGATTGCTGAACCGCGGGTAATCACTGCTTTGGAAACATACACGCCATCATGTACGTCCTACCCCAAGTCCAGTAAACGTCATCCTCTGCTAGCATGGCTAACATTATTGCAATAGGGCTCCAAACCCCGCGACTAAAGCGACTCGCTGAAATAGTTTCTGCGCAGGCTATGGCGCAGCAGGAGAAATTAGATAGTGCAGAAGTCGGGGATCCAATTGAACCGATCCCTGAAGCATGATGACCTTTGATTCATTCGCTGTTATTATTACCATGACTTCTTTCTGGTTGCCGATGTTTTCATACAGCCCCAGCATCTGCTTGTTCATTTATCCTTCTCACTTTCATCTGTTGTATGATCACCATTGTGAGCTTTTTGCTCTGGAGCTTTTTAGGACCTGGTTTGTCTTGTTGCTAGAACTGGATATTCTTTGCTAATACGATTTCCACCGATACCGCCCATTATTACTAGACACCGGGCGTCTATATTTGGCTTGCTTAATCTGGCCCTTTTTTATGCCTTCAATATCTAGAATCCTTTTCCCGGAATTGCTGGCCATATATTTGAATGACACTAGATTTTCTTTCTTTATCTCTGCATAACACCTCCCGGCCTCTGGTTTGTTCATTCTTACATTGCCTTGGAGATACGCTACGCCTTAACTTGTTGCATTAGTGGAATATTAATGGCAGGATCTCTATTACTACTATATATCCGGACCTTCGCAGTGCCACGTTCCGGGCTCAGATACCTACGCACTATCTCCCATTGAAATCATTAGAATACACAGCTATCTTTACGGACTCGAGAGAACACTGTGAAAGGCAAGATAGTTTGTGTACGTAATGTGAGTTTCAACAAGCAACAGTGATGCCGCCGTAATTATTCAGTTGAACCATACAGCTCGCATCGACCGACGACGATTTCCTCGTATTGACTAAATCAAAAAAAAAAATAAATAAAATAAATAAAAAAATAAATAAAAAAATAGGGAATGTCATCCACCTGAGGTGCTGTGTAAGAGTGTTTCCCGGGAGATTTGAGCGATTTGTGCCCGAGTCTGGATTCCCCTCAGGTCATCCACAGTATTTTAGCTCATCCAGACGCACCCTTTTATCATCTGCACAAATACAATACACAAACGACCGTGTCTCCGTCCCCACTGTCGCCGATATCATGAAGTCTATAAATTTCATTACTGGCAACAAGAACAAACTTACGGAGGTCCAGGCGATACTAGGAGATGCCATAGAAGTGCAGAATAAGCCTGTCGACCTACCCGAGCTACAGGGCACCATAGAAGATATTGCCCGCGAAAAGTGTAAAAATGCGGCCAATGCGGTACGTTCCCCCTCTTTGCTTTTCGGTTTTATCCATATTAGCAAAACTTTTTGTCCATGGGGTGTTGGGATTATTCTTACAAGAAGCAACATTCAGGTTAACGGGCCTGTATTAACGGAAGACACAGCATTGGAATTTAATGCGCTGGGCGGTCTGCCAGGGCCATATATGTAAGTAAGATCAAGCCATTATTTTCATGTTTACTCTCGTGAGCATATGTACATTTAGGCCTCGGAGAGGTTTATAACTACATACATATTTTGCTTTTTCTAATGGACACTACTACTAGCAAATGGTTCCTTGAAAAGCTAGGTCACGAGGGATTGAACAAGCTTCTATATGCCTTTGAGGATAAAACTTCAGTCGCCGTTTGCACTTTTGCATTTGCCGCCGGCCCTGGAGAAGAGCCAATTTTGTTCCAAGGACGCACTGACGTACGTATTAAGCACTCTTCCAACTATAACAGAGATGGAGCTAATGCGACATTTCGGCTTGTAGGGGAAGATTGTCCCAGCTCGTGGCCCAGCGAAATTCGGTTTGTTCAACCAATGCATCCTGACCTTTCTGCAAACCTAGCTAACCCAACGTCACCAGGGTGGGATCCTATTTTCGAGTACCAGGGAACAACTTATGCTGAAATGGATCCGAAGGAGAAGGTAAGTGCCCATAGGACTCTCCCTAAAAGAGTGCTGCTTTCTGCAAGCCAGATAACTTATGACAAACCAGAATATGATTTCCCATCGATATAAGGCGCTTCAAAAATTAAGACAGTGGATCATAGAGCAGCGACAGAAGCAGCAGCTTTGAGACGAGTCCGAACACGCATATGGTGGAGATTTCCTCCCCCGCAGCTCGAGGTTCCTTCATCCATCTGTGGTTGCATGATCTCGTTTCCACGCGTCTAACCAACTGACGATTCTAGAACAATTGCTTTCGATCTCGTCATCGGTTTCACTTGTCAACTCGACAACGATTTCCTCGTCGTAAGACTGTCGCGCTTCGTCAAGCAGGACTTCAAAAATTTCGGCATCAAGGTTTTCTTGTAGTTTATCTTCTCCATAGCCTCTATAAACAAAAAGCAAAACGTTAGCCACCACCAGCTACTCAGTTAAGAACTTAAGGGTATTGTTAAACCTGCCTCGAAGATAGACGGTCATATAAGATCGACGTTGATGGACAACGTAGGACGACTACAAGATCAACCCACGATTTCGGAAACAAATCACAAGCATGCCAGTCGATCAAATACCCGCCTTGCACAACCTCATCTTCGATTGCATCCAGTAACTAAATACACTGACATCAGTCCCCGTAATGAACAACCACCATGGTACCCTCATTAGCACCGGATTGCAGGAGGACAGGGGACACAGTTGTATTACCTTGTCCTCATCGACGATCCAACTCTTCAATTTCTCGTCGTATCCATCATGGCAACCTCGCTCCTTTGCAACTTTGTTGATTGAGAGGTGCTTCAACCCAGTCTCCTGCGCGAGTTGTTCACAGTGAACGGTCTTGCCGACGCCGGGCGTACCTGTGATGATGATGTTGGGAGAAGTACGCATTGTTATTTCGTGGTAGGCGGAACAGCTGTTTGTGACCTATCCGGCGGGAGCGAGAAGAAATGCCGCAGGTACGGAGTATGGATGAAGCAGAAAAGGTATTGTATGTATTCGATAGACTCCTGACAACAATCTGGTCCTTAGCCGGTATCAATTGACTCTTGCAGCGGTGAGGAGATGCGCGATCTTGCGCCTTGCAAAGGGTATAGCTACTAGAGTCGCGGACTAAGAAAAATAATTTGCGACGAAACTTTTTGATGTCATGTGGGGAAGGCAAAGGGACCACAGGCTTAATGTTATTTTTCTACCCTGCCATGTAACTAAATGCCAATAGACCTCTGCATTTTTCCTCACTGCAGGCATTTACTTCATCCGTGTATCTTCTGCTACAGGATGCACTTGTGTGCTGAAGAATGGCAGGAACTCGGAGCAGAGACAGCTTCTTTTTGTACTATCTGGTATATCTACGCTTTTAACTATCATTACTATGCTTCGCTTCCATGTATTCCGGACAGTCTATACATGATAGGTGTATCATATTTGAAATGCGAAATTGTACGTATGGTAAAAGATCCGTTCTTCTTCAGTAGAATGTCATCCTTTTGCTTCGATTTTAGCTGGATGAGAAGGTGGCAAGAGCCTTGTTAGAAGTTAGCATCCTATTGTAGAACCAAGTGATAGCTAGGGTACCGACTTAAGGATTTCAAACTCGTCATACCGTCTTAGGTACCCGATACATCTTCTATGTGCTTTTAAAATTCGCTCTGGGTTTGGGCAGTCGACTCTTGTCCCGACCAAACGTTGTACGGCTGGTGATGTCTTGAACATTGGGTCAAACACGAGAAGATTGCTGGATCTATTTGTTCGCAGTTCGAATCCGACAATCGTCAGGGAATGGCCTAGGGCCTAGTCAACGCTATGGATAAGTTGGATGGATGTATGATTGGGTGCCATACCTGGATGCTGGAAATAAATAGGTGGCAGATGGGTCTGGATGACTTTTTTGTCCGCATATTCCGGAGGCGCTTGAAGAAAATACTCTCGCACTGCGTCTAGCAGTGATTCATCTGCCGTTAGTTCCTTTGTGCTACTAAAGGCAGCCGGCTCGCACCTATAAGACCTCTTAGCTCCTGTAGTGTCATCGGGATTGGAAGGAAACTTACTCGATTCCTAAACTAGAAAATAGAGCTTGAGCCTGCGATTTCCAGTGAGTTAACATACGATTCGGATCAGGGCCATTGGAGTGATCGCATACCTCAGATGTCCCGATGTATTTTCTAGTTCCCTTTATCCCGCCGGTCTCAAACTTTCCATTACCATTGATACCCATGTCCCAGGCCTGCTCTATCATATCCTGTAACCTTAGAATCGAGGGAACTCGACCGGGAAAATGCTCGAATCCGGGAGCCTTGGCATCTTGAATATACGATATCAGCATCTGAATGTTGCGGTACCCACAAAATCCGCCTTCCTTTGGCATCTTAAAAACATGGCGGACGTTGGGGTTGCAGAACCATGCACGTTCCACAGTCTCGTCCAGCTCACATAACTGAGAGAGGACAGGAACGAGTCCTCTGCTTTCATTCTCGATGACCTCGACCTTCGCTAGGGTACCGTCAGCCCGAATTTTGTTTTCATACGTCACAGGCGCGCCTTCTTCTAGCATCCTATGCAACCAAGCTGGCATTTGTTTCTCATGTGCATGTGGTCCTAATTCAGCTTTCTAGATTAACGTTAGCGGCAAATACATAGAACTAAGTAAGGGATCATACCCCTAACTGGGTACCAGCGCCCGTGGGTATCCCTAGCCCCTTTGACCTTTCCTTTTTCCTTTTCTTGTGAGAAGTAGACCTTGGCTGTACTGCCGTATCTCTCACAGCTCCTTTTCTTGGGCGGTCACGATCGCGTAAGCTTTTCGCGAACTTTGCAGGAATCAGGTCGTCAACGCCGTCATGGACGTAGTCCAAATCCGAGTCCATGTCAGGACTATAACCGACCGTTTTACTAGGATATTGCGTTACTTCTTCTAGAGCAATCGTCTCTGCGGAATGTAAGTCTAGGTGACTTGGGAGCTCGGCTACGGTTATAGCCTCCCCGCAGCCGGCTGGACATTCAACGTATGAATCGATATCACCAAATAACTCAGCATTTGCTGGAGATTTGGAGGGTGTAACATCACTGAGTGGGGTAGAGTATGTCGCTTCCGTGCCAGTCATTTGGCTGTCTTCCACTGCTATAAACGGCGAATATCCATTCTCGGGGTGGCAGAGTTCAACATGCTGCATTAAGAAATATGTGTCTGAATCTGTAAATTCACAAAATGGACACGAAGGAACGCTAGTATCATGCTCCTCCATGTTGAGATTGTTCTTTAAGGAAGTTGCTGTAAATATGACTAGAAATGGAGATTGTCGACACAATGATAACCTCCACGAAGATCAGAGGTGAATGGACAAGGCAAGGAGCATTTCACAAGCAGTGTATTCCAGACCCTTCCTGAATAGCCTGGAACACAATTTTTGCGAATGAACACTAGCCTCAAGCAAAAATGGTCGGTGAATCTTGAGCTTAGAATTGCTGAGATATGGCTGAAATCGAGGGGCGAAAAAGTCCTGATAGTGTCGCGTCACTGTATTCCGAGTGACGGTAAATTTTCACAATAGAATTCAGATAGCGAATGGAAAGTGCTTTATCACGCAGTCTAGTTAAATGTAGTTGAAATGAAAGATAAGAAATCAGCAGGGACTTCTCAGTTGTTCCAGAGCCTTTGAAGAGTCGAAACCAGACCCAATATGGCATCTTCACGGAGTTTTGGCCGCCAGCAGGTGGCTCTGCGGAGTATGTGTAACTTCATGGGCATACCTCCAAACAAGACTTAAGCACCTACATGAAGTGCTATAAACTATTCTTTTCTTTCCTTTTTTTAAAAAAAAAAAAAAATAAAATAAAAATAAAAATAAAAATAAAAATAAATAAAGCTTCAATTAACAATCTCATTCAAAACTTAGTGTAAATGTATCTGTGTTCACTAACAAAGTGTGGGTGTGAAGCTTGAACCAACAACTGATACATAATATTCTGTAAGGTTACATTTGTGAAATTGTTCTCGGCTCAAAAATCTAGATTGCTGCAATGGCATGCTCACTAAACTACCCTAAAACCGTTGAAACAAAATGGCTGGACAGTTCAGAGTAATCTACAGAAAACTCCTCATGGTACTGCAGAAGCTGGAGATGGAGAATACAGGAATGCGCACGGAATGCAATGGTATGCAGTGTCACCCCTTGACGTCTTCTTCGCCCCTGGCCTGAGAGGTCCTTGAGCGAGACTTCATTTCGGTCCATAACTTGCGCAGCCTCAAACCTTTATCCACATCTCGCCACACCCAACAATTGCTTCGCCTTTTGGATTGGCTTTTGAACTGTAGCAATCGGATCTGCGGTGTGTTAGCTCTGCGTGTCCAACTACCCATTTCACCTTATTGAAGCATAACACTGCTGCAAATGGACACAAAACAGCTTGCAAAAATATGGTCGTCCTTAAATTGAAGTATTATCCGACGAGTGGCAAGGGCCTGAACGCTTCGTGACGCCAGGACTGGGTCAAGCCCGAGAGATATATCCTTGCCTTCCCCAGCCGTTGGTTTGCGCAATCCCCTCCACTTGTTGTTGAAGCGGCAGCAGGGATTCTCGCGACTAGGCGGGGCAGCTGAGGATATATTTCAGGATCCAACGGTTGGTGAAGACAGACAGGGTTCCCCGTCTTCCATCCACGCTCTTCCTCAGTCCCGTTGCCACTTCGTCCACAAAGTCGTGGAAACAGTCAAGCCGCAAGGAGCAGCGAATTGCCCGTTTGGACCTCGAACCACCACCCGACGCCACACGCAAAGCCGTTGGAACACCGTGAAAGCCACACCGCGGGCGCGCGTTGTGCCGGGAGAAGCAGGAACAGGCGTTATCGGGAAGCGCGGAACACCCGGTTCGTGCCGATAGTTAGGCGCTAGTCCAGGCCCGGATTAGCGCTATTGCGTGATTCCGCACCAGCGAAAACCTTCCCCGCCGGGTTTTCTGCCGCAGGAAAAATCCGCGTTGACTCATGACGCCGGCGAGCTCATAAACCACTCCACAGGTCGCTCAATTGGTAAACTGACCTTGCAATTCGACGTACAATCACCAGCCAAGTAACTATCAGTCGAGAGAACCCCCTCCCTGGGACATTGCTTCGTTAGGGCAGCGGGGAAAACGCTGGACGTATTCAGCCTCCCTTGCTGGGTCCCGGCCACTCACTAGATCGGTTCCTTTCACGTTTCACCCACGATGAGCGAGCATCCGCAGACCAACGGACATATCGATGATGGCCAGATAACTCGTTTGACAAACGGTGTTCCTGGTTCTCCTCCATCAGACTGGATTGTGCAGAAATTTGGAGGAACAAGCGTGGGCAAGTTTGCTCTGGAGATAGTCGATAAAGTCATAAAGTAAATCAAACCCCCCCCCTGCCCCTCAGCGCCCTGGGCTTTTGACGCAGTCTGCCGCCAAATATTCGCTATATCGTTTTAATAACCAATCTACCTGTGCTCGACTAATCTGCTGCTTCTCTGCGTTCAGGCCAAACATCGAAGATCATCGTGTAGCCGTCGTCTGCTCCGCTCGGAGTAGCTCCTCCAAGGCCGACGGTACCACCAATCGGTAAGTCCCACCGTCAACGTATCGCTCCTGATTACGTGCCCTCCAGCCCCTAGTTATATGCATTACAATCAGGGATATGCGTCGGAGTCGTTAACGGCGGTGACCAGGTTATTACGAGCCGCTCGGGAGGCGGAAAATCCTAAGTCCTCTAACTACCTCTCTCTCATCGAAGCCGTCAAGCAGGAGCACATCGATGTCGCCCGCGAATATGTACAAAACCCGGATCTCAAGGCTGAATTAATAGCGCAAGTCGAGGCCGAATGCCTTCGAATCCTCAAGATCCTCGATGCCGCACAAACGCTCGGAGAGACCAGTAGTCGATGCGTTGATATGGTCATCAGTGCTGGCGAGAAATTAAGTTGCCGGTTTATGACCATTTTGCTAAAGGATCGCGGAGTAGATGCCCAATATGTGGATCTATCAGACATTATCGACTTTGCTGCTGGAATCCAGGCCTTGGACCAGGATTTCTATGATCGCCTTGCCGAATTGTTTGGTTGCAAAGTCCAAGAATGCACGGCAAAGGTACCCGTGGTGACGGGATATTTTGGTGTTGTCCCCGGTGGGTTACTGGATAAGATTGGACGGGGCTACACTGATTTATGTGCCGCTCTTGTGGCGGTAGGAGTTCATGCCGAGGAATTACAGGTGTGGAAGGAAGTTGATGGCATATTCACCGCCGATCCTCGGAAGGTTCCTACAGCTCGATTACTGTCTATGATCACTCCCGCTGAAGCCGCCGAGCTGACCTTCTATGGCTCAGAGGTCATCCACCCTTTCACAATGGAGCAGGTTATCCGCGCTAAGATTCCCATTCGGATCAAAAACGTTATGAAGCCCAAAGGAAGGGGCACTGTCATATTCCCTGACTCCACGTCTGAACTGGAGAAGACGGCACCAGGCCATGACCCAAAGTTGTTCCGTACAAGGGGACCTCAGTTCTGGTCCCAGCAGCCGGGTCCTAAACGGCCGACGGCAGTAACGGCAAAGCATAAGATCCTTGTGATTAATGTGCATTCCAATAAAAGATCTCTATCGCATGGGTTCTTTGCAGGTATCTTTTCTGTTCTGGATAAATGGCGACTCTCGATCGACTTGATCTCCACCAGCGAAGTTCACGTATCCCTTGCTCTCCACTCTGAAATCCCACTGCTCAACGGAGTCGGGCATGATGAGTATCAGATAATCGATGAAGATCTTCGAGGCGCTATTCAAGATCTCCGAAAATATGGAACTGTTGATATCATCCCAGAAATGGCAATTCTCAGCCTTGTCGGCAAGCAGATGAAAAACATGGTGGGAGTAGCGGGGCGTATGTTCACTGTGCTGGGAGAGCATAATGTGAATATCGAAATGATATCACAAGGTAGGCCCTTTCCCGCTCTCCTTAGGTTTATTATTGGGACACTTCTAATATCTCCTCTCCGTCTAGGTGCCAGCGAAATCAATATCTCCTGCGTGATAGAAGAGAGAGATGCCGATCGTGCTATCAACATACTTCACACAAATCTCTTTACCTTCCTCGACTAACCTACAGCCCGCTTCTCACTCGCCACTTTAGCCACATCCTCCCACCGGTTTCCTTGCTTTTTGATACCCTTCATATATTTTCATGTTCTCCTGGAGAGCGAAAAAGATAGGAAGACAACGGACAGCAGTCCCCCTCGTTCGCGTCAAAAGCTAGACTTTGACGATCTCTGAATGTATCATCCAGTCGGTTCCATTCCAACAATGGGCACTGGAGAAATGCATTTACAACATAGGCGAAAAGCCCTCTATTTCATATGTACCTGTCGTAGGCACCAGCCGCGAACCAACAAGGGTACGAAAAGTTTTTTTAACTTTTTTCTTGTTGCCTAGGCGTTGTCTATCAGCCATGGCTCTGATTTACGTGATACTCCATATAGATTTGGAAATTAAATGCATATATGCATTGGATGGATAATGTGAAGCAACCTAGAGCTTTTTAATGGTGCTATGAGCTGTATATACAAAATAAGCAAAAATTCAAAAACTCGTTTCAAACAACCCTTTGATCTGCACTTTATAGCATGGAGAAAACATCAATTACTTTTTGAAAGGTGATAGTCTGCAGGGCGTATCGTAGTTGGATGTTGACTGATTGTGAGCATAAACGAAGTCCTGGGTTTAATGGCATTTACAGTACACTTGATCCATTGCATTGTTGCGAGCACAGAAGTCATTTGTAACATTTTGTATCTGATAGCGCATATGCACGTAGTATCTCTAAAGTTCCCAATAGAACCAACCGGACAGCCAAACCGTTATATGCGTCTAATAGTCCATAAAATACAGAAAGGGCCCAAGATAGTTACCGTAAGCTATACGAATCGACGCAGCAAAGCGGCGGACTAGCACGGAAAGAAAATGGGCCGCCTTTTTATTTGTTAACCCATCCCTCATCCTCGCCGAGTTAAATGTCTTGTCATAGATATCTCTTTCTCTGCAAAGATCAAATGGCGAAACCAACACATTCCTGACAACACGCCTGTTGTCTATTGGGGTCCTCTTAACGTCTCCAGGTGCTTCAGCACAGCGAGATTGGCATCCATCCACCGCTCGACGCAGTTCTTTGCACAGGCTTCTTCATTGCGATCTAATGCGCCACCGCTGACTTTTCCGGTCATGCATTTCTTCCAGCAGACTTCGGTTAAATTGTGAACGGCTAAAAAACAGAGCAATGTTAAAACTCGTGAAAAGGCAAAAATAAGATTATAAATTAAAAAAGACAAAAAAGAGGGACACGGGGATTCAATTTACTAGATTGGATATTCGTCTTCTGGGCTTCATTGGCGATGAACTGCGTAAGTTCTCTTCTGTCGGCGGCGTTGAGCTTGCTGGGGTCGAGCTGTACTTGGTCCATGGCTTTTAGCTGTGATGTTTTCGAGGCGCTAGGAAACTAAAGGACAAGGAGGATGGATAATCTAGATCTGACGGCTAATTCAAATTGTCAAATCGTACAAATCATGGACCAGGGAGAAGAACGGATCTAGTATCCAGACGAAGCTTTGCGGTGTTGAAATTTGCTTGATTTGCAGCTCCAGCAAGAGGCGGTGAAAATTGGCAAAAACCGAAATCCGCCGTCATCATTTGCTGTTGCCGCGTCGCAGAAAGACTGCCTGCGGCCGCTCTTGAACTCTCTTTCGTTCACGACAACGGTTTTCATAAAACAGAAGCTGATTATTTGGAAAAAATTCCACCTCTTCTTTTCCTACTGGAGTCCTTATTTCATCCGTTTTAGCGTCTAAGCTTCTCTTCCCATCTTCCCACTCCAGTCATAATGCCGCCAATTCGGACATCGAGAAATCGCAAACCGCCGCCAGACGGCTTCGACGACATCGAGGACACGCTCCTTGAATTTAGCAATAAAATGAAAGATGCAGAAAACTCCTCTCATGAGGGCAAAAAGAGACACGAAGTGTTATGGCCCATCTTTCAAATCAGCCATCAACGTGAGTCTTCATCACTGGTCTAGCCCAAGGGATGATCAGTTGCTGTTCATAAGTGGAAAGCTGGAAAGAGAGCTCCTCCCTATGCTAACCATCTATATTGAACTAGGATCAAGATATATATACGACTTATACTACGAGAAAGAAGCGATATCGAAGCAACTATACGACTGGTTGCTGAAGAATAACTACGCAGATGCGAATTTGATTGCCAAGTGGAAGAAGCAGGGCTACGAGAAGGTAACGTATTCCATTTATGCTCCGTGATTTCTCCCTCGGTCTTTGTTGCATATCTCGTGTATAATCCTTCTGCTCGTTCCATCTTTGTTCGATGCTGACTTGTTTTGTTTGTTGCTGCTTAGCTGTGCTGCCTCCGCTGTATTCAGACGAAAGAGACGAACTTTAATTCGACCTGCATATGTCGTGTCCCGAAAGCTCAGCTGAAAGAAAATCAGAATATACAGTGTGTGAGCTGCGGATGTCGCGGGTGCGCGAGCAGCGACTAGAGCCTGCGGAGGTACTCCAGCGCGCTGGTTTAGAGCACAGGATTTCTATTTCACTTTAAAGGATATGATAAATATTGGAGTCGAGTGTGGATATTATCATGATTCGGATTTTTTTTTTTCTGATGGATGTTGAAAGAGTGTTTTGGCAATGGCGTTTGAGGACGGGAACTAAATAGCGTATCATCCTCGATGCTTCTATTGATAGGAGTATGATTCGCAACAAAATCTCGGATACCCAATATAAAAGCACCAATAATTCTTAAAACTTCAAACTGAACCTTCGTCCATAGTAAGAAGATAATTGATTTCAGTTAAACTTGTAGCTACAGTCTGCGAATTATCAACAGAATAAAAGTCAAACAATACCTCATAATCCGTAATCCTGTACATCAGACATTATCATCAGAGTCATAGCCCCAATATGTAGTTTTCCCACCGATAGCTCAATACTGTCAAGCCACTCCAAAGCAACCCGCGCGAAAAAAAGATATACAAACGAAGAGGAGATCAATGCTGGTAACAAGAAAGTCCGCCCGAGTGACCCATAACGACCAGCACGCCACACCAGGACGAGTCGAGAAATCTCCCGTAGCAAAGACACCTAGGAACTCAAACAATACCGAAGCTGTGCCAACGCCAGTTCTGACCTTTTTTTGAAAAACCGCAAATCCCAATGTTGTGGAAGATAACAAGTTGTGACAATCTGACCACCCATGCCGAATTTGGCCCCGAACGCCCTTGTCAAAACCCAGTGTCAATAATGAGGGAACTTGCCGAGCGCCGGAAGAAGGGGCATAAAACCTGACGCGCGACCATGCAACGAGACAAAAACATGTCCAACAGAGCACAACTGAATCAATAGAAAAGCAATCAAGAACAAGACTCCAAGTGAATCCATAGCCCCATCCAACGGCAGGAAGCTCAAAAAGCAAAAGAGAAAATATTAAAAAAAAAGAAAACTGAGAGGTCCAAGATTCAGGGACTCAAAAGTGAGCGAATAGACCCAATCCGACGTTAAAATCCCAAGAAAGCTTTCAAGGAGCGACCGAGGCTTGCTTAGCCCTTTTGTCCAACACTTTTACGACCACATCCAAGAACTCGTTTTGGAGACTGCTCCTCTTTAACAGGCTTTCCAATTTTTTCAAAACCTTGGAGAAGGTCGATTCCGTCAACTTCTCCTAGTGCATCTTCGCTAAATAAATTGAAAGAAAAGAAGTCCTCGTGGGAATTCTCAGTATAGTTATCGGTCCTCTTACAGGGGGACTCATAATATTTCCCAGCCTTAGCTTTCGAAAGCCGTGAAAATGGCGTATTCAAACGTGTATTTCCGTTAACAGCTGTGATGTCTGCCAGCACACTGGAACTGAATCGATCGCGTTTTGCGGATCTTTTTTCAGGAGAACCTAAAGTGGGAGTAGAAAGGGAAGGACCGAAGTGGTCAGAAAATATATCAAAGAACGGGGTGCCGTTCAATGTATCATGCACCAACGCCTCATCCTGAAGATTGAACGCTGGGCTCCAAGGAAGAACATCATCTGCCAGCCCGAGATGCTTGATTGGAGAGTTAACCATCTGCTGAATCTTCTTACGATGGTTACGGAGGTTGGTGTTGGGTGAAAGAGACGGTGGCGGTTTTGGCGGTTTTTTGAATTTAATTGCAGGAGTCAATGGAGGAGGCACCATCTGCATAAATTCGTTGCGTAATGGTGAGGAGCCCAGAAGATGGGTAGTCTCTCTCAGCGAAGCACAGCGGATGGGGCTAATATCATGCGATGAGCTACGAATGCGTGCTATCTCTTCTTCAGCGCGTCCGGCTTTGATCCGTGGAGGCTCAATATCCAAGTCAGAAGTCAAGAGATGTTCTGATTTGTGTGGTCTCATGACAGAGGACTCCAAAGAAGAGAAGTAGCCACTGTCATTCATGATGGACAGCTTACGTTTTCTTGAACGAGATCCAGGCACGGTTGCGGTAGCCGGGCGGGATGGAGTTGGAGGTGTGGCTTCGCGACGGAAAACAGGGGGTGGAACAGGTGGAGACGAACGGATTGCTTGAAGGGGAGAAGAGCGTGCAGCGGCAACTGAGGGGTGCGCAGTCGAGATAACTTCTTCGCTACTGTCCTCCTGAAGTGCTGGATCGGAAGCGGGTATTGTTGCATCGGAAGAAATATCCTGGCTGGGTGGAGAGATGCGTTCTGGTGGCGGCATAGACGTGTTGACGGGAGGGCGACTTGGCTGGAATTCCACTCTTTGAGATTCCGGAGGATGCGGCTGTAGCCGGGGGATCCGTGCAGCCGGCTGAGTCAAAGGAAGAGTTGACATGATGGGCGGACGATTGATTGGCTTCTCTTTAAGGAATTGAAGTTCCATTCCTGGGACAATTGTCCAATAGTTTCCCTTGCCAGGATCATTTTTCGGGCGCTCCTGCTTGACAAATGCCTTATTTAGGCTGAGATTGTGACGAATGCTGTTCTGCCAGCCAGAGTCGCTGGATTGATAGAATGAAAAGTTATCTGAGATCCACTTGTAGATTTGAGCAAGCGTCAGGCGTCGATTGGGAGCGCGTAGGATAGCCATGCCGATGAGAATCGCGTAGCTGTATGGCGGCTTGGCGCCATCGTCTTCGACTGGAGGCATCTCATGAGGCGCCGGAAGCTGGACAACTTGTTTCTCTTCGCGTTTCAGCTTCTTCGACGAGCGATCCTTCAGCGTTGAGGTCTCCGTTAGAGGGTGTTTGGTCGGGTTCTGTGTCTCATATGGAGTAGCAGCGACTTCTGTAAAGGTCTCATGAATGATTGGCTTCGCCGGCAACTGAGGTTGAGGGTCAGGAACACTGGAGAATGTGGTAAACAAAGGCATTCTTGCCGGCTGCATAGCAATACTAGGATATGGATAGGATTGGGACTTCTTCGAGGGAGATCCCTGGGGCAGTCGAGCCGTGTGAGGTGCGGAAATCGGAACAAAGCCAAGTTTCCCCTGTTCGGAGCCCGTCGCATTGGACCTCTGCTGAGGCTTGACGGGTGACTGAGGCTTTGGGTCCTTTGACGGGGGGTCTAGTACAATATTTCGATTCGCGTTGACATTATGAATTGCCTGAAGGGGCATAGGAGACGGCTGAAGATGTTTGGGATGAGTGGGAGGGTGTTGTGTGGAGGAATGGGCGGAGGTCTGGTTTGCTGGCTGGGGGGGATCCTGGTATATGCGTAAAGGCGGCGGATGTCGCGTCGGATTCATCTTGAAAAGGGCGTATGGAAAACCAATTATCACCGAGTCACGTATTTTCTGCGATTTGACGCGTGAAAAACGAAAAAATTGGTGGAAAATTTGCAGTCAATCCGGTGTCGGGCAGATGATCTGTGAGGCGAGGCGCCCAGGCGCAAAGAGCGGTAAGCACGGTAAGAGGGGTCGAGACGGCCGGCTCTGAATGACATAGAAAGGACAGAAGGCAGACAGAAACGATGGCGACGTGTTTGCGACGATGATAGCGAGGGATTGGAGTCGGAAACGATGGCGATGGGCGGCGACTCGGATCGGGATGGGGTGGTTTGCGAGGCGAGAGAGAGTAGGGCGAGAGGGAGCGAAAGAGGAGCAAGCGAGTGGGTTGAGAAGGTGGAGTGGGTGCGGCTGTGAGTTGGCAGTCTTGGTTGCAGCAGGCGGGAAGCTTTCTTGGCCTGGTGGTTGGTCGCATCCACCCTGCTAATGCGTCCAAGTCACACCAATACCCGCGACGCAGTCTAGATCCGCCCTCCGATTCGCCATTGCGTCGTCGCTGAAGGGATTTTCCGCTGCTTTTGTCGACGAACTCCTTGCACATCCCCCTGGCAGACTCCTTGTCCGATCGATCAAACCCTGTTCGCGATGGCAAATCCTCAGATCATGCTGCCCAGCCTTAGCCCGATTCTGCAGTGTGCTCCGTATGTACCGCTTACGTCTGACGATATGTCCCAACATCCAAAAGTCATGGATTTACGACACGCTTGTCCTCCGTGGAATTGCGGGCGTATTACGCAGAGTATTTGCCAATAAAGACGGAGTAACACCTTGCGCAGCTATATCGTACAGAATTGTCCTCCCTGCCCCGTGTGCCGTCCTGCCTACTTGCCCATCTCTACGGGGTACATATGTACAGTACTCCGTACATATGTAGCAACTATTGGCACTCCCAGGCATGCTTCGTAGTCCATCAAGACGCGTCGACCCATTCGCTTGGTACCCTCAAACGTGCCATTAAACGCGTCGCCAAGAAGCATGACGGATTCTCAGTGAATGGTGAGATCATCATTTATATCCCGGGACAGAAACCATATTGCGGGTTTTAGTCACACTCCTCCAATGGCTGCATGGAATTTAATAAGACTTTAATACTCTGGGCGATCATCTCGTTTCCGAGTTTTTTTTGGTAAAAAAGACTGTGATCGAGATGTGGAGGAAATCACGATGCAATGCAATTGCAGGTAGAAAAACCATCAGCATGTGTTTTACCCATCCAATCCATTCCATTACCACGCTGGGTGGCATTGTGAATCAACAGATATTAAAAATGATGTCTGAAGTAAGTAAGACCGGGCCATCATGCGTCAATCTCTGTTCCATTGCCTATATATGATTGCAAACATAACCGATCGACGTCTTTAAGAACACCAGAATGAAAAAGTTCGTCCCATCCATTAAACAATAGCCAGTTTTGTCGCCGCAATGTCCAGAGCATCAACATCCGGTGTTAACCGGGCAAACGCCTTCTTTGATCCGTCAGGTCTAAGGCGCACAGTTATTAGCAGCCGCACACCAAAGGTCCGATTTTCCTCTTTTTTTTTTTTTTTTTTTTTTTTTTTTTTTTTTTGAATCCTAAATGTCCCGCTCGCGGTGCTGGAGAACCTACCTGATCAGGGTGTTGATTTTGACGGTATCCACATCATACAGCTTCTTGATAGCCTGCTTGATCTGTCTCTTGTTCGCCTTGACGTCCACAATGAAGACCAGAGTGTTGTTCTCCTCGATCTTCTTCATAGCACTCTCAGTGTTCAGTGGGTGGACGATGACTTTGTGATGGTCGAGACGAGTCTCGTGAGGGATGGACTTGCGGGGATACTTGGGAGATCTCGACAGCTGAAGGGTCTTTGGTCGGTGGAACGTGGTCGATGTGCGGACCTTCTTGACCTTGTGAGAGTGAACCTGCGCAGCCTTAGTCCTCAATCCCTTTCCATCAATCATAGAATATGTAGACCCTGGGTGCGGATTTCGAATTTTAACGTACCCCCTTAAGCACCGTCTTTGCAGCAGCACCAGCCTTAGCGCTGGGCTTCTTGCCTATAATCACAAATTCCCATCAGTCCTGGCCGCACAACGATAAGAAACTTCGACGGAGATTTGGGGCGGGATTCACACCCAGCTTTCGCTGGAAGAATGGCGAAATCTCCGCCGAAAGCGTGATCGAAGTAGATGAAGGAAAAGCGCCCACCTGTCTTGCTGTCCTTTGGTGCCATGGCTACTGATTGACGGCGTCGTGGTTGTTGTCGCAAGAGTCAATCTCTCTTCCACTGGTTTCTCTCATCGGCCGTCCTGGCTTTCTCGCTTAGTTTGCCAAACCCTCATTGTGTGGGTCACATGATCTGTAAATTACGAACGTCACTCGGGAACCACCACCGTCATAAAATTCCCCACCTTTCCCGATGCGGAAACATCTAACTTCGCCTGGGCTCGACTTGTCCTGTAGACAGCCATCCGACCCTTGTGGCACTCCGCCCTTTGTGAAGTTCGTTGGAGTGAGATTCGCCGCTCGATTAAACGCCAGCATCATGCAGTGATAAGGACCCCACCGGTATTGGAGAAATCTACTTCGCTTGCGTTCTGGCTCAGACATCTGCGAAATATGGTGAAGATAGCGCGAAACAAGAGGCCGAAATCACTCTCGCATGGCAGACCTCCGACGATACAGAAACCAATCGCATCCCTATCGGCAAGGGCAACGCGGACCTTGATTCGATCACACCACCAGCTCCACAAAAAGCGTGCTCGAGCACTCACAGATGGCAACGAGCAAGAGGTCCATGAACTTGACAAGAAGATTGAGGCTCTTGGCGGACTCAAGAGTTATCAACTGGCCAGCAAAACGGGGCAATCAAAAGAGCGCGGCGGCGATTCCAGCAAGGTTCTCATTGAATGGCTCAAACCGGCGTTGGATGGGCTGACAAATTGCGAAACCCGGCTTCGTCTACTTGAAGTCGGTGCATTGTCTGCTAGGAATACTTGCTCGGCCGTCAGTTGCATAGACGTTGTCAGGATTGATCTTCACTCACAGGAACCTGGTATTTTGGAACAGGATTTCATGGAAAGGCCCATTCCTTCAACAGATCCCGATAAGTTCCATATTATCAGCCTTTCGCTCGTTTTAAATTATGTTCCCGATGCTACTACGAGAGGCGACATGCTCCGACATACCACCGCCTTCTTAACGTCGACATTGCCGACATCCAACGGATCCTTACGAAAATTAGCACCGTGTTTGTTTCTCGTCCTACCAGCGGCATGCGTGCTGAATTCTCGATACTTCACGGAGGAGAGATTACAGGATATAATGTCGAGTCTAGGGTACTCGATTATCAGGAGAAAGCTCACGCAGAAACTTATATATCAGCTCTGGAAATACAACCGCCCGGCCAACCCCAAATCCGGTGGTTTCGAGAAAAAAATGGTGAATCCTGGGGCAAAGAGGAATAATTTCACGGTTATTCTAACACCTGCCGAATGATTGCATATCAGTTAGCTGATTTAAACAAGTCGGCTTCGTAAATACTATGTTATGTTTGCTGGTTTGTCGTCTCTTTTTCAACTACATTTTGGCCAGTGTCCTTCCTCACGACCTCAGATGACATCCGAAGAGCCTCCTTCGCTTATTTGTATGAACCGGTGGCTAACGTTTTGGCTGCGATGAACTATTGCAATGATCCCTAAGAAGAAGAAATATCTTCGAGCGATACGGAGTAGAAGCATTAGGACCGGGTAGCGAGAGGGTAGGTGTGTGTTTCTCTTCTTTAGCAGTGTACCTCGTAGAAGCACCGAAAAGGTCCAAATCCCCCAAATAGCCTCCCCACAGGGAGGATAGAGGGTGCCATCCCTTGACCATCGATAGCTCGATAATCCAACAACTCCTTGGAAACCATCCTTTCCACCTGACCTTACGATTTTTTCCATCCCCCCCCCACTGTTAGTAGCCAGAGCCGATCGGACTTGTTCAGCCGCCGCGACTCAGTGGCGCAGGAACCGCTGACATAAGCCCCTCTGACGTCCCTCCTATAAACCCCCACAATTTCCCAAGGAAAAAACTCAAACCTCGACAACTCCCAGACAAGACGACAAGTTCTCTAGGTGCGTCTCACACTCAACTGTTCCCAGAGCCCCCTGCTGCGTGTCTCGGAGGGCCTGTGTGGGCTGACCGCTCACCGCCCCAGTTGTCGATCCAAGAGAGTGAGAGACCGTTGTAACTGGTTTTGGTCGCGGAGGTCAACGTCGCCAAGATGAGCGCGGCGCAGGCAAACGACGCGGAGAAGAATATTGAAATATGGAAGGTGAAAAAACTGATTAAGCGCCTTGAGGCGGCGCGTGGAAACGGAACGTCCATGATTTCGTTGATTATCCGTGAGTTGGTCCAGTGCTTGTCGTGTGATCTGGCTAGGCTGACAAGTCTGTACAGCTCCAAAGGATCAGGTTTCCCGAGCAGCCAAGATGTTGGCTGAAGAATTTGTATGTTATCTCTATGCTCTGCTGACTTGTTGAAAAGCTATGCTAACCGGTCCGTAGGGAACTGCTTCCAACATCAAGTCTCGTGTTAACCGTCTATCGGTCCTTTCAGCCATTACGTCAACCCAGCAACGCCTTAAGCTATACAACAAGGTGCCTCCAAATGGCCTTGTTATCTACTGTGGTGAAATTATCACATCTGAAGGAAAGGAACGCAAGATCAACATCGACTTTGAACCGTTCAAACCCATCAACACGTCCCTCTACCTCTGTGATAACAAGTTTCATACCGAAGCCTTGAGCGAATTGCTCGAGTCTGATCAAAAGTTCGGCTTTATTATCATGGACGGTAATGGTGCTCTTTTCGGTACCCTGAGCGGGAATACCAGAGATGTGCTCCACAAGTTCTCTGTTGACTTGCCCAAGAAGCATTCTCGCGGTGGACAGTCTGCTCTACGTTTCTCTCGTCTTCGGGAAGAACGTCGTCACAACTACGTCCGGAAGGTTGCTGAACTGGCGGTGCAGAACTTCATCACCAACGACAAAGTTAACGTCGGTGGTCTGGTCCTCGCGGGTTCCGCCGACTTCAAGAATGATCTCAACCAGTCAGACATGTTCGATAATCGCCTTCAAGCAAAGGTCATCAAGGTTGTCGATGTGTCCTATGGTGGAGAGAACGGATTCAACCAGGCCATCGAATTGGCTGCGGAGACTTTGGGCAATGTCAAGTTCATTCAAGAAAAGAAGCTCATCGGAAAGTACTTCGAAGAAATCAGCCAAGACACCGGCCGAGTTTGCTATGGTGTCGAAGATACCTTGAAGGCTTTGGAGCTTGGTGCTGCAGAGACATTGATTGTCTATGAGAACTTGGACGTTACTCGCTGGTCTCTTAAGTCTTCCTCTGGCACCGAGATTGTCCTTCACACCACCAAAATTCAAGAAGCCAACAGAGAGATGTTCATGGATAAGGATACCGGTCAAGAAATGGAAATTGTCGAGCAAGGCCCTCTTCTTGAATGGCTCGCTGATAAGTATAAGGAATTCGGCGCGACCTTGGAGTTCGTTTCCGACAAATCCACAGAAGGAAACCAGTTCGTGAAGGGCTTTGGTGGAATCGGAGCGATCCTTCGGTATAAGGTCAATTTTGAACAACTTGCTGATTATTCTGATGACGAGGATGAATTCTATGACGGTGAGATATCTCATGCCGAGATATAACAGAATATCACTAATTAAATCTGGCAGATTGACGGTATGGAGACCTCGCAGAGAGCGAGGATGGTAGCCCAGAAATCCAATCGGCGGATATTCTGACGGCGCGCCCGTCGTGTCGTGAAGATGGCGTTAATGGGTATTCCAATGAAACCGCCGTTCGGACCCCGAGTCCTGTTTCCCGGGCTTGCCCTAAGCTCCTTAGAGGTATAATTCCAGGCCCCGAATTCTGCTAGAGTAACCGTTAACATTGCCGTTTCCACAGGGCCATCCAAGCTCAGAACCGTGTCGACTTGCGATTATTCGGTTTAAAGATGCTGATCAGTGGCCGCTACAGGGAGTAATTATTGCTACTACACTAGAATGGACAATTTCCGTATGCTTTGTGGCTCTTCGATAAATTAGCAATACGGTAGGGAGGCTCAACAAATTGCAATCAAGCTGTATGCCAGATAGATTGTTTCCTCTGCAGAGTCCTCTACTTCGAGTTTAAACACGCTGGCAAGATTGTCTCTCCTTTCCAGTCAGAGATGCGTGTGATTTTTCTGCTTTTAAATTTCGTTTTAACAGTCCTTTCCTTCCCCGAAATTCCGGTTTTTGCTATCGCTTTTAAATACACTCATTCCCGAAATCGATAAATGCGTACAAAATCCAAAAGGATATCTAGTCTAAAATCTATCCCATCCGCGTCCCAATCGCCAGTTAATATTGATTAGTTTGACCCAAGCATATCATCCCAACTTCCAAGGTGTTGACTCGAGTGTGTAACAGATGTCAAGCCGGCCATGATCTTTTCCACATTTCGATCGTTGCGCTTAGCTGGGCCCTGACATTCGACAAAGAAAATATACTGCCAAGGCCGAATTCCGCTCGGCCGAGAATTGATAGCAGTCAGGTTCATGCTGAACTTCTTGAAGATGAAAAGTGCGTTTGCGAGTGCGCCGGGGGAGCTGTGGTCGATCGTGAAAGATATGAGCGCTTTCCGCATGGCATTCTTGTCAGATTCATCGGGCTTCTTTTGATCTTCATGGCCGCACAGCTTGGGAGTATCAGATTTTCGGTTGCGAAATAGTAAAAACCGGGTGGTATTCTCCGAGTCGTCTTCGATGTTTTCGGCCAGGATATCGACGCCGTGCTGCTCCGCGGCGAATCTGCTCGCGATCGCGGCGCTGCTGTTGCCAGGCTCCTTGGAGATTATCTCCGCTGCCTTTGAGGTCGCTGAGACGTCTTGCCGCTCGACTCCCTTGAAGTATTTAGATAGAAAAACTTCGCATTGGCCCCACGCCTGTGGGTGGGTGTAGAGCTTAGTGATCGCTTCGTAGCGAGGGTCCGTAGTGATATCTACGGGCGGGGGTGAGGTTTGGCCTCCATCCGCTTTCTTCACCAATAGACAATGGTGGACCGGCAGATAATGCTCTCCGCAAATTGCTACATCACCATATAATCCTTTGCGATCAGCAAGGAGGTCCAAGACCTGCACGACGGCGCCGTTACTTGAATTTTCGAGCGGAATGGCAGCATAATCGCTTTCGTTAGCTTGGAGCGCGGCAAAGGCATCTTGGAACGACGCTTGTGGAAGTATTGTCGCTTCAGATCCGAAGGACGCTACCGCTGCCTGAGAAGATGGTAAAACGTTAGTGAATTCTGAGCTCTTAAGTTTCGGCGGCGCCTGTGATTTCGCCACAAAAGAGTTGACAGGGATGCTTCTGACCTCGTGGGAAAAAGACCCGAGTGGACCAAGAAATGCGACCCGCGGCTTCGGAAGTGCAGACAATGCTCCTGACTGTAGAAGCGCCATGGCGAGCCACAGATGATGTTTCATGGTTGGCGGATTGATCGAAGAAAAGGTCGATCGGCCTGCTGAGTAAAGTTACGCTGCAAAGAAACTCGCTTTTTGGTGAATGCGGCGGACTGAGCAGGGCAAGTCTGTGGTACAAGTATAGCGGGAACTCTCGCATCCGCTTCACTGACCGAGGCCAATTCACTAATCACCGAGGCCGGATCAAAATAATTAACTACAGTATTGCACCACGGTGGATTCCGATGACGACCCCAAAGAGTGAGGACAAAACCATGAGCCAGATTGTCCGAAGGAATGGCCCGGCGTGGCTCAATGGCCTCCCCAGTCACAACAGTCGCAAATATGCGACATCACCGTTGTTGTCACGGCTCGAAGAAACACTTATAGGCCAACGCCTATTTCTCAGCTACGACTATCTCTCCCCGCAGCCTTCCCATCTTCTGCGCGTGTCCCTCGCCGATTTCTTGCCTTTCTCTCAATCCAATCCATTCGCAAAGGATGTGAAGAAACTCGCCCTCCCTTCAATCCTCGAACCTGGGCATATGCCCCGGGGACATCATCTTGTTTATTTCCCACCGCAACTTCCCTCGTCCCAGCTGGTACCGGACGGGTGCGATGTATTGCATTCCCCCGGGGCCCCTTTCAATCGCCGAATGTGGGCTGGAGGCTCTGTTCGATTTCGCGATCTCAACGGAGGGCCGCTTTTGAACTGCCAAAGGGCCGTATGCGTTGAAGGGGTTAGAGACGTGCGCGTCACAGGAAAGGAGGGCGAAGAGAAAGTCTTTGTCGGAATTGAAAGACGGGTGGCCATCCTTGGAGAGAAGGAGAAGGAGGAAGATATAACGAGTAGAATATGGACTGAAAACGAAGAAGACTGGGGAGATAGCACTGTGATCGAGAAAAGAAATTTAGTGTTTATGCGGGATAAGATCCCGGAGCAGCTTCGCGCAGAGAAAACCGATGGAAACCAGCAAAAAAAGATTCTTCGAGGTGAGTTTGCAAATCGCAATGTGCTACGTGGAATCCCATAGTTCGCGTTGACAATTGGCATCGATAGCTCCGGCAAATCCAACTTTTCGCCATACGCTCACTCCATCTCGCGCTCTTCTCTTCCGCTTTTCCGCACTGACATTTAACGCCCACTCAATCCATCTCGACCGTGACTATGCTCGCAATACAGAAGGCTACGAAGATCTGCTCGTCCATGGACCTCTGACGCTCACATTGATGCTGACACTCCTCCAAGACCATCTCAGCGAATCTAGACAAGCAATTTCAGCAATCGAATATCGGAATCTGGCTCCTATTCTAGTTGAACAACCGCTGACTGTGTGCGCAAAGCCGAAAGAACCGGCCTGTCGCAGCTTGTGGGATGTTTGGATTGAGCGCAACGACGGTGGATTAGCGGTCAAAGGGACGATCCAGACAAAACCATTTGGAAAACACGATGAGAACCCTGCTGCTACCATTTCGAGGTTGTAATCCGTATAGATTCAGGAACATATTTGGTCAATTAGCACTGTAAGTAGCTCAAATAGAATACGATAATGTCTAAACCCAATTTTCGCGCATAATACATTCAACAATGGTAATACCTGAAACATATCGCACCGGAGTTCAAGGGATATATCATGAGAAATAAAATTCCATCACTAATAAACAGTGGCCATTATATACCAACAGCTGTCAAACAAACGACACTTGAAACATCACTCAAACCCCAAAGATTCAGAGAACAGATAGCAACCCCCTTTTTGACCGAGACTCCAAAGTATGATACAAAAAAAACACAGCAAACAGCGCAAAGGCGAATCACTCTGAGTCACTACTGTCAGCCTGCTTGGACTTTCTTCTTTCCTTCTTCTCCTTCTTCTCCTGCTTCCGCTTCTCTTTTTCTTCCTTCTTCTCCTTCTTTCTACGTTTTCGCTCCTCGCGTTCTTCTGGAGTCTCACCGTCGTGTCTCTTTCGCTTCTTGGCGTCTTCCTTGTCTGCCTCTGGGGCAGGAGATGACGCTTCTTCTGGAGATGCCGCTGGCGCTTGTGCGGGGGTAGCCGGTGTTGCTTCAGTGGCTGGCTGAGGAGCAGCAGCATCAGCGGAAGCACTGTAGTCCTTGTATTCAGCCTGCCATTTGGCTGGGGTCGAAGCATTGGGCCGGCCAAATTTCTACAGTGGACAATTAGCACTGATAACAACTTCACGATCTGCAACACTGCAACTCACATCAAGCTTGCCATCTGCCTTCATCTTCTTCTTTTCGAGGGCAACGGGACCCATACCCCATCGTCGTGGGTACAGATCTCGCTCCATGATGCAACGCTTGACCTTAGCGACAACGCCGTGATCACAGGTGGACATTTCGACTGTGGACATCTGTGCAATGCCAAGAGCGATAGCTTCTCCCTTGGTTGTCATCAAGACAACTTCCTCATGGACTTCAATTCCAGCCTCTATGACAAAGGGACATCAGTACCGCACCGGGGTAATGCTAGTTCTCGATATTCCACTTACCGAAACGGAGTAATCCGGGAATCATCAATTTGGCTCCGTAACAGACGGCATTGACAGCACTGTCCTTGACAACAACACGCTTGTAGGTTGTCAACAAAGTCTCCAGTGGTCGAACCACACGTCTCAAGTACGATTCATCGCGGTTATTGTCCATCATCCACTGAGCATCGAGAACATCATGTAGCGTCACCATCCCATCCTGCTCGTCCATAGCACCACTTCGAACTCTTCGCAGTTCCTGCATGTGCGCACCAACCCCGAGAAGCAAACCCAAATGCACACACAATGTTCGGATATAGGTTCCAGCCTCGCAGCTGACCCAGAAAACACCCAGATGCCTATCGTTGTCGAACTCGTATAGTTTGCTCTCGTGAATAGTGCGAATTCGCAACTGACGCTTGACAGCAGAGATCAACGGTGGTCTTTGGAAAAGAGCACCGGTCAAGGTTTCAAGGGCACGCGCGAACTGAGCTTCGCCTCCCGGAATCTTGTCATGCAATCGGATCACACAGACGTACTCCTTTCCTGCTCCTTGCTGGGACTTGACGAGGCGAGTGGCGCGGTCTATACAAACGATCAAACATCCAGTAACTTTAGGATCCAAAGTTCCGCTGTGGCCCGTTTTCTCGACCCTGTAACAGTTACAACCATCAGTCTTCAATGTTTCTAAAATCGGGACCGGTCAAAGAATATCTCAGAGAAGGAAATGTACCGCAAAATTCTCTTCATCCATGCGACAACCTCGTGACTGGAAGGATTCGATGGTTTATCAAGGTTGATAACACCGGAGCTGATATACGACTTCAAATCACGCTTCAAGGGAGTGCACCCTGCTGGGATTGGGGTGAAATGTCCAGTTCTGACAAGCACTGTGAGTTTACGGCATAGTCAGCTCTCATTTTCTCTAAAAAAAGTCTCTCGAGCATCGAGCAAAGTCACAAAAAGAGAGATAGGGTTCGAATATTGTTATGCGAGAAACCGATAATAACGCACATTTATCATAATTCTTCAATAACAGCGGCCATTCTGATGTAGGAATTGGAGGTGTCGCCGCCTCCGGCTTGATACTGAAATCCATATCGCTCTTGCTGGCTGCCATGGTCGAATATGGTCGGAATCAAGCAAAAGAGAAGTTCAGAATGTCGCGATCCAGAGACGTAGGTACGAGACACCGGATCTATCGTGGTCGAATATACGGTTGACCTCCTTGTCTCTTTTCTGCTTTTTTTTTCGCTTTTGCCCTCGAATCTTTTGAAACTTTCTTTACTTTCGCTTGTGGTTTTCGAGTCGATGACATAAGCACCGTTTTATTGGTGGAAGCTGTTGCAGCTTGCTGCGGGTGGCCCGAGAGACCAGCAATGCAGCGTCGAGCTGCAGCCTCCCAGCAGCACAAGGGAGCACAGAATTATGGATGTCAGAAAATAGCACCCAACAGAGAAAACATAGATCCAAGTTCAGTAGAATTACAAATGCGAATAACCTAGTAATCACGTTCATGTTGCTGTACTTTACATTGCAATGCTTTGCAACCATCAAGGATCAAGCTAGTCGCCTCCTAACCGTCGGCCAGGTCTTCTGGCACCCCAGGCACCCCCCGAGAATAGACCACCAGTCGATGAACTAGTGGTTCTCGCTGAGGCTCGGTCCCTTGGATCAAATTTATAACCACCATGAGCCATCTGCGGCCCTCGACCAGCAAACCATCTCTGCACAAAGGCGGGAGTGTGAATGTAGTTTCTACCTCCACCGAAAGTAGGGTAGATTCGCGTCAAGAAGTCATATAAATGCGCGGCGGCTATTCCGCAACATTCGATCATCACCTCGTGCACTCCAGCCATGATCCAAGTAATGAAAAGCATGATCCAAGGCAGATGCTCCACGCGAATCTGCACGAAGAAGAAGGTGGTCTTCTGGCCGCGGTTATCTTGCGCATATGTGTAGATAAATGCCATAAGTAGCGCTGGCAACGTTAGTGATATTAACTTGACTTGAATCCATTCAACACCATACCTGCGATGAAAAGCGCAGATTGCATTAAGATTCCCGCTAAGAGCTATAGATGCCGTCAGCTTACCCAACGCAACTGCTGTGGATATATATTGTCTGGAACTTTGGGGAATAGGATTCAGAGAATCAGGGACGAAGGCTAACGGAAATAAAATATGTAGGGCGCCAGAACCACGCAACGTGAATTGGATTTCACGCAGGTTATTGTTTCAAGGCAATCCCACCATGCCTACACCGCATACATCCTGAGATTGACTTTTGCGAATGATAGGACTGTATGAAGTGCAGGGGTAATCTTCCTCGCTTCCAGGAACCGCTTCAGCTAGGTAATAGGCTGGGCGGGCAGATATCCGAGGTGCAGACGGTGCAAGAAATGAAACAATATCTATGATAACTCGTGGTGAAGCATATCAGCAGCTCACTCACCAGAATCACAGTGGCTACGAATACAACGTAGGTGAGGAAGTCACCAGAAGTACGGAAGCGAGGCGAATTAGCCTCTAGTGCCGTACCGTACGTGTACACTGTATAATCATCAGTGGAGATGCCACGGAAACGCGGCCATTTCACAATTCCGTACTGCAATAGAGGTCAAAAATAAAGCCGTAGCCTCCGCGAGTGAGAAAATATGGAGTGACAAGCCTCCAGACTTCAGGGAAGGCCTTGAAGATCAAAGACGGTACGAAGATAGACCAATAGCCGCTAACGAGCCGACCATGGACTAAGGTTGACTGAACGAATGTAAAGGCAAACATTGTCCTACCAGCGTGTCAGCTTTTTTTTTTTTTTTTTTTTTGTTTTTTTTCAATCGGAGAGACGAGGAAGCATTGCCTGTATGTAGAGTACATACCTTGCCACTGGTGGCAGAGCCCAAAACTGATCCATCCTGAGACCAGAGATTATTATTATTATTTTTTCTCTTACCCTTTTTTTGTTAGCATCAGATTGATATCTTCGTGGAGAGAGAAGAACCAAGAGGGAGAATGTTTTTTTCTGTTAAAAAAAAAAGAAGAAGAAGCAAAGCAAATTGTGGCCTTTTGGTGCAGGCTGCGGCTGATTGATCTTCCGGTCCGATACGTAAGTTACGCCGCTCCGGACAATACAGGCATTATGTCATGCCATGCGGAGAAGCGGCGGCCGCCAGGTTCGCTGGAGAGGAGGTCACCTGCTTGCTGTCGTGTGCTTCCACGCCGCTGCGGGTTCTCTTCCTCGACATCACCGCAAGCTCCATCGACTGTTTCAAACCTGAGTTTTCTGTTTATTCACACACAAGATGGCGGTGGAATTAACGTCCATCAAGCTCAACCCTGAGAATCACCTCCTCTTGGTACTTGGCACCTCCTGCTCTCGAGTACGACGAAGACACGGAACTGACGGAGAGAGTTGACACAGGACCAACCCCTTCTCCGTGTACCGCATGAACTTGCTCGACGAAATTTCAAATCAGTTCAACGGATCGTCGAACGAGAGAAAGATTATGTTCTACCAGCCCTAAAAGAAACCGCAAATGCGTCCTTGTCCGGAAGCAAGAATCCGACCGAGACCATTGAAGCTTTGGATGCGATGATAACACGAATGCAAGGCCTCAAACGGAAAATGGAGGTCCTGCATGAGGAGGAGAAAAAGATCGCTACGCAGTCGCAGAAGCGGATACAGTACATTCAGGATCTCTACAAAATTCCAAGTCTCGCTGACGTCAAATACGAACAATGGTCGAGAACACGTCTGAACAGACTTCTGGCCGATCATATGCTCCGCTCTGGATATTTAGAAAGTGCCAAGCAGCTTGCTGAGGACAAGGGAATTGCAGATCTTGTCGACCTAAGCGTCTTTGCTCAGTGCCAGCGGATTGCGCATAGTCTTCGGCGAGGCGAGACCAAGGAGGCACTCCAATGGTGCGGGGAAAACAAAGTTGCTTTGAAAAAGATTCAGGTACGCTGGCCTCGATGTGGATTGTAGGAAAGGAACGTTAACAGGTATCCATTATAGAACCGACTGGAGTTCGAGTTAAGGTTACAGCAGTATATCGAGGTGCTTCGGGTGGGAGATAAGGCAGAGGCAAGACAACATGCGAAGAAGTTCCTCACGCCGCATAGCGAAACCCAATCACACGACATTCAAAGAGCAGCAGGTCTTTTAGCCTACCCTCCTGATACTCGGGCTGAACCATACATGGTATTTTCACTGTCCTTTTTACGTTCGAAAGTGAAAAATGAAGCTAATGAGAATCATGCCGTAGAGTATGTACTCCCTCGAGCGCTGGAAGCATCTTTCAGACCTCTTCATTCGTACACACCACGACCTTCTATCACTCTCCTCTCGCCCACTCCTCCAAATCGCTCTTTCCGCCGGTCTTTCCGCCCTCAAAACACCATCGTGTCACTCCGCGATAGCTTCCTCCAGAGCCAGTCCACTTTCTTTGAGCACTTCGATTTGTCCCATTTGCTCGACTGAGCTGAATGAATTGGCACGACATGTACCCTATGCCCATCACACCAAAAGTTCAGTTGAGAATGACCCCGTTGTGCTTCCAAATCGCAGAGTATATGGCATGGATCGCCTATCAGATATGAGCAAGAAAGCGGGTGTTCCCGAAGGAAAAGTTAAAGATCCTATAACCGGTGAAATTTTTGATGTGTCTGAGGTGAAAAAGGTATATATATCATGAGGTACTATGGCCATTTCATTACTACATGCAAGGAGTTGGGGGATGGGGAAACTGGAAGGAATTGATATACGGACGCGTAATATCCACCCCGGGATTTTGAATATTCATTATTGAAAGTTGATGGTATATAGCTAGGCTTTGTTCTTATATCCACTCCAAATTACACAATTCATTATTCAATCATCATCGCTATCATCACTCTCATTCTTCCTTTTTCTCGTCCTCTTGCCAGCGACCTTTGCTCGATCTTCGAATTCTTTGCGCTCAAATACATAGCTTCTAGCCTCTCTCTCCTCTCCCCTCCATCCCCCCCTCTCTCCGTCCTTTCCTTCGATTTCTCCAAGCGTTCTTGAATGGGAATAACCCGGATAACTACCCCACGGAAATTTAAAACTTGTTACCACTCTCAGCCCAGCATGCCGTGCAAGATCTCGAATATTCCACAGCGTATACGGCTCGCCTTCAAATAGGGTGACAATAACCTGTCCAGGTTCAGAGCGTAGCTTTCGACTCTTCGACGGATTCTCGCCGCTATCCGAGGCATCGCTCAGACCTTCATCTTCCTCCTCCCAGTCATTACCATCATCGTCCAGAGGTGGTGCAGAGAGAAGTGGAACACACGCTTTAAAGAATGAAACAAGAAGCTCCTGGTTTGCGCGGACCTGCCGATTTACATCCGTGCTCAGGCCGCCAACGTGTGGAAAATTGAAACATATGATGTCCCACGGCCCGCTTTCATCTATTTCGCGGGATTTTCCAGCTTCTGGCTTTGAGTGTTTGTGCGGCTGTCCCCTTATTTTGCGGGTGAGGCGCGGAAACCCCTTTCGAACAACTTTTCCGCCACCGCCAGTGAGTCCTAATTTCTTTGCGTCTATTGAAAAGAGAACTTTCGGCGATGGCAGATCTGGAGTAGACTGTATACCGGCAGTGGGTTGGGTTGATTCGCCATTCGAGCCGGATCCATTTTCAGAGGCTGGCGTGCCCTCTCGTTTCCGCTTTAATCCTCGTGCCGAACCTGTGTATTCTGCTGCACTGCAGAGCTGAGTGATGTGTTGTTCTGCTGGCGGATATTTTTGGTATAAAATATCTTTGCTATCGTAGCATGTTGCCAGCATGCGTCGGCAGCCATGACTACTTGCTAGAGAGAGAGCAAACGAGAAATCTCCTGTAGCAATCATTAGACTCAAGAATTGGACAATATTTATAATTGTATGGGTATCACTTCGCACAAAGCCTGGCCGCCCAGGAAATTGCATGAACGAGAGCAGCACTGCGTAGCTGATACATACATTCTCATGAGATCGTATGAAGGTAAAAAGAAAACTCACCTTCACCAGCAAGCAGTATTCGATCGGAAGGCAAGAACGGAACGACTGGTCGTTGATTTTGTTGCAAACGATGCTTCTGATCATTTTTATCCTGGGGCTTCTGCTTGGCCTGCAACTTGGCTCGAGTTGACACCCGTGAGAAAGCACCCATTTTTTTCCCAGCCCTTGGGTCTGCCCTTGAGGTATCGCCCCTGGAGCCATGGTACTGGCTGTGAGGCTTTTTGTGCTTTCCCATTGATTCGGGACTGGTGACACGGCTTGTGGCTACTACTGTGACAGGTGTCGTTGCGAACAGATATTTAACTTAGGGTTCTCTCTGAATGAAGACTTTTGAAAGCTGCCTGGGAGAGGTTACTTTTATTTACCCAAACTCCAATATGAACCAACAACACCCAGCCAATGCATAAAACTTGGAGTAATGGGGTGATGCTCATTTTATATCTGCAAGGCCCTTTTTTCTTAAAGATATGACGATAATGATGATATTAGTGTTGGAAAAGCTGGAATAAAAAACCCAGCTGCGCGCTCCCGTACTCCCCGACTTCGCCTATAATCCAATGACCACTCTAGAGTTCACCAGCACAGGCTAATGTAATTATGTTTAAGTTGATCACTTCTGGATAGATAAGGAGAAACTCTGATCAAGATATGCCTTGATAGTTGAGACATTTTCTACTTCATATATCAGGTACCTATGTCATACTTATCGACCCTGAACACACCATTAAAACAGAGGCATACACCATTCTGAAGCCATGATCGAAAGATCCCTGTTTCTATAACCCAGGTACAACACCTGCAAACATCAACCATAGAAAAATTTCACAAGTTGGTGAAGTTGCCCATGCACCATCAAGGGCTGATGGGATTTCGAGAAGTTAAAAACTGGAAACAAGAAAACAAGAAGAGAGCTAATTAGATTTGTTACAATGTTTATAAGTTTCACAACGGAAGGAAGAATAGATAGATGAATAAATGATGAATGGCAACATGGGGAAGAAAGGTTGGCCAAATCCTAACATGAAACCGGGCCGAATCTGACAAATAGCACAGGGCATGGAGATTTAATGACTGCCATAAAGGGCATGTCACAGAACTGAGCCCGCACATACTTCCAAGCAAAGGCTTGAATTTCTGTGGCAGACGAATAGTAGGCCAGGTGGCCTGTCAAGATTCAAGAAAAGCTTTTTTAATTTTCTCATTGTATCGCGTATTTGTGTCCGCTGAAATGTGAATCAATCTTAAAATAGTCTATATCGCGGTTGAAGAAGAAAGTTCGTACATTGGGGGCCGGGCCAGCGGTTGCCTAAGATTTCAGTCCGTCTCTCATGCTTTGTGTGCTGGCGCTCACCGGGTTGGTCGTTGGAAGGACGCCCGTTCTCGGTTTGGCATTTTGCTTGACCTTGGCGAGCGAGTACACAATTCCACTGATAAATCCAACCACGATGGCCGAGACACTCGGGACGGTGACTGGATCGCCAAAGAAGATGAGACCAGAAAGAGCGATAGGAAGCTTATTCAAGGCTCCCACCATGGAGTATGTTGTGGAAGAGGTCACTCGAACACACCATGCGGACGTGTAGGAAATGAAAACAGAAGAGAGCCCGGAGAAGATCATCGCGAAGATCAAGGAGTTGCGGGTTTCAATAGGGAAATTTTTGTTGATGTTCTCCGAGGACCAGTCCTCAACAATGAAAGAACCAATCATCAAAATCGGGATAGATAGGAGGTTGTTGTAGAACATGGCTAAAGTGCCGGTCAGTATTTAGTCTATGTTGCGTAAGATTGTGCCTATCTGGCGAGAACGTACTGTCAAAATCCTTGAAATTGGTCAACTTGATCCGTTTTCGCATTCCGAGAATATAGGTAGAAGTGCAAAGACAGTTGATCAACATCCAAATGTATCCTGCATTGAGGGTGGAAATCTTGCTGGTAGCTTCGGCTCCGGAAAAGCCGCTGGTGTCGAGAGCATGCTTGATATCTGCCCAAGCTGCAATAACGGAACTCAGGACCATCAGGCCGAAAGAGAAGAGGGCCATTCCGGTCACGGACCCGCCAAACCAAAGGACCTCACCGTATGCAATGAGAATGATTGTAAGGTTCTTGAAGATAGTGTACACCGGGATCGACAGGAATTTGAGAGCTTTTGTGCCGGTGTAAATCATACCGATGAGGAGAAGTGAAATTGGAAACCCTATCATCATCAGATCAGTGGAAGCGTTCGGCAATAAAATGTAGATGAGGAGCTCACATTTTTTCGCTTCATCCGAATTGAAATCGCGATAATTGATTAATCCCATGGACTTGCAGGTCTGTATGGCGATTATGCAAACTACGGACTAATAATTCATCGATATCAGTGGAGCCGTCGGAGAATTTGCGGACGGGGAAGCCGCTGTTGTCGTGCGGACATACCTGAACACAGAGAAGGAAAAAGTTAAGATTGAACTGAACACCTGAAAGGACATATTTGTTTGTAACGGTCATTAAAATCGAAGAAGCACAATAGCTGAGAATAGGTAAAACCGGGCTATTTGATATCGATTGCGAGTGTGATGATGATGAGTGCCGGGGCTGAGGCTGAGGCGGAGGCCTAAACCGGTCCGACTCTGCGTCCAACTTGTCCATGTCGATGGCATAGTTATCATTCTTCTTTGTGTCCGCCATTCTGAAGAGCCGTCCGGGTGCACCTCTGAGAAATGCTGGCGCGATTGAGTGTGAGAAAAAGCTCGCGCCTGGCTAAGGATAAGAAAAGGGGGATCTCTGATTGTCAGGGCTGCGTAAGGCTGAGCACTGGGAACCGTAGCAGATGGGAAGAGACAAAAGGCCCTAGGCAGGTCCCGGGGAGGAATAACGAATGTAATGAGCCCTCTTGCGATGTCAACGGCGTCGGGAGGCAGCGTGGACGGGCAGCTCAGCGAGGGAATGAACAGGAAAAAAAAAGGTGAATCCGAAATTGTTGTCTTCTCTGGCGATCTCCGGGTGGTCGTTACGCGTTGGTACGGGCAAGTGGCCCACCAGCCTTACCCCTAAGAGACTAGCGCAATATTAAAATAGTTTATTACGGTACTAAAATTACGGAATATCAAGCCGCTTGAGCCATCATGGATTTGAAACGCGAAATGTGAACAATAAAGCTCAGCCGGTGACACACGCCATAAGGGAATATACAATTGAGCATCCTACGTACTCTTCATAGGTTTCGCCTAGTTTTTCCTCTTTTTCTTGCTGTCCTCATTCTTCGCCTTTTCTTCCTTTTTCTGCTTTCCCTCTAGAACCGCCTTGGGATTAAGTCCCTTCCGCCTTATTCTGTTCCGTTCGGCCCTTGCGATGTATGGCTCGTCTTCGTTGTCATCAAACGGTCCGAACCCTTCGTCCTTGGATCCTGCGCCATTCTCTTCAGCTATAGGAGTCTTATCCCATTCTTCGTTTGCAACCTCCCCATCAGCTGCAGTCTTCGTGGGCGCCGCAGAACCTTTAGTGTCCGCTGGGGATGGCCCGATTTTCTTGAGTTTGCAGACATAGAATCCGTCCACATTTTCGCGGTGTGGGAAGTATCGCCTGGTCATGGCCATCCTAGGGTCGAATTGTTTGCCCTTGTAGCTTTTAAAGCCCTCACTACCGAAATTGCCTAGTCCCGTATCGACGATCTTAACGTTCGGTCTCTTACGTAGTACATATTGCACCACCGCTTCATTTTCTTCCACTGTCACACTGCAAGTTGAATAGACAATGTATCCACCTGTTTTAGACGCATGGTTGGTCGAATCAATGGCAGCAAGAAGCAGCTGCTTCTGCATGTGCGGGAGGGCAAGGAAATCGCGCTCCGTCTTGGATGTTTTCACACTTGGATCTTTTGAGATAACACCAGTTCCCGAACAGGGTGCGTCTAGCAACACCCGATCAAACCCACCCATGGCTTTGGGAAATGCTGTTCGCGCGTCCAGATTGGATACAATAGTATTTTTGCAGCCGAGACGGTGGATATTACCAATAAGACCTTTCGCTCGTTCCTTGTTTGCATCGTTTGCCAGAACACAGCCAGTATTCCGCATCAACGCTGACATATATGTTGTTTTACCGCCAGGAGCAGCCGCCATATCCAAGACACGTTCGTGAGGCTGAGGTGCAAGTGCCATCACAGGAAGGAATGAAGATGCTGCCTGGAGGATGTAGTGGCCAGCGAGGTACTCTGGGGTGGCACCCAATGGTACAGGTGACTCGAATACTTGCAAGCCAACTTTAGACCACTTCCCAACTGGTTCGAGGACGACTCCACGATTTATCAATGCTTGGGCGAGCGAGCGACGATTCGTGCGTAGTGTATTGGTACGGATAACAACAGGTCTGGGGGTTTCGTTGGCTTCGAAGAAGGCAAAGGCCTCCATTGGCGTAAATAAGGAGAATAGCTTCTCTGCTAGATATGGCGTATACCCGTAGTATGTGCAAATATCCCGTAGGAGAAGGTCGGTATAGTCTACACGAGATTTGCCCGGCTGACCTAGAGTAGCCAGGTCGCCCAAAATACGGATCGTATCCGTTATCCGTGTTCGAAGGAGTTGAAGATTGGGGGCTAGGCCGGGAGGTAGATTCGTTTGATCTTCATCTCCAAACACGTCCGGCCGATCTTCTTGGATATTGGTCTGCATGGCCGACTCTTTCATCTCCTGCTCGGCAAGTGCAGCATCCTCCATCTGTTGCTTGTCCAATTTTCGCGACAACCCCTCTATATTCGCAGCCGTAAGTTGTTCTTCTGCATCTGACAAATCTTCGTCGTCCGAGAACATTGCTTTTCGCGGTTGGTCTTCGTCTGAATCGAAAACGGAGTCACTCTCATCTCCAGAGTCGCCGTCATTCGATAAAGAATCGGCAGCACCCGATACCGAGGAACCATCATCACTAACATTATCCAGGTCTTCGAACTCATCTCCAATGAGCTCCTCCATGTCGTCGTCTGAACTGCCCGATCCATCGGAGTCCAGGAACGAAAGCTTAGCCGGAGCGGGCTTCTCTTCAGTCTTGACCGTCTTAGGCTTCTTAATTTTTGCAGCTCCCTTTGCCGCTATCGAGTCCCCATTGCTTTTTTGGTTTGCATTCTTCTTCAACTCTGCCTTGTTTTCAGCTCTTCGACGCTTGTTCCCTCGAGGAGCGGCGTCCTCCAGGGCATCGGCTTTTCGTCTTTTTAAAGATGATATCTTCGACTCATCTAGAGGAGGCGGAGGGCCTTGCTTTTTCATGCGCCGCCCGACACCCATTGTGTATAATGAATCGCTGCTTTCCGCGACGGAAGGACGTTGCGCCAGCTGTAAATATTCGGTCCGACTGGAAAATTGAGCGCTCGAGAAAGTTTAACTTTTAGCAGCTCCGTTGCTGATTGATAAGATAACTAGTTAACGAAGCCTCCTGGCACGTGACCACCGAGCTCCCGCTGAGCAATATCACCGTCCACATGCTCACGATCGTGTGAACAAATACAAGGGCTCTTGGTTTAATCTTCTAGCTTTGTTCCAATAAGTACAACCTATTGTTGGCAGAATGGCGGAACTATCATTTACAAAAGCCTTCCTGGCACATCTCGACTCGAAACCCATCAAGTTCCCCGCAGACCACGCCTTTGACCCACGGGAGTTCCAACCACGCCAGCCTGTACGAATCTGAATGCCAGTCCATATTAGTGTGAATGCAGTCTGGACGAAGGCTAATTCCCTTCTTTATGCGTAGTTTACCCTTCCTCGCCTCTCCGATCCTCCGCATCCGCCGCTCCCCAAAAAGATTAAGCCAGCCGCCATACCTGGCTCTTCCAAGTCCATAACGATCCACCTCAAATCCGCTCGCAACCCCGTTCTCGATATTACTCTCGACAACATCCCCCTATCTAACGCAACAATTCAAGACCTCAAAGAAGCCGTTCAAAACCGAACTAAACCCACAAACGCAGAAAACGATAGCGAGAATGTTCCCCTGGATAAGATCAAGATTTTATGGAAACGTAGACCGGTGCAGGGTAAATTAGTTACAGATGCTCTAGCGAATGATCCGGACGCTCTTGTCGGCGGGAAAGAAGTGGAGTTCGGCGTTATGATCTTGGGGGGTGCAGCGATGATACCTCCGAAAGAATCGTCTGCTCCGACGACAGAGGGCAAAGCGGAAGAGCCGGTAGCACAAGAGGCCGTGCGGGTGCCAGAAGCCGCGCAGCCTCTGCCTGGAGATAGTGCAGGTATACTGAAATCAGTGTCCTTCTGGGATGACCTAGAGGGTTTTTTGAAGATGAGACTTAAAGATGAGAACGAGGCAGCTCGATTAAGATCATTGTTCACGAAGACATGGGAATCGAGCGTATGAGGTTCCATATATCAGATTGAAACAATGGCGATAGGAATGTTTCTTGTCTTGCTCATGAGATACTACTTTTATTCGCTGGTATAGTTAAAGCGGAATGATTTTATGTCGCCCAGGGGCCCTGCTTCTGTTGAAGCTCTTAAGGTCGCTTCATATTATTGAAGGCTGGCTCCAATCATATGCTAGATTCCATAATATCTTTCATATCCATGTAACAAGAAACTTGGGGAATGAAATCTGAACGAGATAAGGGCATGTCACAGGCAGTTCATTAAAATGCAATAATACCATGAAGACAAGCCGGCAGTAAAGAATTTATGTTATACAGAAGTTGAAGAAGAATATTGGGGGGTTTGGGCCAAGGCATGAGGTGCTTAGGAGAATAACATATTGGTATTTTGACATTAAGGGTAACATTCATGGACATTGTAAAAGGGAATATGGGGAATATGGGATACAGTATCAGTAAAAAGCACACCCCATTGCATGGTAGAGCAGGAGATTGTTGATTTTTCAGGGTATCGTGAAAGGCAAGAGACCAAGCCCAGGCATGCATAGAGAAGAACTGTAAACCAAGGCGAAGAACCTCTGCAATGAAAGATTTCTTGGGAATATGTGCTTCTAAAATCCCAAGCATTTAGTAGATTGGTAAGGACTTTCCAAATAGTCCAGGGTGAAAAGGAGGGCGAGAAACTTGTAGCGTCACGTGAAGTTCCCAGCTGTAAAAGGTAATCATGGGGGAAACACACATAAACAACTTCTGCATATGAACCGGGAGCCCTCTGCATCATACGTGATTCTAAGGGTGAAATGGCTTCACAGAGGTAGAAAGGTTCACTCATGTATGTGCTCAGGCCCTTGCAAAGACTTTAACCACTCCATCCCCACCTCCGCTGATAACCCACCTTCCGTCGCGACTCCAAACAACAGAGCAGACTCCTTCACCTCGCATGAGTCTGTGGCTTGTGATTTCCTGGGTGCAACTGCGCTTTTCTAAGGACCAGAAGCGAAGGCTTGCGTCATGTCCGGCAGAAACGAGCTCCCGACCATCAGGGGATAAAGAGAGCGAGGAGATGGCCGCAGGATGAGCAAGCATGGTGTAAGTGCATTGGCCTGAACAAGTCGATGTGTTAGTTCTAACGACGGAAAAGATGACCCGAAGATTGGGCAACTTACCACTATTAGCATCAAATAAACGGATATAGCGGTCCTCGTAGCCACTAATGATAACACCTTCAACTCCACCACTTGTGCCTGTGGCACCATGCACAACTGTTTCTTCTTCAGCCAGCGGTCTATTGGGGTCCAATCCAGCAGTGCCGTCAAAGCCAATGGTACTGGCCACCACAGAGTTGACACCAGTGGAGCGAGTCCCATCATAAGTTTCCAGGCTTGCCATGCCGACGATTTGCTCTCCAGTTCGCGTGTCATAGACGAGGACAGAGGCATCAGCGTATGACACCACGAAGTTCACGCCGGCCAAGGACAGAGGACTGATACAGGTGGGCGAAGGGAAATCGGGTCGAACGATATGGTGAACCAGGGCATAATGGAATGGCGTTGCTGTTGCGGTGCTTGGCTGAGGCGATGAAGGGAAGTTTGATCCTGAGGAAATGGAGTTTGCTCTTCTACTTCCACCAGCTCTTCGTGAACTCGCCTGTGGAGAACTCAATTGTGGCGGGGAACTGACTGCCCATATCAGGATCTTTCCATCTGCAGCACCCGAAGCAAGCAGTATACGATCTGCACCACCGTAGAGGCTACTACGATCTCCGAGAATTGAACCGGAAGTGCCAGGCAACACGCATAAAGTCCAGACTGCATCTGTATGGGCATCCAATGTTGCCTTAGCGTCGACCCTACCGCGCTCCCAAACCCTGACAGTTCCATCTTGTCCTCCAGAAAATACCCAGCCATCTCCAAGGGCTCGGCCACCATTGGAGAAGTCTCGGGAGGCTGGACACGCGGCGAGGCAGGTTACCGAACCACTGTGACCCCTATGTGTAAAGTAACTGGTGATATCAAGGTCATTACCTGATGATGCACTGTTAGGGCCAAAGCTACCATAAGTCGCTGGGAGGATCCACCGCTTGATCGTTCCATCATCACCACAAGTACAGACTTCGGGTTCTGAAGGGCTTCCGCCACCAGTAAAAATGACAGATCGGACCACATCGAGATGACCGCGCAAAGCAAACCGGACCTTGAAATTGGACGGTTCCAGTCTTTGTACTTCTAATCCAGCTCCCTCCCTTAGATCAATGCTTCCATCGCTGCGTCTTCTCGAACCAGAGCTTTTCCTCCGGTGAGAACCCGGTCCAGCCCGCGGAAGCGATTTGGGGCTCACAAAATTTGCATTAGGAAAGGCATCTTGATCTGGTCGGTGAGGTTGAGCCGTGGTGGATGGCGGTTCGCTCAGGGAAGGTTCATCAAAGTTCCATCCGTCAGCTTCGTCAACAAAAATACTATCCGAAGGTAGAGAGCGGCGGTCCGATTGTTCTTCAGATGGTTTATTAAACGAATCAAATGATCGTCCTTCCGCATCACGGCGAGGTCCCTCAGAGACAGGTAAGTCTTCAAAGGCTCCCTTTCGTCCATCCAACGGGGGTCCAGGCATGCGCTGTTGTTCATATGCTCTCCTCTCTAGTATCTCGCGTGGCACTCCCGGCGGGTGACTCTCTGATGCAGTGTAACCGCTGTTCTCAGGATAGTTGGAAAGCATATGCTGATGTATAGAAGGCTCCCGAACCATATTAACATGGTTAGGTTGCGACTGTTTCAAATGCATTTGCGCCGACTGGCCTTGACCCTGTTGTGGGTGATGCGGCTGAGCATAGGGTTCTTGTTGTTGCATGTGGTGCCTGCTGCGGAAGATCTCAGGGGGCTCATGAAGGTCAAGAGGTGGATGATACCCGGGAATTATGTGATACGCAACCTCTTGGGAGCATTTTCCAAGGAAATTTCGAGATTTATCGCGCTCAGTATCATGGTGCATAGCCGAATGGGTTGGGTCGTCCTGGTCAACCTCAACATCTAGACCAGTATGCTTGGGAAATTCTAAAAATGTTAAGTGATCAACGCCGCAGAGAAGGTTGTTAAGAGAGACTTACGGGTCTGAAGGTCCTTCAGGCTTTCTTTGGCCAGGTCTTTGGGATCGGTACCAAGGTCGACTTTCTCTCCAACTGCGAGTTTCTTGACTTTTTCCCTTTCCTTCTTGAGCGCGATTTCAAGAATTTTTACATGCTTTCCCAAGGACTCGTGCATGCGTTTGCTCGTCCGAGCATCGCCTTCAAGTCTGCCAATTCTTGATTTCATTTCCGCTCGCTCAATTTCCCAAGCATTACGATCCCTTTCATGTCGATGCCACTCGGACTGGAGAAATCGCATTACGCCTATAGTGCCGGAGGAAAACGCACGTTAGTACTGTAGACAAGCCTAAGAAATAGGGTGAATGGATGTGCAAGCTGACCTTGTAGGGTGTACTCTGTTCCCTGCGGACGTCCGCCATTGTTGTTATCCATGTTTCCCCCACTCATCTCCCCATTACCAGCCATGGCAGGTGGAGTCTGCCAGGCCATCTAAAAGTAAACAATTGTTCGGTGTTCAAGAGAGGGTCTGTTGTTGAAATGCAGGGTTCCCTGAAGCTGTCTTCCCTTTCGTCTCAATCGCGCGAAACAAGAACAGGAGAGCGGCCTGAGAAGTCCGTGCACCACGGTAAAGCCAACAAGCGAAATGGAGCGCTATTTTACAACGGAAGAAGACAGCACCAGCAGGCTCCTGCACTCTGGTTCTGGGCTATCTCAGTCTGGCATTTGAAAAACGGACAAACACGCTGAACAGAATTGTTGGCCTCTGAAGCTCAGCGCTCTCTCGCTGGTCTCCCTGGCGCTGGTGCCAAGAGGACCAACTGCGATGAGGTGAGCGCACTAACCTCCTCCGGTAAGCGTCAATATCGCTCAAAGGCTTGTTATTAAGCAACCCCCGCGTGCGGACATTTGTAATGGAATTTCGCATTGAAGCGAGGTAAATTACAGACTTCCCTTGTAGCATTATTCCACAGGCCTGGATATGAAGCCAGCTTCCCAGAGGTCTAGACTAGGCAATGTATACACCTATACACTGAAAAGGTGGTTCTTGACTTTGATTCAACAGATTCGATTTCTGTTCACCTTTAGCCATCTCTTTTTTCCGACTGCCAAAGCCTCAACTTGGAAGAATACGGACAAGCATTTCTTCCCTCAGCAGCAAACAATCAATGACTAGCAGTGATTGTGTGGCAGCAAAAAACATGGTCACAAGTCGAGAGATAGCGTCCCACAATAGCAAGTGTGAGTACTCAGTCGAGCGTAAAATGAAGAGACAGATGATATGTGGTGTCAGCTACTCTTTAGGAAGAAGCAAAGTAGGAGCAATCAACGCCATACCGGGATATTTCATGAATTCATCATCACTCATGAGGGGGCTATAGTGCGGTAGATCAGAATTCCAACTCTTCAACCTCCATTCCACAATCGACACACGTCTTGACGCCTATTCCCGTCTCCGGGTTTTCTACGGCTCTCCCCCACTGATGAACATGCTTCCTCCTCCCACCCAAATCATCTCCAAAGTTACCTCCTGCACCTCCTTCTGCAGCCAGGCGACTTCGGCGGTATGCCTCTACTCTCGTCCTCTTCTTCAAGTCTTGTAGTTTAGTCTTGAACTGCGCTTCTTTTCTCCTTTTCTTCTCCGCCTCCCGTCTTTCGAATTCGGCATCTAGTGCTTCTGGAGATCCCCACTTCTTAGGGGAAAAGGCGTATTCTTCGACCTGATAGCGAAGAAAGAGCATCATATTGTTCCATGTGGATTTGTGGGGATTTGGGCGCTCCATATGTGGGAGGAGCTCTTCGTCTTTGAGTTCGGCTATAAAACGAGATCGGAAACAAATTAGCCTCATATATCAGAAGGCTTAAGAAACAGGATGAACTCACGGTCGGTCAACAAGTAATCTTCCTTAGCTTCGGTTTTCGTAAGCAAACTGTACTTATCCGGGTACTTATCCTTACACCCATGGCACACGCAACACTTGAAAATCTCCTCCCATTTCCAATCAATCTCCACCGTCCCGCACTCGCGACACTTCTTCTGTTCAGCTCTTTTGCTCAGCACACTCAGCCCAGGCTCAAACGGACCCGCCTTCTCCTTCCGTAGATTTTGCAGTAACTGCTGTCTCTCCCACTCCTTCTGCGTCATATGCGCGGGCTTTCCATCATACTCGCGATCAGAATGCAGCACCTTATTATGCGGATCATCCTCCGCGGTCAAAAAGCCGCCTTTGGTGTCTGTCATTTTGCTGAAATCATATTCTACATATTTGCTAAAATTCCGCGCTGGACGGATAGAATCCAGCGGCCTTTGTTCTGACGTATTATACGCCCGGCCATCGCGCAGAGAAGAGGGCGTTCGGGAGGTGAGTGTAGCCGAGTAAGGCCTTTTGGTTCCGGCGACAGTAGAACCCGCACCGGGATCGCCGGCACCAACGGAGGCGGCGGCTGCTGCTCTGTTGTCACGGGCCGCTTCGGCTTCGCGCTGCTCGCGGAGAGCCTTGGCTTTTAACCGGTTGACTTCCTGTTCAACGGGAACGGAGGTTAGCAGTGATATTGTCCGCTTTTGGTCACTTTTCTAAGTCATACAATTCGTTGGATCTGATCCGGAGGGAGACGTGTAGGGGCAGGCTCGGCAGATGCGCCTTTTTTAACCTGTTCGCGCTCCATTTTCCTAATGTAGCCCGTAGGTATTTGGTAAATCTTGCGCACAAGGCAGTCTGGTCTTTAAACGGTGTTTAACACGCCCGGTGTTGGTTAATTGAAAGACCTGCGTCGCAGGCCACGACGTTTGCCCTGTTTGACTCTGAATTTAGGTTTGCCGGGGTTCGTTATTGGGACGATCTCTGGTTGCTGGTTTGGCTGCTGAGCTCGAAAATTTGAATTCCTTACAAGTCTTAATTAGGATGGTGGATAGTAGTGGTATCAACGGCAAGATGGCCGAGCGGTCCAAGGCGCCAGGTTAAGGTCCTGGTAGGGGAAACCCTGCGTGAGTTCGAATCTCACTCTTGTCAACATCTTTTTTTTTTCGCCTATTTGGCAAGGAGTCTTTTTCATCATTATCAATGACAGCGTGAGGGGGGATGAAGGGAAGGCTTTTGCAATCCTCCGTGAGTTTTGCTCACTCACTAAGTGAATTACGAGATTTGGCCTCCGTATTATGCCGGTATCAGCCCACTCAATCAGCGGTATATATTTCCTTGACTAGGACGGATTACTATATAAAGAATGTCCTAACTAGTAGCTCCTAAAAGTATTGGGAGGTAGACGTCCTCGTTTGCAGTGTATGTGGCACTCCTCGCTATGCTCACGCTCTACTGATTTGGAGGAATCGAGTACTTAGCTAGAACATACGGAGTGCATGCATTAAAACTTGATGTATTATTCAAAATTTGGCAGTTGCAGGCACAATGGTTGGGCGGCGCAAATAAGCATATAAAACTTGGCTCACTTCCCGCCTATTCCTGTATGCTCAGATTCCAAATCTTCGCCATTCCCTTCGTCGCCATACAGCACTTCACATACGCCCCCAATCGGGATATCCATCACTGCATCCGTGCCCTCATTCCAAATAGCCTTCCACTCTAATTTCTTCTTCTGAGCACCCATTGTCTGTGCAGTCGTTGCATCGGGATTCATCTTTTCCGATCCACCGGGCCTGCGCCTACCTTTGCTGTCAATGACAGCAATGTTCGCGACATCATCAACAAGATTCTCAATATTATTCATCGGAAGGGTAAGGTATCCGGTGTTATACGCCGCGAGCGCTACGTAAATGTAGATAATCGTCATAACCAGGAAGGAAGGGATGGCAAGGGACCACCAGCGGTTGGGATAGTAGTATATCCCCAACTGATGGAGGAATGGAGATGGGAGGAAGGACCATAATAAGTACATTACTGTGGACAACCGTAGGTTAGTATGAAAGCACCAAAAAAAAAAAAAAATGTATTCCCGTGGAGGTAGCATGCACGTACGAAATGCCAATGAGGAGGTCAGGTACAACACAAAGCCATAGTACTCATACGTTGGCACTTTCGGACTGGCCCTTGGTACCGTCGTTGCGATCCGCGCCGACTTTGCCACCGCTGCTTCTGTATCATTTGGAGTCTCTACATCAGAGCTATCCGGCGTCGTTGGGCGAGAGGTATTCGCCGAAAACGACGGTCGCAGCAGCGAAGTCAATGAGGGCGAGGGCGGAAGAGGTGTTGGTGGACGATTATAGAACGGCGGGGCAAACGCATTAGGTAGAGACCCGGTGGATTGTAGGAACGGCTTGTGAATGGCAATACCATCATCATCGTCCGCTTCTCCATCCTCTTCTTCGTCCTCCTCCTCGTCATTCAGCGAGCCGGAATCCTCGTCCAACTCATCGAGCGATGGAGGAGAGGTATAGTGGGATCGAAAATCAGCATCTTCACCAAAGGCGATGCCGTCATCGTCATCCTCCTCTTCCACTTCTTCTTCTTCTTCGGCTAAATCATTGGTCGTGGTTTGCTTGTCCGGATACGAGTCCGGTTCAGGAAGCGTTTCTGGATCTGGGAGGAGAGGAGGGAAGGGCAGCTTGGAGCCCATGGAATAAAGGCAAAAAGCACAGACTCAGGAGACAATGTTCATGGAAATTCCGTGGCTGTATCCATGGCCGGCTCATGGTCAGTTAAGTCCTCGCTCCCGGTGTGGTCGTGATCGGCGATCCTTGTGAAGGGAGCAGAAATGCCAAGACATCTCAACAAGCTCCCGCTCTTTGCTCTGGTTGGACCCATGCAGATTAACGTCACAGCTTTCTGTCAAAACCTCTTCTGAATGTGAGAAAATTTATACAAATCGTTGCTAAAGAGGAAGACACTGTACACAGCTGAGTGCATTCTTTGCTGGGTCCCAGGTATACCGAAATTTAAATTTGGTACAGGACATGAGCAGGAGTTTCACCCTAGCATGGGGCCAACTGGATTCAACATCTGCACCGCAATGCTACTTGTCTAATAAATTCTCAAAAAAAGGACTGTGTGGGACTTGTAGATCAAATATAAAAATCTTTTGGGGTTCGTTTAAAACTAAGGTAGTATCTCAAAAGTATCAACGTCGCTTCACCATTGGATATCGCAATCTCGACCCTAAATCATTAAAAAAAAAAAAAAAAAGAAGGCAGGCTCTAACTCCCGGCCGTCGGTCTCGAAAATCAGGGAAAATTCCAATATCGCCATCTCCGCCAAAGGTCAAAGGGATCGGATCAAGATAGAATCGTGTCATTTCGTCATGAAAACTGAGGTTGGTGTAAGACATGAGCATAGAAGCTGACAAAAAAAAAAAAAAAAGGAAGAAAAAGTGTAAGGGACGAGGGGTAGTTCTTCAATGCCAGCGGGGAAATCACGAGTCTATGAAGACGAGAATAGTTTTTAAATCATAAAAAAGGCCTCGCACCAAAAATGAGAGCGGGAGGAGAGATTCCTAGAGAATTTCAAAGGAATAAAAAAAAAAAAGGGAAGACATTCTAGTCTAAATTTCAGCTCTTGTAGATCTTAACCACATTAAGAACTTTCTTCCGGCACATTGGACAGATATCTACCTGTCTGGCGCAGCTCAAACAGGCACACACGTGTCCGCAGCTGTAAAACAGCGAGTCTTGATTCTCGCTATAGCAGATCTGGCAGAGGTCCATCTCTTCGTCAGCGACCTCCCAATAGCTGATACCTTTGCCATGGCGCTTGCCGTTGCGGTACCCGCCAACGTACTTGTTGCCGGTCTTGCGCTCGACGAAAGTTCCTTGGCCATGGCGTTGGTCCTCGACCCAATCCCCGGTGTATGTGTCACCGGTGGCGTATTCCATGGTACCGGTTCCTTGTCGTTCGCCCAGGACGAAATCGCCGGTATACGTGGCGCCGCTTTCCGAAATATGGGTACCTTTGCCATGGTAGTAGCCATTCTTGAATTCGCCAGAGTAGTAATCGCCATTGTATGTGGCTTCGGTGGTTTTTGTCCCAGTAAAAGATTTGGTGGGGTGGTTCCGTCCCACTGCCCACAAATAACGGACAAGTCTATCTGGAGAAGAGAACAATCCTGCTTCTGCAAGTTTCATACGTCTGACACAAAAATATTAGAATCATGGTGAGAGTCATGGTTGTGGGAGGGGGGGGAGTTTGGATACTCACTCATTTTTTCCGATAACATCGCCCACAATAAAACACTCCCCATCAGTGTATCCAACTATATCATCAAAGATCTCAACCGACGAAATAGCAACGATGGAGATTCCATCAACCCGATGCCACAAAAGAAACTGCTTATTCTTCTCAAATCCAAGAGCTGTGCGAATAGATTCTTTAATGGTTTCGCTCTTCGTGGCAAAAAATGTTCCAACGGTGTTTAACTCTTGCTTTTCTGCGTCAAATCTCTGAATAAAGTAATACACATGTGATCGTGGGGGTACAAGCTCGGAAGTCGGCAACGTCGAATTCGAGTCAACAGTTGCTTGATCAGTATTATTTTCCTCAGCTTCAGTAGTGTCCTGTTGCCTCTCCGAAGAGTTAACGGGAGGGCCGTCCTCCATAGTTACGTCGTCATCATTGGCTGGTGGTGGCTGGGAGGTTTCCTGTGTGGTATCGGTTTGTGGAGCGGTCTCTTCAGGCGCTTCCTCTGAAGACACATTAGGGGGCTCTTCGGTCTGTGTGGAAAGAGGTTGTTGTTGGGTATCATTTACATTCGTTTGCTGAGTACTCTCAGGGGCCGGGGAAGGTTCTGTCTCCATAGCTTCAGCCCTCTCATATTCTGCAAGGTCCTGCGCAATCACCGCAGCGATATCTGCGTCGTCGTCCATGGCCGTGTCGTTATTCACATTTTCCTGTCCCGCCGGCACAATAGCATCTTGCATCGGAGTATCATCGGAAGTGCCACCTTCGCCGTCATTAGCGGATACGGTTTCATTAGGCATAGGCTGATCAGATGTCGACTGTGGTTCTTGTTCGGCTGGGGGATGGGGTGCCTGATCAGGGGTAACAGTAGCCGCTTCTTCACGATTTTCCGCTGGAGCATCATTCATCTCTGCGTCATCTGTTCCATTAGGGACTGCGGCATCTTGAGACCTAGCAGTATTTTCCTGGGAATTCTCAGGTTCTTCGTTTGAAGGCACGGGCTCCTCCGGTGGAAGTTCATCACAAGGCTGGCTATCACTGACTTGATCCCGCACGGCAAAAAACCGAGCTTCTTCATCGGACAAAACGTACACCCACAGCCGCAAAACGCTCAATTCAAAGCTCATAACAACATCAGTGAGATCATAAATGATTTGGAAGTTGAGTGTTGGAGCGAAAAGAGGCTTTCTCGCACCAAGTTGCCAGATTCGGATACGTTCGTGGATTTCCGTCGACTTCAAGGACGCAATTTTCTTTCGTAATTCCATGAAGGTTGTGTTGCCAGGGACAGAAAGAGTATTGTATTGGCCCGTTGCTCTCGCAACTGCCATTAGATCATAAGAGTCGACGATACTCTTCTCAATTATGGAGAAGTCTGAAAGACTGAAGAGCTCAACCTTGACCGTGGGTGGTAGGCCATTCTTCAACTCACGATTTAGATGATAGTAGCCATTCATAAAATAATGCTGGTGAAGCTCCCCAACTTGCCAGGGCTCAAGCTTTCCTGTCAAGTATTGTGATATCATATCGTCACGGATGTAAACCACGACGACAGCGACATCAGCACCGGACTTGTCAATCTTCTTTAGGTTGCTGGCATCGACGCCTTCGTGAGCTTCAAGTGCAGCCTTTTTGGTCAGGCACTCAATCTTATTGTCACTTGCATCCTCAAAAGCTAGCCAACGGGTATTGGGCCCGCCGGGGCGCAGAATACTGTAGAACCGCCCTGATGATCGGCTTCCCTTGTGAACAACCAGCCCATACAGGCTATATTTGCCCACTTGGCCGTCAACAAGACATTCGGACAAATCCAAAGTTTCGTCCAGCTTGACACGATCATAAAGCATGTTCCACTGGCGGGTGCTTTTATCGAAAGTCTGTCGCACCAACTCAACGTGGAAAACCGATGGCAAGGACCATTTCCCCGGTTTTCCATCCAGATAATTCTTTGCAGCCTGCTGTATGCTATTTGCTTTGGCAGCAGAGACTCTGATACCGCCATTGGCCTCGCGGGGAATGTGATTGACCGAAACACTGTCGCCGACCCCATCTGCGGTATTTTCGATGCGTGGGCTGTCGAAGATCTTCGCAAGCTTATCGATTGCGTCAGTTCCGGCAAGCTCCAGTTCCAATGTTCGACGTAGACGTTCCCAGAAGTCCGTGACATCTCCCGAGAACTCATGAAGGTTACGGAGGGTTGTTGTGACCTGGTCGGTATCAATAAAAGATGTAGATAATCCGGACTGGGGTCGTAGAGACCACAGCAACCGCTGGAGTGCGTCGCACAAAGGCCTTGGCTTGACGTTGGGATTTGTAAGATGCTCGAGGATGTCTACGCTCTGGATAACATCACGGAAAGAAGCCATCATGAGCCACGTAACCAGCCCCGCAACCTCGTGTCTATGGTTCACCATGGGATCGCCCCATGGCCGGTATCCCGTCAAGCTAAAGCTATCCCAGACTGGTTCTGAGTCACTGGCATGCCACCATAGAGATTGCGTCGGATCGTCGAAAATTTGAATATATGCATCGAAAGCGAGGGTATCATCTCGCAAAAGAGCCTGGCGTTGACCGTGGTGGCGCTTGTGAATCTGATCCCAAGGTCCATGAAAGTGGGTCCAGCCCCAGTCAACGTTGTGGGGATTGAACTGATGGGAAGACGACTGCATCCATCCTGTCCGTGGCTCATTGGGGTTGTATAAAATCACGCCAATTTGCGCTGAAACTCTCCAATCCTTTTTTTCCTCTTCTTTCGTCTCGGCGGGTGTGGACCTGCCAGAGTTTTCGTTATTTTCAACTTCTGTCTCCCCTGTTTGGGCTTCATCTTTGGACGATGCTTGTTTTGATCGGGGCTTCTTGGTTTCTACTGTTGCGGGGAGTGATAGTTCAACGGCCGGAGCCAACTTGCTCAAATCAGCATCTGGCGCACCCTTGAGAACCTTGAATTCAGTCTGGGGGATCTCCTTGTCCGGCTCGGGAGGTGTCGCTGAGCACTCAACGTAGATACTCAGTGACGACACCGAATTGCCTCGCGGGAAGAATTTGATGGTCCAATAATAGCCACCAACGTACGCCGCGGGCGAACGCATAATGGTAGCACGATTGGGCTTCTCCTTGGTGCCACGCACGCCTTTAATTTTCCAAGTTAGACGGGCCTTCTCCGAAGCTCTGTACTCTGGATCATCGAGGCTCCGATAAAAGGTTTTCTCCCAGTAGTCATCTAAAAAAAAGGGATTGTGTAAGTACGGATTATGAGGTGAATCCATCATTAAAGAAACCAGAGGGAGGTTACTGATGAACAAACATTCGTATGTACTGCAGTCCGCACCCGCGGACTCGATTTCTTTCAATTCAGCCTCATCCGGTACTGATGTATCCTCGACAATATCTGCCCAATATGCTGGTTCTTCCTCTGTCTTGTCCTCATTATCTTCTGGGCTATCCTCTTCGCTGGTAGAGCCATTTGACTCCGCAGAATCTTCTGATGTAGGCCTTGTGGAACCGTCAGAGGAGGTATCACCACCCGACGCGGAATCGGCAGGATCACCCGAATCTTCTGGTTCTGCGGTGGTTGCCTGCGGCACAATAGAATTGGCGGCGGGGTCAACGAAGGTATCAATGCTCGTTTCTTCATTTACGGAGTTTGTTGATTGCTCCGGGTTGGAAGGCGTTTGGTCTATTGGGTTTTCGTCGGCCGGAGCGTCAGATTCAGCAGGTCGATCGGGTGCTCCTGACTCTGTGGGCATAGAAGGATCCTCAGAGGGTTGATCTGAAGGCGGGACGACAACATTCTGAGATAACGGGGCTTGCTCCGGAGCTTCTATGGGCATGGGATCGAAGGATTCCGGCTGTCGGCTGATAGGAGCTGGAGTTTCGACAGCGACCTCCATTGGTGAGAGCAGGCAGAAGCCTTGAGGGTGGTGGACTTGAAAAGGTGCAGAACAGAATGCTTTAGATATCTGACGAAAATAAAAGAGGGTTGTTAACTGCCTGATAAGGTGGGATGTTGGGAAAAGATGCGACGAAAAGCCCAATCATAGGGGGTTTTGTAGGATGACAACTCACCAATTCACTGCACTAGTGATAGAAGGGGAGAAAGAACTCTAATATGAGTGAGCGGTGCAATCCCACTTGTGTCTCTAAAATATTATTGATCGATGCAAGGCAAATAAAATGGCCAGAAAGCACGACTGGGTCTCTCAGGTTCACAGGCAACAGAAAGCCAAGTAGCAGATAGATAAGTAGAGAGGGAGAGAGGGAGAGAGAGAGAGAGAGAGAGAGAGAGAGAGAGTGTGTGTGTGTGTGTGTGTGTCAGTATGTGAGACCGTGTTACACAGCAGAGAATGGATAAGAGAGGGGTGTTGAGTGAAGCAAATGACAGAGGATAACTTTTGTGAATAGAAGACAAAAAGAAGATACGGGAGGAGGAGTGCTGAGCAGAAGAAGAGAGAGACTTTGGGGGGAACGAGAGTGAGTTTTTGTTGGCTTTGGGCGGGCTAGTGGGAAGGGGGACAGGCTGCGGTTTAAGCAGAAAACGGCAAAGGCTGAGGCTGATCCGCAGTTGATGAATTGCTTGCCACCCGCCGTGAAAGATTTGCCTTGTCTTCTTTCTTGGGGAGCTTTTTGAGCTTGGAGGAATTCAAGGCAGCAGCTTCGAATAGGAGCCGGGGGAATAGTCATCAGCAGTCCATGTGAGAGTCGATCGTGGAGGAGCCTGAAGTCAACCCGTTTCGAATCGCCGCTAAAAAACGATCTCCAATTCACGATTACAAGTCGGACGGTGATGTAGGGCAACCGGATTTGTCGATGAGGACCTGACTGCTCTGTCCCGGTCTCTAGGTACCAGGATAACCAGACTACGATGAACCCCCTGTTCGTTTGCCTATGGAGCCTCTTCTTCTTTTTTTTTTTTTTTTTTTCCCCTCTGTCCGCTTCGGGCGAAGGAACATGTTCGGAGTCCTAGATGGACTTCGGGAGGCAATTCGCGCAGAGCAGCAGCGTCAGCGAGTCTGGACTGGAAGCTGTCCGGCGTCGCCTCTCGAGCGCAAAGCTCCCCCCGGAGACCCGCTTCTGTCACACCGCCTTGCCGACATCCTCGCTCGTCCATTCGTTCCTGTGGGGAACCTCAAACCTAACGCCCTTTTCCGACGCCAGCAGAGCTTCCTCCCCGTCAGCAAACCATCGCAGGAAGAGAAGCACACAAGCAAAGATACCAGGTAATTTTTTAGGCAGCAAAGACTTCAACCCTCTTGGAAGACTTCGTCCGTCCATGTTGCTTGGATGCTGTGTCGCTGCGGCCCAAAGCTGTGCCTCCATGACTCACCCCTGCGCTGTCGTTGCAGCCTCATTGGTGGTGTGGACCTGCGCCAACACCCGGACCACAATGCCAAGATATCTGCATTCAAAGGAAACAAACGTCTGTCAAAGCTGATCTTGAGGACTTACCAGGCCAGGAGCGGGATCACGGTCACCAAGATTGTTGGGATTCTGGGGATTTGCCTCTTCCAATCTGCCCCGCCACCTGAGCCCTTCGGCCCTCCAAATGCAGCGATCCGGCCTCAAATTGAGTCTGGATGTATGCACAGTACATAACTACATCCTACATTGCATATGCGGTGCAGGGAGAGAAAACATCTGCCTGGGAAGAGCCGGAACCACACCGGCCGGTCATTCATCATGTTAGCCATCATCCGAGCATCACTTGGGCCTCTACTGAGTCGGCCCGAGTCCTACTGACCGTCTGAGGAGTGGACACCATCCGCAGACATGAATTGGAGCAAGAAGCAAGGTATCATGCAGAAAAGATATTTCAATCCCCTCTTTGCCCGATGGTGAAGAGCGGGAAATACATAAGTATACGGCGAGTATCCCACGCTCTTTCGCTGCTCTAGAGAAAAATACAGCCCTGCCAGATAGCGGCCGCTCAACCCTATCTGAACAGAGCCTTTTCTTCATACCTGCGTTCCTATCAGATGGACCGAGCCCCCCATGTCGTCTGTCTCCTGCCCGCATGCATGTCATAGTATCTACGGAGTAGGATTCTTGTTATGCCCTTCCAGGTTAGTCTGTTTCTGCCTTGCTGCCGAGGTACTCCCCACACGACCATATTCTCTGCATGCCAACAGCGCGTTCCGTGAAGAGTCCGGACCCAAACTGCCACGCAGCACTGACCATCAGGGATGTCATGGTGTAATTGGGCATGAAACCCCGTTCTTCCACACGGGATTGAAAGCGAACTCTCGCCACGAGCAATATTTTTCTCCCTCAGACGTTTATCCCCCGCCTACTAGCTCCCCTTCTCAGACTTGAAAGCTATGCTAACAGCGGCCACGCGTCCCAGTAACGTCGGGATCCCAGATTCAAGCAGCCGTGGCTTTGCCCAATCAGGCAATTTTAGGATATGCATGCAATAAATGACAACTCCGACGGTGGATCTAACATCAATGTGTGGCTTCCCTCCAGTTCTCCCTACAAAGCGCCACGCCATGGATGTCCCGGGGCTTTTCCTACCTTTTCATTGGAGGGACCCCGGACGGCCAAAAAAAAAAAGAAAAAGAAAAAGAAAAAGAAAAAAAAAAAAAAAAAAAAAAAAAAAAAAAGAAGCCTGGGCCTCGTTTCACTGAGCCATTGGCACAATTGTCAATTACTAACTACATCTTCCGTACGGAGTAGGGCCTTGTTACTCGGCGCCAAAATAGGCTGGTTTTATTCGTTATCCCTATATTTGGGTATCCCATTCATATCAGTATATTTTGTCAACGTTTCCCCGCACTCCGGCCGTTCTCCATGTGTTGGAAATGGTGCCCGTATCACATGTGTTCGCGGTGGCAAAAAAAAGTAGCGATGGCGTTCGTCCTCTGCCCTGCGGCCTGGTATGTTTGTATGTATGTATTGAACATCATGGGCGACCGCCGCAATGATTGGCGCGCTCGGGGCCAGTCTTTTAGATTGAATATAAGCATTGTCGATCGGTGAGTGACCCGCTGTGCTTAACGAAGCTCGGACCGCAATGATGCAACAGATTCTGAAAATCATTGCCGTATTCTCGAATGGTGAGAAGGAACGTGCACTCATTTGATAACTTGTTTGTTCACCTTCGCAAAGGTAGCGGCTACGATAAGAGGGAAGACGGCAGTTGCCTCCGCGTAAACCTATGATAAGACGCATACATGTATTAGCCTCAAGAGTAAACAAGCATCGCCAATAATATTCGAGAGGAAAAGGGCCCCAAACTTACCTTTACGCTCTGCGCATCCGCTTTGATCTTTCCCCAACTCACAGCCTCATCCGGCCGTGCGCCAGCATCGCTCCCATCGAACTCCTGCGCGGTGTTGATGTACACAGCACTCTCGGCACCGTTACGCATCAAGCAAGCATTGGCGATGTGATGTTTGACCAATCCCCCACCAAGGATAATCATTCCCGCCCGTTCAGCAAATGTAGACATGGAATTGATCCTCCGTATGTCCTCAACGATATCGATCCGCAGTTGTGCCGGGGCAGCGGAGAAAGTATGAAAATACAACATATCACCAAGACTCCCATCGGTCAACGCCGGGCAAAAGACGGGAATATCATTCTTGTAAGCCCAGTAGTAGACGGATTCTTCGTTGTTGATCTCCTTCCCCAGGCGATGAATGACCTTGCTTGGCGTCCAGTGCAGAGGGTCGTCCGTACTCTTCGACGCTTCCTGCTCCTCCAGCATTTTATTCAGTATGGGCATCACCCAGTCTTCGAACAGACAGTAGTTGTTGTTGGGCACGATCAGGTTTCCGATTCGATTCATCCCCCTCTCGCGAAGTGGAGCCCCCTTCATGGTGAAGGAGCCTAGGTACGTCGGAGCGAGGCATTTGATAAAGTCCTCTTCAACGCCGCCGGCCGTCGTTACGATGGCTGAAACGTGCTTGTGTTGAACGAGGTAGCGGAGAGTCTCTCGCAGACCTGACGATATCAGATTGGAGGTGTATCCGAGGAAGATCGTCGTGCCTTTCCCCGTCTTTGGGTCCCGCCATGCGATCTAGAACACGGAAAGAAAAAGGCGTTAATTCTCTTCCAAAAATCATTTATCCACTTTACAGATCTCAGGATGGCTTCGTTATTTCTTTTTTCTTTTTTCTTTTCTTTTCCTTTTTTTCTTTTATTTATTTATTTATTTATTTTTTTTTGTTGTTCTTTGGGGGGTGGGAACTCGTACCATCTCGTTAATGATCCTCGCGGCTTCGGCGACGGCGGAGGCCTGGAAGCCCATTCCCGCCATGTTTTCCAACAATTCTGCAGCGGTGATATCTCGATCGGCGTACTTGTCGAAATCGATTCCGCTGACCTGCGGAGTGCCTTCCGGCACGTTTTCCGAGGCCACGAGGACAGCATCCGTCGCGCGGGACGGCGGGGCATCAGCGTGAGAACCCATATCTTTTCTTCTTTTTTTTTTTCCCCTTTTTTCGGTCTCTTTCGGCCTTCGGCGGTGCTGTAGTCTAAAATGAGTGAAAGTGCACAGCAATTGGGAATGAAATGAGAGAATTGTCTCGGGGCAGAGGGAGTTCAAGGCAGTTCGGATAACAAGATCTAAGAGAGAAAGGAGGGGAAATTTTTCCTCAAGGTGGGGTTTAGTTATAAAGTGCGAAAATTTAAAAAGCAAGAACAAAAAGTGCCTGACTCTGGAAAATAAAAAAAGCTGAAATGTCCTCTATCAGATGGAAATCTATGCTATAATACAAGTAAGATCCGAATACACTGATGTGCAGAAGAAACAAACCCTCCCGTGGCTCGATGCCCGGCCTCGCCATCCGATTCTTCCCAGTTTTGACTGATTCCTGCCGTTTCGACGACAAACCAATCGCATCTTATCAGATTGATCAATCACGTGCTTTCCCCGACCTGCTGACATAATGAACGAGCCACACCCGGTAATCTAAAATTGTGGGGCGGGCCAATCCTTGCGATTCTTGAAAAGTCGGGCCAATCAGAGGGCGCGCGGTGACATCTGGCCACCTGGCGTTTCTCATGCGCGGAACCCACTGCGCCTCAGGGCCCCGGCCAGGTTCGGTCGAGAGCCACTTAAGCCACATTTAATTAATTACACCCAATCCATGGGTATTTCAGTGTCTTAACTCACGGAGAATACGGGAGGGACTGGCAGCCCGCCCGCATGCTTGGTCAGCGTATCGTAAGTTGTAACTAGTTAACGGAAACCCTCACGCGGGCCACCTGTGGCGCATCAAAGGGGCCTTTTCGATGTTCGTGAGGGAAATCCGAGAGTCTGTTTCTGTTGTTCCTCAACTTCAAGACGGCAAAGTCCAGCGGAGGGATGCACACTTGGCAGCGTATTTCTTCTTCTTCTTCTTGGTGTTTTGTTCTGTCGGAAAGCAGGGAGCTCCCTGTCCGTCGTGGGCCGATGCCTGGACGTAATTACGGAGTCGCGGACGATCGCCCAAGCCCAAGCTGCACGTGACACAACCTAAAATCCGACTGCAAGTTTGAGATTCAAAGAGGCGAAACCCCATTGGAGGCCTGCTTCACGGCGCGCCGCTGGTCGAATTGCATCTCTCACATCCTCTCCCGCCTCTCACTCTCTCTCCGCTTCGTGATCCTTCATCGATCCCATTCCACGTTCATCGAATTCGTGACGAGACGCGCCATCCACTGTCGCCTTTCCCCCGTCTTGTACTCCGTACTCCGTACTCTAACCGAAACTATTTTGCGATTAGCTTTTTTGTTCTCGCATCCTCGTCTTTTCCCACTCCCCTTCACCAACGCCCTTTTCGATCTTTGTCTTCCGTCAACGTTTGCGGACCCGTCTACGCGACAGACAGTCTGATCTGTAAAAGCGCCCTTTGGCGATTCTTTCGAGCTTGTCTTACCCTCACCTTCGCTACCAAGACACCCCCCGGTCAAACCCTCGTTTCATCAAGCTTCGACTTTAAGAGCCTATTCTCTGTCGCTCTCTTCGACCTTTTTTTTTTTTTCCCCTTGTCATTCTTCGATATCAAAAATCAGGTTTCATTTTACGTCTTCTGTGGGTATTGCGCTAAATATCCGTCGTTTCCTAACTCCTTGACAGGCACCAGGGTACGGAGCACTCCCTAGGGAGTTTTGCAGCCGAGCATCAGACCCTGGTTTTCTAACACATCTTGGCAGTGCAAGCCCAACGGTCCTCCATAATCCCTTCAAACGGTCCAGCTCCTCCTGTTGGGTAAACTGAAAAATTTTCCCTCCATTCTCTTGAAACCTGCTTTCACTGTGGTTTCTGGAGGGCCAGTTCTTCAGTTCATATCCTTGTCTTGCTTTTTCGGCGCAGACTGTTCACTTTGACATGTGACTGAGATGCTCCAGCTGCAGTGACAACAAAACAATTGCAAGGTATCTTGACTGCAGACCTGCTTGCAGACCCTCTCCTCCAGCTCAATTTGCCTTCCATCACAATCCTTTTTTTTCTTTTTTTTCCTTTTTTGGTTCTTGGTTTGGCCAGCGACCTCTCCTCCAGGTAACAAAGCATACGTCACCTCAGGGATCACGTGAACGCGCATTCGCTTCGGAACCAAGTGGGCTGCCTGCTGCTGTCGATGGTGATACTTGCAAATGGCCTCGCGATTCCCTCCAAGGGACCGCTCTCCCCATAGATATGGCGACCGCCGTCCACATATACCTTCTGGACCTCGTGGAGGAGACGATGCGAATTCCATTCCGCTTGGACGCGAACCGCCTAGAGGACCAAAGGCTTTGATCGACTCGTCCAGGGGCGGCCACTTTGCGCCGGTTGGCCCTAGAGGCAGAGGCATTCCAGGGAGAGAATACCGGGATCGTGATCCTCGTGACTCAAGAGATGGTCCTCCGTTTAGACGGGATCTTGAGAGGGACTGGCCGCGCAGGGATAGGGTCTACGACTCAAGAGATAGCCGTCCGCTATTTGGTCGTGGTCGATCCAGATCGCCTCCGCCGCTCAGAGATTTTCGAGATTCGGTACCCAGGGATTTAGACATACCAAGGCTACGACGACCTTCTCGAGATGGCCCACCTGGTCAGATGCTCTCGGATCTTTCGCCACTTCGAGGTGGTTCTTTACGTGGTCGTGGTCGTGGAGACCGCGATCGGGGGAGAGGTAAGGTGTTCGTAGACGATCGCGATTTATTCCGCAGGAGGAGTCTCTCAAGAGATGCTTGGAGAGATCGCGAACCCCGTTTTGAACGTGAGAGAGACCGTGATCGTGAGCGCGAGCGGGATAGGGAAAGAGATAGAGACAGAGAGAGGGAAAGGGAAAGGGAACGGGACCGTGAAATCGAGAGGCGTGATCGATTCGAACGACGAGAAGATGATAGACGCCCGGAGAGAGACGAAAGAGAGCGAAACCAGGAACGCCCTGATATGTGGAAGAAAGACCGGGTTCCAAGCAGGATAGACGCAAAGAGCGCATCGACCACTGCCACCAAGTCGCCTTCCACTATTTCGACTCCATCGTCGGCTGCTCCACCAACCGTTCCCAAGGACGATGTTCCCGAAGTCCCTCAAAAAACTGTTGCAATTCCGACAACCATCCCACGGGACCAACCGAAGCCGCCGGATAAACAGCCTCCGCAGAGACCACGTCAGGACGCCCCTGCAAACAATCCACTTCCGCAGTTTTCACCTCCGCCTACAGTTCCAGAAGTTCCGGCCTTTGGTGCATTAGCGACGAGCCCCCGTCAATCGGCAGCCAATGCCCCCAAACAGCCCTTACCAACCAACACGACAGATTCCCGAGGGCGGGCAACATCTGTCTCAACTCCAGCTACGATAGCAAAGACCAACAATGATATCTTTGTTTCTAGCTCCATCCGTCCGCCGACCTGCCCCAGAGCAGATCGTGTGGACGCCCACCATGGCTCTGACATACGTTCGCGCCGATTGTCCGTTTCAGATGTACGTGGCAAAACTGAAGTCGCAATGCGCGCGAGCAGACCCCTTCCGACATCCCCTAGTATCCCGCCTGCTTCATTACCCGATCACCGTGCCGTTACACCCTCTGCTCCGGACAAAGCCTTCCAGCCGTCAAGCCAAACCGAAGACAGACCGCATTCATTGTCACGGCAGAATTCGGGCCCCATGTCTCCTCCGACAGGACCTTCCGCCCTCACCTCCCAGGGATCTGGCCGCGCACCTCTCGACCTTAACACTTCTCCCATCACTCCTCGACGACAATCCACCAGCCAGACCTCCCCTCGTATCCCATTTTCGAACGTACCCACTGGGCCAAGGGCGCTACAGCGACCCATTGCCCAAAGAAATGGCCCAAAGGGAAGCAATCAATGGGTTAGACCTGGATACGTCAGTCGCGGACCATCAATCATCAACTCCAGCTCACCTGCGAAACGGGAGACCTTTATTGATGAGAAGGATATGATTTTGTCGGCATCTAACGAGCCCCGTAACGAGGATAAACAGCACGACGAGAAACCGGCGTCAACCCCTACTTCGGCGAGTCCTGAAAAAGACCTCGAAAAAGCGGTGGAAGAGGTTATAAGTAAAGCCATCGAGTCCCCTATAATCTCCCGAGAAGTAGACCCCAAGAGACAAGAAGTGGAAGAGCCCTCTAAGCTAGAGGAAAACAGCATGTTCCCATTGCTACTCACGGAGTCTAGTGGTGAAGTATCGGATGAGGAGGACGATTTGGACGAAGAGGACTTTAACCAAGGAGAACAGCGGTTCGAGAAGGAAATGCAGGCTTTAGCGGCCGACATGCCACCACCTCCTCTTGAAGATCCGGTCATAGTCGGTCTCTTGCTCAAAATCCAGATGCTGGGTATTATTGCGGAGGGAGCGGTTCCATCACTCGATGAGTCGCGTGCCGCAGCAGAGATTAAAAAGCCGGATGAGCTTCCAGCAGCTGTTCCAGATGAAAACAAAGAGGCGGGTGAAATCGAGCTTCCTGACGCTCCTCCCATCTTAGTTCCGCCCGTGGAAGCCCCTGTCGCGGAGGCACCTGCGTTGGAGAACCTTCCGTTCCTAAACGACGGGCCTCCAACTCCCTTCTCCGACATGGAAAGCTACCAAGAAGCCCTCAAGACGCACGAGAGCATAAAAAACGACCTCCGAGACGAGATAATGAAACAACGAAGGGAGATCGCAAAACAGCATGCCGAATTACGGGAGCAGTATCGCGCGTATTACAGGCCGTGGAGGCTTGCGGTCGACGCGATGGATCGGAAGAAAGTAGCTGAAGAGAAAAAGGCAGCGGCTTCAGGGCCCTCAACGCCTCCTGCTGCTTCCACTTCCGTGGCCAATCCGATCCTCGAAGGCCGCAGAGGGTACAGGCTGAACAGTGAATTGGATTTCCAGAACGCATTGAAGGCATCCACCATCACCGCTGAAGAAGAAAATGCACGTCGCAGGGACAAAGAAGCGACAGCAAGACCTGATCTAGCCCGGGAAGCACCCATACCTGATATGTTTGATCCAATACAAAAGAAAGCCTCCGTATTTCAAGATACAAACCAGATCATCGATCCGGCCAAGGCATTTGAAGTCTTCGCGTTTGATCTTCCCCCAGACGATTTCACGCCAGAGGAACATAAGATCTTCACTGATACCTTCATGGCCCATCCGAAAAAATGGGGTAGAATTGCGCAGGCCTTGCCGGGACGTACTTTCCAGCAATGCATCAACCACTACTACTTGACGAAGGAAGAAATGAAATACAAAGCTAAATTGAATAAGAGATGGGCTCGACGCGGTCGTGGGAGAAGGACCGTCGCCAGGCCTCCCAAGTCCAACGCACTTATGGCAGATCTTGGTGTTGTTCGTCCCGTATATGATGGTGATGAAACTGGAGAAACAACCCCGGCAGTTACTGATACTGGTCGGCCGAGACGTGCAGCAGCTCCCACATTTGGCGAGCTCGCTGCTGACACTGAAACCAGTACTCCAACCCCAAGTTCGGGAAAACGAAATAATGCGAAAGAAGGGAACGACCAGCCGTCAGAAAAATCTGCTAGACGTGGCGGAAGAGGCGGAAACCGTGGTGGTCGAAGAGCCAGAGCACAGCAAACTGTAAATAACACTCCAATTGCTGCTGCTCTGCCGAAACCTGAGCCTGAGTCGGCCGTGGACAATGCCACAGAGCCTACTGTAACGAAACCAAAGACTGAGGTGGACAAAGCGGTTGACGCTATCGCCCCGCGGTCCAAAACTAGAGCTCGCGCAAAGGAACCTAAGGACGTCTCCACGGCAGAATTAATGGAAGGAGAGCTGCCACCGAAGCAAGCCGAAGGCGGATACGGGTCCCAGCAGCCTACAAGCTATTGGTCTGTACCGGAGCAGCGTGACTTTCCTGATCTCATTGCGCATTTTGGCAGGGATTTTGAAGGCATATCCCAGTTCATGAAGACAAAAACTCCAACAATGGTAACATACTCGAAATTAAACTCTTCGTCAAGAGAGCCCAGGCTAACAGGGACTCTAGGTTCGAAATTATTTCCAGAGGAGCGTTGACTCTGGGAAAACTGAATTGGAGGAATTGGCATCAATTGCGGAGGCTAAGAAGCTGAAAGGCGAGCCGACAGGACCTCTTCCAGTTCCAAGTCTTCCTACGAAGCGGCGTTACGACGCTACTCCTTCATCAGTCGGTCCTCGACCTTTGGCTCCTAATACGGACACGACCGAGCTGGTTGACAGACCGCTGACAGCCAAAGCCAAACCCCAGGTTGTTCCTTTGGCTGCTGCGCCGCCAGCAATTCAGCCTCGTCAACCTATGGAGAAGACACAGTCGCAGCAGACGTTTTATGCTTCGGTCCAAGCTCGAGGGGCCCAGATGGTACCTTTATCCTCCAATGAGGACTCGCAGCAGCGTGCAGCACGGTCGCATGTTACACAAAGCCAACGAGCGCAGCATGGACCTCGAATGGGTTATTTCAGCGACACTCGTGTTGAGGTTCGGCCTGCGCCAACGCAAGGAAATATTGCAAGTGGCCACCTGCAAGAAATGGAGTTGAAACGTCAGCCACCCCAACCACAAACTCTTGCTGCGCTTTCAACGCAAGCAGCCATGGGAGGTCCGCATGGCCAAAATATGGGCAGACCTAACATCCCGTCTCATGGACTGGATCTTCAAGAATCGGCACGATACCAGTCGCTGTCGCAAACTCCTCAATTTTCGCAGGCGTCCTACCTTCAACCCCGCCCAAGCGTGCAGGCTGCCACGACGCCTCAGTCTCACTCTCGACGGCCCAGTAGGAGTGTTTCATCGACCGCGGCATCCCCAGTACAGCTTAACAGTAAAACAGAATTGCATCCAGGTATCATTGCGTCCGGGGACATGCTGGGCCATCCCAAATCTGCCTTACGGCAGCCGACCCAGTTCCTCGAAGTTAATCGCTCAACCCCAGCTGCCCTGTCTCAGAAGGAACCCTCCGGCCCCGGTTCTCGACCTAGTTCCACACCAGTGCAAGCAAGCTCGGAGCCACCGCGTCAGGTGCCCGCCAAACGTTCAAATATCATGAATATCTTGAACGATGAACCGGAGGATCCACAGCCTCGGAAACGATTCGCAGGTAGCGATTATACAGGCTCCACTGCGACTCCACGCCCGGCTTCTCCTCGTCATGCATATCCAGGAAGCCATGGGACGCCTTCCCATGCAGTCCGCTCAGAGGATCAGGTAAATACTGCAAACCAGCAGTACCAGCGGGCACAGTACGTTTCTGGATCACACCACTCGCAACCGTCACACTCCCTGCAACAACAATCTCTTTCTCAGATGAGTTCTGCTCAATCCTATTCGGACTTTCCTGGTAGTTTCAATGGTACACCGGCAGCAGGCTCTCTGAATCAGGATTGGATGGCGAGATTTGACCCTCGAGGGCAACAGCAATCTCAGGCAGCCAATTCAGCCGATCAGCACCTTTCGCGGTTGACGAGGCAACGGTCCTCAAGCCATGTATATTCAAGTACTGGCCTTCCCCATTCAATCCCGATGTCCTCTCTTCAGTCTGCCCAGTCTCAGGCGAGCCAGCGTCAACCCTTCACACATCAGCCTTCCCAATCTGCCTTGCAGATCCAGAATCAACAGACCTCTTCTACTCGAGAGTCTCCCCTAACCCAGCATCTACAACCATTCTCCCAACCGAATAGTCCTTCAGTTCAACGCCACAGTATATCCTTTGCGTCGAAGCCCCCCCTTGCCAGGCCTACGTCCCCAATGCCGCCATCAGGTAGTATGAATCAGGCACCACATCAACCATCATCGCGCTTTACCGGCTATTCTCCAAGCTCTTCTAGTCGTCAAGTCCAATCTACTTTGGAAAGCCAGTCTCAGCCGAGTCATCTCTATCGACAGCAAAACGTTCAGAGTGGAGCTTCCCAGCAATACACACCGTCGGCGAGACGAGTACCGTCCCTTTCGCCCAGGCACCAACCATCGCCATTACCACCATCTCAGCATTTACTCGCGCAACATGAACTTCAATCCCAACGCCGTCATCGGCCTTCGTTGAATCCGGGTCAGCAAAGCGATTCTCCATTCAATCGCAATCATGCCCCTTCTTCGCAGATCCCGAGTCTGAGCCGAACACCCGGTATTCCACTGGAAAGATCGTATACACCTCCATCGACGCTGTCCCGACATGGCCCCAGTGCCGAAAGCGGCGGCGGCGGTAATGGTGCTGGTAGTCATTTGTTCCCATCTAGTAGCTTGCTACATTCTCAAGGGACACTCTCGCAACAAACCCAGCAACAGCAAAGCCTTCAGCAGCCCACTCATCAAATATCTCAACTGCCACCAAGGCATTCGAACGGAGGACCTGGATCTGGGCTGGACCATCATTTGTATGATCGCAGATAGTGTTGGGAAATTTGGAAATCTAATAACATTGCACCCTTTGTGGTCACTTCTTTAAAATTTCAGCTCTTTTCTTTTTGGCGTAAAATCTAGATTTCACCTCGGAGGGCTTTAACTGCTTGATGTAAATATTTCACATCGTTTTTGACCAATTGGCGTCACGACATACATATATACCTGATTTAATTCACCTCCGTAATTTTAATCCTACTTGTATCCCCTTTTGCCTCTGTTTTGGAGTCATAAAGTTGTTAATGAGCTCCTTTTCTAACTCCACCAGTCGCTACATATAGTAGGCTATGTCCATGCTCATGAAATGAAAGGTCAGAAATACATATAATTTCATTCGTAGGAACGGGTATAAATATTCACATAAAACCATGGGCTCAGGTCCGGACCGTGCTGAGATTGCTGGCAGCACATAGTGTCATCAAAAGAACTGGCACAAAAAAGAATAATAACAGGGGGTTTGTATGTACATGCGGATAGTATCATCGTCGGATAGGGAAAACTCAAAATCGCTACCATGTCGAGAAAAGCAGGCTTGAACCAAATTATTGCTCTAATACGAGATGACGGATAGGTCCGCTCGCCACTAGACGGTAGAAATTTGCTGGGTCACAGAGAAGAGGACAATTGCAGTCGATCCGGCTGTTAAAATTACATGACAACGCAATCTTTGCTCCTCTCTCTCTCTCTTGGCCGTTCACCTAGCGTTGAAGCCGATGTTGGCATAGGCACCCGCCTTCTGGCAGATGGATGGTTCATATATGGAGTTCGGCCAGATCCGTAGTTGTAGCTTGAAGACCTAGGTCCGGCAATACCATTTTGTCCGTCGTATTGAGAAGCACTATGGTCTTGTGGGTTGTATGGTGGTGTCCGTGCGGCTTGTTCATAGGTTGGTGGTGGTGCATTCGGGTCGTCAGCAGAGACGGTTTGCCGAATGGGCGTCTCCGGTGCTGGAGGGACAAGTGGGCGAATAATTTGAGTCTGACGAGGCTGGCGATGGCCAGTTACGTGTCGATGGTCTTGGGGGGTGTTAGTACTTGTAGGTCGAGCATGTTGTCTGCGTGAGACCGGTTGCCAGGACGATTGAGATTCGGGACGGCTTGAGTTGCGTTCTGCTCGCGCACGTTGCGCACGTTGCTCCTCTTCATCTTGGAATTGAAGGGCTAATGCGTACGCATAGTCCGCGTCTGTTTGCTCGTTATGTTGGCCTGGGTTCATTTTTTGGTTTTGACTGTGCTCCATGGACTGGTCTTTACGTCGCTGTGCAGGGGAGGATGGTGCAGCTCCAACGGGACGAAAATCCCCAGAAAATAATTCGGATCCGCTTCCATTAACATCCACAAGACTTTCCCACACAACTTCTGCATGACCAGCATAGCCGGCATCAGTTACCAGGGTGAAAAATTGTTGTGAGTGTGGGTGTTTAAATAATGTAGAAAAGTGATCATTCCGGAAAAGGATACAAATAGTTCCAGGTGCAAGGGAACGATTCAAATGTCCAAGACCGAAAGGGCTCAATTGGGTAGCATTTTCCACATTGACAAAATGTTGTATATGATCAATATCCTTGATCAGTTGCTCTTCCTCAGCAGTAAGCGTACCGCCTGACAAAACCCTTTCCTCTAATTCCTCCTTGCGAAAGTGTAGTAGCTGAATGTCATCATGATACTCCGCTGTCCGAAGCATTGCTTTGTGGGCTTCTGAAGCCGGAGAAGCAAGCCACCCGTGTACCAACGGAAGGCTAAAAGCACTATACAGCTTTATATCGCGTGTTTGATGGAACATTCCTGGCTGGTCAGGATTTACGTTCTAAGATCTGTTAGAAAAACAACTAGGTAGGAGGAGTCTCTGGAGCAACATACTGGAGTTAGGCGCGGATTGACATTCATTCCTGTGTGAAGCATGGTAAGGAATTTGCTAAGATCTTCAATATCAGGGAGTTGGTACTCTTCATTTACATATGTCGTAAGCTCATCGAATAAAGACTGTATCAATAACCCCAAAGATATTCTTTCTCGAGAACGCAATGCTTTTATAAGGGGAGATTGAATATCAGGTGGAGTCCGCATGACAAGGCTGTTAACAAGTGCCAGAAGTGGACAGGGCCCGTTTTCATTCTGCACCAGAACAGGAGACCGACGTAATGTTTTGTGGACTCCATCTGTCCAATTAACTATCCGAATTCCATATATATCCGAAGGTTGTGCCGGGGGTTGCGGTCCTTGAGTTTCACTTGGTGTATCCTGCAACGTTGGCTGTTCTTCTGCAACATGAGCCGACTTAGGAGGTTCTAAAAGGGAAGGTGCCCGTTGCTTGTCTGATGGTGGTTGGTACGAAGCGGAAGAATGAGGCGCTTCCCTCTCTTCGGTTTCCTCAAGTTCAATGAGATTTGGTGACAGTAGCGGCGGGGTGGGCCGAGTACTGTCGGTAGGAATTAGAGGATCATTTGACCCAGAAGCGGCATTTACGTTTTGTATGTCGGAGTGGCCCTTGTTCTCGGTACCCGGCTTCATCGTGGCCTCGTGGCCAGAAGCGATTATATTCGCATGGTCCACAAATATAGCGTCAGCAGCGTTTCGTGCTAGAGAGGGTGGTGACATTGATCTATCCACTTTACGAGATTCTAAATATAGCCAGACAAAGTGTTAGCCTTCAGCATCGTTATCAAGGCCGGATAAGATATGTATAGTGACTTACGCGGAGGATGCGACCGGCCATCATGGCTGTTTGAGTCCAATATAGCATTATTATAGCGGCGCTCTAACCTGGCTTTGAAAGGATTGTTGGACTGAAGTTCAATAGTTCTCTGGGGCGATGAATCTGCGATATTGTTCGAAAACAAGTTGCAGGTTTCACTGGTTGCCTGGCTTTGCGGGCGGAGACCTGAGTCCCCCTCAGCTCCGATCTCATGCTGCGCAGTTCTCTGCTCACTGTTGTGATCATCTTCCAGTTGACATGATGCACGGGGCTGCCCAAACCCACTAGGCTGGCTTTGTGTCTGTGGTTCCCCGGTCGTCTCCGACAAGGGAATTGGGAGTTCACCTAGCATAGATTCCGAAAACACAGGCTTGTCTTGATCGGACGGCGTGCTGTCCGCCACCACGTCCAAATTAGTGGGAACATTTGGCCTTGGTTCAATGAGCCCAGGCGAGCCATCCTGCCCCTCTTGGTCGGGTTGCTTCACGCTCATGATGCCCGCACTTCGCCGCAAAAGGTTCTTGGGGTGCGGTGGCTCAATGCCGCATGTTGAAGGGTTTTAAGGAGTCTATTGCCGGTGTTTTCAAGGCTGACCCAAGGCGAAGAGTGCAATGATTTGTGTCATCCACTGCAGCCCTGACTTGAAAGCGAGTATGGTTGGCAGAGAGTTGGAGGGACTGGTGATGTCGTACAATACAAGCACGCCAAGGACTTTAGCTAGGTGGCTGCAAACAGGGCTATGCGGGAGCAGCGGGTCAGATATCGAGGGGCCAGGATGCTAGAACTATGGTGCGGACGCTCAAAGTAGTAATCTAGCAGAGGGAATCGTCAGTCCTGAAGTTGTCATCATGGCCTAAGAGACGCAGGCAGCTCAGAATGCGCCAGGCAAGCCACCAATCACCTCTGATCGGATTAATCCGTGAGATACGAAGTAGTCAGCTAAACCCGTTACGGCCAATTCCGCCGGCGATGACGTAATAACGGGTTTATATTATTCCTATATCCGATTTCTGATTTTGCGAAAAAAGCGAAAGCAACCTGGTCCAAATGGGAGAAGTTCATGCCTGGAAGGGCGTGACACGAGAGCGGAAAGCCAATTTGTGCCTGGGTGTAGTGGGCGAATGTGACAGGAGGTTCCAAATAAAAATGGAATCGAGGATACCCCCCAATTCTTACATTGCGCTGCAGTTGCCCTCGGGAACAACGAAAGTCCAGCAGATAATCCCGTCTACGTACGTTTCATGCATAGCCTGTGTGAGCACTCTTGTTCCTCAAGCTTGAGCGTCTTCAGTCTCCCACGTTCTATAGCTAACCTTTTGCCACCAGGACCATCTCTCTTGGGAAATACGGTTCATTCCCCGCAAATCAGATCATTGGACGGCCCTTTTACCTGACTTTCGAGATACTTGACGAGGCCGACGAAAATGGTCATGTTTTGCGTGTTGTTCCCGCAGCAGAGCTACATACGGAGGCGCTGATGACTGAAGGTTCAACTCCGGCAGAACTCGAAGATGGTCCGGATCTTGGAAACGGAACGGGAGAGGATGATACCCCTCAGCCCCGCGACAACCGAAATATCATAGACGACAACTCCGCGCAGCGCATGACAATGGAGGAGATTGAGAATCTCAAACAAGGGACAACTGGTGCGGGAAAGGAAATCATTTCCAAACTTCTACGGTCGCATTCCGCCCTTGACCAAAAGACTGCCTTTTCCCGGGCCAAATACACGCTGAGGAAGAGGAAGAAATATTTAAAGCGTTTTACGCCGGTTCCTCTCGATGTATCGCTCCTCACGAATTGGATGTTGAACGATAAAGATGCGGCAAGGACTATGGAACTACGGGACGAGCTGTTAGGGCTGATTGGGTGTTGGGCAAACGTTCATCATGGTGGGGAAGATTCTCCACCAGATTCAACAACAGCCCAAGCTTGCGGCCGGTGGCTTGTGGTTGATGATACAGGAGGGCTAGTAGTAGCAGCTATGGCAGAGAGAATGGGCATACTCTACCCTTCCTCAACAGAGTCGGACCTATCTGCGTCGGAGGAAGCGGAACCCAGCAGTGATACACCAGGTGAAACGGAAATAATGTCGGTGGAAAATCCCAACGATAAATCTCTCGGCGACCATCCAGAATCTCACTTAGCTCCTAGCCACCAACCACGCCACCGACATCGCCCGGCGCCTATGTCAGCCAAACATACAACCCTGACCGTAATACATCCCAACTTCCAACCCAACCTTACCCTATTAAAATACTTCTCCTACGACCTTAACGATCCGCCCGAATCTCATCCTCTCTACACCCATCTCAAAACGCTGTCTTGGATCCAACTAGTGGATCCTGATTCCGATCACACCTATACTAATGAGCCAGCGGTTGTTCCTGATTCCGTCCTTGAGGACTGGAAGCCTAGTAGAAGGGGCGCTTATTATCGAAAGCGACGCCGATGGACAAAAGTACGCACAGTCGTACAAGAGGCCCGTGCCGGTGGCTTCGATGGTTTGGTTGTTGCAACCTTGATGGACCCCGCTTCCATCTTGAAATACACTGTTCCGCTGCTGGCTGGTTCAGCGCCTGTGGTTGTATATTCCCCACATATCGAACCGCTGATAAAGCTATCCGATTTATACTCTACAATGCGCCGGGCCGCATTTTTAAACCGGAAGCAAGCAATTCAAGAAAGCCAGGGCACAGGAACAAGGGAGTCCGCTGCGGTCCTAGAAGACGGCACGCGGAACTGTTTTCAAGACGAAAACTCCGAGGATGATGATTTTCCTGTAGATCCATCTCTACTTTTGGCTCCTTCGATCCAGACATCACGAGTCCGTACATGGCAAGTTCTGCCAGGACGTACGCATCCGCTTATGACTGGTCGGGGTGGAGCGGAGGGTTATGTGTTTCATGCCATCCGTGTTATTCCAGCGGGAGGAAGAGTGGAGGCTCGTGGAGTTCCGGGAAGAAAAAAGAGAAAGGTTGCAATAGATACGCCGGGTCAAACACCAAAGGAGAGCGAGGATACTGATATGCAGACGTAAATATCTTAGAATCCTATATACATACATGTTCATATGGGTTAGGAGTGCCCTTGGTACCTTGCATTTCGTACCAGCGGGATAGCTGATGACCAGCCACTCTTGAAGACAATTTATGTCCAAGAATAAGTGACGTTCGGCTAGTTTCAACAATCCGACAAAGTACGTATAACGAATCCAAACATTCATTTCTATTTCTGTGCCCCTTTTCCTTTTATCCAAAAGAATAAAGCTCAGGTAGTCAAAGGTAGAAAGCCTTAACATAACAAGCATTGGTGGTTTAGTGGTAAAATCCGTCGTTGCCATCGACGGGCCCCGGGTTCGATTCCCGGCCGATGCAGAAAAAGTTCCTTTTTTTACTCCGCTGACACAAACTCCGCATCTTCATTTTTTGGTTCTGATTGCTACTTGACACCTCCGTTAATGGACGAGTAGTCTATTGGTGTTGGAGATGTGAATTGAAGTGTCTGGTGTCACATAATTGGCGCTCTGTACTCCGTACGGAGTAAAAGAGCACCTAGTCTCTCTGCTCCTTTACTTGGGAAGGCTTTTAGCCTATTTCAACCCATCAATCTAGGCTTTTGAAAGCTATCAATGGATCCTGTCTCCCACAGGTTTCAAAACTGAGCGCTTTGACACGTATCCCCTGAAGGTCCAATGAATTGGTTTCACGGGATACGTCTAAGATTATCCCGTGTATAGACGTAATTTTGTCTACTTCAACATCTGCAAAGAAGTCCGGATAAAACAACTGCCCAGAGCTTTTCACCTATCAGCTAGAAATTCTGATGAAAAGCAAGGACAAAACGCGGGATGAGGGTACGTTTATAGGGTACTTGGACCGTGCTACAACACACTTTTCACTGCTTTATGCATATACAAAAATTCAGGCGAAGGCTACTCCAAACTCTACACCGGTATGCATAGGCAGTAGTATAGTGGAGCATTCATAGTAAAAAGGGAATAATGGAGTCTGCAACCACTCCGTAGGCACAGTGCAATCTATCCACGTATTTTTACATACGGATGGGATGTACTCCGTATAAAATATTTCGTTGTTGGTGGGCAAGCCGCAAATGCCTGTATCTTTTTGCAACACAGAATACTCCGTACTCACTGCTGCATTTCGAAGCAGCCTAATCGAAAGCGATGGCCTCTAGAATTAAGCATCAAGGGCATAGTGGGAGTACTCCGTAGCTTTCCTTTTTATAGAATTATGTACGGAGTATACTCCCTATAAACCACATTGACTTTGATGATCGCATTGGCGAAAAATTACATTCATCAAATAAGCATCAATGGTCTAGTGGTATGACGCTTGCCTTCCAAGCAAGCTGCCCGCGTTCGATTCGCGGTTGATGCATCTCACAAAATAACTTTTTGAGTCTCCACGGAACTACGGAGTACCCTTTTTTTTTTTTTTTTTTTTTTTGTTGGTAAGAAACTCTGCGATTTCACGTCATTATGTGGAGAAGACCCGTTGATTGTCACGGATTCCTCCTACAACGTCCGAGCACCAGCGTACCGGGATCAGCAGGGTTAGGCCTTGCAGAGGTCAATTTACCGGATACATATCCAGCGATCTGGACTAGAATGGCGCCTTTCTCGCGACACGGATTGAAATCAAGAGCAGAAAGGGAAGATAAAGGGGGGGGAGGGGGGGGAAATTGACACCGGAAAGGCGTTTCTCACTAACGGAGTTCGAGACAGCGTGATTTGTCCTCCGTTTCCATCCTCCCATACGCTCTTTTTTAAAGTTGGTTCCTGGCGAACGAGAATGTGGACCATAGGTCAAAGACTCGAGGCGTCCCTGATCTTGCCTGCATTGGTGCATTGGTTTAGTCATTGGCAAACAAAGGCTGGTATGAATTTTGGGGTCCCGAGCTCAGAGCCAGAGTGCATGTGCCGCCGTAACCGAAGCGCGAGCAATGCGCGCTGAATATCAACCCGTGTGCCCGGATGATTGGCCAGCAAGCTATCGGATGTGAAGAACTTCTTGGGATCATGGCTGTAACAGCAAGCGAGCTCGAGGTTAAGGGTTATCTTCGCCCTTTTTTTTGTTGAAGTGATAAAGAAGGTCGGCAGCTCTACAACAACAGCATTGGTGGTTTAGTGGTAAAATCCGTCGTTGCCATCGACGGGCCCCGGGTTCGATTCCCGGCCGATGCAAAACAATGGTTTCTTTTTTGGAGTTTCTTTTTGCAAGTCACTCGTCTATACGGAGCTAGTTTCTTTTTTGTGCGTTCAACTGGGAGGCGTTGCTCCTCAGGAAGTGTATGGTACACTCAGAATTCCACAATTCCACCCACAAATGAGCTTGCTCATTAGTTACACGTACCAGGTCAGAGCTCTCCGTAGAATATCAGCGGCTTTTTGGAGGAAGCATAGCAGATACTGGGAGGACGAAAGGGAAGCAAAAGGGTAAAGATGTCCATATCCTATTCCATCTGTGTTTCCTAGGTTTATTCTACACCATTCTACGGTGTATGGGGCACGCGTTACTTCATTCTCAAGTATTCTGGCCGTGCAACAGATGTCGGGTGCGGCCCAGACGTTTCCATCAGTTCAGTGGACGTTAAGATCCAATCAATCGACGTGCGTGCCCTGATTCCAAGGCTTGGGCGATTTCTGATACATTGCTCCGTACTGCTTATTCCGTTCTCTTTTGATTTCAGACAATCCGTAGTAGAACCCTGCATACCCCGAGTCTAGAAGCCAAAACAGCTTATCAAAAAGAACGGTTCAGATGACGAAAGATTGTGCAAGGTGAAAATTGAATTTCCCCCGCGCTTGGGAGCAAGGCGTCCTTTGATCCATTTGGTTCGGACTGCCTGGGGAATTAAGCCCATCCAAATTCCTTGCTTCGAAACAAACAACCTTGAAGCTCGAAGCAATATCGCCGCCATCCCCGGCTCTAGCACGGTATTGAGTGGGTACCAGCCGATCCCATGAGAAGATCTTGCTCAACGCAAAGACGTGAGCGAATTTCGTAGTTCACTGGCGTAGGTATATTGTTTAATCAATGACGCCTGACGCTTGGGAATGCCCCTTCGATGCTGGAATGCTCTTGGGATCGCCATTGCACGAGCACGGCACGTCGCCGTGCCCGTCCCGGTTGAAAACCTGCCTGGCGCAAACGCCCATCACGTGATAGACTCACGTGATTTTTTAAGGTTTTTTCTGGTGCGGTGACGGATTTCGACGCGAGAGGCGGCAGCAACAGCGTGACATCCGGGACTCTGGGACAATGCGAGTCTCAGAAGGCCCTTGCTGCACGGTTCCAAGGCGAATTCACTCCACTCGAACCACTCCCATTATTATCAGGAAAAAGTGATCTTTTTGGCACGGCCATGTTGGTTTCCGCTGTTCGTTCAACCTTGGGGAGTTGAGATAAAGCAGGCAAGCCGTCAGGAAGTTGGTTCCGGAGGCGTGGACCCATGCAGCAGATTGGCCTAAGGGAAATCAAGCTTGCGGGAGGAGGATTGTGGTCCATCTCTCGGGGCACGTGTGGGATTGTGCCAATCGGATTTGCCCTCGATTTCTGCGCTCGCAGGGAAAACTGACTTTTTCCCGGCCCCCTTGCTCTCTCAGCCAAATCACATCTGCTGCCCACCGCGCTTTGCACCCTGGCTCAACAAGCTAATTTGGCCCTCGAAGTGGGAATGCTGCACATCATCAGGCCATCCCGTTCAATAATATGCCATAGATGCCAGCACATGGCGGAAGGAGCAGTTGTGAGCGGAGCCCAAATACCAGCAGTCCGGAAATGGTCGCCCAAGCTGCTGTGTGCTCTGGGCTCCCTGCGTGGCACGTCCAACCAGCAGCTGTAGCACAATCGCTATCTCTTCTCCAGAGATCTCGCATGGCATAGCACGGGGAAATGGACTTTTGGCTGATGTGCCCAGAATCACGTTCTCCAGAATCGACCACGAGAGGATGAACCCGGAAACCTTCAAACCCTCCAGGTTTATCTGGGGCATATTACCTGGGGTTTGGGAATTTGAGCGCCAGGGCCTTTGTCAAGATAAATGTTCTTGCTGCTTGGGCTATTTATAACAGTCAAATGAGTGTTGGGTTTCCTGACTCCACAGTTGCGATGGCCTGTCCGGGTGGACCGCTGTTGCAGGACTGTCTCTCGATCAAATCTCTTGAGAAAGCACCTTTTGGCGAGGCGCCAATCTCAGGAGATCGACTCGAGAACTCTGCGAGTAGTTATACTAACTGTTGAAGCGAACATGACGCCGTTCATTGTGCGCTTAGGCGCAGCACCGTTCGGCATTGCGTCCGATTCAATCCGGTGTATTTCGTTTCAAGAGCATGCTTTTCAAGTGTAACATTTCTTTTTTTTCATTTCTTTTTTCATTTTAATTTATTTTTTAAAAGCCGCCATCCTGCCTATTCTTTTTCCCCCTTGGCATTCTCAGGCGAATCACGGAACCCAAGGCTTTCCTCGCAGTGCTGCTAAGCATGGGAAGGTAATAATGTGTCTTTCTTGGACGTCCCACAAAATTGGTCCGTAAAACCCGCGATTTGCACGGGCCTTGAGCGTCGAAGATCATTGGCACAACTTTTCAATGCATGCAATCATGAGATTTGCTCTCCATAAACCCCGCGATCCTTCGATAAGTACACCGCAAGACCTCGATTTCGATCAAGTCATCGTTGTCTTCGATTCATCTCCGTTCTATAGTGTCGTTTTGGAAAATTGTATCAGACGCTCAGCATGAAAACGGACCACTTGTCGCAGCCCTTCCCATCCGTTGACTTCTGCGGCAATGGCTTTCCACATCCTGGGCACCGTCAAGGACAACTGGTACATGTTTAGTCCAGTTGAACGTCGCAATATCGCCATCTATATTCTCGGAATTATGCTCTATAAGTTTGGCCTCGAAGCTTTTAACGGATCAGTTGTTGCCCTCGCCACCAATCGATATGACTACGACGCTTTCAAAACCCACTCTCATCCCAAAACCTTCGAACGCGTTGGACTTCTCACCGGCCTCAACCAGGCATTCCAATGCATCGGCTCCATCCTTATCGCGCCTCTTGTCAGGAGGGCATCCTCAAGGGTGGTCTTGGCCGTAGCAATTTTCGTCTTCGGCCTTTTCACTGCCCTCCTCCTCGTCCTAGATGCCAGCACCGGCGGGACGTTTGTCCCTGTCGAGTTTCGGAAGCATCACCCCAGCATGGACTTCCATTACTATGGCCACTATGACACGGATGGCATGATTCCCATCTATTGTGTCACTGGAGTTGTATATGGTATGGTCGAGCTCATTCGCCGAGTTATCCCCAGAGATATTGTTGGTGGAAATGTACAGAAGCTCCGACGCATGGACTCGCTTGTCCACGTTTTCTATGAAATATCGGGCACCGCTGGAGCGTTTTGTACGGCCCTCGCTTTGATCCCGCAACTTGGAAATAACTACTCCTTCATCATCACCCCCGTATGCTTCTGCCTCGCGGGATGTGTGTGGCTGTGTATTACCGACACGACCTTCCAACAGCCTGCAAGGGAAAAGCTGCTTTCGGATCAACCAACATACATCAAGGCAGTCTTTGGCTCGTTCTATCTCTTCGGAGAATCCCTCTGGACCGGAGCGAAACTTATCCTCTGTAACCGAAGATTCGTCTGGCTCATACCAGGTTACTCTATTGCCTTTTACGGCCACAGATATCTCGAAAACTCAATTGCACCAGCCGTCGCTAGAAGATACCTCGGTCACTCCGCTTGGTCTCAGGTCATTGTCGGCGGGTCAAACTTGGGCGAATTGCTCGGAGCTGCATTCGTGTTCTTATTTACCAACCTCATCACCACACCCATCCCTTGGATACGCGTTGACGCTATTATGCTCCTTATCCTTTGGTACCTGCCATTCTGGCATCCACCTGCCAACGATGTTCGATACGCATGGATAGTCAGCGCCACCTTCCTACCCATATCATTTGGCTGGGCTGCCGGCGACGTCTCACTTGCGGCCTACATCCAGGCGACGCTCGCACGCGTTGAATCGAAAACGAAAAACGTCTCTGCCCTCGGCGCGGTCATGGCATGTCTTTATACGACGTATATCGTTATTTACGCAATTAGCTCCCCAATATTGGGCCAATACATCGACGATGTCTATATTCGAACCGGTGGTAGCAAAGGGGATGGGAATATCCATAGCGCGATACTCAATGTTGCTGCCATACAATATTCAGTCATGGCACTTGTCATCTTTGTCTCAACATTTGTTCCACAGGGTTCCTTTGCATTGAACCCCAAGCTCCTATTCGACCAGAATCTTGACTCCGACGTGGAGGTCTGCGAAATCGGATCGGTCGAGATGAAGAAGAGCATGGACCGGAGAAATACCACTGGAGGGCACAGCGATGCACGCGATTCGTGGTAAATCACACATTTCATTTCCTTTTATCACACTAAGCCTCTCGAGCTGTGATGAACGCGGCTTTCGAGAATTATACTGAAACCAGTCTACGCGGTACACCTACATATCTCTACTTCTCGATTTCTTTACGCCGAAACTCCTCCTGATTCCTTCCTTTCATGACTTCCTACTCTCCGCCCTCTAGTATCTTTTATTTATCGCCTAATACCCCATGATTTTACCTCACACCTATGTTCACGTACTCTGTTAGCATTTGCCCGAAATGGCATATGGCGCAGGTTTGAATTGTTTTTTTTTTTATGTATGGAAACCTCTTTTTAGCCGGTCTTTCATTTTGGACCATTATGTATTTATTGGAGGAGCTTTGCCCATTGGTAAGACTCATTTTTTGAGATGTATGTATATATTTACACAGCGCGAAGCACATCTTTCATACGACTCACTGAGTTCTACCAAGAGAAATCTACTCGGGAAGGGAGGGTCTGTTACAGCAGGAACTAATAATGATTATTTAATAACCATTGTAATTTGATCTCGCGACTCAAAACGCTTGATAAAAATAAGAGAATCACTCGCAAACACGATTTGGTATAACAGCTTAAAGTGACTTCCCCATGAACTTGCGCTTCGCAAAACTTAGCCACCACTGCAGATGTAGCCAGAAAGGGTTAGCCGACAGAACGATGCGCAAGGATAAATCGACGAAGATAGGATTGAAAGAGAAACAGGCAATTTTCTCATACCTTGGATGGTCCCACGCCGCCGGGGTATAATCTCGAATGAAGTCTGATAGCAAGCTCTTGTCGGACTTGGGATATATATCTGAAAAAAACATAGGCAAGAATAAATTAGAACAATCAGAGTTAAAAGGAAAATCACGGCATATATAGAAGGATCATACTGTCTCAACGTCTCTGCTTCTTGTCTGTCTCTAGGTGGTTCAAATGCCTGGTTAAGTGGAAACGAGGCATCTCCGGGGATCGCAAAGTGATCAAGGGATGCATTAATCAGGACCTGTCCATATATACTCTTCCTGTTAGTTGATTATTCGCTTTGAAGACAAATCAAAAAGGAGGAAAGAACAACAAAAATAAAAGTAAGTTTTCTAAGGGATCGAAACCTTTTCTGCTTCCCTAGCGGGCATTCCCGGCTTGACTCTTCCCAAACACTCGCTGATGAACAGGATGCCATAGATCAGCATGCGGTCGGCAGGGCCTTTGATTTCAAAGTTGCGAAAGAAGGTGTTCGCACGGTAGAGGGAGAGGATTTCATCGATGCAGTCGTAAGATTCGCTGTCGGGATCAATGTCCGCGTCGGAAGAACCGGCGGGGAGGGTAGGGAGTGTGTATGCAGGTCCGCGGGTGCGGGTACGGAGGGGGAGAATGGGGAAGTTTCCTAAGAGTGGCAGTGAGTGATTGATGGTCTGATTAAGGCTGGAGAGCTTCGCTATGGAGCTCGTAGACATGCCCGAAATATGAAAGACCTATGGGAGAGGCGGGTTATGTGCGGCGTACCTATTGTTTGTTCATTGGGTTCTTGGAGGAAGATGGAGTGGTATGCCTGGAGGCGGGGGGGAGTCAGCATTCGGCGGCCTGAGAAGGAATTGACATCAGGACAGACCGGCATATTGGGTAGGCGTTGTTTATATGGTTCTTCGGTCTATTCTGTAAGTTCTTTTCGATCCGGGTTGCTGCGGAGGGGGGTCGAGCTGCTTGTGCATTCATCGACGTAAGATGCGCTCCTCCCGATGTCATTCTGCCCGCCGCCCAAACAGCCACTCCGAAATGATTTTCCGCCGCCGAGCCTCTTTACGCGGTCGAACGCAGAGAAACGCGTCGTGGGAGTCGACTACAGAAGCAACAGCAACGGCTATATCCCCCGTTTGGTTTGACCAGGTCTGGAGAATATATTTCCTAGCTGATTGTGGCCACGATCCAGGTTACTATTTCGCACATTAAACTCTCAAAATGTCGGACATCGAAGATGAGATGGATATCGATGTCCAGCCAGCAAAACACTCAATATCCTCCAGCTTGGAAGATGTAAAGGGCAAAAGAATTCAGGCGGATTTGCCCGTGGAAGCTGAAGATAACCTCCCATGGTGTGCTCTGTTTATTTTTTTCATCTCAACTTTCTTGATTTGCATGGAATTATCGACTAATTGGTTGTTCCAAATAGGGTCGAGAAATACCGCCCAAGCACCTTGGACGACGTTTCCGGCCATCAAGATATAATTGCGACTATAAATCGATTCATCGAGTCAAATGTAAGCAGCCGGAGTTCAAAACCAAGTGAGATATGGCATCCAGACTCTCAGCTAAAAGAATGGCAATTAGCGACTACCTCATCTTTTACTCTACGGCCCACCAGGAACAGGCAAGACCTCCACGATATTAGCCCTCGCCCGGCAGATATACGGCGTTAAAAATGTGCGACAGATGGTTTTGGAGCTCAATGCTAGTGACGACAGAGGCATTGATGTTGTGCGAGAGCAGATCAAGACATTTGCCAGTATGTTGCAGCGGGCCCCTTTCTTAGCAGGAAGGTTAGCAACCAGCTAAAGTGCAGGATACTAGGCACGAAACAAATATTCTCGATGACGCCCGGCGGCCAGGCGGGCTCCAAGCTCGGGGCGTTCAAGTTGATTATCCTGGATGAGGCCGACGCGATGACCGCAGCTGCGCAAATGGCCCTTCGGCGAATTATGGAAAAATATACCGCCAATACTCGATTCTGCATTATTGCGAACTACACACATAAGCTCACTCCTGCGCTGTTGTCGAGATGTACTAGATTTAGATTTAGTCCGTTGAAGGAGCAGGACATCCGGGTATTAGTGGACCAAGTCATTGAGAAGGAGCAAGTGCGGATACAACCAGACGCAATCGACAGCCTAGTGAGACTGAGTAAGGGCGATATGCGACGAGCGTTGAATGTGCTCCAGGCGTGCCACGCAAGCAGTATGGTTCCCTCTTCAATATTCACTTAAGTTAGACGCACCTTTTAACCCCCAAATTTCAGGTATGCCCCTACCCCTCCGTGACGTCCCCAAAGACCAGCAACCCGCCCGTGAGCCGGAAACAATCACCGATGACACTATCTATACTTGTATTGCGGCCCCCCGCCCGTTGGATATCAAGACGATCATGGAAACCCTTCTCAGCACTTCGGATGTGACATCCTGCTTGAACACAATCCAAACGCTTAAAATCAGTAAAGGACTGGCATTGGCAGATATACTTACGGCATTGGCGAATGAACTGCAACATATAGAGGTGCCGGCGCAAACAAGAGTTGCATGGCTGGAGGGCCTAGCGGATATTGAATGGAGGCTATCGGGAGGCGGAGCGGAAGCGATACAGACCGGTGGATTGGTGGGAGTTATTCGGGGAGGATGTGAGTTGATAAGCGGCCGTGGAGTGCAGATGGAGAGCTGATGGGACCCCTTTGTTTTCCCAACTTTCCCCTGTGCAATGTGGATTGGTTTGTTTTCCAATGAAAAATTTTTTGGAGTAGGCCAGGGTCTGGTGTTTGTAGGGCGCTGGGGATATTTCAATCGATCATTTCCAAAGCATTTTTTGTTAATAGAGCGCTCCGCCACAGGAACCTTCTCAGGAGGTCTGGATGCACACTGGTAGCTAACAAATCGGAACCTATATTAAGGCTATTGCAGCTCCAGGGTTACGCTTGTTATCGACGAAGTATTTACTTTGCCATTTCCAGCGTCGGTTAAATATTTCTCTGAAGCTCCAATCAAGCCAATTCACCTTTGTTACGATGAGGCGGGAGGACCTTGATTGCTTACCACCTATCTACTCCGTGCCAATTCCGCTTTATGGCTGGCTAGGTGTGTCACTCCTTGGTGGGCCATCGCCCGGGTGTTGATGTATCATGTCAGTGCCCACGATGCCCTTCATTGCGTGGAGGCGGATCGAGAACCGCACCAGACAACAGAGAGAGTCTGATTTGAGTCAGCAAAATATATCATATCCTGATTCCGGTCCAGGATGGCCATCAGATGCGCTCGGCTCTCCACCCTGGGTCGCTGGATCTAAACCCGTCTAGACAACTGGTTCCGGGCGAGAACCAGGGATACCGGTTGGCATTTCCAGAAAAGCCGGTGTGGGCTTTGCGTAATGGCGCTTCTAGCTAGGCTTCCGCTTCGCCCCGTCGGAGAAAGCCCACCATCGACCGATCAGTATTAATGACTTAACTTGCTCCAAGAGATCGACCAGGGCGCATCGCCGGATCCGGGCTGAAAGGCGTGAACTCAATGCGCCGACTGTGGGCTCCGGTGCCAGCATGGGCTGCACTCAGGTTTCGCTACCCCGCACTCGAAAATAAATACTGAGACCTGCTCGTACCCTGATGGCTATCATCATATACTCATTTCTCTTCTTCAAGCCATTCCTCCGAATCAGCCAGCCATGCGTTCTCGATCGCAGTCGTCAGGCGTTCTCTTGACCCTAGCTGCCATCTTGGCTTCTCTCCTCGCCACGGGAGCTTCGGCAGAGACCGTTCTAGGCGCATACATCTTTTCTCGCCATGGAGATCGGACGTCAAAGTCGACTCTGCCAACGGTCCTGACAGACCTCGGCTACAGTCAGGTCTACGTGACCGGCCAGTACTACCGCGAGAGATACCTTTCGGACTCATCGGGATCCCGAATCAAAGGTATCAACCCGGATATTATCACCCCGGGCCAACTGGCTGCGTTTGCTCCCGCGGATGAAGTCCTCCAGAATTCTGCGACTGCCTTCTTCCAAGGTCTCTATCCACCGGTTGGAAATGTTGCAAAGTCAACTCTTCGCAATGGCACAGATATCGAAGCCCCTATGAACGGCTACCAGCTAATGGCCATTGAGCAAACCTTTGCTGGCGGAAACAGCGAGAAGCTCGCCTGGCTTCAGGGCGCCAGCAAGTGCCACAATGCCAAAGTTAGCAGTAATAACTACTTCATTTCTGAGCCCTATAGGGAGCTGTTGGGCTCAACCACCGATTTCTACAAGTCTCTCGCGCCAATGGTCAAAAACACCTTCTCTCAAGACCAGGTCACTTACAAGAATGCATATATCATCTTCGACCTTCTTAATGTTGCATCTATCCACAACTCCAGCGATAATTTCCCTTCTTCCGAACTTCTGACCGATTCCACCTACTCTCGCTTGCTTGAACTCGCCAATATTCATGAATTCAGTCTGGCGTATAACGAATCAGAGCCCATTCGTGCAGTCAGCGGTTCAGTCCTAGCGGGCGAGATCCTTACTGCATTCAAAGATCTCATCTATTCAAAAGGCGAAGCCACCAAGCTCAACGTTCAGTTTGGTGCCTATGCTACCTTCCTCTCCTTCTTTGGTCTCACCGAGCTGTCAAAGGCCTACAATGACTTCAACGGGATTCCCGACTACGCATCCGCCATGGCATTTGAGCTCGTGACAGACTCGTCTAGCTCGTCTTTCCCCGACCCCTCGGACATCAGTGTGCGATTCCTCTTCAACAACGGGTCAATTCCCTACGGCAGTAAGCCGTCTGAATTCGCCCTGTTTAACCAGCCCAAGACTGTTCTGCCCTGGTCAGAATTCTCAGGACTTATGGAGAAAATCAGCCTATCATCTAAGGAGGAATGGTGCAAGGCTTGCGGCAGCACCAGTGGTGAATGTGCTCCGAATCGCCTGGGAGCCGAACCTCTAATCACCCAGGACAGAGGTCTGTCCACGACCCAGGCCGGTGTTGTTGGCGCAATGATCACGATGGGTGCTATCCTTGCTGCCCAGGCCCTCTTTATGCTGATCGGAGGCTTTAGATTTGTGCGAAAATCCAAAGTTGTTCAAGTCAATGAGGTGGCAGAGAAGAATGTGGTATGATAAAGGCTTAAGTAAATAACCAATGCAGCAAGAGAGAGATAAAGAAATTCTCAACTTCGGCATATTATGACAGCGAATGTAAATTCCCCTTAAAGATAAACATAATAGAAGATCACCATTGCCTGTAGTTATGCTGTTCATATTTTGACAACTTTCTCCCCATCAAACCCCTTTGATTGCGCAAAATAGTAACCTCGTTGATTACACACGACCCTCTTCGCCGTTTTCTGATCTAAGAAATCACAGTTGAAATGTGTGTGTCCAAACGCCCAGAGCTTGACGCAGGTGTCGCCCCAGCATACTTCCTTCGACAGGTCGCTCATGAAGCCGGATGAAATGTGGCTATTCGTATGCGTCGGGTCTATCACTTTCTCATCTGTGGTGGGACAATAATGCGTGAATATGACGACTTTCCGCTCCGGATCGTGGCGTGAGATAGATTCGACTTCTTTATTCAGCCATGCTAGATCTTCCAGGTGTGCGGCCTGATGCGCCTCGACCGACCAGCCGCTGATATAATAGAAGTCATTCATTCCGAAACTCACATCCTCCTCCTGTTCGGGCGTGATGTGCGAAAAGAGTGTGCACCCGAGAACAGTGACGGTGGGAGAGATATCGTAGCGCGCTCGGTCGAGGAAGATAAGTTTGCCTTGCACTTCCTTATTGTTTAAGGCTCGCTCCATCTCATTTTGAAAGCGCTCTAGTTTTGCCTTTGTTTCCATCCAGCTGGAGTAAAACGGTTCGTGGTTTCCAAGGAGCAGGAAGACAAGCTGAAAGTTTTGCAATTGGCCACGGATAAATGTGAAGAATCCATCGTCCCTAACATTTCCCGTGTCTCCGAGCAGCGCCAAATAGGGTGCTTTGGGGTTCACGGTGAATATGTCATATGCGGCTGGCGTCTCCAAATGGAGATCAGAGAGAATTTGAACTTCCATATCAGCGATGGATAGTGCGGTCTCGTTTAACAATACAAGGGTAACAAGAGCAGAAAATATAGCGAGCAGTGGCAACGAGCGACGTGTGGAATTCGCTAGTTGAAATTTCTCTGCTTTATATAGAGTAAACGACGCTCCGCGGAGTTCAACGGCACCTGCTAGGAGTGACAATACACCTTCTGGCAGGTTTCTTGGTAGTTACCTCTGGCTGGTTAGAGGCACAATTTCGGACAGAAGCACTATATTTCTTATAGAGGTGCCCAGTGTCCCTCAATTGGCCCGGGAGGAAAGCGTGCAGGTAGCGAATAGCTCAAGCAGCTGAGATGGGCGTCCCCATTAGTTATAAAAGGGCTTCAAGTGCTCTTCAGCGAGACAGGCCATGACACATGATCAATCTCGCTCAGTTTACACAAGCCGGATCGCTTGAGCTCCGTGAGATCCGGCGTCTGCGTCGTTCTGGCGGTGGAGGGTGGTCAGTGGGCGGGAAACGGAGCAGAGAAGCTCCGGGGTGAAGCTTGGCGGAAGTGGTCCAAGCTCCGCTGGGTTCTTCCTTGGCGATCCTGCAGCGCTCAACTCCGCGGTGGACTTACCTGCATCAGCCAGGCTTTTGAAGCTGGCGTTGGGAAGAATCTCCGGCATAGCCCAACAGGAAGAGAACGGAGCGAAAGACGAGCTCACCTGAACAGCATTTTCCTCCCCGCTGGCTCTGGAACTCGAAACGCGACGCCCTCCCAAGCTTGATTCCTAACCTTCCTTACGTCTGCCTTCATCGCCCGCATTTGAGCAACTGTCCTACGAAATGTCATCCCACTACAACACTGAGCCACCTCCAACGGCCTCTGCCACTCTCCAGACAACCGTCGGGCCCATCCACATCTCCCTTTTTGCCAAACAGACTCCGCTCGCCTGCAAAAATTTCCTCCAACACTGTCTAGATGGATACTACACAAACACCACCTTCCACCGTGTGGTGCCCAATTTCGTCGTTCAAGCCGGCGATCCCACGGGCACAGGTTCCGGCGGCTCATCGATCTACGAAGATGCGGAATTCGAGCGCGACCCTCGCGATCCAAGCCAGAAGATTGTGTTCGGTGATGAAATTCATAGTCGCTTGAAGTTTAACAGGCGTGGCCTTGTCGGGATGGCTAAGGGTGAAGATGGGAGGTACGGGAGTCAATTTTTTATCACACTAGCACCGGCAGAAAGGGAGTTGACGGGCACATGCACCCTGTTTGGGAGGCTGGAGGGCGAGAGTATATATAACATCGTGAAGATCGCGGAGGCGGAGTTGGTGGAGGGCACAGAGAGACCTGTTTATTCAGTGAAAATTACAGGATGCGAAGTTGATGACCTTGGTCCGTTTGATGGGCAACTGCGAAAGAGAGAGAAAATTGCTATTGCGGAGAAAGAACCCGAGGTCAGAAAGGAGAGCTCCAAGAAAAAGAAGAAGCAAGTGAAGACGCTGTTGAGTTTTGGCGCTGGTGAAGAAGAGGATGAGGAATCTTTGCCTATTTCCAAGCCCAAGAAACCAAAATTCAACGCAAGTCTTGTCATGGATATGTTACCTGCAGACGAAAAGAGACGAGGATCCTTGCCAGAACGAAGTTCACAATCAGCAACTCAAACATCAGAGTCGGTTGAACAACATTCAAATTCGAGACCATCCCGCAAGCGATTCCGATCCCCTCTGCGATCCCATTCTCCACAAACCAGCCGCAGACTATCACGAGACCCCAACACGCAACTTCCTCTCCCAGACCCAGAAAGCCCTCGTTCTGCGCCCCCTTCGCCAGACCAGTCTCCCCAGCGTTCAAGAGCATCCAAACTAAATGCAGAAATCGAGTCTCTCAAAGCATCAATGCGACGAACCACCGGACCGGCCTCCAGCGAGCCCACAAGGATAAAATCAGCCCTGGAGTCACTCATCCCCAAAAATTCCATACGGGGACGCAAGCGTCCCGCTCCCGGCTCCGCCAACGGAGCAGACACAAACGGCAGATCAGAGGAAGCAGATACCTTAAAACTCCTCAATGCCTTTAAAGCAAAACTCGAAAAGGCCGACGAAGAGGCGACCAAAAAGAAGCCACAAATATCCAAATCAAGCACCACCACCACCACCGACGAACCGACCAGACAACCCCAGACATCCAGGAGGGAGCTAGGAGATGCAGAAGACGAAGAAGCTCAAATCTGCGATCTCCATTTCATTGCAAACTGCCAATCCTGTCGCGCCTGGGACCTTCGAGATTCTGGAACGGGACTCGGTGCAGATCATGAGGACGACAATGCGATGGACTGGATGACGCATGAGCTCAAGTTTGCGAAGGACAGGCTGGGCAAGGACCAGACGTGGAAAGAGTCAAACCGTGACGTGGATGATCTGGTGGTCATTGATCCAAGGCAGAAAGAGAAGGAGATTAGGGGTGGGAGGAAGCAGGAGTCTGGGCGGGATAGGGAACGGGCTAGAGAGCTGGAGAGGGAGAGGAAGATGGAGTGGGCTCGAAAGCAGGGACATTCGCGGTGATGTACGTCGGTATTCATTTTCATTTCTGGCTTTCTGTCTCGTATACGGAGTATAGCGCGGGCATATATGATTGTCGCATGTGCTGTACAGTACTTGCTACACACATATGTAGCTTTTTTGAAAAGTGATTCCCATGGGACGGAGATACGTTCAGTGTCATCAAAAATCATTTACGAAAAAAAAACAAAACATCAAAATACTGGCATTCAATTTCCGGCGAACGCGTACATACAAAAACAGCAAACGCCCAATAGATAGCTGGAAAATACCTGCTGAACTGATTCCAAACGGGAAAAATCTTTCCGTTATGTTTAAGAGAGTGAGCCCTGTCCGGCACAGAAAAATCATAAACTGGAGAAATAGGCCCACTGGGAAATTGCAAGACAGAAGGATCAAAACGATATTAAAAAGCCAATATTTATTCGATAAAGCCATAGCAGAGGATGAAAGAGAGTCCAATCAATCAGCGAAGTCGCGAGTGCCTGGGAAAAGAGGTATTAGCCACCCACTCATTTGTGTGGTAAGCAAAACCGATAGCATCAGCAAACATAGCCAAAAGATCGGCGTTTATTTTTTTTTTTTTCGAAATAGTGGAACAGAAATAGCAGGTAAATTCCAGTGCGAAAGCTCCGACAGCTGTAAAGTTCAGACAATATGTACATATTGCATTGCAATACGCCAAAAGATCGTTGGTGGTCCACGAGGGTGCAAAAAGAGACGATAATCGTGGTTAGCGCCGGTTGAGAGAGAGCAACGGCTGTCGACACAAAGCTTGCTTTCCAATATCTGTTCGACCGAAAACGTCAGGGATGGGGACAGTTAATGTTCGTATGAGACGAAAAAAGAATGCTGGAAGTCGCAAAATTCGAAGTTGAGGCAGGATTCTGACGATCAATCCTCAAAAAATGCGAGCAACGCATAAAAACAATAGCATGTGTATTAAAACGGGGCCGGAAGTAGCACCAAAGCATTGAGAAATCCTAAAGGCAAGACAACGGCGAGACGACTTAAACACCATTATCCCAGGCAGCTCCACTGATACAAAAGGCAAAATCCAGACAGGTTATGCAAATAAAAGATGTTACACACAGCATTCTTCCCCGAAGCCTGAAGAAAACTTGGGTCAGAAGAAAGAAAAACCACGACAAGGGCAAAGAAAAACATAGACAGGAAAACGGGCGATGCTTTCGGATATTTTCTCGGTATTTTCGTGCGAAAAACAAGACCTCATGTTTCCTGCGCCTGACGCTCTCAAGTAGCAAATGGGGTTCATATATTAAAAATTTCTTTTCACGCTTTATAGCTCTCATCTGGGAAATACGTGCTTAGAGAAACCATCGTTCAAACAAGAGTCGTGCTTCTGGGCTGCCCCAAAGTCGAGTAGCATCTAGTTAAATCATTCTCCATTGAAACTTTTTTTATGTAAAGCCGAGTCTTTTTTTTTAGGTAAGGTCATTGCGTCATCCATCATCGAATCGTAAAGGCACCACTCAATCTCATGGATGGTGTCTCAAAAAAAAGCACTATAATGTAGCATGGGGTACATTTTTCACTCGACGTCTTGTTCCATAATTGCGTGTTGATTTGTGGGGTCATTTATTCAACGACGATTTCGGGTCGCCCCTGTTGTAATTCGTCGCTGCTACGAGATTGATGCCCATTTGGTCTGCGAAATCCAGATCCTCTTTCTGGGACAGGACCACGAGGTTGTCGAAGTGGAAGACGTTCTTGAGTCTGGGTGTCGAAAGCACCAAGTCCGATGGAACGATTACTGCCAATAGGAGCGGTTGTGGAAGGTTGGGAGGCCTCCTGCTGCTCCCAAGAGAACATTGAGCGAAGCCGCCTTGGACTAGAGGAAGTTCCGCCACCAACGGTGGTACCAAGAGTAAGGCCACTAAGACTATTGACAAGGAGGCTGTCATCAGTACGCTGCAAGCCGATGGAAGAACCTGGGGTCGGAGTCAAAGTAGGCGTGTTGGAATTTCCACTCGCGATATTGTCATAAGCCTGCAAACGGGTACCCTGGGCATGCAATGCAGTGGGGTAGCTTGCCGTAGATGGCGCTGGTGAAGGTGTATAGGAACGGAGATCCGCGAAGGATTTCGCCGCCCGAAGATTCTGTGCGCTTCCAAAGGTCCCAGGAGAGTCAAGCACGCCAAGATATCCAGAATTATGGCTCCGGAGGGTTCCAAAGGGGTTCGGCGCATCGCCTCTTGCTTCACTGAAATCGATTGTGGCTGCACGGTTGAGGCCTCGACGGGCTGAATCTGCAGGGTGGATCGTGGTTGGCAGGGTAGGAATTGGTGGGCTCACATTTGAACCGGGGGCCACACGAAAAACATGCACTTGGCGCTGGTCTCCAGTTCCACGAGATGCATGACCCAAACCCATGTTGTGGGCCAAAGTATGCACAGTACGGCGCTGGAGCGGGGTCAAAGTGGACGGGAAAATAAGCGACTCCCTGTTCTGATCCTGTTTAAACAGGAGCATCTGCGAATAGAATTGTAGTGTTTGGGCGTCGTTCATATCCAGGTCTAACCCAATAGTTAGTGACTCTTGAACGAAGTTTGGTGTAAGTAGGGCAGGCTAAAAAGTTGAAACGCCCAAAGCCACTCAGGATATACGGCTATTAACTCACCCAATGCATTTTGTCGCTGAGAAACTGGCGACGGCGAAGTAGTTTGCAAGTGAGAAGCCAAGGAAGACATAGAATTTTGATTCTGGAGCTGCGAAGCAGCGATCGGCCGATGCTGTTCCTCAAGTTGGCCTCTGCGTTCACGCTTTTCGCGCTCAATTCTCTCACGCTCCTGCGCGGGAAGCATTTTCTTGTATTCCACTCTCAATTTTCTTCCATTCAAATCAAAATGGTTCAGAACTTCAATAACCGTCGCGGTCTCCTCAGCAGAGGTGAAGTTTGCAAAGGCCAAACCTCTGAATACGCCGTTATCGAAGTGGTAATTGAAGGCATAAGGTAACGGCAAGTTCATTTCAGTCATAAGTTGGATGAGTTGCTCCTTTTTGACTGCAAAGGGAATATTCTTGATAACAATGGCAGTCGGAATAAGCTCATCCTCTCCGTCGTTGTTGTGGTTATGACCATGATTGACATTCTCGGTACGTAACGGATTCGGCTGAATGGGGCCAGATGCCAGCGGGAATGCACTTGGAAGGGGAGCGGGCTGCTGGTCGAGCCAGGTCTGCATTTCTGGGGTCAGAAAGGCTCTGCGGGATGAGATTTGTCGATTTTGCGCAACGGTACTTACCGCCGGAAGGCCAGTTCTACCACGCACATTTGATCGCCCTCTTGCGGAGGCAGAAAGCGGGTTACTCCCAATGCTTCCCAAAGTATGCGCACCACTTAATCCATTCGCATTCCAGGTCTGAGAGCCTGTAATGTCGTACGGGAAATTATTAGCTTGCAGGCCTTGGTTCATCCTATCTAACGTAGCGGATTCGTAACGCGACAGCGGGTCATCGAACATTGCGGCAGGCATGGAGCCGAATGCATCGAACTGTCTCGAAGGCTGGCGATGGAGCTGTTGATGCTGGTGGACATGGCGATGAGACCCAGGAGACCGAGAGACAGTATTATGATACATGTCTTGGTTCTGGGAGTGGTAATTGCTCATATCGACAGTGTAGCCAAGGAGATCAAGAAGAACCAGTCACAATGAGTATAAAAAGGGATAAGACCAAAACAGCACCACCCAGACACGTGATGGACAGGTGTTAAAGGATTGTGTGCGTCACTTTTGTTTTTAATGTTTCTCCAGATGTGTAAACACAACAATCGCGCAGAGGATTTATCAAGTGTGAAAAATGCCGAGCAACACACATATATGTGACCAGAGTCACGTGTGGAATGTTCGCTCCGTGTTCGAGACCAGGACGCCCAGGGTCCTTTTTCTTCGGGGGAGGGGGGAAAGGCAAGGGATATAATTAAAGCTTTCCGAATGCTGAAGACTAGAACGTCGTAGGAGTCGTACTCATCAGTCGTAGGAAAACGTCAAATCGTCAACATAGGAACGCAGGTAACGCGGGAGAAGACGACGATTACGGCATGGGTAGGATCTGAAAAAAATTCACGACTGGACTGTTGCTCCCGAATACACAGGCCCAGGACCAGCGAGAGGACGTAAAGGTGCGAGCTGGGAATGGGATTAGGGTCTGTTTGTTTCGGAGGCGAAGAGAAACCGTTCAGGGTGGGCGGAGGCAGAACGGAAGCTTGTTCGTGGGTTTGCGATGAGCAAGACAGAGACTACGCTCGCGAGAACAGCGAATCGTGATTGAGACAACAGCTCAACGGGCTCACAGAGATGAGTATCAAATATATAGCGAGACGTATGCAGGGAAGGGAGGCGGGTTGAAGCAGTGGTGAGCAGGGTGTCGAGGTAAATATGGAGCGACGAGCCAGTGGGGAAAAGGGAAGACCAAGAAGGCCGTCAACGAGTGACGGCTTGCAGGAAAAAAGACAAACGGATGGCGAGGAAGCAAGACACGGATGGAATGGGAACGGCGGAGGTTGAGGGTGTGCGGGAGGTGGGAGAGGAAAGGGGAGAGAAACGGCGAGAGGAGAGGGAAAAAAAATTTGGGAGGGAGGTTGAGGCCAGGGTGAGTAAGGAAGTTGACTAGGGAAAAGTTAAGGGCGAGAATTTGGAGAAGACGTGAATTTTAGGGTAGAAAACCTCCCTGCTGGTCCGTCCCGGACCCTCCTCCTCCTGTCAGCATCATCGATCTACATACAATAAATAATAAAATGGTCTTGATTTACGGAGCCCTGGACCGCTGACTGCTTCACCCAGGGAGCAGACGCCTCTAACCTGTGGAAAGGAGTTGAAGCTGTCCCAAAGGCGCGCTGATGGTGCAGAGTTGCCTCCGCTTACGACGGGTTTAGCTCATCTCTGCCCTCTGCCTAAAGCCAAAAGAAACAAATTTCCCACAAAGCATACTGCCAGCGAATAGAGTCCGGTGCTCTCCTGGCCACCCCTTTGTCGACGGAGTAGTTGGTCAGTTGCTCTGTTTGCCTCTGCAGAGGAGATTTGCGCCTCTCTTGGATCGTCTTGTCACTTACCCGGGCAAGACACTCGCACACACACACCCCCCATGTACACTCACACACGCAAGACTCAACCCGCACGGATGCGCGGCTGGGCATAGGTTTCCTTGGTCTGCCCAGAAGTCACTCTGGCCGGCAGCAGCAGGCAAACGACTCAAGAAAAGAGGGCCAATTCAGACAAGCTTGCCGTTCCTTCATCCTGATACAAACAGTTCTGTCCTCCTCGATTGGACGTGGATTTCGACCTGTTGCCCCCCTGAAAATGCTGCATCTTCCGTCCTCGCCGTCGTAAAAAAGAAATTATTGATTTCTCAAGACCTGATTAAAATGACTTAGGGGCTTGTGTGGACACCCAGCACAGATTCCGAAAAAGTTACCCGTCATATCAACCTCAAGTCACGTCTGAAAACGGGCAACCCAAAATTACTTTCCAACCCTTTTTTTTTTTTTTTTTTAACTCCTCTTACCCCCTATTAAATATTCTGATCCGGATTACGAGGGCCAATCCTTGTGCACATCCATCCTCAAACGCCGTATTCCAGAACGTTTGCTTTCATATTTGAATATTTCCAGCTGGAAAATAATTCTTCGTAGACACACGGGGCCCAGCAGCTGGGTCACTTTCCCATGTCTCCATCAGCGCCCATCCGGCAGGATTTCCTCGTCTCTCCTTCGCACCCATACCTGCTGGGCCTCCTGCTGGCTCTGCCCCTCTGACTGTTTCGCGTCACTCCGGAATGACAGAGTTGGAAATAACCTGGGTAGGGTACCTTAGCTCATCCGTCCTCCCGCAAGTGTAAATCCCTTCGCACAGATCTTGTAACAGTCCGAACAATTTACTCTCATTGGCAGGAGTTCCGAGACAGGCTTGCTCCCCACTCCCACACGCCTGCGCCGAACTCAAAAGAGTCTTCGGCTAAAGAGGCCAACTCAAACCACGACAGCAAGGCCGTCCAATCCGTCAGGTGATGGGCGGTCCCGAATCGCTGGTCCAGATCTTCTTAGTAGTTAGCGAACACACCCAGCTCTTATCAGCGGAAGAGCATCGATGTTGGGGGGGTCTTCTCTAACTCGCTGGTGGTCAACTGGATTGTCACTCGACAGAGACGCATAAATCCTGGGTTTTTTCTTCTTCTTCTTCTTCTTCCTTTTTCTTTTTCTTTTCTTTTCCTTTTTTTTTTTTTTTTTTTTTTTTTTTTTGGGGGGAATTGGTTTCGCCCGGCTAAGAAACCGGACAAATCATCCGCCGCGCGCTTTGCCTCTAATTTAGGCCGTGGGGAACCCTGATGGATCCAAATTGACATCCACAGCTCGTCGAGCCCGCGGCTTGGGCTAGTGGCCGTGGCCTTGGCGGTGGATAGCTCTTGTCCAAGCAGAGATGACGACTCCTGTCCATCCTTTTCACTTCCGGGAAGCCGAAGCTCTCAGTTCGTTACTCGAAAGGTGAATAAAATAAATAAACATCGACTTGTCATATCGAAATGTTCCGACTACAAGCGACGAAGGTAGCATGGAGCTGATTCTCAAGATCCTCATGCCGCTGCTCCCAAATGCGCCTCACCGCCTGCAACACTATGCGTCAAGTGAACTGGGACCATCTCGTCCCACATCTAGCATCCTGAGATGTCCCCCATGTGGAGGAATCTACGGGACATTCTACGCTTTTCAATGTGTCATATGACTCGGTGCGGATGTCGAGGGCGATGATGGCGTAGGTGGCCTACAGGGGCGTCGGGGCCTTGAAGCTAAAGCCATCGAGCTGACAGCTATGATCGACGGGTCCTGCAACATTATCCTCGTGTCAAGGAACGGATGTATTTAGTTTGAAGCCTTTGGTTCGGTCAGCTGTTTTGTCCGTCATGTGTTTCCTTTTCTTTTCTTTTCTTTTTTTTTTTTTTTTTTTTTTTTTTTTTGGCAGGCCAAAGCAACAATTCCGATCCGCAACAAGCGCTCCGCTTTGAATGGGGACACCAGAATAACTACGGAGTATGGGGTTCTGACTTCTCATCCAACCTGACTTGACGCCTCTGTAATATACTTTGATGGCCTTGCTTAAGCATGTTTTCTTTCGCAGTGGAGGAGTACATGGATACATATGCATGATGCGGAATTGCTTGTACCAAGTTTTCGCGATTGCGCAGATCAACAAGGCCTCTCTTCCAATCAAAATCTGGTCGCATAACGATATAAATATGTATGTGCATACGCTTCGCGACGGAGTACAAGTAAGATGCGCTCACATGGTCGTTCCTCTTTCAAAAATGAAAGGAACAGAAGCGTACGAGGAGGTTGCCTATGGATATGCTGTCGGCCAGCTGGGAAGTCCGTCAACCATAAATGTTGCAGGGCCGATGACGACAGCCGTCCAGCTTCGTGTGGGGGAAGCTTCCTGCGAGCGTTTACCCACGCTTTTTGCTTCGAAGCGCAACACCGAGGGATCAGGACGAATTGAGATCATACTCTCCCATCCCATACACGCAGAGTTCATAGAACAAGCTAGTTATTTTATCCGATCTAAAGCTACTTTACTCCCTGAATCGCCTCCCAGTTTGCTCCGAAGGCAACCTTGAACTTCACTACTAGAGACCTACCGAACCCCTTCAATAACAACGCCATTTGTCTAAATTTGAGTCAAATGGCAGCATCGCGCTGGGACAGACTTGCCCTTCGAGTCGCAGGAACCGAAGCAGCTTCGATCCCTGTCTTCCTCTACGGAACCGCCTGGAAGAAAGACCGGACCGCTGACCTGGTCTACCAGGCGCTTTGCAACGGGTTTACGGCCATCGATACCGCTGGCCAGCCCAAACACTATCGAGAAGACCTTGTAGGGGAAGGAATAAGAAGGGCTATTTCCGAACGCAAAGTGAAGCGGGAGAATATCTTTGTATGTTGGTCAAGTTCCCTTGCATTAAAGAAGGATTCCCAGTCACTGTGGTATGGAGGATTGCTCGCTTCGAAATAGCTAGCTGATAGCGTATCATTGCCACACGCCAGATTCAAACAAAGTACACCTCCGTTGGCGGTCAGGATCCGGATAATATGCCTTACAATCCTGCATCTTCGATTACAGAGCAAGTCCACGCCTCAATAAAATCATCTCTCAGAAACCTCCGGCCCTTAGACGACCCAAGCTCCAAGGACAAAACGTATCTTGACGCTCTTGTCTTACATTCCCCGCTTCCCACCATGGAGCAGACCCTAGAGGCCTGGGCCGCATGCGAAGAGTACGTTCCCGACAAGATCAGGCACCTGGGCATTTCCAATTGTACACTTCCTGTCCTCTCCGCTCTCCATCGGACGGCCAGAGTGAAACCCGCAGTTGTACAAAATCGGTTCTATCGTGACACACACTTTGATGGTCCGGTGCGTCAATATTGCAGAGAGAACTCAATCATATACCAGTCCTTCTGGACGTTGACAGCCAATCCGGATCTAGTCTACTCTGAGCCTGTGGGGGTGTTAGCACAGCAAGTAGGGATCAGTCCACAAGCTGCCCTGTATTGTTTTGTGTTGGGACTTGGAAATACTGTGATTTTGAACGGGACGAAGAATGAGGGGAGAATGGTTGCTGATCTTCAAGCTCCAAAAAAGGTCGAACGGTTCTCAACGGAGCAACCGGAAGTATGGGAAAAGCTGCAGAAGGGATTCGGTGCTCTTATTGGAGAATCGGGTGGCTAACTAGTTGTCCAGCTCACCGGTGGCAGCGCCACAGGCTCGAACTCTAGGATAAATAAAGAAACTTTCTCAGAGGGTAGAGATAGGGAACATAAAACCCCAAGATTTCCACACAGGGAACCTTAGGTGCTCTGTGAGATTGATGGTTCAACGGGGAAAAAAAAGCTCTCCCGCATCTGTTCATGAGGGCCCTCAATTGCAAACCATATTACATCTTTTGAATGAATGTAAAAGAATGGCCATGAAATGTCCAGGTAACCCACATTGATCTAACTGGCCCTTTATCGCAATGGTGATAATTAATGATTGCCATCTTTCAGCTAGTGGTTAAATACCTGCTGAGCTGACGGGTAATGTTGTGAAAGGATTCTGTCTGAGTAGTGCGGAGAGTATGTGTGCGGCGGTCAAGCAGCTCCTCCCCCAGTTTTAACGCCTGAAGCAACACAATGAATTGGGTCAATATCTGGCTGGGGCCATGCCTGATGATCTGAGAGTGGACTCCGTCATTGGAGGCGCATGCTGTGTGCCCTTTATCGCCCCAGCAGCCTTGTCTATAAAGCCCTGTTCCGTCTGATGCAGCGTCTGTCTGAAAAGCCGATCGCAGCTGATAAGCGTTTATCAGCAAGGCCAGCGTGCTGAGTCATAGCCTTCCCAACCAATCACACGGCAGGAGCGTCATTGCAGGCCAAGAAGTCGGTGCTTTTGCGGTTCATCGCCATCAGCATCACTGAAAAAACGGCGACTGGGATCTGGCCCGGCAGGATGTGCTTTCATTGACCCTTTGGACACTAACCCAGCCATCCTCACTTATCCTTCTATTCCTTGCGCACCAGGTGTCCGCTTGAGATCCAAGCTAGCCCGTCTCTCGTCTCCCTTCCGTGGCTGCGCAGCAACCCCTCCAGCAAGCTGCTACCGCCTTGGTTGGCCAAGGACGCGTTGTGGCAGCAGTATTCCGTGCGTTCACTGTCGATGCCGGTCCCTGCATTCTTGCTTTCGTTCCGGAGCTGACCTACCCGCGTTTGTTTCCACTAGTATCCAGACGTTCGCAGTTTGGAGAGCATTCAACCTTCTCCCCAGCACCCTTCTACTCGTCATTGGTCAAGTGGCATCAATCCTTGCCGATTCCGCGCTCTCTCCGCCCTTCTCCTCGAAGCACCATAAACGCAGGGCTAGGTAATTTCCTGATACGAAATCACGACGTCACGAATCCTGCGCATCTGATACCCACACGCTCTGTTTGTTGATCCAAACCGCACGGCACACCTATCTTCTCGCCTTATCATCCCATCATTCCCTCGTCGCCGATCCGTACCCTCTCCGCCCGCGGCTTGGCAATAGCAGTCCTTAATATCCGCCGTTTATCATGACATCGCAAGGTTCATCGCGCAAAAGACCAGCTCCCGGCACTGTTCCGATTTCTCAACATCCAATCGCACCGTCACACAACTATCCGGTTTCCGATTCACAGCTCTCAAACGACCAGTTCCTACAATGGGGTCAGGCCGGTCCGCCGCTGGTTAATCCTCCAGGAAATTCGCCTATAGACCCGTATCAGTCTGTTCCTCATCCTGCAGATATGGGCAGCATTCAAGCAGCAAGTCAACAGCTGGCTCGGAGACCGGGAAACCAACTCATAGGCAGACCGAGGAAAAACGAACAAGGCGTAATGACGTTGATGGAACCTCCTCCAAGACCGGGAGAAGTAATTGACCCTGCAACTGGAGAAACAGAGGAGCAGTTGGAGCAGAGAGCTCTCGCTGCTAAAAAAGAGGCACAAGCAAAGAGGAAACAAATCCCCCCTTTTGTGCAGAAACTCAGAAGGTATGTGCAATATCTGTTCTGGGTTATGTTGATCGTTTCACTTTATTGACTGTGGAATTCCCCGCTGCAGTTTCCTCGACGAGTCCAAGAATACCGACTTAATCAGATGGTCCGAAGATGGACGATCCTTCATTGTGCTCGATGAAGACCAGTTTGCCAGAACATTGATTCCAGAGCTCTTCAAACACAGCAATTATGCCTCTTTCGTTCGTCAGCTGAACATGTATGGCTTCCATAAAAAGGTTGGGCTGTCAGATAATTCGATGCGAGCCAGCGAGAGAAAGAACAAGAGCCCGAGTGAATATTCGAATCCTTATTTTAGACGAGGCCACCCTGATTTATTGTGGCTAATCCAGAAACCCAAGAATGTCTCCCAATCGAAAGCTGCTGCGAAGGGACCTTCAAGAATGAAGACAGAAGGAGAAGGGGACGATGGTGAAAACGAAGAATACGTAGAAGATGGCGGAAGCCGAGAGGATAGAAGCAGATTCCGAGGCCAGTTATCCATTTCCCCAGGGGATGCAGCATTAGCCAAAGAGCAATTTGCGAACGTTTATCGCGAACTGCAGAATATTCGCCACCAGCAGCAAGTGATATCCAACACAATAAGCAAACTACGCCGCGAGCATGAACAACTCTATGACCAAGCACTTAACTTCCAAGAACAGCATAACCGACATGAGAATTCGATCAATGCGATATTGACGTTCCTAGCTACCGTTTACAACAGAAGCCTGCAAGGCCACGACGGCGCTCAGGGCATGATCAACTCTTTCGCTGCTGGGACCATGCCACAGGAGCAGGGCCAAGGCAATATCATTGACGTTGGTGACTACCTAGGAAATGTGGAATCGAATCTCAATCCGGCCCAGCGACCAACGAAAAAACAGCCGCTATTACTCAAAGCGCCTCCGGCTGGCGGCCAAGAACCCTCGCCCAGCCGAGCGAGTACATCATCGCCGGCAAATAACCAATATGATATACAGCAGGGTACGAACAATGGCCACGGCCATAGGCCTAGTACCCGGGCTGGCAGTGTGGAGGAGTTATTTGAGAGCGTAAGCCCACAGCATACCGGTCAACCGCCGCATCAGCAGCCATATACCCCTGTATCTCACGCGCGTAGTCCAAGTGACGCAAAATATCCCCCTCAGCGCGACATCATGTCACTCATCCAAAGCTCCAATGCCCGAAGCAACATGCAACCTGGCGCAGCGGACTTTCCTAGCGTCCTGTCTTCGCTTGAGAACGCCGGAGGCCACGTGCCACTTACTGCAACTCAAAGAGCAGATATGCTGCGTTTGATTGCAAATGAAAGCCACGCCTCCGACCCATCCGCTATATCATCGCCTAATAACGCCCTTATCACACCCAACCCCCCTCCAATGCCTCACAGCTATTCCACCCGATTGGCCAACACCCGCGCCGAAATCGACAATCTGGTTAAAATGCAGGCAGAGCAGGATCGGTCAGTACAGAACCTTACCAACATCCTCCAACCACTCAGCCCAACCGGTCTAATCCCTGGTCTTGAACCCGACAATCCTAGCAACGTTCCACCTCCCACACTTGATCTTGACCAGATCTTTCACAGCGGAGATTACTTTTCTGACTATGCAAATATGGAGCCCATCAAGGGCGGAATGGCGTCGGGATATGGATCGAACCAGGGAGCACAGACGAATACCCAAGACGACCATAACAATGAAAACTCCGGCGACTCGTTGGTTGCACAGGCGCATGACTTGTTTGATTTTGACAAACTCCAGAGCGACCATGTTGGAGAGCTGTTTGCTGATGGCAATACGGATCCTAAGCAGGCCCAGACGAATAGCTTCTTTGATGCGTATGGGAGCGGCAACGAGGGAGGCAACCTCCGCCAAACCGGCGCTGGAGATCTATCGGGGAATGGCGGGAATCGAATCACGGAAACTTTTACCAGCAGCGAGGCGACCAGCCCTGCCAACACAAGCGTTGATGAAAATCTACAGGCCTTGGACAACAGCAACGGAAGTTCGTTTGGGGCAAGGAGCCCTGTTAAAAGACGGAAGAGAGCTCAATAGAATTTTGGCCTTTTGCGGTAATCTTGCCTGGACCTGAAGACTTACTATGTATCCGCTCGCAAACCTTGCCCCCTCCGACGTCACCTCTCCTAAGATGCGATACTATCTCTCCCCCTTTGCTTTCGTTTGCCATTTTTCCCTTGCTGGAGGCATTTTGGCTTCTTTCGGGAGTCAAAATACTCTCTTTTGTTTCTACGCACAAAAAGCATGTAAAAGGTGTCTTTATGGTTGCTTTGTTGGATGCCGGTGTAGGGATGGTCAAGAGCAAAAATTGGACGGAGTTCTGTACTATCATCGTCTTCAGAGATTTAAACCTCCAAATATTAATACTAGCACTACAGGCATGAAATGAAACCCATTTAGTGGATATACATCTACAAAATCCCGCATATCTCTCAGTATCTCTTCTACCCCCTTCACACCGTCTCCCTGCCACTCGCCGCAGCGACTGGAGACGCCCCAGTATCCAATTACAACCCGTTATCTTACAGCCGTTTGATCCAGGGGCCTCCAGGACGCCATTTCATTGGACCGGAGACTCCCGTCAACACTGTCTCCTGGCCAATCTCCGCGTTGGATCAGCTCCCAACCTCGTCCGCCATGTGTTCCTCCAGCGACTGATCCTCCAGACGCCCTCAGCCAGTCAGAATCCTCCCTCCTGCCTCTCGCTTAAGCTAGCGCCATGATCTGGGGCAACCCTCCAAGGCATAAATATCTCCCATCTGGCCAGCTTCCTCCGTGTCTCCTCCCTCTTTCTCTTCCTTCTTTCACCAACCATCTTGCTTGACATACTATCTAATCTATCTCGCGTTTAACTATCATTTCCCCGTCATCTTTACCTATATAGCTCCCTGCCCACCCCCAATTTGCCTGCTAAGCGGGCCGTCAAGCTCAATCGAATCCGCCTAGCGTCGATTGTTTTCAGTTTTCCTTAGATACCCACCCCTTCACATCGTTCTGCAATTGTATCGATTGATACATTTTTCTTTTGAGCACCCACCTTTTTGCTAGCTGACAGAGTCACAGATCCAATCTTACCTCCCTATCGACTTCCGCCAATCTCGCTTTAGAATCCACATGATGACAATGCGCGCGCATAGATATAAAAACTAACATCGCGGTTACCTTACTGCATGTTGTTTTTTTTACTCTACCCTGTCTGATGGATTCATTATACACCTTTACTACTATACTATACAAAAAACACATACCAATCTTGATTTTATATCCGCATGATGACACCGGGCCCAAAACAAATACAAGAAACAGCATAGGGTTTGGGCTGGTTACGTTCTTGATTTCACTGGGCTTTTGCCTATAAATCTCCGTTCCACCCCCCTATTTTGTTCACTCATAGTCTGACGGATATACGCCAAGATCCTAACACCTGTTTTTGATTTGATTCTCGGTTGCTTGTTTACCTACCCGGTTCTTGTGTTTGTTGACATGTATTTCCGTTGCATTGTTGGTACTTCGTCGGTGTATATAATATAGAATCAATGTTACCAAGCATCAGTCACCGAACATGCAGGTATTCTTTTTGGTACGGCAATCAACACTTCAAGATAGTAGCTTGTCTGTTGTCGTAGTAATACATTGTATGTATAAAGTTCCATCGAAAGGGTCGACGTTGGCATTGCCCAACAAGGTTAAGATCAGACGCTGCAGGACTTGGCAGATCTTCGGCGGCTCCAGAGACCGCGTGCAGCTTTTCTTTCCAGGCACCGGCTGGCATTCAAATGCAAGGACTACGACTCTGCTGATGATAATTTTCCCTGCTTATTGTCGGATCAACGCCTTGCATCGCGAGTCATCCCTTAGAGGTAATGTAACTGCTCTCCACGCAAGGTAGGTGACGCAAGGATGATCATTCCTGCGCGCAAGCCCCTAAAGTGTCAAATTATCGCTCTAAATATATTAATTAACCGCCATGGAGACCATCTTGCATCGCAAAAGCTCTTGATGCCTTTATAGAACAAGTTAATGTACATATCATTACACACACACACACGGATGAGCAATTCCTGGAGGACGCTTATGGTGCACGTGAGCCAATTACCTTTTGACCTATCAGGGGTTCGAAGGAAACCCAGGTTTTGAAGCCGGTCAAAGCTGGACAGTTTCTCGCAAGTTACTGTGTCGCAAGATCGCCAGGCAACAATAAAATGGGGATGATTCTTCCGCCTATAGGTGTCTAGTTAAATGTCAAATGATACAACGAAATATGAGCTTCCGTTTGTTATGTGTACTTCAAGGCTCTGTATGGCCTGAGTGCAGAATATTGCAAGGGCCGTGCGTATCTGTTTTTCAGAGCTTTGTCGCAGCATTTTGAAGGCCTTGGTTGTTGGTAGAGACACGATTTGTATTGCAGCGGTGTGACAGACTCCAAACGAGAAAATTACGCATGAATGAGGCCGGTAGCATCATGTTTTTCATTCTGATTGGTGACCCCAAGAGACTAAAAGTACTTATACAGCGGAAATTAGAGTAGGTAGAGCGAGCAACAAGAGTATCAAGAGGGGACAACAGCCCAGCGTGAAGATAAGAGAGAAAGCCACAGCGAAGGGAAAGAGGGAAATCAAACATGCTACCAGCTTTGCGACTGTCCTTCCGAACCCGGATTTTGAGTTTCATCCTTCCGACCAGTCAACCCACCCAGAAAAGCGCCTGAATAAAAGTGAAAAGCGAGAATAATCATAGAGAAAATAAGAGAAAGGGAGAGCAAGCAGATATATAAGGCATCAACTTGACGAGAAGTGTCGAGGGTACTGCATGGACAACGGACCAAGGCCACAAGTTGAAGCCAATGTCATGATCATGAGCATAATAATGGACCGGCTTCAAGCAGGCTTGCTGTCTAGAACCAATGCTCGGGGGGAAGATATTATATATGACAGCACTGAAACCGAAGCTCGGGTGCGCCGGGTCTCCCAGCCCCCTGCATACTCGGTCCGGTATCAACGACATTCCGTTTATGCCTCAATCTTGGACTTCTTCTTCTGTTCAACCTTGAGTAACAGGGCCCGGTTGATGCGTGGGAGAACGCCTCCAAACGCAATAGTGGCGCGGATCAACGTATCCAGTTCTTCATCGCCGCGAATAGCCAGCTGTAGATGGCGGGGTGTGATACGCTTGACTTTAAGATCCTTGGCAGCATTACCAGCGAGTTCCAGCACTTCTGCAGTGAGGTATTCGAGGACAGCCGTAACGTAGACAGCGGCTACATGGGGAATCGCAATGTCAGCTTCGGCCCAGCAACTTTCCAAAGCACGTGTGAGCAGAGTATACCTTTTGCGCCAACGCGCATCTTGTTCTGAGTGTTGTTCTTTAAAAAGCGCTTTATACGGCCACAAGGAAACTACACAAGGATAGGGTTAGCAATACAGATCATACAGAAATTGATGGAAATCGTGTTGTAGCAGGTTAGGCAGAACCCCACATGCTACTCAAGGGTAGACAGCAAGTGCGAGGCGGGAGCAGACAACGATCACATTTCGCGTGTCGCATTATCAAAGAGAAGGTAAATCCAACACGATATTCACAAGACTAACCTGTAAACCAGCTTTTGCACTGTGGGATCTCTGAGTTTTGCCGGAAGCATCTTTGGGGGCACCCTTGCCTCCGACGGATTTGCCTTTTCCACCGGGCATTTTGCGTCTTAGATATGTCGCACGGTCCTAAATATCGATATGTCGCGTGAGGTGATGAAGGTCCGAGGTTGAGGTTGGGTCAGCACGGAGTAGTTGTTGGAAAAAGTGGCGATAACGCGTTTTTGTTGATGGAAGAAGGGAAAATCATGGGTTGAGACTTCCAGGTCGCTTTCAAGTGGGAAAAGAGTGGTTGATGGGAAAATCGCGCTATTCCTAATTCGGGTGGGTTTTCACAACCTCAATTCTTCACCAGGGGAACTGGGCGCCGCCTTCAAAACATAGATTCCAGCGCTTCAAGTTAGTTTCGCCTTCTGTAAAATGGCGCAAATATCCGGGTCCCTAGGCATGTCAGCTTTCATAAATAATACCTGCTACCCCATTCAAGGCCATCCCTGGATCAGGGCCAGCAGGGAGGCTATTCAAAAACTCCTCTCGAGCGTCTTGGGTTAGTGATGCACCACCGCGAATGAGTAATCATTCTTCATCTTGTCCTCGATCAGGTGCACAGCAGCTACCTTCAGACGATAGAAAGGAGTCAAGCCATTCGTTAGCAAGTGTCTGTTGTTACACTGATGTTTTGCGTTTTCCCTGACAGTTCGAGCAATGCGGCGGCGGCGGCGGGTGTGCTGACATAGCTTATGTCATCGCTACTCTCATGTGGCTGGTGGCTGACACGGCCATCAAGCCACTGGTCAACCACTCGCTCGTAGCCCAAGTGCATTCTCGTCTTCCAGCATTGAGCACCGCGAAACTAGTTTGGACAGTCAAGCTCGAAACTAGCGTGGGGCAGCATGATGTACGCATGTACTCTAGGTCTTTGTTTTTGCTCGGTCTAATGCTCGGCCTACTACTCCGTACAAGTTTGGTTTGAGTCGTCAAATTTACTCAATTTACCCTGTCCTCCCTGGCCCACAAGTTCTTTGTGTCAATAGTGGATGACGTATGTGCAACCTATCCCTCAAGAGCGCTTCATCCCAAACTTCAACACAAAATTGGGTATCCCAATTCCGATTAGTCCCCAAAACCCCGTCATATGTTCTAAAATTCTATGTTAGAGTATGTACAGAATAGCCGAAGCAAGAAATAATCTCTCAAGGCGGGTATTCAATCCATTATTTTGCAGTATGGTTCGCAAGAAGGATGCTGATATGGAACAGTTAGTCCCGCCACGGTTTTCATGGATTTGCATAGTCATGTTTCTGTTTCATCACACCAACAAAGGCTTTCAAGGCAAATCAGTATGATCAAACCTCTAATATTTCAAATCTTCATAAGCACAGTGGCACGACTATAAGATTATTCGCATCTTGTATCAGGGTGGTGGCTCCCTTGGTCCCCATAGGACGTCCTCGAGCCTAACCGCCAGCAGTTCACGCAGTCAGGCTCCCGACTGATTTCTCCTTTAAGCGTTCAAGTAACCGACAGTTAGCAAAATCAACGCCAAGTCCAGCAGCCCACATGTCCGATGTGTGAGGACGTCACGGAAACGTTCGAATTCTGTCGGCACCGCGGCAGATCCTACGTCCGTCCCTGCCAAGATGCGTTGCAGTGCGATCTGCTCATATCAGTGGACTTGATCATCATGTCCTTCTGTCCACATTGTTTCAAGCTGCATCTGGTGCTCGACCGGTCGGCGTCGACGTCTCCAATCAGAGGGGATTCAAGCGACGTTACGGGGTAGAAAGGGATGGGATTCACGGCCTCTGGCATAAAATATGACATGGCCTTAGCTGACAGTTGCAATCGTTGTAATCAAAGATTGTCAGCTCTTGGTATGGATGTTTCGGAAAGCGACGCCCTCTCCCCCTCCCCGCCGGCGGCAGGAGGCCGCAATAGACCCTATTCGAGTCGCCCCATCGAGAGGAAGTAGAGTTGCAATTTAGGTAGGAGTGCTTCACTTAGACTTCAATCTTCGGTGATACCTTCTTGACGACTCTACTTGCCGTCGTAAAGGAAAAGCCTCGTCCTGTATTATATAAATTGCCCTACGGCGTGCGGATCTATTTTTGGTGTTCCGGGGCGAGGTCTTTCATCACGTGACAGAGTGCGGCTTCAAGAACACTCTGTTAAGTTGGAAATTTTCCGAGCTGCTTCAGGAGATTTGACAGCTTCCAGCGGAGTCCCAACGCAGCACCCCTTTTTTTTTTTTGCGCCATCTTTCCCTCCTTATTCTCCTCGTGTAGGCCTGTGGTCGCTTGACACTCTTTATTCACCATGAATCCGCAAATGTAAGTCCTGGCTCGAGAGTCCAGACGGCTTACTCCTGAAAGCCTTCTGCGCGTCGACGCACCTTTAAAATCCGCGCGAAAAGCTGCGCTGACACGTTTTTTTTGTAGATCAAACCTTGCAATCATCCTCGTGATGATGCAGGTGTCGAAAAAGATCCCATTTGACAAACCTGAGGTCCTTCTCGGTGTACGAACGATGTACATTGCCTCTAATATTATAATCGCGGCCCTCTACCTCTACGTTTACAGCCAGATCAACAAAAAGAAGGGTAAGACATGCCTTGTCCCCTCACCTTTAGCTGTTCTCGCGGCTCAAGTGATTCCGGGGCTCCTTTCTGCCTGCCAACGATTCACTTTGCATATGCTTACCGTTCCGTGGCAATACAGATCTCAAGACCTTGAAATATGTTGAACCCGCGCCTATGGGCTCTGGAGAAGAACCCCGTCCCGTCGTCACCACGGTCCAGGACTATGACAAACAACAGCTCCGCTCTCAGTTCAGATCCCAACTCATGGGTGTTGGTATGATGTGCGTTATGCACCTTTACTTCAAGTATACAAATCCACTCGTCATCCAGTCGATCCTACCTCTCAAGGGTGCTTTGGAGGCCAACCTTGTGAAAATCCACGTGTTCGGACAGCCGGCGAAGGGTAATCTAGAAAGGCCGTGGAAGGCAGCCGGAGGTCTAATGGGTATGGGCCAGGGCGAGGTTAAGAGTGATAAGGCGAGTGTTGAGAACGCCGAGAAGTCCTGGAGAGGTGGCGCCAAAGATGAATAAATCATCTTTAGGATTTGTATTTTGATTTACTTTCTTCTTGAGGAGTTGCACGGGTTCTAGGCGATGCCGTGGTTCATCGATTTCTCCAAATAGACCTGGAGATAGAGTTAGATATCAAAACCTAACAGAGCGTTCTCGCTGAGAGAGCAGCATCAACATCCTTACCCTTGAACGATTTTGCGAAACCCGCTTAGTTCCTAAGTTCGTCAAGAAATCTGTATCCTTACACCAGTGCTTTACATGTGGCTTCTACGCAACGCAGGGGCCTAGTGTTGTGTATGTAACTCCCTCCTTCCCTGGATGGATATATTCTCCGGAGCGATAAGCTTCGAATCTAGGTTTTGATTCCTTGATTCTCAAAATCAGGAAAGAAAATATGCTTCTGCGCCAGAGATGTATTCTTTTGGATACGGTCACAGAGGAAATGAGGGAAGAGTTAGGATCACACACCCCAGCTTCTATCCACACGCCATCAGCAATAACATCTCACCACGCCAATTACTCCTCGATCTGTTGGCACCAACAGCGTGGCATCAGGTACCCCAACCAGCTTCACGCCGGATCAACGTTGACGCGGGCCGGGGTTATGTTTTCTTTTGTAGGGTGAAGGGGCCGCCAAGGCTATGGAGGGGCAGCCTGCAGCGGTCGGCTTGTGACGCACACCCATGCCATCATCCTCCAGAAATTTCCTTTGTTGATGGTGGGGCTCATGCGAGCATTGTTCTCGTTGATTTTTTATTTTTATTTTTTTGAGTACCTCCGTGCGCGGCAGTTCTACGGCAAAACACCTACCAGGATCATCGGGAAAGCCACTGGATTGTTTGAGATGTCATTCCGGCTGGAACAGACCCGAGATTCAAGAACAATAACGACCCTGCTCACAGCCCGTTGATGATTTCTAAGCTTCACCAAGAAGTGACACAGGCCAGTCTAGCGGGTGCTCCGCCGCCCCCGAGTATCTATGTACAGTATATTGTAAAACCGAGTCCCTGCAAGAACCAATTGGCACTCTCAAGTTCAGAGAGTGGAGGCGAACGGAAAGGGTCTGGCTGGCGGCGGAAATACTGCGAAGATATCGTGAGGATTGACATCACCCGGCTTTAAATTGCGGGACAAGTCGGGGATTTCGGGACATTGCTTTTGATATAATCCACCATCCTTACCCGCTGTCAAAATTGCGCTACGAGGGACTGAGGTGTGGCCAGCAGCGGTAGTAACCCTAGGCAAACAGTTTAATGTGTATACCAAAGATGATGGGTGACTGTCCTCAACCGGATGATATCACAGTCAAAGCCTAAAGACCGTAGTCCACCGAAGGCTTCTGGCATTCCGGCCCAGACTGGTTCCTGCTGGGTACCGTTAATCTCTTGCGTCAACAATTCCAGGGTTATTATTACCACGGCCGGACTGTTCCCTTTTGCCTGTAATACCCGCCAAGGTATACACCGGAGGTGGGATTTAGTGTTTGTTATTTATTTCCCTCCCCCCTCCCCCCCCCCAACCTCATCTTTCCACTTTCCCAACGTCCCCCTCAATCCATCTTCCATCACTCCTCAACCACCATTGATCATCACACGATAGTTCTATATCGCCGTAAGTACTGCGGAGTCTGCCTCATCGTGACTTCTTTCTACAGAGTTGTTCCGTTTCTACCAACTTAAGGAGTGAAGCTGACCTGATCGACCCCGCCGAGCAGTTTATTGAATCAACTCGCAGCCATGGTCGTCAAGGTAATTTCAACAACAGCTTCAAGCATCAATTCATAGTTCCAAAGGGATATCTCTGATTTCATGTGCAGGTTGGAATCAACGGCTTCGGTCGTATTGGCAGAATTGTACGTCCATATCGATTCTAATCCCCGCAAACTTTTGGCTTTTCGCTCACCCTGCGGTTATAGGTCTTCCGCAATGCGTGAGTGGTTTCCTTTAAGCCACCGGCCTAGCGCTAGAGGGGTGGAAAGGGAGATCGCAATTAACATGGTATATTTAGGGTTGAGCACCCAGAAGTCGAGATTGTCGCCGTGAATGATCCTTTCATTGAGACACACTATGCTGTATGTTGCTCTTCTCTGTCCAGCCTAGCGTCCTTTCGGCGCATCTCAACCGTTTGAATTCAAGCATTGGCTGCTCTGACACCTTTCAATTAGGCCTATATGCTCAAATACGACTCCACCCACGGCCGATTCAAGGGTGATGTCAAGTTCTCCGATAATGGTTTGGATGTTGATGGCAAGCACGTCCGCTTCTACCAAGAGAGGGATCCTGCCAACATCCCATGGGCCGAAACCGGTGCCGACTACGTCATTGAATCCACTGGTGTCTTCACCACCACGGAGAAGGCCAGCGCTCACTTGAAGGGTGGCGCGAAGAAGGTCATCATCTCCGCCCCATCTGCCGATGCCCCAATGTTCGTAATGGGTGTCAACAACGAGACATATAAGTCCGATATCAAGGTTCTCTCCAACGCCTCCTGCACAACCAACTGTCTTGCTCCTTTGGCCAAGGTTGTCAATGACAACTTCGGCTTGGTTGAGGGTTTGATGACCACCGTCCACTCCTATACCGCCACTCAGAAGACTGTCGATGGCCCATCCTCCAAGGACTGGCGTGGTGGCCGTGCCGCTGCTCAGAACATCATCCCTAGCAGCACTGGTGCCGCCAAGGCTGTTGGAAAGGTCATTCCATCTTTGAATGGAAAGCTCACCGGCATGTCTATGCGTGTCCCCACTTCTAACGTCTCCGTTGTTGACCTTACCTGCCGCACCGACAAGTCTGTTACCTATGATCAGATCAAGGAGGCTATGAAGAAGGCCTCTGCCAACGAGCTCAAGGGTTAGTGGACTTTCATTCTTCTTAACCTCTAAAGTTGCGCACCTTTGTTTGGCTAACTCTTTTTTTTTTTTTAGGAATCATGAGCTACTCTGAGGATGCTCTTGTTTCCTCCGATTTGAACGGAGACACTCACTCTTGCATCTTCGACGCTACCGCAGGTATCGCCCTTAACGACCACTTCATCAAGCTCGTTGCTTGGTACGACAACGAATGGGGCTACTCTCGCCGTGTGATCGACTTGATCGGTAAGGACTACCTAAAAATGTTTGTTGCGAACTCTGATGCTGACTTGTTTATAGCATACATTGCTGGTGTCGATGCCGGCAAATAGCTATCTAAAGAGAGTTATGGAGAGAAGAGTTTGCTCTAGGGAATGAGTACTGTTGTCTCAACAGAATGCTTCCCCATCCTGTATTCTTCAACCCGACTTGTCCTGGCATAGCTGGCTGTCATTCTTGCCTAACAATGTATGTTCTAGTTTTGCTGATGTAGAATGACCAAACAAAAGTGATATGACCACCAAGATAGGCAATCAATGAAAATATTGTTTTAATAGTGAACCCACTTCTTTGTCATGCATCGATTGATGCCATATTGGTTGGCGCAAGCCGCGTAGCTTCCCTTCAAAATCTGTGGCCAAACACACGGACGCCCTCATTCTGCATCAGCATGTTAAAACTGAACATTGAGCTCACTGAAAAGCCTTTCAAGCTATTCAATCTTCTCTTCTAATTCTTTCTCTCTTTCTCTCCTCCAAACTTTCTAAAGTTTCGTTCACCTCACCCCCACGTGATTTCTGCATTTTGCCCCTAACCTCACGTGAAGATACTAACTAACTTCTGAACCTTGTCAGTCAGCAGCTCTTATCATCACGTGCAGACTCACTGCACTTCTATCCGTCTCATCTCTCAAGTCGCGCTCCAGTAGGTTTAGTCTTCTTTTCTCCTGGTTCTTACGCCCGTTTGCACTGGAACTGCCAGAGCAAGCCTCACTTTCACTGCTTTGCATGCATAGAAATTTGTGAATTTTTTTTTGCCAGGTCCTTTCCTCAGTGTGCTGTTTCATTGCTGGGGGATAGATACATTTCACTTCATTTTCTCCCCGTTCCGTCCCATGATTTATTGAGTGCTTGTATGGAGCACATGAGCTCCATTTGATAAAGTACCCTTGATTTTCAACCTCTACGAAAAAAGAGCACTTTTCTGCAATTTTCTACATTGTACTATTTTCTTTTCTTGTCTATATTCGTCTCCAAGAGTGTGTAGTTTTGCACCTTGTTCGTTCTGCATTGTGAAGAGCTGGACTGTGTCCCTCTTCTCCGAACAGCAGGGGTTGCGAGAGCTGTTTTGATTACTTTTGGCTTTGCTGCATAATCATTTTGTCAGTACTCAAAGTATGACTGACTAAACACATCCCTGTTGAATAACAGCCCCTGCGTTCTCCAGTTATGGACGCAGACGAGGACATCGTCATGACGGGGACTGGCCCAACGGTCCCTGTCGGGGCTGGTCAGCCGTCAAGCGCCTCTCCGAAAAAGCTAGGTACGGAACCACAATTGAACGGAGCTTTTCAGGCCGAGTCGCTATTAGCATCGTTTCAAAGAAAAGTCGTGGCGCCCGGGAATCTAATTAAAGAAGTGGAAGATCAGCAAGCTAGCTCCGTCCCGACCGTGAAGTCGGAAGAGAATAAGGAAGAGCCCGAGCAAAAGGAAGAAGCGGAGATCTCTACAGACGAGGACGAGTCTGTATCGTCGGATCAGAGCGATGAGGTCCCGAAACTACTTCCCGTTTCGTCGTTGCCGTCTGGCGTGTGCTATGACATTCGGATGCGCTATCATTGTGAGGTCAAGCCGACTCTAGATGTTCACCCAGAGGACCCAAGGCGTATCTACTACATTTACAAGGAGCTTTGCAAAGCTGGACTTGTCGATGATCCAGATGCTTCAAGGCCGCTTGTATCTCAGCCATTGCTTCGTATTCCTGCGAGAGATGCCACGCACGAGGAGATATCGTTGATTCACGATTCTGAGCATTATGACTTTGTTCTCAGCACGAAAGGTAAGATCACTTTGACACGCCTGCCTCTAGCCTCTCAACATTTCGCTGGCCTTGGGGGCTATTTGTAGAGAATAGGAAATTGACGTTTTGCATAGACATGTCCGAAGATGAGTTGATTGCATTGGAGAGTACTCGAGACTCGATATATTTCAATACTCTCACGTTTACTTCGGCGATTCTAGCCTGCGGCGGTGCCATTGAAACTTGCAAGGCAGTGGTCTCAGGAAAGGTGAAGAACGCGATTGCAGTGATTCGTCCTCCTGGACACCACGCAGAGCAGTGCCAGGCAATGGGCTTTTGCCTGTTTAATAACGTCAGCGTTGCGGCAAGAGTTTGCCAGAAAACTTTCAAGGATAAGTGCCGGAAAATAATGATTGTGGATTGGTGAGTGCGATAGATTTGCTTGCCATTTTGTATACTGTTGCTGTCTTTAAGTTCGAGCGCGATTTGCTGACAAAAAATGACAGGGATGTGCACCATGGTAAACTCTAGTTATGTTCCCCGACATTTTATGTCATCAATCTTACAGATCTTTTAGGCAATGGAGTCCAAAATGCGTTTTATGACGACCCAAATGTGTTGTATATCTCTCTCCATGTCTATAAAGATGGTGCTTTCTACCCAGGCGGCGAGCAGGGGAATTGGGACCACTGTGGTGAAGGCAATGGGCTAGGAAAGTACGTTTCTTCAAGGACAATATTATATGTATGAGTGTCGAACTCACATCAAACAGGAATGTCAATATCCCATGGCCAACCCAAGGCATGGGTGACGGTGACTATCTCTATGCTTTCCAGGAAGTTATCATGCCAATTGGCTACGAGTTTAATCCGGATCTTGTTATCAGTAAGCTTTCCAGCCATCAGTTCGATTTAGGGCATAGTTTTGACAGGATTCCAGTCTCGGCCGGGTTCGATGCTGCTGCAGGTGATGAGCTCGGAGGCTGCTTCGTCACTCCGCCGTGCTATGCTCACATGACTTCTATGCTGATGAATCTTGCGAATGGCAAAGTAGCTGTTTGCTTGGAGGTAAGCGCATGCCTACCTTTTTATGGAATTTTTTTTTATGGGAGTTCACTAAGCATATCCCAGGGTGGATACAACTTCCGCTCGATTTCGAAATCCGCGCTCGCGGTGACTAGAACGCTGATGGGAGAGCCACCGGACAGACTCATTGGTGCTGGTGCGTCACAGGCGGGAGTCTCGACAGTGCGTAAGGTAACCATGATTCAGTCTAAGTACTGGCAATGCATGTATCCTAAAGGTGCGTGCGAGCTTTTGCATCCTTTCCCCTTTTTTTTCTTCAAAAAAAAAAAAAAAAAAAAAAAAAAAAAAAGAAATTAACCTGACCACATTTCAGGGCCTCCGGAGAGATTCTGGGGTAATCGAGTTCACGGTAAGTTAGATAAATCCTCGCGCCCATCTCACCTTGTTAACAGTTCGATATAGATATCATTCGACAATACCAAGCGAAACAGCTTTACGATGAGTACAAGCTAACTAGCCTGTTCATCTATCGAAATTCTATTTCCAAATCTTTTGAGAATCAAGTTCTTGCAAGGTCATAAACCGTTCTCTAGATAACACACGAATGGCTCGATGCTGACGAGATTCGCTATAGTCGGAATTATGATTGGCAAGTCCCGCTACTCGTCATCTTCCATGACCCGTATGTACTGTCCACGTCCATTAGCGTTCTGCAATACAGACAGGACTGACGGCATATCTCTAGTCCAGAGCTCATGGGAATCCCCCATCCTCTGACCAATAAGTTGGAGGCACACAACTGCTGGATGGTATGACTTAACTAGCGCAGCCCTAGCAAAAAAGGAATGGCTAACCAGGACCAAGGCTGATGGCGTCAAGGACTATATTGAATGGGCAATGAACAGGAACATAGCCGTTATCGACGTCAATATCCCAAAGCACATCACCAGGAGCAATGTATGCATCATTATTTTACCAGGAAATATCTTTGTTTCGAGGTGCTAATTGTGCTACACCATCCCAGACCGCCGATAGGTACGAGGATGAGGACCGGAGCAAGGAGAAGATGGCAAGCGAGCTTGCAGTTTATCTCTGGGAAAATTACATCGAGTACGAGTTCTTCTCTCTTTTCAGTGTCGCTTCGTGCAATGTAGCGGATTGCTAACATTTGATCCGTCTTTTTTCTCTTTTTGTTTTTGCGCAGGCCAAACGAAGCTAGCCACGTTTTCTTTCTGGGAGTTGGCGACGCGTTTGGGGGTCTCGCAGACTTGCTCATCGAAAAAGGTATGAATGCCTTCAGTTGCTGTTTTTTTATGACAGTTGCAACCCCCAGAAACCGTAATGCTAACACCATGCCTTATTGCATAGAGCGCGTATACCCTCGCGTCAGCGGCGTCATCTCCTTTGTTGCCGAGAACGTAGTCCGGGCAGTGTCAAGCCACACAAACATCTGGCTTTCTAAGTGGTATAAAGATGTAAATTTGACCCTAGAGCCAAGTACCCCTTCTATTCTTACTTCACCCTAGGATGGCTAGATCTCTGACCTTGTGAAAATTTTCCCCTTCCTCTCTAGAACTCTTTAATATATGTTTCGCACCATCACGGCGTCTTCAACATTCCCGAAGGCTCCAAGAGACCTTCAAAGCGCTACGGGCGCATTCTTAGATCCCCGAAGAAGACCCTCAACGAGATGCTCCTTGCCCACATGGATGACGTGACGAAGTGGATAGAAGAGAGAATCCAAGGGGAGACCGAAGAAGAGTGATGGAAAAGAGTGCATTCGGATTTCCGTTTTCCGCGCCAGTTGAAGGACGCGTTTTACTTTTTAAAAACAAAGGGCGGCTAGGGAGGAGGAAGATCTCGGTGAAGTCTCTTTTTTTTTTCTCTCCTTTCTCTCTATCGATTCTTTTTTTTATTATCACGGTGTTTTTACACGCGGAATAGGAATGAGATTCAACTTCAAGAAGAGAATTTTCTTTTCGTTTCGGCTTTCTTTCCTTTTTTTTTTTTTTTTTTTTTTTCCCGCGGTTTTGTGGTCGACTAATCGCGAGCAAAGTCTTATCCTCAAGCTTCCCCAACCCCCCTGTCAAGGCTTTCCCATATGTGTTGTGATATCACCGTCGCACAACAGCCCTGAATGTTGCATAAAGAGGCCAAAACCCTGCGAGGTCCTCCGCTTGGACTCTCGCGCAAACCGCAAGCAAACCCAACCCTCCCCCCCTTCCCCCCTGGTGCGGGGACGGCTTGGACCAAAAGCAGAGCTTACCAGGTTGGACAAAGAGGTCCTAGCTATAGATCCGTGTGCTCGTTGAACCCGGTGGTTTGGTCGTTTCGTGCACGGGAGGGCCCGATGAAAAGCTGGGCTCGTGCGATTTGACGCTTGGGTATCATGTTGGATTTTGCTGTCGCAGGGTGCATTGTGCTTGAACTACCTCTTTTTCTATTTTTATTTTTTATTTTTATTTTTGCTATTGTTGTTGCTGGGATCGTTTTCTCTTCTCTCAACAAAATGCACATGTGACATGATCGAGCGAATATGGGTTTTTATCCGACTATGCACGGAGGACTCCGTGCGTTGTTCTCGTTGCCAGATCGCAGCGAGCAAATTGCTACATAGTAACCGAAGAGCGCATCAGCGTGGAGCCAGCACACGTTAAGAGGACTGGGCGTATATAGGTATAATTTCACCCCGCCGGAACTCCTGTACGTGGTGCGTGAGATGACTCGCAACCAAGCGTCGGCTATCATTCGCACGTAAACCAGAAGCCCTTGGGACCAAATAGACTTGGTTTCCCGGGCGTTGGTTATAATCCCCGGTTTTGGGGGTTAAACCCAGACGCCACAGTACCAAAGGAGTACTGTAGCATTATTCTCGGACAGAGAGAGGTTGGTATGGAGTACGGAGGGAGCTTGTGTGAAAAAAAAAAAGAAACTCTTGCGGTGAGTTCTCATCGCCACATGCAAAATGAGACAAGGCTTGAGACAAAAAGGCATCATATGACTACAATGGTGATGACTTGATTATGCCTCTCCCTTTTCCCCTTTTCTCCTTTTTTTCTCTTTTTTTTTTTTTCTGATTTATTTTTGTTCCACACATACAGAGTAGATCGCGCGAATTTCGCATTTGCCGCACTCAAACCTGGAACGCTGAGAAAAAGGTTATAGCCAACTCAACTCATTCACTGCCTCTGGGGTTTGACTTGGCCTCCAAAAAAAAAAAAAAAAAAAAAAAAAAAAAAAAGACAAAAGCCGAAACGCCATGTGATACCTGCCGGGTTGATCGCAAAAAGACGACAAGCATCGAGACGTATGTACAGATGTGCATCAAAGGGTGGCGCGTCTCTGCACGATTTGGCATGTGAATAAAACAGCGGTAATTTTGGACATTTGTATATTATTAGTCTGGTTAATTTCAACGTAACTCCACAGTTTCTTTATCCCTCAGAGGCCTGAAGAGAACGGCGGGGAAAAAAAAAAAAAGGTTGTTTAGGGCCTGGGGAGTAGAATAACACCACGTTGACGGATGTAGATGCTACCTCAAGGATTGTGTCGCATTCGTTAGTGGGGAGAAACATGAGATTCGCCACCCAAGTGCCTTAAAACACTGTTTCCCGGCGACTCCATACGAATAATCCCGGAGGGAGAGAGGGAGGGGGGGGGGCGCGCGAGGAGGCCAGAGGCACGTCGGAAACATGTCATCTGTGTATTGAGGACAATGGCCGGAGGAGAATAAACGTCACCGGTCCGCTGACCCTGGGCAGAAGCAAAAAAACTCAGTTCATTGATCCTGCGAAGCCAAGGCAGGGAGAGAGTTCCAACGCTTGCAGAAGTGGATGGTACCGGGGATAGCTTCAAATCCTCCCTTCAGCTGGGGAAAAGAACGCAGCTAAATCCACGAAGGCCAAAGCATGCATGCATGCATGCATCATAGCGTAGATAGTAATAGTATTATATGTAGATACCTCCAGCTATGCTTGCGCACAGGCTCGCTCCCAGGATTTATACCCCGTCTTAGTTATGGATGGTTGACTGCATGGAATAAATTGGAGAGCGGTAAATGACCGGCACATTTCAGATATGACAGAGAGCTTCCTTTCTCCCTTTTCTTTCCTTCTTTCTTTCCTTTTTTTTTTTTTTTTTGGCATCGGGCTAAGCTGTTGAACGGGAGGATTCGGCATTTGGGAAGATCCTCTGGACGGGTTCACCATTTCCTCACTTACAGTACTTCCATCCGCCTAGACTCGGCCCGGACCCGGGTTTCTGAGGGGGAATTGATCCACGGTTCATTGCTCTTTTTTGAGGGGAATTGATCCATGGTCATTGCTCTGTTTCTGGAATACTCCGTAGAATCCTGCTCTTCTTCTCTTTTTTTTCTTTTTTTTTTCGATTTTTAGGCGAGGATGGATCGCAGGAGAAGGACGGGGTGTAACTAAGTCAAGCCATTACTGTAAACGCTGGAGGAATTTTACTACGGTCTAACATTCTTAGTAGAATCATTACTCCGTATTCCGTATTCTGTTAACTTCCAGTGATGATGGCTAATAGTCTTCATCGGAAATATCCGAGGCGCAGCAGGAGATCACGCTTGCTCCAAGCCGCCACGCTCGGGTTGTCTGAGGGGAAAAAAAAAAAAAAAAAAAGAAAGGCCAACAAAAAGTGCTTGCAACCGTCCAGAGGGATCGCCGCGACCACCCCACACGAACCCGGCCATCCCTGTCTGCGCGAAGCTTTTCCTGGCCGAGGGCCCCAAACCGGTTTGAGCTTAGGGCTTGGCTGGGGGCAAGAAATGAACATTCCGCGTCGCAGCTCAGGGTAGCATTTGCGCTGGCATCCAAGGATCTTTCAACCTGCGTGATGAGAGGTTGGGGGAGGAGGAGGAGAAACGACCAACCTCTCATCTTGAAAGATCCTTGGATGCCATCAATATCATCGCTATCATCGCTAGGAGACAGAACGGGCCAAAAAAAAAAAAAAAAAAAAAAAAAAAAGAAAATGAAGAATGAAGGAGAAAAGCTTTTTCCCCACAGCTTCTGTAAGCTTCGAGATTGGCTTAGATAAACCAAAAATCGATCCAAACGGCGAAGCTAAACTACAGTAAGGACGAACCTTTTTACGGAGTACAGTACGGATTACGGAGGTGGTTTGGAATCCCCCCGGATATTGTTTTAATGAATTGTTCGTCTTTTGACCCCGGACCGTTTGATGCTTCTGATTGCATCAGCAGTCCCGCCACGAGGTGCAGAATCATATCTCAGATACCCCAATTCTCCCGCGCTGCCCGGTAATCGGGAGAACAAGCAGAGGAACCGGAACAGGAACAGGAACAGGAAACCGGGTCTTTCGGTCAAACCCAGCCACTTACGGATGAACCGACTGATTACTACTATGTACCCCGTACTCCGTGGAACGATGGCAAAAAAAAATAAAAAAGAAAAAAAAAGAAGAGAGGACGGGGAGCCCTAACCGCAATTATGCTTGTCAGGTTCGGTCGGCTCGGTTTGAAACATCGCGTTCGCAGCGGCGGCGTGACTGGCCAGCCCGCCGATGATCCCATTTCCGCAGCCCGCCCAATCAGACACGCCGCCCCAGCTTTTGGTGATTTTTTCTTTTTTTTCTTTTCTTTTCTTTTTTTTCTTTTTCAAACCAGAAAATGATAATAATAAAAAAAAGGGGGAGCGGACTTGTAATACGAACAGGTATATGAATATCGAGTATGGAGGTAAGTTAACTGAAGCCATATTAAACACATGGAAGTAGTTATAGTTAACTGACTAACTTAGTTAAGTTTTTACCCTGGAGGAAGCAAGCCACCGCCATCCATCCACATAATTTACTAATTTACTACGGAGTACTCCGTACGGAGTATACTACTGGAGTATGCTTTCCTTCCTTCCCGCCTGAGCTCCCTTGACTAAGTTTTACCTGCCCTGTAGGGTTGGAATCAAACCGACATTCGCTTTCCCTTATTGTGATTTTTTGACTTTTTTTATTATTTCCGGGGTTGTGCCTTCTTATTCTTCTTCTTCTTCTTCCTTCCTCTCCTTCCTTCCTTCTTCTCCTTCCCTCTTTTCTTTTCTTACCTACCTCCTTCCTCATTCTACTACTTCCTTCCTCATTCTACTACTTCCTTCCTCATTCTACTACTTCCTTCCTCATTCTACTACTTCCTTCCTCATTCTACTACTTCCTTCCTCATTCTACTACTTCCTTCCTCATTCTACTACTTCCTTCCTCATTCTACTACTTCCTTCCTTCCTCCTTCGCCCACTGCCACATCAGGCAACTGACTCGAAACTCCCGCTTCTTTGTCTTCTTCTTCTCTTCTTCTCTTCTTCTCTTCTTCTCTTCTTCTCTTCTGCTTGCTTCACTTGCTTTGAAAAAGATTTGAAAGAGAACCGCCCAGCATGGCTGGAACCTCCGACGTGTCGCGTGTCGAGGCCCCGGTGACCCTGAAGGCGTATCTGATGTGCGCCTTCGCGGCCTTCGGTGGCATCTTCTTTGGCTACGACTCCGGCTACATCAACGGCGTGTTGGGCATGGACTTCTTCATCGAGGAGTTCACCGGCCTGCGCAAGTCCGACTTCTCCCCCGACGAGGTCAAGGACAAGTTCGTCGTTCCGTCCTGGCAGAAGTCCCTCATCACCTCCATCCTCTCCGCCGGAACCTTCTTCGGCGCCATCATCGCCGGTGACCTCGCCGACTTCTTCGGCCGCAGGACCACCATCATCAGCGGTTGCGCCGTCTTCATCGTCGGCGTCGCTCTCCAGACCGCGTCCACCACCGTCGCCCTCCTCGTCGTCGGCCGCCTGGTCGCCGGCTTCGGTGTCGGTTTTGTCTCCGCCATCATCATCCTCTACATGTCCGAGATCGCCCCCCGAAGGGTGCGCGGCGCCATCGTCTCCGGCTACCAGTTCTGCATCACCGTTGGGCTGCTCTTGGCCTCCTGCGTCGACTACGGAACCCAGGAGAGAACCGATTCCGGCTCCTACCGCATCCCGATCGCCCTGCAGATGCTCTGGGCTCTCATCCTCGCCGTCGGCCTCTTCTTGCTCCCGGAATCGCCCCGTTACTACGTCAAGAAAGGCGACGTCGAGCGTGCCAAGGCCGCCCTCGCCTCCGTCCGTGGTCAGCCGCTCGATTCCGAATTTATCCAGCAGGAGCTTGCCGAGATCGTCGCCAACCACGAGTACGAGCTGCAGGTCGTCCCCCAGGGCAGCTATTGGGCATCTTGGCTCAACTGCTTCCGTGGCTCGCTCTTCGATCCCGCCAGCAACCTTCGTCGCACCATCCTCGGTACCTCTCTCCAGATGATGCAGCAATGGACCGGTGTCAACTTCATTTTCTACTTCGGCACCACCTTCTTCCAGTCCCTCGGCACCATCAGCAACCCGTTCTTGATCGGCCTCATCACGACCTTGGTCAATGTCTGCTCTACCCCAATCTCCTTCTGGGCAATCGAGAGGATCGGCCGTCGCCCCTTGCTCATCTGGGGTGCTTGTGGCATGTTCGTCTGTGAATTCATCGTCGCCATCGTGGGTGTCACGGTTGGTGAAAGGCAGGATGCCGTCAGGGCCATGATCGCATTCATCTGCATCTACATTTTCTTCTTTGCCAGCACGTGGGGTCCTGGTGCCTGGGTTGTCATTGGCGAGATCTTCCCGCTCCCTATCCGTGCCAGAGGCGTTGGCCTTGCGACCGCATCCAATTGGCTCTGGAACTGCGTATGTGCTTTCCAATTTCTTAGAAGATCAATTCAGGTATACGGGCTAACCACGGGCACAAACAGATCATCGCAGTCATCACCCCGTACCTCGTCTATTCCGACAAAGCCAACTTGGGTCCCAAGGTCTTCTTCCTCTGGGGCTCTCTCTGCGTCATGTGTTTCATCTACGCATACCTCCTCGTCCCTGAAACAAAGGGTCTCACTCTCGAACAAGTGGATAAGATGCTCGAAGAGACTACCCCTCGTACTTCAGCGAAATGGAAGCCGCATACAACATTTGCTTCGGAGATGGGGCTTACGGAGAAGGCCACCCTTGAAGAAGCTGTTGCCATCGAAGTTAGTCCAGATCACAAAGAGACGGTTTAAGCAGATCTCTCTAATTGCCTCGTCTAACTGAGTACTTGAGTACTCATCTCTTCTCGTCCTTTTTTTTTCTTTCTTTTCTTTTCCTTTTTTTTTTTTTTTGCTTCACGATAATTCGAGCTTTTGAGTGGCGTTGTTTTTTTCCCAGCACAGGGGTTATGGAGTTTGCTTTCTGTTAATATGGATGGGCATGTGGATAAAAAAGGTATGAGGGCATAATACCCGGAGGGATGTGTTTTAATTTGTGTGTCTGTGTGTTTGTGTTTATTTAACGAGAGTTGTCTGCAAATACGGCATCAGTCCAACGGCAGATAATGCCAGGTTTTAAAGTACTGCAACGATGAGTTTCACCAGTTAACACTTCCAATTTCTGTGGTGCCTGTTGTAGTAGAATTGGATCTTCAGAAGTAACTTAAAAAGAGAGTTTGCTCATACGGTGACGATAAAAGGGACGCAGTCACACAGTACCGCCCTGGCCGAATAGAGCTGGTCCCCCGGTCGCCCTGCTGCTTCATGGCCCGCAGAGTACCTTACGGGCCTCCCCGTTTAAGAGGTACGGGGTACTCCGAACATAGCTACTCAAGATTGGAGGTATGTACTCCCCGCCTGCGCTGTTATGGGGTAAACATGGGTGCTGAGAGACTGGCGGGAGCTTTTTTTTTTTTTTTTTTGCGCCATTGTTGCACCCCGTAAAACAGTCCACAAAGGATATGTTAACCATATTCAGACCAGGGGACAACCTTTTTCACCCACTTTCTTGGTTTCTCAAATGTTATTTTCTTTTCTTTTTTCCTTTTTTTTTTTTTTTTTTTTTTTGTTTTTTAATATTGCCAGACTAACATGATCACTTTAGCGCATTGGCGACAGGTGAAGATGACGAATGCATTTGCTTGTGTGTGATCCGAAAGCTGGGAATTGTGCTTTTTCGCCCTCCTCCCCCTTTGGCGACTCCAGCAGCTGTTAGAGTGGCCAGGAGTCCTGTGGGACTGCGCGGCCTTTTTCCGGATTTGCTTGTTCCACGTATGGTATATCGTTCGGTTTCTGCAGGAGGAACATAGCTAACAAGCCACTGTTGCTCTCCTCGTTTGTCGGTGAGAGCGGTAAGGGGCCCAAGAAGCCAATCTAAGTTATGGGATCGGCTCATCGAAAGAGAAGGGGAGGGCGCACACGCACAGCGTGTTTCAACCAAGCTAGGTTGCGGTTGACGTCTGGTTTGGGAATTGATTTGGAATAGTAGGGTATATGCTGTTAAGTATTGACGTCGACGAAAGGCAGGATGCTTCCCCAGACCCAGGGAGCAAGTTCTGGGGTTTCTGTGGTGAGAGTGTGTTGAAAGATGGTCGTCCCTCTCCAACTGGAGCTTGGAACGGAAACTTTGCTCTTGAATCCTGGCGAAGTTAAGACTCGCGGAGTTCATCACAACCCATTGGAGCCTGGGGGAAAGAAGGGATCATGCCGTTCGCACCTGGGATGGTGGATGACTCGAACGACTGAACTCCTTTGTTGACTGAATTGCCTGATGCTGGAAAGGAAGTTCTCCGAGACTCGTTCTCGCTGCTAGTCTTGGGGACCTTTGGAGTGTCCATGGTTAGGAATATGGGGATCGCTCCTCTAGCTCTCATAATGGACTGATGATTGGACAACCTTCGTCTTGGGAACTTGTCGGAGTCTGGCCAAGAGTGGTTAGCAGGTCAAGTGCCAAGGCGATTTGACGCTTGTTTTGGCCGGAGATGGCGGCCAGAACGCGCTGAACAAAGATTCATCCTTTTTGAGAACGCCACCACGAGCCCCAGACGAAGGATTGGATGAGCAAGCAGTTTGAGATTTCAACAGTTCCCAACACTTGCCACAATCCTTCACTCTACACCAATTGTCAACTTGATGGACCCATATTTTAAGAAGTCCGATAGCGGCCAAAGGGTATGCGTGATCGCATCTCGATCCTTGGGATCACTTGGGAATCTGGGGTATGGGGGCTTCCCTGCGTCGATTTTTTCTACGACGTGCTCCGTATGTATGCGGTGTGTCACATAAGACACAGGGCGGAAGATTTCCCCACCAGGCCCATCAACATATGGAGAAAGCGTGGCCAGGATTCCTAGACTTGCTCCAGCGTATTTGTTCATGGAGGCAGCCATATAATAATAATATTGGGAGCAAGACTGTCCGTGAATGCCAATGATGGATACACACCCACTTCCTACCTCGAGAATCTGGCCACGGAATTCAAGTGCAGCTTGGAATCTGGGAATCCTTCAACCATTTGTTGAGTTAGGATTGTCAAATAAAGCATTGGTTAGCCTGGCTCGGCATGGGTCCGGTATCCCAAAGATTGTTGTTCTTCACTGGACGCATGGGCGGGCCAATCTGTTCGGGAATTTAGAAATATAATAGGCTCGACAAGAACAGGTCAACGGCCATCGTCCGAAGCAAACGATTCGAGCTGCTAAGCGCTGGCGCCCGTTATACCAATTATCTCGCCCGTTCGAAGCGGGATAGGGTCGTTAGCCTGACCGCCATGCCTTCAAGTTTCGGCAGCGCTCGAAGATCTCGGACACTCCGAACGAGGGCTGCCGCAGGTCGAACCGAGGAAAGTTGTTGGCTCGAACCAGACTTTGCGGGGTAATAAGGTTATCGGCTCCAACTCAACCGGGAAACTTTATCTTAGTCGTACAGTAACCGGGCCACGAGTTCTCCGGGATTCGTGAGCGCGTTCAAACCAAACCCCTGGGCAGTTCTGGCTGGGCTGCTTATTCAAGCTTATTCTACTGTACCCCTCCGCGGAAAGGGAAAATTTCACGCCGGGAACGATTCGGCATGGCGCAGTCACAGGTTCCATGGTTTATCAATCCTTGGGGTGAAAGTTTTCCGCTCTGCTGGGCGAGTTGGTTCCCTTTTTTTTCCTTTTCTTTTCTTTTCTTTTTTCTCTTTTTTGCTTCGCAGCGTGCTCCCATCGTGTGCATACCCCAGTACCTACTGTATATCGGGAACTGCATAGAAATGCATGCGGAATATCACATGGCATAGATGCAGAGATGTCTCTGGAGTGAGGAGGCTGCTCTCGGGCGAAACCTGAAGGGCAGCCATGTATATGCTCAATTTCCAGCCTGTGGACCCATCCCCATGCCCATCTCCATCCCCAGACTTCCTTTGGCCACCTTTGAAAATGCAAAAATAAGGCCCCATTTTGGACAAAGACGGTTAGCCCCCCCCTCGGGCCAGCCGAGGTTTGATGCCGAAAATGGTCGGTTCAATCGTATACTATTCCCACCAGCTTAGCTTTCCGCAAACTTGCCTGCTGCGAGCCCGGAATGATTTTACTTTGATCAGACCCGACTGGACTGCTTTTTCGCTTAGCTTCAACTTTGTCTTAGAGTTACACTTTTCGTGTTTAGTTCCATCTGGAAGGCAAAACTTCCCAGCAGGTCCACATTATCATGGTATTTGCGAATCCATGCCCCATCCAGTATTTGCGCGCACCCACTCCATCCGATGGTACTGAGAACAGATCCATGATGCGGGCGGGGGGGGGCGGGGAGGAACAATGGTGAGCGCTGACCAGACAGATGCTTTTCTGGAGAAGGTGCATATATAGGTCTGGCGCTGCACCTTGGTCCATACGAATTGGCAGAGCAACCAGCTTCTCGATAACCCCCAGATTTATCAGATTGTCAGAACCTGTGCTCGCCGTGAGAGGAAGGATGTCACGAGATGAAGAGAAAGCTCCCGACGGCGGGGTCGAGCATGTCGACACCGTCACCAAGAACAATTATTCGGATGTCGACATCGACGAGGAGTTCTCGTACAAGGAGCAACGAAAAATCATCCACCGCGTGGATCTGCGGCTGGTGACGATTTGCGGCCTGGGTTACTGCATAAGTTTGATGGACAGAACCAACACCTCCATGGCGGCCATTGCAGGGTATGGCCAACGATTTTCCGAACAGAATGGATCCTGAGAGCGAGGGGCTGATCTATTTTCTTCGTTTTTAGGATGAACCGGGACCTGGAGCTGACAGTGGGCTTCCGCTATGTAAGCAAGCTTTTGTCCGTCTACTTGCGGCTGAACGAAGTACTGATGAACCTATGCAGTCCGTCATCGTTTTGATCTTCTTCGTCACATATATCGTCTGTCAACCTTTTGCGACCGCCATTATTAGAAAAATTGGACCTCAGATCTTTATCTCTGTGATTATTGCCTCCTGGGGAGTAGTTTTGATTGTATAGGATCCCCCTTTTTTCGTGCAATTGTGGCGCATATATGCTCATCCACCTCCAATAGGGCTTCGGCTTTGTGAAGAACTGGGAGCAAATGGCTGCTCTACGAGCTCTCCTTGGTGCTCTTGAGGCTGGTTTCTTCCCGGGGACTGTCTATCTTCTTTCGTGCTGGTATTCACGATGTGAGTAGCTGGGATTTTTCACTGCTTAACAAAAAGAAAAAAGAAATTTTTTTTTGCAATACGAGCTAACTCCTGTGGCAGATGAGGTGCACCAGCGATACTCCCTGTTTTACTTCATCGGCGCTGTCGCTGCCTCCTTGTCTGGTATCCTTGCCTTTGGACTAAGTCAGATGGACGGCATGCACGGTCTGGGAGGATGGAGATGGATCTTCATCATGGAGGGAGTGGTAAGTGTTGCGAGAGAATTTTGATGCGGGCTCTGCTCATAGACTTACCGCCTCTCCTCGTCTTCTCCAGATTTCCGTTGCGGTTGCCATCATTTGCTATATTTTCATCGTTGACTTTCCCGACAAAGCCGACAAAGCATGGGGTTTCCTTAACTCGAAAGAGCAAGCATTTATCCTTCGACGCCTGAACAAAGACCGCGGTGATGCGGATCCAGAACCGTTCACTTTCGCGAAGTTCCTTCGACCTGCTCTGGATCTGAAGATTTGGGGTTTCGCAATGATTTTCTTGTATGTAACCGGCGAAAAAAAAGTAGTCTCCGTTCCTATTACCGTCGATCGAATGCTGACAATCATGGGCATCACAGCTGTCTCACAACCGTCACTTACGCCATTGCATATTTCCTGCCCATCATTCTTGCCCAGGGCATGGGATTCGGCGTCGGAGAATCGCAATGTTTGGTGGCCCCGCCCTACTTCTTTGCTGCGATCCTCATGTTTGCGACATCCTGGGCTGGAGATAAATACAAGACGCGAGCCCCCGTTCTCGTGTTCAACGCCATCGTTACCTTGATCGGACTACCGATGATGGGATTTGCCAAGGGGAACGCTGTGCGCTACGTGGGTGTCTTCCTTACAACCGCGGGAGCCAACGCCAATATTCCGGCGTCGATGGCGTACCAGGCGAACAATATCCGAGGACAATGGACTCGAGCGCTGTCCAGTGCGACGTTGGTGGGAATGGGCGGCGTTGGAGGTATCGCGGGTAGTTTGGTGTTCCGATCACAGGACGCACCAGAGTATATCCCCGGTATCTGGGCTGCTATCACGTAAGGACTCCTCTTTTTTTTTTTTTTTTTTTTTTTTTTTTAAATCTCCCTCCCCGCCGGAAAATCGGGCACATAAGTCGCTAACAACAACGTTACCTTTGTCATAATATAGATCCCAACTGCTTATCCTCGTCATCGTTGCAATCATGAGTCTGTACTTCTGGAGGTGCAATCGCAAGGCAGATCGTGGAGAGATGGTCATTGAGCGGTCCCCAGAGTTCCGCTATACAATTTGAATGATCATACATTGAAAGTATATGTATATATACCCTGATGGTTTTGTGATTTGAGATGGTCTCAAAAGGGTCATCGACTCGGGGGGTGTCGTCTTACACGGGGCCCGGTAGCCTGAGATATTATTAATAATGACACATATCCTGTTTGGGATAGATGATTTGACGATGGATCCATAAGTCCATATATCACAGAGTAGCATCCTTTTTTATCTTTTCGTAACAAATGGCCCTTTGAGCATTATATTAATAATACCCCCTGTAGCGTACCGCAATCAGCCTGGCATGAATGCACAGTGCCATCGAGTGCGGGTTGATGACTGCTATCATGCACAATCTTTGAGATGCAAGCAAGCGGATAGTTACCTTGTTTTGCTGGGGAACATTTTGTCTTCTTGAGCAGGTTTCCCGTCTGTCTGTTCTCGTGCCCTTCTTTTTTTTTTCGCCGGGATGGAGGAGAAGACGCGAGATGGCGTGGTGACAAGGGAGGTACTTCTAGGTACATTCGGTGTCGGATAGAGTTTCACCGGGTGACTTGAGGGGGATTTGGCCTGAAAAAAAAAAAAAAAATTAATACGTGATCAAGGTTTCTTTTTGGGCATCCACGGAACGGAGAGGTACGGTAGGTACGTAAAATAGGTACAGTACAGGCGAAAGGTAATTCGGGGGAAAACTGGCAATGTTGCAGCGGGAATTGCGGCGGGCGGAAGATGTAAAATTCTTGTGATTTCAATTTCGAGACATCACGAAGATCTGAGTAAAACTGTTTTTTTATTTAATTTGTTTACATCGGCGAGAGCCAGCGGCTTCTCTATCTGTGAGTGACAGGCGGAAAGTGGGGATGACAAACACCAACGACGGCAACCCGGGGGGAGTTCGGCAAGGTACGTACGGAGTACTCTTTGTATGGATATGTGTGAGGATGTACATCCGTCGTCGCCTGTCATTCGCGGGGAAGGCATGTACTGCCAGTATGTCCTCCGTACATATATTCCTGACGGCTTTTCCTCTCCAAGCGGAAAGGGCTGACGGGGATCGACCGGGCTGGATCGCCGTCAAGCCACACTTTTCCTCATACTGTATCGGGAAAAGGCGGGTCTGCCCTTATCTGTCCAATCATAGCCCACAAATGCTGCCGCCCCTGCCAAGTACCATTCACCGCCTGCCTGATCGGGCATATCCGCGGCAATCCGGCGAATGGGCGGACTTGCGATTGGCAGCAAAGAAGCAATTCCAGTATGGGATGGTTTACTCGGCAGATACACGTCTGTTGGGCGGAAACCCGGCTGCGCAGCAAGTACCCGCGCCGCCCTTCCCTCCCCTGGTTGTTGCCGCCGCCCGCCGCCGCCACTGCCAGAACATCGAAAATCGAACATTTTCGCTCTGCCCGCCCGGTTTCGTTGCTTCTCTGCTTCGTCGGTGCAACGCTTCGCCTATTCATTCTCTCGCAAACAATCAAAATCACACGTCGCGAGAAGTTCACCCCCCTCGACCCGGCCAGGATAATCCCTCCCCGTCCTCTTTTAATATCCCCCCCACCCGCCCCCGGTTCGAAGGTATGTAACAACAGCATTTTCGAACGTTTTGAACAGAGTGACCCCGAACTACCTCTTTGGTACTCCCGTGCCGGATTTGGCTTTTCTCAGGTTCCCCGCCACCTCTCCCCGAACTCGTTGAATACAAGCTCGCCCATCAATTATTTTTTTTCCTTTCTTTTTTCTTTTTTTTTTCAAGGCTATTTATATTTATATTTATATATAAAAGTATCTTGCTTTTTTTTTTTTTTTCCCTGTTTCGGACCCTCTCTTTTCCCTTTTTTTTACCTCATCCTGCCCATCCTTTGCTCCTTGCATGCCTCCAAGGTCCTCGCTCCTCTCCCTCCACCACCCTCCCTTCTCCTGTTGCTCTCGTTGCCCGTCGATTCCTCGCTCGCTTCATTTCAGCAGGGTTGCTCTGTCGTCATTCCGGGCCCCTGTCCCTCATTTATATCGTCGTTTCGTCTGCTCTTCTCCACCTTGGCACGCCCCGAATATTTCAGTCCGGTCGTCTTCGAGCAGTGCTGCCCCGAGACCCCTGCACTCACCGGCCTCGTTCTCTTCCGTCCGCCGTACTTCTTCCGCGTCTGCTTCTTCTTCTTCCTCCTCCTCCTCTCTTCCCTCGCTGGCCTCGACTTCTCCTCCAGCTTCCATCCCACTGCCGGACTTCGAAGCCAAGATGCTCGTCGAGAGTGTGACAGACAGCGTGGAGAAGCCGGTCGTCGATGACCGATCGTATCGTGTCATCAGACTGGCCAACAAGCTCGAAGCTCTCCTCGTCCACGATCCTAACACAGACAAGGCCAGTGCCTCCGTGAACGTGAACGTCGGCAACTTCTCCGACGATGATGACATGCCCGGTATGGCCCACGCCGTGGAGCATCTGTTGTTCATGGGCACGGAAAAGGTAATAAAATATCAAATGTGTAAAATAAAAATAAAATAACAAAGACGGCTAATTCATTGTGTCTTGCTGTTGAAAATAGTATCCTGGAGAGAATGACTACAACCAGTACCTCGCTGCCCATTCCGGTCACTCAAACGCCTACACGGCCGCTACAGAGACGAACTATTACTTCGAGGTGGCTGCCACATCCCACTCACAGCCCGTTGAATCCCCACAATCCGCTTTGCCCACCCCCTCGGAGAACCCGACTCCACTTGGACCCTTGGTCGACAGGAGATCCAGCACAGTTGAAGAGAGCGCCTCTACGACAAGTGACCCGGAGTCCCCGTTGTTCGGTGCTCTCGATAGATTTGCTCAGTTCTTTATCTGCCCGCTCTTCCTTCCTTCGACTTTGGATCGCGAGCTCCGCGCTGTTGACTCAGAGAACAAGAAGAATCTGCAGAGCGACCCATGGCGCCTTCTGCAGCTGAACAAGTCTCTCTCGAACCCAAAGCACCCTTACCACCACTTTTCCACCGGCAACCTGCAGACGTTGCGGGATGAACCTCAGAAGCGTGGATTGGATGTCCGGGAGGAGTTCATCAGGTTCCATGAGAAGCACTACTCGGCGAACCGTATGAAGCTTGTCGTCCTGGGCAGAGAATCTCTCGACCAGCTGGAACGTTGGGTCGTCCAGTTGTTCTCCGATGTCAAGAACAAGGAACTTCCACAGAATCGATGGGATGACGTTCCGCCTTTTGCGCCAGAGGATATGCAGAAGATGATTTACGCTAAACCCGTGATGGACACGCGATCTCTCGATATCTTCTTCGTTTACCAGGATGAAGAGCATATGTATGATTCTCAGCCTAGCAGATATATCAGCCACCTGATTGGCCACGAAGGCCCAGGAAGTATCCTTGCCTACATCAAAGCCAAGGGCTGGGCAACCGAGCTTTCGGCCGGCGCCATGCCTGTCTGCCCAGGTGCAGCGTTCTTCAACATTTCCATCCGCCTTACCGAAGATGGCTTGCATCACCATCAAGAGGTCGCCAAGGTCGTCTTCCAGTACATTGCTCTTATCAAAGAGAACCCTCCGGAACAATGGATTTTCGATGAAATGAAGAATCTATCAGAGGTCGACTTCCGGTTTAAGCAAAAGTCTCCTGCCAGCAGGTTCACTAGCAGCCTCAGCAGCGTGATGCAGAAGCCTTACCCCCGAGAATGGCTGATCAGCTGTTCCCTGCTTCGGAGGTTCGACCCCGAGCTTGTCACCCGCGGACTTAGCTACCTTAACGCCGATAATTTCAACATCGAATTGATCTCCCAGACGTACCCTGGCGACTGGGATCGGAGAGAGAAATGGTACGGCACCGAATACAGGGTTGAAAAGGTTCCCGAGGAGCTTCTCTCTGAGATTCGTGCGATGCTTGAGTCACCATCAGCAGGGAAAATACCTGAGTTACATCTACCCCACAAGAACGAGTTTGTGCCAACCAGATTGGACGTGGAGAAAAAGGAGGTGGACAAGCCTACTCAGACTCCCAGCTTGATCCGCAATGATGAGCGGGTCCGGGTCTGGTTCAAGAAGGATGACACCTTCTGGGTACCCAAGGCTTCCCTGGAGATCACTCTGAGAAACCCACTTGTATATGCGACACCAGGAAACAACGTCAAGGCCAGGCTGTATTGCGAGTTGGTCAGAGATGCGTTGACGGAGTACTCTTACGACGCAGAGCTGGCCGGCCTGGAGTACGACCTGGTTCCCAGTGTCTTTGGCCTTGACGTGTCAATCATTGGATACAACGACAAGATGGCCGTCCTTCTTGAAAAGGTCTTACACAGCATGAAGGACCTGGAGGTCAAGCCCGATCGATTTAGAATTGTCAAGGAGCGACTGACCAGGGGCTTCCGTAACGCGGAGTACCAATTGCCTTACTACCAAGTCGGTAACTACACAAGATTCTTGACTGCTGAGAAGGCGTTTATCAACCAGCAGTTGGCAGAGGAGTTGGAGCATATCGAGGCTGAAGATGTTGCCACGTTCTTCCCTCAGCTCCTGCGCCAAACCCATATCGAAGTGCTGGCCCACGGAAATCTCTACAAGGAGGATGCCCTTCAGCTTACAGACCTTGTCGAGTCAACATTCAAATCTCGACCGCTGCCTCGTTCTCAGTGGCGAGTCAGGCGGAACATGATATTACCTCCTGGAAGCAACTACATTTACGAATACACCCTGAAAGACCCAGCCAATATCAATCATTGTATTGAATATTATCTCTTCGTTGGAAGCTTGACCGATCCGGTGTTGCGGGCCAAGATCCAGCTTTTCGCCCAGATGGCAAGCGAGCCTGCCTTTGACCAGCTTCGGACCAAGGAACAGCTTGGATACGTTGTCTGGAGCGGTGCCCGCTACTCTGCAACCACCCTAGGCTACCGTGTGATCATCCAAAGCGAGCGCGACTGTGATTACCTCGAATCGCGTATCGATGCCTTCCTGTCCCGGTTTGCTAACTACCTCAACGATATGACCGACTCTGTATTCGAAGCGCACAAGCGCAGTGTTATCAACAAGCGACTCGAAAAGATGAAGAATCTCTCTTCAGAGACCAACCGCTACTGGTCACACATCGGGTCCGAATACTACGATTATCTGCAGCACGAGACAGATGCTGAGGCGGTCAGACCGCTCACCAAGGCTGAGATCGTGGAGTTTTACCGGCAATACATCGATCCGCAGTCTCCTTCTCGCGCCAAGCTCGCTGTTCACATGAAAGCCCAGGCGAGTGCCAGCCCTGTTGCTTCCGTAGGACAGAAGGATGTCGTCATCGAAGGTCTCCACAAGTTCCTGAAATCCGTCAACGTTGAAGTTGACGGCGACAGGCTGAAGCAAGCCTTTGAGAACGTGACCATCTCAAGCGAAGACATCAGTGGTATCACTGACACTGTGAAGAGATTCTTGACCGACGAAGCCAAGGTTGCCGAGGATCAGGTCGCATCCATTGTTGAACGCGGTAACCAACTGCTTGCCAAGTTACTCCCCAGCATTGGAGTCAAACCAGCTTTGACCAACGGTGAAAAGGCGGCTAAAGAGTTGAAGGTGAACGGTGTGAATGGTGTTAACGGCGTTACTTCCAAGAAGCCCGTTTATATCACGAGTGTGCCCGAATTCAAGGCTCACCTTACCGTTAGCCAGGCTGCTGCTCCCATTGTTGATTTGAGCGAGTACGAGGACTTCGAGCCTAAGCTCTGAGCCGTTCTGCCCCGTTTCGCCCCAATTGTCTCAGCATGTTATAATACCCTTTGCCTATAGATTTGCTGTTCGTCCTAATATTCTGCATTTGCATCTTCCGGTTGCTCAACTCTCTCTTCGAGTTGCTTTCTGACTTCTTCCCCCAAAGGTAAAAGCGCCTCAATCGGGATTTGGGTGTCTTTGTTGTACAGTAACTACTTAGATTTGGATTGCATTTGCTCCGCGGGTTTGCTCTTTTTTGGATTTAGATAGATGTAATCTATGAAGATCAATCAGTGCTCTGGTATTCTCTCTGGATGAATGATAGTAGCGAAGCTTGAACACAAGGATCGAGACCTACCTACTTGGAAACTCCTGTGGAATCGGATTAACAATGTTCCGACGCGCTGTTTCCGACAGTTAATCGATGAGCTTCACGCCTCGAAAGCTGTATGTTCATATCAGACCTCACGACGCTCCAAGAAAGCCGGTGTTTCCAACAACGACCATCACGTTCCATATCCAGATATATCTTGGTTTGCTAATTTCACAGCCCTTTTTTTCGTTTTGTTTTGAATTGCCTGGCCAAGATCACAAGAGGGAGAGATGTCAACCGTTCCGCCAGCAGCTCAGGAGAGCTCGCGCCCGTAAGTTATGCACAGTGCTCTTCTCGCTATATGGAGAGCCTTTTCCTTTTCCGGTTTCCCCCATAAATAAAAATACTGCAGAATTTTACTAATTTGCCCATTATTGAAATTTATAGACCTATTATTCCCAAGTCCTTCTCTGACAGACAACCAGCCACCATCCGCCTTTATCCACTCTCGAACTACACATTCGGAACCAAGGAGACCCAACCAGAGGAAGACCCTTCGGTATTAGCGCGGTTAAAGCGTTTGGAAGAGCACTATGAGCAATACGGAATGAGACGGACGTGCGAGGGGGTGCTGGTGTGCCATGAACATAATCATCCACATGTCTTGATGCTGCAGATCGCGAACGCCTTCTTTAAGCTGTAAGCAGCGGTTCTCATTTTTCTTTTTCTTTTTCGTTTTCTTTTTTTTTTATTTATATTACTTCGCCTGCGTTACTTTTTTGGGCCATCGTTTGGACTGGTTGGGGTGGTGACAAATCGCTCAAAGACAAAAACCCTGTGCAACCTACTGAACTGAGCTGAGCTGATTGGGAGAGCATAACGGCGTAGGCCTGGTGACTATCTCAAACATACAGACGACGAAGTCGACGGCTTCAAAGCGCGGTTAAACGAGCGCCTAGCCCCCGTTGGGTCGCAGTTTAGTGGCGAAGGCGTCAACGAGGATTGGGAGGTCGGAGATACCCTGGCGCAGTGGTGGAGGCCGAATTTCGAGACGTTTATGTATCCGTTCCTGCCGGGGCATGTGACAAGGCCGAAGGAGTGCAAGAAGTTGTATTTTATACAGTTGCCTAAGAAGAGTACGTATCTCTTTTTTTTTTTTTTTTTTTTTTTTTTTTTTTTTTTGGTTCGCATCCTCCAGTGAAAACTGGGGCTGTTGACGAAGAGTTACTGACGGCGGTTTACTACGTTGATGCAGAGGTCTTGTCGGTCCCTAAGAACATGAAGCTCCTCGCTGTTCCGTTGTTTGAGTTATATGATAATACTGCTCGATACGGCCCCCAACTTTCTGCTATTCCGCACCTGTTGTCCAGGTATAACTTTGAGTTTGTCGATGAGAATGATAATGTGGTCGCTGTGACGCCTGGAGATCAAACTCCTACCTCGCCGTCTGAGATGCCGAAGACGAAGATACTGGCGGGTGATGGTGTCGCAAATAGTGATGGGCAGGATACGGGGATGGAGGATTTAGGGGGAGGAGAGATGCAGTGATATGATCGCGAGTAGTACAGGGTGTGTATGTGCTGGGAGACACCGTTTCTTCCATCCGGAAAAGGATAACTGGGCGGATTTTGGCGTTGAATTTATTTTCCACTCGGAGCTGTAACTGCTAAAATAAAGATAACTCCCGGGGAATTGACATGATAAAATGCATCTCTTTGGTTCCCGCTGGGACGTGAGGCAGGATGTTCCCGTACATCGAGCGTTCTTGAGGCCATGAGCTATCCTAGACTCTCTTTCTTAATAGTAATAATTAAATCCCAGCTGATATTGTAGTACCCTCTACTTTTAGGAGAAGACATATAGATATAAAAATTCTGCGGCGAGTGTTTCCTGTTGAGCTCTCACCTCCGGGAACTTTTCCAAAGCCGAGGTTGGCCATGTCGCGAGAAACCCCCAATCGTTTCTCCTCTCCAGTGCCGTCATCACGTCTTCCCTTTCAACCTCCGGACCAGTCACCGTCTACTTAAGTTTGACGGGGCCTCACATACTCACATTGCTCTTCCTTTTATTCGTATATAAGGTATTTATCTGTCTGTACAACTTTTCCTGGATACTGTCTATTGGCTTTCGCCGATTTTTACCCGGAAGATTGGAGGATAAGTTAAGCTTTGGGCATAGGGGAGGCACACACATTTTGGTTGGTAAGTTGGGCAAGGTCAGCGAAGGACGAAAGGAGAACCGCAGAGACTGATGGGACATTGTTAGTGGCCTAGGATAGCACCGATCTTTACGCGACAATTGTACAGAGCCTTTACTGTGTCTCCAGTATTTTTCGCTAATTGCCCGAGTCAGGACAAAATTGATTGTTTGTCGAACCCTTGGAAGAGAGCTGCGAAGTCCCACCTCGAACGACAGACATTCAGAACATATACTCCAATATATAAGATCTAGGGGTCGATTGTTGTCTTTTGCGACCCTCCTTTGTAATTGCATCGGACATATCCTCCCATTACATATACGCACATATTCTAATTAATATCACCTCCCCATGCTCCTCATCGGTCTAACGGGCTCCATTGCCACCGGCAAATCAACCGTTTCCTCCCTCCTATCCGCACCGCCGTACAATCTTCCGATAATTGACGCAGATGTCCTCGCTCGGAAGGTCGTCGAACCCGGCACACCTGGCTACAAGGCTATAGTAGACTACTTCGGTCCAACCACACCAGATCTCCTCCTCCCTGAAGAAACACCGGGGAAAGGGCGGCCTCTAAACCGCCCCGTGCTGGGGAGACGAGTTTTCGGCGATTCGGATGAGCGCAAGAAAGATCGTGCGGTGTTGAATGGGATTGTGCACCCGGCAGTCAGATGGGAGATGTACCGTGAGCTCGTGCGGTATTACCTGAAGGGACACTGGGCGGTCGTGTTAGATGTCCCGTTGCTGTTCGAGAGTGGACTGGACGCGCTCTGCGGGACGGTTATTGTCGTTGGAGTCAAGGATCCAGCAGTGCAGATGCAAAGATTGCGGTTGCGAGACCCGCATCTGAGTGCTGAGGATGCTGAGAATCGTGTGAAGAGTCAGGGCAATGTGCTGGGAAAGGTGGAGCGTGCGCAATTCAGGGGCGTAGAGTCGGCGAGAGGCGTCATCGTGTGGAATGATGGCGATAGAGCGGAGCTGGAGGCCGAGATAAAGAAGGCCATGACGCGCATTGAGGCGTCGAGTCCGCGGTGGTGGGCGTGGGTCCTCCTATTTGCTCCGCCGCTGGGAATAAGTGTTGCAGCCTGGAATCTCGCCATAAATTATCGCAGCCGGAAGCAGTGGGATGAAAAGGAGCGAATGGAAAAGGCCAGGCTTTGAACATCATCCTCGCCGTAAGCCCGGTCTCTTTGTACATATTCAATTTGTAAATCTTCGGGCGTCATTCCACGCTAATGATGGGGCTTCTTGGTATCTAATTCGAAAGGCATACCGTCACGCTTTGTGGGGAGTCCGTGTAAGCTGTCCACGCTTGACCCGCGAAGCGTGACCTATCTGAACCCTTTCCTTTTACCGCCGGCCGGTTTTTTTTCCCTTGACATTCCACCGGATATGCTATTGAGTTTGCGTAAATCGACTTCATCAGACTGCCGGCCGCCACCAGAGCTAATACCTTTACGCGCACGATCTTGGTTTTGGCGATTGGACTGTCCACGGTTGTTTCGTTTAGACTCTTCCTGAGGTTGTGCTGAACGAATCAGAGCTAACACTTCATCTTGCTCCGAAGACTCAGCAGCTTCGCCTTGCTTTTCTTCAACTGTGGCATATGCCTTTATTTGTTCATTTGTGTTAGCGAGTCACCAGGGGAAGAATAGACCAGAGACATAGAAGAGCACTATCAGGCTTGCAATGACGGAACGAACCGGAGTTTTTGTCTTCTTCTTAAAATTTCCATAACTTCTTCGACCGCCGTATTCGAGTTCTTCGTCCGTATCATTCGGGTCTGCTGTTGTCACCACTGTCGGCGTTGGCGTATTGCTTATCGCCCGCGCAGGAAATTCAAGGACCCATTGGGTCTCTCCGGCTTCGGCTGCTTGCTTCGCGATTGCTGCGGCGCGCCTTTCCTCTTCGGCTCTGATAGCGGCTGATATCGCCTTCATGTCCGAACGCGATGCATTGTTGGACAGTTTTTGACGTTTCGGTGAAGGCGTTGAAGCTTCGGCGTCGACCGTGGATGTTTGACTGGAAGGGGTCGCTGGGCCGCCAGAGGACGCGGCAGCGCGTTGCATAAACTAGTTCATAGATGAGCGATCTGGGCTGCGAAAGCAGAGGTGAACGAGATGATGCGAAAATCGTACTTTCATAGTAAGAAGACGAGAAGACATTGTCTTCTCAGTGCGAGCTCGCGGCATGGTGGAATGGATTTAAGAATCTTCGATTGAGAAAGTAGTTACAATTTCCTCGCACGCAGGAAATGCTTAGCAAGTACGGAGTAGTGTTCAAAAATTTAAAGTTAAGTGTCTTCTCTGCTCCGTAGACAGATCTCAATGGATATGGATTTTATCGTCGAGCCTCTTAACGCCTGATAAGTCTTATCGAAGCTAAATTTCCGCCATGGTTCTCCAAGAGCCAATGACAAGCGATGTGATTGGCTGGTCCTGCTTGGCCCTCGATGAACCTCAATTCAGGCCGGCTGCCACCTCTTTAACCTCACGAGCAGACAGAAAGCCGCCGTCCTTCAACCGTCAATCGGCCGCCAAAATGCTCTTTTCAACACGTTCGAGTTTACGCCTCCTAACGGCACGGTCGACGCGCTTCGTTTCCCGGGCCAATTACTCCTCGACTAACCCCCGTCTCACCGAAAGATCCGAAAATGCCATCCCGACAAACGATCCCAACCCGCAAAAGAGGGTAACGAGCATATCGGAGACCAACACAGTGCCATTGGATTCTATGGGCGGACAAGATGCTCCGTTGCAGGAGTCGGTGGAGCAAGCAAGCGCGGAACTCCAGATGCAGGCTCCAAATAGAGCGACCACCTGGGCCAGGAGCCAGCAGCCGAGGGAGTTGGCCATGTCTGGCCCAAGATTCGAGCAGACTATCATGGACTATCAGGTTCGTGGCCTCAGGGATAGCATTCCTTCTCTGTGACTCCTTCGGGGTCCGGATGATGAAATTTTGCAATTGGTTGAGATGGCTTTTTGAATGATATTGTTTGACTGACGATCGGATAGCCACGCCCGTATGCTGCTATCGAACTGATCCACAAACAACCTGTGAGATGGACCAAAGAGAGGGTCGTTTCTTGTGATGGTGGTGGCGGGCCACTGGGCCACCCGAAGATCTTCATCAACACTGATAAGCCTGAGATCGCAGTCTGTGGATACTGCGGGCTTCCTTTCGTAAGTCCTTCCTCCGCCACCCCCAATTGTTCTCTGGCAGAAGACAACGAGAACTCCGGCTCTTTACTAGGTTGGGTTAACTAACTCCTCTGATGTATCAGGCCCATGAACATAACCGCAAGTTCCTAGAATCTCTTCCACACACCCCATATCCATTAAAGCCACTCGGAGACCCAGCAGAAGTTCCTGAATCCCAGCGGGTTACAGAGGGAGGGTTCGAGCAGCGATAGTTAAATTGTATAGACAAATACCAGCCTATTTCTGTGTCTATCCGCGCCTGACTCAATTATCCCCTACTCCTATTGACTAAACATGATAGAAATGACTTTTGACCGGGTCGAGGGCTGATATTGTTCTTCCACCGATATCTTCTTTTCGAAAAGATTATATTGTACAAATATTGGTTTATGTTGAAGAAAAAACAGTTCATTTATTCAGCATTGACAATGCTCTGTCCAAAAACTTCTGGCTCGAATGGGCCGGTGATACTTTCGAATTCTAGAACCAATAGCTCCTGTCCAACCTCTGGCAATTGGATCCGACGCAAATCCTCATTTCTCTAATAGCACCGTGCAGCCTGTCTATCTGCATCATGATAATATGGACAACTAAGAATACCTATCTCCTAACGACCATTAGTCCAACCTCAAAGGTCTAAAATTGAAGTTTCACCATTCCTCGGTTGGGACTGGTATTATTGTGCGAGTCTATTCCATTTTCTCCCCTTGGATGGTAGCGACCACCCTTCTGTGATGTTTTGACGTCCTAAATTCGAGATACCAAATTCCTTGCCACGTTCCGGTAGCCAAGCGACCATTCGTAATGGGTATCGTAACGCTTGCACCAATTAACGCGGATTTGATATGAGCCTGGACAGTGGTCGGGGTTCAGTCAGAAACAAAGTGTCCTCCGCCATAAAAAAACACCCAGAGGGGGTAGAAAGCCACAGTGCTTACAGGCATATCATCGGTCCCCTCTGCGCTGTGTCGGTAGAGGTCTCCTTTCCAATCCTCGGGAACAAGTCTATCCAGGGCATCGCTCATGTCTGCGCGCACATCAGCATCCCAGTTTTCGTTCAAGCTCAGCGCGCAGCTCGTGTGCTGGATGAAGAGGTTCAGTAAACCAGTCTTGTAGTTGCGAATCTCTGGCAATTCGGACATAATGTGGTCCGTGACAAGGTAGGAGCCGCGGGATCGCGCAGGAAGGTTTATAGTCTTTTGAAACCAGCTCATTGTCACGATGGAGTGGGGTGCGGACGATGGAGTTGACGAGGACGTGGTCGATTCAGGCAACTTGGCACCGGAAGGGTGTGACAGGGCTAAGTGAGCGACGGAAGAAGGTAAAGAGGTTAGGAAGTTTAGAAGGGTGAAAAGAACACTTGGGAAAAAGGCGAGGATGAAGATCAGGAGAAAGATGAGTTGGGGACAAGTCAAGGCCGTTGGTGGGGTTGATGTTCGACGATGCGGCGACGTCATCCAGAATTTGATGCTTGAAGCCAACAGATGAGACCAGGCGTTTGGAATTGGAGATCTTTCTGGGGAATCGTTTTTCTTTTTCAAAGGCTTACCCCACGTGCATCTCTAGGATTCTTGGAGTCTCTATGACTGTGGCAATAGATATAGAATGCCTCGATTGCTACAAACAAACGCCACGTTACCGAGAAAAAGCCAATTCCGGGCAAAACCGCACATCTACGCAATTCAGTCACGAGTCCATTCTTCTACTCGAGCCATTCAGTCCCTCCCATTTGGGCTTTCTGTCATTTATGTTGATGACTCTCTGGGAATAGAAGATGTGACAACTATTGGATGAAATTAGTCGCTCCAGGGAACGCACCAGGCAGTCGAGCGACGAGAAGCTGGAGGATTCCTTACCTCGGGGCAAAAATATCCAATGCGTCTCTCTTTAGTTGACCTTCACCAAGATCTATCAATTCCGGGAACAGTAAGATGACATTCCGACCCTCGTCCATGATTGGAGAGTGGCAATGGGAGCATAACACTTTACAGGGCAGCTTGTGCTCGCGAAGGTTTTCACCGCTTTGGTAGAAGTCTAGTCCTCTGGGTCCGTTTAGGAAATTGATATCAGATTTGTGGAATATGGCAGCCCATTGAAATGGAGCACCTATGTCAAAAATCAATCACGCTTGCCACGAATGCCGATGGATCCAGTCAACGAAGAGCTTGGGTATGAGTTTTCTTTCTTTTTTTTTTAAAAAAAAAAAAAAAAAATTGCAGACATTGCGAACTCCGGAAACACGAACCGTGCAACTTCTGGCAACCCACGCAATGACAGAATTTCGCATCCAGGGGCTTCTTTCTGTTCAGCTGATATTTAACTTGTCCACAGCAGCAGCTAGCGCGCCAGTAAACTGTGCCAAATTCCTCTGGTGGCTGGACCGCATACGGCGGGTCGTCGTGCCATTTGGAACCAGGTTGAGAAGATTGGGAAGAATTCTTCTTAGACTGTGCCATTGAGGAACGGGACGTGGCCAAATGACGGATATCCGGAAATTGATATATATGAAAATGATATTGCTTGGCCAATTTGCGGATTGATGTATATAATAGGCTGTTCACCATCTGGACAAAGATTCCATGGCATCTTGCCCCTCAGCTGAATGAGCACCGCGCGTTGCAGCTGCTATCAGGGCAGAAGTTGAAACTTGGACTCCCAGTTCCAACTCGTCAGTCCGCCGGCCATGACGTCGGAAACGCTTATGTAACTAATCCAAGGTTCCGCCTGTGAAGTGAGCGACGGCAGACATTCCGGTCTCGTTCGTAGAAATCCCCTGGGCGGAGTTCCTCGCTCGTTGGCAGGATGCAGACGTACCGGCTATGCCCAATGCTGTAGTTAACCCTAGAAACACTCGAGTTCTATCTAACTCTTGCTTTTTGCACGAGTCTACCCCGTCTAGTCCTCCGAAAGGTGCCAGAGTTGGAGTCAACCACAGATCCCCTTCACCACTTTCGCGTTCTCTGAATGGCTGTTAAACTAAAAGTGTTCCAGGGCGGGTTATAAAAATCTCACCTCATTAAGCCAGGTTGAAAATTTCAGGGACATAACTTCAAGGTATGATAGTACGAGATACACGCTCTGCGGGTAGTATTTTTCCCCTGTAAGCCTGGGAGAGACCCGGCTAGATCCCTTGCCAGAGCTTTAGTGGCTGAAGGGCTCGGAGATCTCGACTTGGGCGACTGGTTCAGTTAAGGTTGGGGCGTAGCCGCAAGCCGAGATGCCGAGATGGACCCCAGATTCCTATGCCGCTGGCCGAGGTGCTTTCTCCGCATTAGTTGAACAGCGGATTGCGAGCCCAGATGCCACGATGCCCATGTCACAGTTTCTATCTTCTAGTGTTTTATTTCATTCTGACGCACGTTGGCATAAACTACGATAGCCTCAAAAGTCGATATTACTGCCCGCAATGACCGTCTCCTCGCCGCCTCCGTCATCTCCTTTCTATCTCCTCTCCTACCCTGCGCCCGGCGTGCTTCTAGTCACCATCAACCGCCCAAAGCAAAGAAACTCCGTTCCATTCCAAGGTCACTGGGATCTACACAAGCTATGGCAATGGTTCGACAGCGAAGGTTCCCTACAAGTCGGAATCATCACCGGAGCTGGAGACAAGGCGTTCTGCGCAGGCCAGGATTTACTCGAGGTTGAACGGAATAGATTAAATCCTCCAACTGAACCCTACCTTCAAGGTCATCCACCATCGGGGTTTGCGGGCATTAGTACACGGAAAGGGAAGAAGCCCATCATTGCTGCCGTGAATGGGTTCGCCTACGGTGGTGGGTTTGAGATTTGCTTGAACTGGTGAGCCACATACCGGATATGTTGAAAAAAGATGGCCAGGGACATCAAGCGAAAAATTTTTCTGACTTGGAGATTGATAGTGATATGGTCATCGCGTCCCCACGTGCACAATTTTCCCTCCCAGAAGCAAAGCGTGGTATCTACGCTGCCGCTGGCGGTCTTCCTCGCATCATGCGCATCGCCGGATTACAAATTGCGTCCGAAATCGCTCTCACCGGCCGCCCAATTTCCGCAGAAGAAGCTAAATCTTGGATGTTCGTTAACAGAATCTCTAAAACGCATGAATCCCTGATCGATGAAGCGGTAGAATTCGCTAAAGAGCTCTCCCAACTCAGCCCCGATGCACTCATTGTCACCAGAGCTGGAATTAGAGAAGCTTGGGAAGTCGCTGGAATTGATAAAGCAACTGCAAACACCAGGGACAGATACGATCAAGGACTACATTCTGGAGAGAATGTGAAGGAAGGTATGTGCTTCTAGTCGGCCTACTTCCCCCCCCACGACGATATCAGTTCTCTCCAAAAACCTCAAGTGTTGTGCCATTCTACTTGACGGGAGCTTGTAGATCTAATACACTCGAGACTACTGTTACTAACTGAAATTGCATTTCAGGTTTGGCCGCCTTTCGAGAAAAGAGGGCTCCCAAGTGGGTTAAATCTATGTTGTAATACGCAACCAGCTGTGTACAATTCTACAAATTTGATAACGCAAGATCCGATGGATTACCCCAAACACAAAGGTCCGCACAGAAGTTTGGTATAGGATAAATGAAGAGGATCCGGCTACAATCATGGCAATATTGGCTCTTATAAGACGACTTCAAAATATACCAATGAATTATAATTAAGGTGACCTAATGGCACCATTGCATAACTGATTTATGGACTGAGATATATACTGGTCACCGAATGTGAACCTTCTTTGGCGAGCAGGCCGATATCATAGAGCTTTCAAACAATGTAGGCGATAGGGCGCCGGTCCTCATAGCAAGACCGATACTCCAACGCCATTCTCCGCCTGGTTGGCCCGGAGCCTTAGGTGCGCGGGGAACTAGGGTGGGTTAACTCTGATATAAGCTTAAAGTTGGGCGGGGGAACTTCGCAGCATGCAGACGACGGAAGAAGCGAGCAATTTGAGCAGCTTTGTCGAGTACTATTTGGATCCTGGCTGGCCACACCGGGACATGGGACACCTCGTACACTTTGCCATATTTGTCATACCTTCAGCCAGTCAATCTTGTACCGGGGAGATAGGTGGGGCCCGAAATTTGTAACCGGCGATGAAGGGAGTGAGAGCCGGTAGCCGCCTTCACATAATTTATTCTCCAGAATGAGGTGTCTGCCCATGATTTCCCGGTGATAACTACCATCACCTGTCCGCTGCCATAACTCTTCCATTCGGACTTTCGTGATACCACTATATTGGAATCTAGTTTTTGTGCCTGTATTCCCAAACAGCGCTCGGGTCGGGCCAGGAAGCTAGCAGTAAAGGCAGAGCGTCTATCATGGCCCAAACAAACGATATTCAGCCCCCTTTGGGGAGCAACAATCCCAATATTGACCATCCAGCTTCCCTCGACCGTCCCATGTTCTGTTCTGAATGGCCTGTATCTTCTCCAAGCGGATACAAAATCACGGACCACATGGTAAACGAAGCTTTCCCGGAACGACCATCCTTTAAAATTGCCATGCTTGGTGCCGGCGCCGCTGGAATTGACTTTCTTCATCACGCAATCCTCGCGTTCAAAGATGATCCTGATGTTGACTTGGTCGTGTGCGAGAAAAACCACGATATTGGGGGTACGTGGTTGGAAAATCGATATCCAGGCTGTGCGTGCGATGTCCCTAGCGCGAGCTATCAGTTCCCGTGGAGACCAAATCCTGGCTGGACTATGTACTACAGTACATCCAGGGAAATTTGGGAATATCTCAGGAAAATCGTCGATGACGAGGGGATGATGAGGTATATAAGGCTACGGACCGCGATTGTCCATGCAGCGTGGCAGGAACCCAAATCCAAATGGGTCCTGCATCTTGTGGAAAGGAATGAAAAAGATGAAGTGGTGAGAGAATGGGACGAAGAATTTGATATGTTCCTGAGTGGTGCTGGAATTTTAAAGTGAGAAAACCCGTGTGATAAGCCGGGTCATTCATTCTAACCTCGAAAAGTGCTTGGAAATGGCCGGATATTCCTGGCCTGCACAGATTTAAAGGGCGGCTCTTCCACACTGCACGATATGAAGAAGGTTTCGATCTCAAAGGAAAGAGTGTTGCCGTCATTGGCTCAGGGAGCTCAGGAGTCCAGACAGTCGCTGCGATTTATAATGACGTTTCGAAGCTGTATACTTGGGTAAGGACACCAACATGGATCACACCTGGATTTGCGCAGAAGTATGCCGGGCCCGATGGAAAGAATTTCGCATGTATGCCGCAGCCCACTTTCTTTAATGAGATTGCGGCTCACCCAAATTCATCTCCACAGATAGTGAAGAGCAAAAGGATATCTGGAGGGCCTATCCGGAGAAGTATCGCAGCTATCGTAAGATGATAGAGGACGAGCTTAATGGACGTTTCCGGTTTGTTTTGAGAAATAGCAAAGAGTCTGACGATGCCATCCTGGTATGCCCTCCCTGACCATTGATCTTCAAATCTGTGAGTTTCAAGTAATAGATCACTTATTTTCTTAGTTTTCACACAAAGAAATGTCATCGAAACTCGGTAATAATACTCACCTGATATCTAAGATCATTCCCCAAAACTTTAACGTTGGCTGTCGCCGACCCACCCCTGGAAACGGATATCTTGAGGCCCTCGTCGGCTCAAAAACAACCTGTTACACTGAAAATATCGGCGGGATAACTCCTAACGGCTTCCTTACTACTGACGGAACGGAAGTTAATGTCGACGTGATAATCTGTGCCACAGGCTTCGATACCACCTTCCGCCCACGATTCCCAATAATAGGTCTGGATGGGAAAAATATCGCCGACCGCTGGAAAAACAGGGCGGAAAGTTATATCTCGGTTTCAGTGTCGAATGTCCCGAATTATTTCATGTACGGTGGTCCATACAGCCCCGTGGCTCAGGGATCAATTCTGCCGATTCTCACGTTATTATCCAACCATTTTATCCAGGTCATCAAAAAAATGAGAAAAGAACACATTCGCCGCTTAAGTCCCAAAGAAAGCGCGATGAGAGACTTTGTTGAGCATGCCTCTGTGTATCTCCAGCGCACTGCTTGGGCAGATCCATGCAGCAGCTGGTTCAAGCAAGGCAAAATAGATGGCAACATTGTCATGTGGCCGGGTAGTCGACTGGCTTTTTTTGATCTGATCAAGGAACCGAAGTATGAAGATTATGAAATCGAGTATTGGAGCGGCAATCGTTGGGGATACCTGGGAAATGGGTTTAGCACCGTGGAGTTCGACGGGAGTGATATCAGTTCATACTTGAATTGTGAACTGTTTCCTCAGGAGCCCGCTGCTTCAAAACAAGAGGAGAAGGTGGAAAGTAACCCTCTGCATAGCCCGGCCAAGGATTCGCTTAAGTCGAAGGAATTCGACTCCCTGGGGCTCCTACAGGATACTCCCGGGTTTCAGGTGGCAGTCTGTCCTAACTGACAGCCGTAAAATGTTTCTAGGTATCAAACCTGGACAATCGTGATGCATTAAGTCTTGAGTATCCAAAAAGAACGTTTCAACACGCACTCGGCTTCATCATATCGCGGCGCTAACTCGGGAGGCGGAAGCGCAAATACGACCTCAAGCGTCCGGTTCTTGCGAATCCGGGACAACCCCGTGCTCCTCAAAAAGCAAAGAGCTACGAAGGAATGATATTATCGAAAAGCCACCAGAAGCTCTGAGACATTTAAATGCACTTCATACATGCCCAAATCCTGTCTATGCGTCACAGTCAACCCTTTTGCAAGAGTCATTAACCTCCCTAAGTCGGAAGAAATAGTCATCACTCATTAATACCAAATGACCCAATTAACACTCAAGCCAGGAATGCACGCAGCAGACCTTTCCTAAGCGAACGAACCAGTAAACCTCTAGGGACCATTAAACACTGATTAAAAGATATAGGAGCAAAGTGACGAGTCTGTTGTACACATTGTAAGTCGAAGAGAAAAAGTCCCTCCACAACATCCAAAGGAAGCCAAGAAAGGAAGATGGAACAAAAGAGAAATCGGTTTAATTCTTGGTATTCGATGGTGTGTATCCGTCATAATGCAGGTATTCTATTGATCATTAATTCGTAGCACATGTTTACTTAATGAAAGGAAACGGGCCCTAAAATAAGTGGAGGCCGACGTATATCAGGTATTCCTGTCGCAGATCGGGAAGAACCAAATGCGCGGTAAGATATATGACACGAGGTCGCGAAATGGAGCTGTAATCAAGTTCTTGGAGAAGAGATCAGGGACTCGGCTTCCTTCGGATCTGCCCCAAGGACACGAACAAGATAATCAATGCTAGAAAAGGTAATCAGCAAACGGATCCACATCCATGACATTCACAGCAATATTGTCGATTCCAAATTTGGTTTCAGAGGTTGATCTTACCTCGCCTCCGTTGCAAGTCGCCGTTTTTCCTTGAGAAACTCAGCCTGGCAGACCTCCCAGACGGCAGTACGCTGCTTGGGTGATATGGTTTTGATTCGCATCTTAAATAGACCACTAACAGGCCTATGGTCGGACACGCGGACTTCATGCCGTCTGTATTGTAATTGCTTTATTCTGCCAACACCACGGTAAAGAAGCCGATCGCACCAAGCCGGTGAGCGTTTCTTCTCGCTGGAGTCATAATTATCGGTGCCGACATCGTACTTATACGTAGGAGCGAACGTAATGGGTGCTTCATTGAAGGAGCGTAGCCGAAAGCCAGGGTTTTTGCGTTTAGATGCAAGTAACTGATCTCGATCAAGGAGTTTAGGTAGGTTGTTTGCCTTAATGGCCTCAAGAACGGTATTCCGAGGTATTGAATCAATACGGTAGTTAAGATCCCCATTCAAGATGCAGATCTCATGGTCGAGAATCATGGACCCGTCGCCGCCTCCAACGAAACGGTCAATGCGTGCCGAGGAACTTGGCTCCATTGGGAGTGACTCGCTCTCCATTATCGCAGCAATGTCATTGTTACGATGAGCGGTTTGAGTTTGACCAGCTGCCAGGTGACAGTTGACGAAGCAAACGGAAGTATCGTCCAGGATAAACCGAAGAATAAGAGCGCCCTAAATTCAGTGTCAATTACAAGGATCGCTGGATGGGCCTTCAGGCCTTTACGGACCTTGTTTCCGTGCAAACCACCCATTCCTCGCTTGACCTCTGCAGCGCTTATGTTCGTGATTCTCTGGCGCTCGTCCTGTTTTACAAATACACAGGTAAACAACCCAATGAGGCTTGCGGTGTGGAGTAATACGTAAGTAGTATCTAGTGGCATGAATTCGCGGATGCACATCGCAAGGTGGTCTCTCCAAACGCGATATCGCCGGCTCACATGCTCCATATCGTGGTCTTTCTTTTTACTGCCTTTGAGCAAGCTTTCTAAGAAGGGGTTAGTGGGACCATATCGATATTGAACATTTTCAGATCTAGGTACTGACTTGCTGTGATCTTCTTATTCTCCAAGTCAACAAGCTCCTGGAAGCCAAAGACCAAGATATCCGGTGGATTTTCTGGATGGATTGCATCTCCTATAAAATTGCTGTTGGGAAGATTTCCTGGTACCGCTGCCCCGGCGTTCCATGTCAAGACAGCAGCAGTGATCTCACGAAATTCGCAATATTCCACATCTCGACCTTGCATCTTTGCTTCTATTGAATATATTAGCACTGCCATGTAGGATTCGGAGGTCATTCTGTGTGACATACCGAGCCAGTCATCCTCCAGCATTCCATCCCAGGCGCGAATGTAGTTATCAACGCCCAAAGAGACAACCTGAAGCCTGTTTACCGTCCAAATACTACTATGATCAAGTAACATCCCACAGACACCGTGGTGATGCGCTTCCCAATCCTTTTTCACCGTCCAGGGGTCTGTAGATATATCGTACACATATATCATACCCGTCTTATAACCCGCCCAAAGATAGTCGCCGACCATAGCAAGTGAACTGATCTTATACACGCTAACGTTGACAGTCCCTAGGCATGTGAAATCTCGGGAAGAATACATCGTAACCTTCCCATCAGCATGTCCCAAATACACCACGCCTCGTTTCGTGCAGGCAGTGCCGGAGGTTACATCCCCAGAATGCACTTTTCCCAGAGGCGATCTGAGTACTTGAAAGGAATCATCGTCTTTGTTTGGTCTATATAGCCTGATTTCTTTCCCAGTTGCATACCACAGGATGCCGTCCACAACCATCGAAAATGTGGGCCCTTTTGGAACTCTGTCGTAAGGATGGTTGTAGCTGTATTGAAGATTCGGCGAGCCGGATTCATCTGGAGGCCAAACAAGCAACTTCCCATCATCGTCAAGAGTCCAGAGTTCTTTTTTGTAACGGTATATCTTGATGATTTCCCTCCGAGAAGGGGAGAACCTGGACGAGATAATAGCTTGTGTGGTAATATCGACTTCGCAGATTTCCCCGGTGTTCAGTCCGATCCATACCGCTTTACCTTCTTCATCCACGGTTCTTCCTGGTTTGAACGCGATGGACAGACCTTTCACAGATTCTCCATGGCTTAAGTTCACGATCTGTTCACCTGTCACAAGATTCCACACCTTGGTGAAGAAACCGGTGCTACATGCGTATGACCCGCAAACGTCGAATATTCTAGTATCGTGTTTTGTATGGATACCACGGGTCCCTGTGCGAAAAACCGGTGCGCGACGGTTCGTATGCGAAGCATCTGGATAATCCATCCTAGGAATGCTGGCCTCGTCTGAGAGAGAACGCGGCTCTGCGACTTCTTCGCGGGGCACGCTCGAAATGTGAAGCTTTGAAGATGCATTTGAGGGAATCGTTGGCAGTCGAGGAGGAACGGGTGACATTGGGGTTTGTGGCGTTGAATTGTGACCCTCGGATGAGATTCGTATTGACAAATTACTATCTCTTCGAGGGGGAGGAGGCGGGGGAAACTTCACGGTAGATTGGCCATTTAGAACCCGCAGCGATTGTATGTGGCCTCCCTCTTGGAGTTGCGGTGAGACCGATAATGGAGATGGATGGCTTGAGCTATCCGGGCTTGAGTGCGGAATGGGACGAGGCAAGGGAGCTCTTCGAGAGGAGGGAGATTTCGATCGCGGAGGCAAACCAGGTCTGTCTTCCGGCTCGTCACTGGTAGCAAGTTTCTCAGCAAGGGTTTGTATCGGTCTGGAACTCCTTGGAAATGTTCCCCCTTTCTTCACTGGGGGAGGAGGTGGTGGCGGTTTCGTATCTCGGTTAGGAATAGGCTTCGGTTTCGTTTGAGTTGAAGGACTTGTTTCTCTGATATGCCCGCCAAGTGGTCGCGGCGAGGATCGAGGTTCGAGCCGGGGTTGATTGCTTGGTGAATCAAGAGACGATGGAGACGACGAAAGGAGATTCGATCCCCGTCCTCGGGCGGCCGACAGTGGAGGGGACTTTTCAGGGCTACTAGGTGGCGTGCTAAACGGAGATACTCTGTCCTCGAACGAAGTCCTCTGGGACGAAACAAGGAAGGAGTTCGTATGGGTGTCTAAGCTCCCCACAATCCCTGGCTTTTTAGCTGGTATCTTAGGTTTTTCTGCCCTGTTCACAGGCGGAGGTTGCGAAAAGCTCTTAGGGCCTTTGCTAACATCCTCATCTCTATCGGCCGACCTTCTCCCGTCGGAAACAACTATGCCTGGCGAGTCAAGTAAAGAGGGTTTTGGTCGAATTGGCGAGCGGTTAGGGCTGCGTTGCATTGGGGGGGACGTGCCATGTAAATCCCTATCATTTCGCGAACTGTGAAAGAAACTCCTCCGGGGCGAAGTGATACCATTGGAAGGAGGAGATCGTGGCGATTCGACGGTGAGGATAGGGCCTCGCGGGGAGGTAGAGTGGAAGTGCATTGACAGTGGCCGACCGAACCGTCGTCTACTCGGTGAATCCCCAGTCTGCGCCGGCTGCAAAGGCGCTGCAACTGTGTTTTGGCGTCCAGGCCGAGACGGTACCCATGGTGGCTCGGGGCGCGGTAAGTCCAGGGAAGCACGACCAAGGGGGATGTCATCATTCGAGGCTGGCGTCTTCAGTAAGCTCGACGAGGCATCGCGCGCATCTGGAGCCTTGCGATCTCGTTTGGATTGGGCTAAGTTCTCGAAATGCGACAGGAGTGAAGATACGGGCCGCTGTAGTGTAAAGGGACTGATGTCAGCTCCTCTCCAGGTTTCCAAATTGAAAAGCGAAAAAACGGGACTCACGATAGATTCCTGTTCCGTATCTTCGGTCTTTTTCCGGTCCATCGTGATGTTAATATCTCGCAGTCTTTATGCTATCCACGGGGATGGTTCATCGGTAAGGAGGCTATTAAGTCTGAAAGAGAAAGGAGATGGGCGGAAAGGGGGAACCGCTGAGCTGTTCTGTCTGAGATGTACCGGCAAGGGTAGCGAGCAGTCTTGCGAAGTCCCCGTCAACCATCCCCAGGCTGGTAACAGGTGTCCGGAGTTGATGATATCGGGTCGCGCATGCGGCCTCGAGAGTTCGGCTGGGTAGTAGGAAAGAAGAAGAAAGTTGGCCAGCGGTTGACTACTGTGGACAGGGACCCGGGCTGCAGGGTGTCGACAAGAAACCGAACATGGGCTCTGCGCGACCGGTTTCAGGTAAATAAAGAGAGCGGCGATGTCTCGTGAGCGGGTTCGATGCTGGTGCTGCTCGATAAATTCACGGCGACGGGTGTTTGGCGGGTCGTCTGATTGGACGTGGAATTGACATGGAGGTGACTTACGTCGTCAGGCTCCATATTAGTTATTTTAGTTGGGGGGTCAGTTTGAAGGTTGTTTCAGGGATTCCTCTTCACTTCACCCCCCAGCGTGGTTAGTTACAAAGTCAGTTCGCCGCCAGACCCAAGCCCGCCCTTGCGCTCACCCTCGGCCTTCTCGAACGTTCGCCTTGTCAAGCTATTCGAATGACAAAGCAAGCACCGCGTCAGGGGTAACTTGTTATTGAATCTCAAGTTACGAGAGAGATATAGGAAGCGGGAAGGATATTCTTCGCTTTTACTTCGGATACGGGAGTACAGCCCGCAAAATCTGCCCATAACTTCGACCATCAAAAGCTTCCGACACACACCCGTGCGATATTATGTGGTACGGGACAACCGCTCTTTGACAGTCTCGGATGAGGCTGGGAAGACATTCTTCTGCTGACGCCTGGACCAGCCACCACATTCTCAACGCGCAGGTGTCGATCCGGTCACCATGCTGCAAGTTTCCCCGAGTCCCCGGGCTACAGCGTGCTGAAATGGGATTTCTAACAGCCCTGAAGGTCGAAAATGGTTTGACTGTGTTGAATGCCACCGCGAACAGGAAAGCCATGAGCTCCTGCAGTCCTTTGAGATGGTTAGCGGATCTTGATCCTACGTCGTCCTGTGGGGAGAAGTCGTATGTATGTCTAACGACGTTGCTTGTTGTTGCAGACATTTGCATGCAAGAAATGCAAGAAATGCTTCCGAAAGGACGCTTCAGAATTTGAGGAGAGGCACGTCCTTCATTGACCACGCAAAATATTTACCGGGAAAAGTTTGACTAAGAGGACTTTCTACATGCAGTGATGAGTATTGTCCCCATTGCGATAACCACTTTGTAATCGAAGCTGTCACACCCAAACCCGCCCTCAAGATCGAAGGAGAGGACGTTCGCGTCGACTCCAGAATGCTGAAGGACGAGAGAGTACGCCAGGAATCGCAAAGATCTATCTTCGATGTGAAGGAGGCTCCGAATAAATTGGGATAGATAGCCTACAGTTGCAGGGAATAACGACGTGATGAGAAAAGTTTTTGACGATATATGAGCTTCGGGCTTCCCCCAAGGTATACACTCTAGATTAAACCGCGATCACAATACGTCTGTTTGAGTATGATAGAACGATTGCTTCTAATGAAAATGAGAACAAGAGTCTGAAAAAGGGCTGCATGGTCAAGTATCCCAACTCTTCAGCTCTCAGAACCTTCGCCGCCGGCCCGAGTCAGTATCGCGGCAGTGCCGGTTCCTGGGGTCCTACCCGTCTTTTTCTTCGCCGCCTCCTCTTGTTTCTCGGCCTCTATGCTCTTTACATACGTCTCGATCTGTTCGCTGGGGAGCATTTCCATTGGCTTTCCCGGGGCCATGATTGCGATTTCGATGTTCTTGGCGCCAGTTTGGACGACTTCGAGCAGCGATTTGATTGCGAGTTGGATGGTTTCTTCCCTGTCCATGCCATCCTTATGGTTTCGTTCCAAGAACTCTCGGACAGTTTTACTAGACCGGCCAATTGCATTTGCTTTCCTATAGATTCTTCAGTAGGTAGCTCTTGGGTTAAATGTTGAATCCTCGAACCCACCATGCGGAATATATGCCGGAAGGCTCGGTCTGGTAGAGGCGAGGAGTGGAGTCTCCGCTGTCGAATCCGACTACTAAGGTACTGATACCGAATGGCCGGACACCACCACTTTGAGTATAACGCTGCTGTACACCAGCGACGTACTTTGTAATGTATTCGATCGTTACGGGATCTTCGACCGTCAGTCGGTGAGATTGGGCCTCCACTCTCGCCTTATCGACCAATATTCTAGCATCTGCATTGAGACCGGCAAAGGCAAGGCAAACGTGTTCATCGATGAGGCCAATTTTGGAGGGGGTGATCCTTGTGTCTTGAAGCTTCATTGCCGATCGCTTTTCGCAGCCTAAAACGACGATATCTTTTCCTTTCACTCCAACCGCACAGGTACCTGTTGTGTGTAAGTTTTGTGGACGGGATGTTATTTACAGCGTCTCCGACGAACCTCTTTTGACGGCTTCCAAGGCGTATTCGACCTGGAAGACGTGCCCATCAGGGCTGGCATGGTGTTAGGGTACGCGCCTAGCGATTATATAGCTGGTGAGGGCCCAAAACATACCTAAAAACTAAATGCGAAGTAAAAGTTAGTGGATTAAACAAGCTACATGGAGCTTGACTGCTTGGACTTACCTGAGAGAGCTCTGTCGTAGCCGGATGCCATTCTGGTCTATCGGTGTGCCGGGAGCGGATTCAGAAAGAAGCGGCAAAGGGGATAAGGGTCAAAAATATGGGCAGAGAAGGGGGAATATCAGGATGGAATTGGGATACGGGGATGGGAAGCGGGTTTTGGGGCGTTGTGAACTGGCTGAAACCAGCTGCTCGTCGGGCTGGTGAGGTAGACGCGGCCGCCATCCGCCTGCGACGGGGCTAAGCGCGCGCTTGTTGAGTTACTCGCTTTTCTCCCCCCAAAAAATCAACGCCAAGACCTCACTTTGGAAAGTTCTCTTCTCCATCGAGGCCTCACGACGATCAGGCTCATGGGCTTCCAGCTATCAGAATATTGGACTATAACTACGTGTCCTACCGATAAATGCGTGCTCATCTTACTTCCCAAGAGTTTATGCAATCCATTGAAGAATTTGCATATTCTGCCGACAAGACAATGCTGTTGAAGTTAGGCAGCAAGTTCCAAGTTTTCTCCCCTATTCGTGATGGGTGAGAGCCTCTAGGTATGAATTCATGCTTGATTGCCCCTCTCAATAGGGCTACGCAAAACGTACGAACTTCTCTCCGACGAAGCAATACGAACAGGGACCGGGGGCTGCTTGCTGCGGAGAAGGAATCTTGAACCCCGGTTTGGTCGAGTATGTCTGCAATAACATCTTTCCAGGTATAATCCAAAGGTCTGTTGCGGCAAGGTTATTCAATGCTCTGCCCCTTTTTTGAGGCGCTAGGTCAGCATCCTCTCCTCGAGGCATTTTTGGCTCCGCTCGACCGGGCTCTTTTGACTTGAACCCGCAAAAGCTCGTGTCGAAAGCTGGTGCCTCTTAAATCTGAAGTTTGATTACACTGCTGTCCTACGGAAAGGCATGGCTTCTGCATATGCTTGAGTGGCCATTTAGTCATTTGACCATCTCCGGCCTCAGAAACATAGTGTTCTCTCCCAAGGAAACTAAATGGGCATTCAGTCTCCGAAGTTGGTACAGATGCCGAGGGCACTTTGGATACTATGACCAAAGCCAGCAAACCAGTCAAGGGGCTGTTGAGGTGTCACCAGCAGATCTCACACAACTTCATCCCTGGTCCATACATGTAAATGGTCAAAGGCTTCCGGCATTCGTTTTCCACACTTGGGATCGAAAGGAAGGTTTGTGACATCCGCTCGAAGTTCGAAAGCCCCACTAGCTACAATTCCGTCATAATGGACTTGATTGCGTTATAGCTTTGTGCTTTCGCTTCCACCATGTAGCGTAACACATATATTCCACATTTACTCCCGGTATTCCAATACTGAGAAGACATCTTTATCCTGCTGGTCAAATTGTTCTGCGGCCTCTCGGGAAAATCTAAGCCGCCGCCAGTCTCCGGCATTCCTGGCAACTACCCCGGATTTCGGCTTTAAGCTTAACATTATTAACCTCGTTAGCCGAACACAATCCCCTATTATTTTGCTCAAGTTGTCGCGTTCAAAATCGCTATTGCGCACATAGTTACGACAATCCAGTGATGATTCTATGATATAGAACAAGCCAGCTTCGACGGTCACCGTTTGATTCCCCTCAGACCAGTTGTCGCGATCGCATCGAACCCCCTCACGTCCCCGCATCACCGTCGGGAACCGAAAGACGCCTCCACCATGGGGTTTAGAGGTCCATCCTGGGTGCACAATGCGTCGATAGACTCGATACCGGATTCAATTCCTATTTCTGAATTTATTCTAAACGAAAAGTATTGCCGAGCGGGCTTGACAGCTTCCAAAAAGCCGTTTATCTGGGGAGCTACGGGTGACGGATATACTGCGGTTGAGGTCTCCCAGCGCGTTGACTACCTAGCACGAGCTCTTGCGAACGAGTTTGGGTGGCGGCCGAACCTGAGGACGGAATGGGATAAGACGATTTGCGTCTTTTCGCTGAATACAGTATGGATATCTACTATTGAAAATTTATAGTTGGCAGCTGGGCCACACTAAACATACTGATAAATCCTCGCACATAGATTGATTTCTTCCCGCTGACATGGGCTGTCCATAGACTATCAGGAATAGCTTCTTTGGCCAGCGCAGCATATTCAGTAAATGAGCTTGCATATCAGCTCCAAGCGTCCAACGTTCATGCGCTATTTACCTGCTTACCACTATTGGACACAGCCTTGAAAGCAGCTGCAAAATGCGGCATTCCCAGGAACCGGGTTTATTTGCTAGATATGCCTCAGAGCTTTACTGGAAGTGGTTCAAAGCCTTTGAAATTTAAGACCGTCAACCAACTCATCGAAAAAGGCTCCAATCTTGACGAATTGGAGGATTTGAGATGGAAAAAGGGGCAGGCTGCCCGACAATGCGCTTATTTATGCTTCTCCAGTGGAACCTCGGGCCTTCCGGTGAGTAAAACCCAGGCCTGGCATTATTGCTTAGAGCCCTTAAGCTAATCCTATGCCGCCCAGAAAGGAGTTATGATTTCGCATATGAACGTGATCTCTCAAATCTCGCTTTTCAAGCTCTTTGAGGGCCATACTCGCACTGAGAATCAGAAGGATACGGTTCTCGGACTTCTACCCTACAGCCATATTTTCGGGTTATCTGTCTTTCACTCGGCAGTCTATCGAGGCGAGTGCGTCGTCGTTGTTCCAAAGTTCGAGCTTGCTACCCTCCTGGGGGCAATTGAAAGATGCAAAATCAATGTGCTTTACGTTGTAAGTAAAGCCGATTCATTCAAAATATCGGGCTCACAAGGCTTATCTCCTCATGCAGGTACCACCTGTCATTATCTCCATGGTCAAGAATGAAAGCCTCATGAAGAAGTATGAACTGAATAGCGTGCGCCATATAATCACGGGTGCGGCCCCCCTAGGGAACGAGACTGCGGAAGATCTCCATAGGCTATATCCAACATGGTCGATTCTCCAGGCGTACGGTGAGCTCTACTACGCAATTGCTCTGATAATGAAAATCCATCTCAGTTTCTAACCCCCCAGAAGGTCTTACCGAAACCACTGCAGTCGCAACGCATACAAGTCCGCACGATATCTTCTTTGGTTCGTCCGGATGCCTCCTACCACTGCTGCAGGCACGATTGGTAACCCCTGACGGAACCGAGGTTGAGGAGTACGATACGCCAGGAGAACTTTTACTCCATGGCCCGACCATTGTCCTGGGCTATCTCAATAACGAGGCGGCGAACAGGGAGACATTCCAAGACGGATGGCTACGAACAGGCGACGAGGCGGTTTTCCGGAAGAGTTTCAATGGAGAGGATCATGTCTTCATCGTCGACCGGATAAAAGAGTTGATCAAAGTTAAGGTAGGGAAACATCTAAGCAGGAGGCCATCCCTTGGCCCGAATAGTCTTTGCATTATCCTAGTTGGGGGGGGGCTAACTGGAGTTTTATTCTTTCTCTTTTATAGGGGTTCCAAGTAGCGCCAGCAGAACTGGAGGCTCACCTCCTCACGCACCCGGCGGTCGCTGATACCGCAGTCATCGGTGTCCACGACGATTCGGCGGGTGAAGTGCCGAAGGCCTTTGTCGTGAAGGCCAGCGAGATAACAGTTGACCATCAAACACTGATACACGACATCCAAAAACATGTCCAGGACCATAAGGCGCATTATAAATGGCTACATGGTGGGATCGAGTTTATTGATGCTATCCCAAAAAGTGCGAGTGGGAAGATATTGAGGCGATATCTAAGGGATAAAGAACGTGAGGCAAGAAGAAGAGGGGGTTCAAAGATATGATTATCTGTAATTAGTCTAGTTGCATATTCAGCAGGGCATGTTCATAAGCACAATGAACAGATATAGCTTTGACAACCACTGGTTGGAGCCAAGGGGAAGAAGTTGTCTGTTGCTTTCCGTCTCGCCCTTCCAGGACAATGCGCGTGACTTAATGCCCCTACCATCGAATTATTGGGCTTCCAAGAAAATGACACCTCTCTCCTTCAAAAGTTGGAGGACATGGATCGCATAGAAGACCAGCTAAGAGCCCAATCATTAACCAGTTGAACACCAAATAGATATCCCACTTTGAAGACTAGCAGAGCAGAGTAACTTAAAAGGATGGATTACTTTATTAAAATTTTTCCATCACACACCCAAATGTCCATCTACCCAAGAAGTCAACATTATGGTCAAAATATATAACGGTTATTGGACATTCACCCCTGAAGTCATTGACTAGAATAGCCCAAGAATGTACCGGAAAAAAGATTAGGAGAAAAAGAAATCAACAATATTATGCAATATACATGTCGGCATCATTATGTCATCCAGGGGGTCCTGTGACAATTGCAAGAAGGGAAGATATATCTGCTAAGTGGCAAGTAAAAGGCGCAGCCAAACATGTGTGTCGTATTTGCGATCTCATTATTGTAGGTGCATTGAGGCTATCAGATGGGTATCTTAAAAAAACATAGCGCGTCATGTAACCATTGGCGGGTGGCTTTCTGACTTTCAGTCGTTTTTAAGGTCTTTGTATTCAGCCTCATTGGAGGGAGAAGGACACGGAGAGGGCGATAGGCTCCGCTCCCACTCGGCCATCAAACTCGATGCTGTCCGTGTTAAATTCGAAGGCCGGAGCTTCGTTAACGCCGGCCATGGAATACTGTCAGATGGAGCACTGTCGGTGCCATTTTCAATTTCGATGGTTTTAAGGTCTGCGAAACTGCGAGACCGTTAGTTATATCCAAATAATAAAACGGTTTGGCGGCGTTGAAAAGGTGCTGACCTTGCACTTGTCCGAGGACTGCTTGCCCCCGTCGAAGGCGATGGGTCTCGCCTGGAAGAAGGGAATGTGGAACTGCTTGACGATGGAGTATGGGTTTTGGGTTGAGGGGTATCCCATACATCCCAGTTATCATCCACATCCAAAAGATTGGACTCTTTAGCATTCTGCTTTCCACCCTTATTCTTGGAAGAACTGTAACTTGCTTTGGGCTTTTCGGGAGGGTCAATGCCGAATTCACTCCAGAAGGAGACGTCTTCCTGCTTCGAAATGGATGCCCTAGCCTCCGGTATCTTCTTCGATGTAGCAGGCCTGGCGGCGGTCGACGATCCAACGGACTGTTCTCGACTTGCAGTAGCGTCCATACCGGTCCGCCGAGACGGACGAGACGATGAACGATGGGCTGCATACATGGACCTTGACTCTGTCGCATTGATTCCTTCTTCGCCAACCGTAGCTTGACGGATATCCTCCAAGAATGTCCATAATCCATCTTTGAAATCCGACGCCATCTGCTTCCCAGTGCGCATCAGCGTCTCAGCGGTCCCATCTTGAGTCATTGGCAATGAACGCCGCCATAAATTCCGCTCATCTTGCATTTTTATTCTGGCTGTAGAGATAGCACCTTCGGCATTTTTCGGGTCGTCGCGATCAAGGGAAGGAAGAGTGGCAGATCTGGGGTGACTGGATCCTCTAACAAGCTGGGGGTTTCGCGACGAACTGGTAGTCGTTCCGAGCGATAGAGGTTCCAGCCCGTTAGGGGACAGCAACGAGAGAGTTCTGACGTGACGAGAACTTTGAAAAACCGTTCGCGGACGTCCGGATGAAATGGAGCCATTTCCGGTAGGATATTGCTGGGTTAATTGCCTTAAGGTATTCCTTCTATCCAGCTCGCGACTCATTCTTGTCTGCAATGCGACTTTGGTAAGGTCAGAAGGCGCGGCTCGTTCAGGATCGATACCGTTCGCAGTCGGTTCATCAGCCGGCGTCTTGAGGGGTTTCATCACTTCTGCGTGATGGACGATCTCGGTCCTCCTCCTTCCTTTCTCCCCCATAGCCCACTGCTTTTTTAGGCTCACAAGTTCGGCTTCAGCCTTTTGAAGTTCTTCTCTTAGCTCCAGCACCTTTCTCTCCTGGGCCGCAAGAGCGGTTAGGAACATGTATCCTTCATCGACGGGTTCATTCAACGCCGGGGTTGCGGTTAAGGATCGACCCGGGGAGGGAAACGTCGAGGAACTGGCGAGTGGCGACATGATGTGTGTGGACGGCGAGGCCGGATCAGACGAAACGGGGGGTGTGGTGATGGGAAAATTGAGTGTCAAGCGTTTCGAGTGGCGTGCGGCAGCATTAGGACGAGATACCCGCTGTCGTTGTTGCCCTTCATTCTCCAGCTCCGGGTCGAGCAACGGGGGCTTACCCCGAGAAGGTTCAGGGCTCCAGAGGTCATCCATGGGACCAACTAGCAGTCGTCACGCATCTATCATGTAAGAGTTCCAAACAAAAAAAAAAAGAAAAAGAAAATAAAAAAAATTGGTATCATTCGGGATGTATGCGGCTCGTCATTGCTTCAAGCACAATGAAAGCTGAAGCCCAACAGACTCGTTTCGACGACCAGAAAAACAAAACGGCGAGCTCAGGGGAGATTATAACGCTCAGGACGGCGAGGGACCGTCAGCTTCGAACGGGGCTCGTTTCAGCAGAATGGAGCTGGCTGCCGCGTCCGGCTAGCCGCTTGAGGCCTAGCGCGGCTGCCATCCACGCAAACCCGCTCGCTTCCTTTACCGCCGCATCTTTCAGGAGAGACTCGAGAGGAGAGACCTAAGCTGCTTCGGCGAGTAGATAGCCGCGCTGGAAACGAAGATATCGGACAACTGGCATTGAAACCTGCTACATAATATCCGTCTAAACCATAGATGGCCTGTGGGCCCTTATTGGTTGAAACTCCGAACAAGAAAGCGAGAGCAGATAGATCAGAGCTCCAAAGACACAAAACGTAGTGTGGGATATCTGGAAAACAGAATAACGCCAAACAACCGGGCATATGTAGATTTAAAAACGAAAAGAAAAAAAAAAGGAAAAAAAAAAGAGAGAGAGAGAGAGAACAAGATGGCCCATTCACATACCAAGTCGAAATGTCGCCTCGTGACGCCCGCTTAACGCCGCCCAATGGAAGGCTCCTGAAATTTCCAAAATCCCGAACGAATGGTAGAAGTACGGATCGACCGCTGGACAAGCAAGCAACAGCGAGAGAAGAAAAAAAAGGGTAGAAAGGGAACGAGCGAAGGTACGAAAACGCCAAAATGCAATGAAAGTGATATCAGGCAAAGTCACTCGAACGACATCCATATTATACATGAAATATGATCCTCAACCAAAAAAAAAAAAAAAGGATATTTCAGGGTGCAATTCGATGTTCCCCCTGGATATCTTTTACAAAATCACGGTCTAGGGAGCCGCCCATCTGTTCCGCAAACCTTCACTCCAACGGCCATAGAGAACGTCAGCAAGCTGCTTGGTATGCTCCATGCCAGGAACTGACTGGCCTGGAAGCTTCAGGTTTCCAAGATACGATGACTGTTCCGCTGCAAGCTGTGCTGACTGGCGTCTCTTATGGCTCTTAAGGTGCGGGTTGTTTTGAGCAAGCATTAGCTTTGGTCTTTGCGGAGATTCAATTGGAGCAGGCTTGGAAAGAGCGCCGGCGGTTTTGGGGTCTCTGTGCACAATACCAGTTAGCTACATGCTTGCATTATTACGGCATAGGATGGAATGGGTCACCTACACTTGAAGTTTTTCATAGGACGCCTTGACAATCTGATAGAGACCCTCTGGGTCAACCATTTCAAGCTCGCTCCAGGCTTCTGCGAGCCGTGAAATGGCCTCTCTTTTGTCTTGGTCCCATGTGTTCGCCAATGCCTCCTGGCATGCCAGTCCGACACCGCAGCTGTACATCCTTCTACCAATCGCAGCTTCCTTGCTTTGTGGCTCGGGGGAGAACAGCGTTTTCGGAGCATGGGTTTCATCCATTCCGGGAATAGTGCCCGGAATTTCATTCTCGCAGTCCTCTCTGTCAGAGAGGCGGCGGAATTGCCTTACCGTGGATGGACTGTTGCCAAATGTGAGGTCAACCCCTAAGGGTTGCTTTGCACCGCTCGATTTTCGTTTGCTAGTTGATCGCCTTATGGATGATGTCCGCTCCAAAACGGAAGTCCGTCTCACAGTCGAGTTTCTCACAGGTTTTCGCTCGGGCGTGGGCTCAGTAACGTCAAGATGGTCCATCGTCTCAGCAACCTCGTCAAGGTCTTCGAGGGAGTGTGTTGCGGCCCTTAATCGCTTCTGGGTATTCTTTGCGGAAGCTATAGTACCAGGCTTGACAGTATCGAATACCCAACCATCGTCATCATCGCTACGAGTAATGGTATTTCTGTTCTGGCTGTTAGCGCCTGCAACTGCCCGAGTTTCTGGAGTAGCTCCATACAATGACTCTGCGTAGTATTTCACGTTATCTGAAACTCCCTTGGTTGCCTCCCATTCCTGACGCCTCTGGATTAATTCTTGCAAAGGTTCCGTTTTCACCGCTCCTCGGATGAATTTATGCCTCAGTAGTTCTTTTGCGGTAGGCCGTCGATCCGGATCTTTGATTAGACATTGGGCAATGAAATCTCTGAAATGAGCGCTATACTTGTTCCCTTCCAACCTGGGAGCAGGCGCTTTCGGGATGAGAAACAACACTTTCATCGGGTGTGTGCTCGCGTGCGGAGGCTCTCCATTAATCATCTCCATCGCAGTAATACCAAGCGACCAAATATCGGCTTTAAAGTCATACCCCGCTTGCTGAATGACTTCCGGCGCCATCCAGAATGGAGTCCCGACAAGGGTATTCCGTTGGGACTTGATGTTTGTGAGTTGGGCTGCGACCCCGAAATCCGCCAGCTTAACTTTTCCCGTCTGCGACAAGAGAACATTGGCGGCTTTTATATCACGATGAATTTTCCCTTCATGGTGCAGATAGTCTAAACCTAGCAGAAGTTGGTGGCAGATGATTGCGATATGTGCTTCGTTGAATGGCCCTGGTTTAAGCTATGTGCGGTCAGTAAAATGGTTGCGCAACTTGAAAAGAAGCGACAGGATAGAGTACCAAGTCAAGGCAAGAGCCTCCACCTAGGTATTCCATCACGATCCATAGCTTATGTCCTCTCAGGAAACTAGTCTTGTATTGTGTAACGTAGGGACTCGCGCACGTAGCCAACACCGAGATCTCCTGTTGAATTTCCTGGATATCATCGTCGCTCGACTCGAGATCGATCTATTGTCGAGAGAAGGGAAAGGTAAGCATCTGACGCGAAGCGTTTCGTTCTATTTTTGTTTCGTACATGTTTGATCGCGACAATCTCCCCGGTCGCCTTCTCGATGGCCTTGTACACGACCCCGAAACTTCCACCTATGGAGAATCGAAAGTTAGGAAGTGTGATGTATCACCGGACAACCAATCGAGACACAACTCACTCCCAAGCTCCTCGAGCACCTGATAATGATTTGCTAACGCGCCCTCATCAGCCATTTTTTTTTTTGCAGGTGAAGAACAATGGCTTTTCAATCGTTTTTTTATTCTTTTTTGGAGTTGTTTGGGTTTTCGAGAGCTCGGGCTCTGCTGGATAGCAATTGCAACCAAACCAAACCAGCAAATGTCAGCAGAACGGGTCGTATTCGAGAAAAGTACAGTACAAGATCATGGTGAAATCTAGATGCAAGGAATGTATCCACTGGCGCTTAGAAAGCTAGCGGGGTTGTGAGTGGATGGGTAATCTTTGATTTTCTCCCGTGACAGTGTTTTGAAGGGTCAACAAGGCAGGTTGTCTAGGGCAACAGCCGGCACGTTTGGCATTCCGAGCCTATGGTAGCGTCCTGGGCTGGTCGGGTTTCCGAACGCCTGACGAACGCGTTGGACAAGGAAAATCCCGGACAATCGACCTGCACGCTTCTTCCTCCTGTTTGGTGGAAGGGAGCGATCTCCTCAACTCAATTACTGCTCGGTAACTAGCCAACTACGGAGTGCTCCGTACATCCTGAAGTTACGTAGTACAGTATTCCCGGGGCAAACAGAAGTCAACGCATTTCTCTGATTCTAAAGAATATTGCAATTAAATATTTCTCTCCAACTCCTAGAGTATATCGAAAGCAGTAGCATCTATATTTGGTGTACAGGGGTTCTCAAGGACGATTAGATATATTTATATGGGTTCATTATTCCATTCTGTGGCAGCCATATTAGCAGAATTCACTTGTACTGAAGGATGGGAAGTGGGCAATGCTCACCGGGTCATAAAGATTTTTCAATTGTTTCATCAGCTTGATCATGGTATCATTCTTGCTGTATCCAATGAATTCCTTCTTCGCGATTCCCAACCCGTGCTCGGCGCTAATGCTGCCATTCCGCCTTTGAATCCATTCGTACACCCACGGTTCAATCATATTTTCCACTTCTTTTGTGTATTTTCTCACAGCGACATTCAAGTGGAGATTCGAGTCGCCCATGTGGCCATAACCCAAAACCTCGCGGACGGGGTAGCTATCATCATCGCCAACCAATCCCGCCTTAGTGAGGCGCTCCTTTGTGTCTTCGACGAGCTGGTAAAGCTCTGCAAGCGGGATGGAGACGTCGTACTTGTATGTCCCTCCAAGATGGCTCAGCGCTTCAGTAATTCCTTCTCTCCAGCGCCATAGTGATTGAGCCTGGGTTCCGTCCTGAGCCAAAACGCCATCTTCAACGATGGACTCACCCATAACGTGTTCCAAATATGCTTCCAACTTGGCGCTGTCGTGTTCTCCATTGGAGCCGCTGGTTTCAATAAGGCAGTAGAATGGATAAGACCCCTCAAGGGGCTTCTTGAGGCCCGTAACATCAAAAACCATATCCTGGCTTCGTCCATCCATCAATTCAAAGGCGGAGAGAATTTCGGACAAATGAACCTTGGCCTCACGGAAAGCCTTGCGTACATGGTCGTAGCTCTGCAGCCCAAAATAGGCAACGTTGACGGCTTTCGGGCGCTGAGGACAGATTATCGAAGCACCCGTAATGATACCGATTGTTCCCTCCCCGCCAATGAAGAGATGCTTTAAATCATATCCAGTGTTGTTCTTCCGCAGAGCGCACATGTCGTCAACGATGGTACCGTCGGGAAGCACAGCTTCTAGGCCAAGGACGTTTCCATGTAAACTCCCATAACGAAGCAGTCGTAGTCCGCCAGCATTTGTTGCCAGGTTCCCTCCGATATGACAAGACCCCTTGGCACCCAGGTCAAGCGGGAAAATGTGATTTCTGTCCGCGAGATACTTCTCAGCCACCTCGAGAATAACACCCGCATCCACAGAAATGACACCTGAATTCTCGTCGAAGGACCTAATCCGGTTCATGCGTGACATGTTTATCACGATCTCATCGAACACCGGCACGCCACCACCGACCAATCCAGTATTCCCACCCTGCGGTACCACGGCCAGCCTGTTCGTATTGCAATACTGTAGTATCAGGCTCACTTCCCTGGTGGATTGCGGCTTCAAAACGAGCCTTGTATGCCCTCGATACTTTTTCATCCAATCTCGATTGAATGGCTCGATGTCGTCGGCCGCATCCGCAGTGACGCCGTCGATGACTGCCGACTGCGCACCGAGAAGATCTTTGAAGTGTTGGACATGTTCGCTGGTTATTTCGGAGAAGCTTGGGTTTCGTTTGATCTGCGGGTACGCGTCCGTGGTGAACTTGGGTTGCGTCGTAGGCGTGGTGGAGGAAGAGGGCTGGTGGGCCTCCAGGGTAGCCGTTGTGGTGTTGTTGAACGGCCGGATCGAGAGGCAGAGGGGCTGTCGGTGTCGGAGATTGAACTGACCCCTGCTTGTGCGCGCCCGCCGAAAGGCGAGAGCCAGATTCCTTGAGCCCGACATGGCCCACGATGCGGTTGTCTTTGCTTCGAGAAAACGAAGGGACAGGAAGAAACCAAGATACAAGCTTTTCGGGGAAAAGAGCTGAGCGGGAGCTTATTCACATTTTCCTTGGCCGCCGCGCTCGGCAAAATCCCGGAAATTCCTGGGACCCAGACAGGCAAGGAACAGAGCACATCGCCACACCCATTGTGATGTTGACGCTCTTCTGCTCTTTTTTGTGTTGAAACAATTAATTCTACCATCAAGCCAGGACGCCAGGTGAAGGGATTATATACTCCGTTACAGAGTGCGTGGACAAGCAGCCAAACAGGAGTATTTCTTACATAAGAAGTTGCACGCTCTGATCCACAGAGGATAGGGGTATAGTAGTTATACGGTGTAGAGGTCTGTACGTACATCGGGTAAGGAGAAACTACTGATGTGAATGGTTATGTTAAGCTGTGGCCCCGGTATCATTGTTCATTCTGGGGGGTATGGGATGGTGTTCTATGTCAAGCATCCTATCCTTTTTCTCATCCGAAGGACACGTTGCCGCTCGTTAAAAATCAGTCTCGACTCCATTCAAAGTGGTGAGATCCGGAAACCCTAAGGGCTTTCCAAACTCACCCTTCGGAGCCACAGGAGTTACCACATCCACCAGACCTAACCCTTTAACTACGTAACCAATCAAACGCCCTTGTGTGTTTCTCGCTGCAAAGTAGCCCGAGTTCTTGGGGACTTTGTACATCTCTTGAGCTGTGTGATGCTTGAGGGAGCTGAGATCACTGCTAGAATTTCGTGTAGCCAACTGTTACGGCTGAGCACTCAGTGATCGTCTAAAGCCACGTATCATGGGAGACTCGGATAATGCTCCTTTCACAGGAAATACGAAGCAGTGAGAAGGATATCCGTACTCCGTTGTTATCCAAGTAATATAGTAAACTAACAGTAACAGAATAGTACTCCGTAGCAGCAGTTAGTACGGCGTGCAAAACTGACACGTTCGCGGCGAGACTCCGACCTGATTGGTGGCGCCAAGCCCTGCGCGGTGGGTCCGTTCCGCTGGCCGTAGCAAAATTTGAACTCGACGAATTTCGCAGGCGCGGAAGTTTTGAGGCGTTGGCTGCGGCCGCGGGCGCAAACTGTTTCAATCTTTCCAGCTTTTTTTCACACTCCATGTCTTACTAGTCGCTCTTTTTTAACATACACTCCTCGAAGAAAGTCTTATCTAAATCTATACCGGGGGGGGTTTATCGTTCGCCGCGCTTTGGCTGACTGACGCGGAGCCATGAGTTTCCCGGGAATGACCAGACCTGGGGCCACCGCCGGGGCAGCTCCTGGGGGGATGAGCGAGCAAGAGCAGGCTATTGTGCGAAATGTATGTTTGAGCGCTGCGTGGCTTTTGCTCCTCCAGATGGATCGCTAACACCAAACCACGATAGATTCAAGCCGCGATGGAATCATGTCCAATGAAAGCCGTGATGGCAGGTGGAATGGGCTTCGCCCTGGGCGGAGCGTTCGGTCTATTCATGAGCAGTGTATGCATCCATGGCATTTCCTTCTATCTCCTTCCCTCTCCATCCTCCCCTTTCTCTCTCTCTCTCTCTTTGTCTGTGTGTGTGTGTGTGTGTGTGTGTGTGTGTTGTTTTTTTTTTTTTCCCGATGTCTTGCTGATACAACCGTTCTTTAGATGTCGTACGATACACCTCTCACACCGCAAGGCCGTGAAATTTCGAGTCTTCCCGTTCGTGAACAGCTCAGGCGAGGATTTAAAGATATGGGTAGTCGGTCATTCAGCTCCGCGAAAAATTTTGCCATCGTGGGCGCCCTTTTCAGCGGAACAGAATGCTGCATAGAGGGTCTTCGCGCCAAGAACGACCTTACAAATGGCATTGCGGCTGGATGCATCACTGGCGGAATATTGGGTGCCAAGGCTGGGCCTCAGGCTGCGGCACTGGGATGCGCTGGTTTCGCCGCATTTAGTGCTGCCATTGATGCATACATGCGACAGCCCTCGGATTAGGGTTTCGAAACCCCCATACAGGCAAACTCTACCCTTTTGGAAAACTGTTTTGCTACTACATACCCTAAAATGGGCGGATTCTGGGCTTTGCAGGAGTTTTGGATGTTTGGCGTTACATGTACCAAAAACAATCCGGTTGCATTTGCGGGCGTTAACTAAGAAAGGTGGTATTCAGAATACTGACTGTAAATTTAAATCTAGACCAATTTTTGAAGAGAGGGATCATCTTATATTATTGAAACAGCGCGTTAGTTCATGATCATGGGATTCTCTTGGGATTCTTAGCATTGGCAAAGCATGACCAGGCAACTTGCCAGAGTCAGTGGCTGCATGCTTGTCTGCACGTTAGAATAATTACTCCAAGCGTGTGATGGAGAGTTCTGGACGTTCAAGCTGTCTCCCAGCCACAAGTTGGCAAAGCGCCAAATATACTCTGTACAACCTGGTCATCTCAGAAAGGATGTGGTGCCAGCCAATCGCCAGCCGTGTAATTTCCATTCAACGCGCTCTCAGGTAATACCTGTGCAACAGTTCCATGTGCTAGCAGCACCTCTTCCTTACCCCATGCTTCTCCAAATTCTCCAGAGCGGCGATCAAGGCCTGATGTCATCACCTGCCATGGCACGGAGCTTGCGGGCTTGTGGGCAAGCGGGCACGCCCTGTTTCCATGCAGTCTCCCCGCAGTCCCCCTCACCTTGGTAGACGGCTATCGGCGACCCATCGGCGAAGAATACTTGAGGCTAATACCGTTGGCCATGCGCATGCCAGCGCGCCAGTCGCGTTATCAAAACCCAAATCTACTTGCTTGATAGCACAATCTTCGGAAGATCTATCCAGACGTTACTCAAAGGCGCCAATCACCCTGCACCGCAAGCCCGGATCACCAAGTGCCTGCCGATCTTAGAGCGCCTGAGAAAAGAAATTTAAAGGTGCCGCCATCCTTTTTGCCCCAACGGTTGGACGCCCTGGAGACTCAGTTTTCCTTCTTCTCAATTCTCCTCCTGCTTTCTTTTCTCTTTTCTCTTTTCTTTCTTTGTGTAGCTCATAATACATTCAATTTTTGCGGTCGCAATTCGGTGGTCTGAGCCAAGATGGCGAGTCCTGTAAGCTTTCCTCCGCCCTGGACTAACAAAAATGACGTCTTTGCTGTCTTCGAATGACAGTGCAAAAAATGAAAGCTTCTAATTTGTCGTTAATTCTCCGTTAGGGTGAGAGCCCGCTTAACCGCGAGCCGCGTCTCAGGGATCTTGTCTCCAGGTAAGTGGCCGAGCTTATTATCCCTGGACTTGCGAGCTTGAGATCCTTGTCAGGACGCAAGCTGTTGTTGGTTTCGCCAAGCAATGCGCTTTGTTTCACCTCCACGTCAAGCTAACCACGCAAGGACAGGTTCATCACCAGATCCGGAGCGTATCATCGGAATCACAGCATCTTCCCAGCTATCGATGGAAGTTTACACCTGGTCCAAGTCGGCGGCGAGGTCAAGCGGCCCTTGACACTCACCCTGACCCAGCTGCGAGATGAGTTCGCTCAACATGAGGTGACCTGCGCCCTCCAGTGTGCCGGCAACCGGCGGCATACGATGCGAACTAAGCTAAAAGAAGTTCGTGGTGTTGACTGGAGAGATGGCGCCGTGATGAATTGCACATGGAGAGGCCCAAGATTAAGAGACGTTCTGCTAAGAGCCGGGGTTAAAAGCGAATATGCAGCACAGAGTCCGCTCCATGTAGAATTTTTGTGCTTTCAGGCCATGTGCGAAGATGACAACTGCTATGCTGGCAGTATTGAGTTATGGAGGGCCCTCCAGCAGGACAAGGATGTTATTTTAGCCCTTGAGGTAAGTCAAAATCCGTGACTTACTGGGTTCGCTTGATGTTGTAGGGATATCAGGGCGGTTGAATGGATCCTCTAACGCATTTTCCCCAGATGAATGGAGAGACACTCACCCCTGACTATGGTTATCCTGTCCGTGTAGTTATTCCTGGAATCATCGGAGCTCGATGGGTTAAATGGCTCGATTGTATTATGGTCCGGAAGACAGAATCTCCCAATTATTACCAGGCACATGACTACAAGGTCCTCCCACCCGAAGTTCTCACCTGGGAGATGGCAGAAGATTACTGGGATAAAGCCCCATCCATGCAGGAAAACCTTGTGAATTCAGTTGTCGCGGTTCCCGACGATGACGAAACCATCTTTCAGGGATCTGACGGCCTAATCGAAGTTAGAGGTTATGCTGTTCCCCAGGGCGATCAAGGGCCGGTGATCCGCGTAGAGGTATCAGGAGACGAAGGAAATACGTGGGTTGAAGCTGAGCTACACGGTGCCGGCCCACAGAATCGGTACAAATGGTGCTGGGTTCTCTGGAAAGCACGTATCAAAGTCGACCAGGGATCGAATAAAACTATATACAGTCGCGCTACGGATGCAGGAGACAATACTCAACCGATGTGGTCTGAATGGAACATCCGCGGCGTTGGATACAACGGATATGGTGCTTCTTGGAACGTGACCGTGTTATAGTTACACGATCCCGGCAGATACCTGTCATCGTCTATATCATATCCTTATTTCGGTTCCATGACCCTCCTTTATCATTTCGTTACGAGATGATCCTCACATCAGCAATTGCCTGCTCATTCCCTATCCCCCATATTCAAAAGCTACCGTGCTTTGCATTAATTGTACAGCGTTCGAGCCTCATACAAACGCAGTTTTCGTTTCAAGTCCACATCCCCCCTTTTTCTTCAATTACTAGTACCTAATTAACTAAAACCTAGGCTCTATACATAATTATTCTCATGTCTTTGCATTTTACATTGCTAGGACCAACTGAGAGCAATGGAAAAGAGTAGAGACTTTGATGCGGAGCATATTCGGATCATGGGGGGTAATATACAGGTTTGTATATACAGGCAGTGCCAGCCTCAATTTTTCTAAGAGCTTCTACATATTTTGCCGATCATATCCTCGATGACTTCGGCTGTCTTTTCCGGTATGCTCAGGAATGGTGAATGAGAAGCCTTTAAATTCGCCGTCAATAGCTTCTGAGCACCAATGCTGCTGTCGCCCTGCATTTTCTGCTCAGTGGAGGATACCAACATCTTTTGGACCGGGAATGGCAGAGCGCAGTCATTTTCGCAGAGAATATACCCGCAAGGCATGTGCCTCCATGGGTCGTGCGTGATCAGAGAGAGGTAGGATGCTTTGGACCCGTGGCGAAGTTTTGATACCCATCTCTGTTGGTTTTCTGGGGAGAGGTCACCATAGAAGCGCTTGGCTTCATCAGAGGCATAAGAGTATTCGCCCTATTCAAAGGTTGGATGAGTGGTTGAGTGTTAGCATATCAATTCTTCTTCCTACTTCTCCTTTTCTTTTTTTTCTTTTCTTTTCTTTTGTTTCTTTTTTAAATTTATTCTTACAATTGACCCTTGATGTACCTGCTTCTTTCGCAGACACCCCCCGTCCTAAAAGGTTTCCGATATCGAGGGCGGGCGGAACCAGTGCATTTCACAGCTTCTATGGCAGGTTTACTTCTGACTTACATTGAATCTCATCCACGGTGCCCACGCACCGCCCAGTCCATCAAATAAGGTGGCGCCTTTCGGTACCAAGAATCCCGCCAAATAGATAGCCAGCACGATACCTCCGCGTTTCTTAGCTACCGCTCTCTGGTCACGTCCCAGCCCGTCGCTGGCATTGGAAATCACGGTTCCGCCGTATGAATGGCCCACAAGGACGACTTCTTTCCCTTCGTCCTCGATCAGCTTATTCAATACTATCTGCATATTGATCACGTCGTCCTCTAGTGTCTTGGTCGGCGGCTCGGCTCCCACTGAAGGGTGGCCAGGCGCCTCCGTTGGATAGCCATGGTCCTCAAGCACTTTGCGGAGACTATCGAAGCATTCGGGCGAATGCCAGGCCCCGTGAACAAGGACGATCGTGGGATTCGTAGATGCTGAGCTTGGTAGCATATTGATAAAATGGTAGGATGATGTGCGAAATCTCTAAGGCCTTTCCTTCACAAAATTGCGCGGATTTCAGACCCTTTTGTCAAGAAAATACTGTGCTGGGCTGGTGTGCTCTTCCTGATTTCTCCCCCCCGGTCGGACGATTCGGCATTGTCATGGAGAGCATTCTGGGTTCCCCGTATCGTTTAGCCGGATATGGGATATTTATGGGGAGGAAGACAAAAAATGTCTTAGAGAAATCGATAGCGTCAACTGCCGATTTCCGGCTTGATGCTAGGAAAGTCGCCCTTCTCCACTTTTCAGGACTGTCTTTTACTGAGATAGACTCAGCCTCAGACACAGCAACTTCAGAGTGAAGTGCAAGAATAATGGTTATTATTTGATCGACCAAGGGACCCCTGCACCCTGGGTGGGCTCCGAATGCGAGGATGGAGCTTTGGAAAGATCCCTTCATTCAAGGGTATAATCCAAGTCCTCGCACACAACGTGGGAGTCGTTGATAATCAACACATTCCACCATGCTGTCCAGGGCGTTTTGTGAACTGGGCCAAACGACTTGCCTCACCTCATTGTCGGCTCGTGGTTGGTCTCCAGGCAGGCCTCGATTGAGATTGAGATTCTTTCTATTTTGTTTGTAATGCCATAGAACACAAAGTTTCCGCTTCCAGTGTGGATCGGCGATAATTAACTAAGTAACTGGTCTCTTGAACAAAGTGAGACCAAACTTTGCTGCGCCAAGATGCGCCTCCATCTGCATTCGCGCACTTCCCCGATCGAAAAGGTTTGCGACTCCGTCAATCGCTTCGCCTTTGCCTTGTAGACGATTGGCAGCAGACTCACGCCTTCACTGCCTATAGCTGTCTCTATTTTCCCATTTATCTTCTCTTCTTCCTTCTTCGGTCCTGGAAAAGGGACGGCTCGTGGACCCGCAATGTGGAGCAGAACCAGCTTCGTACTCTGGTCCTGAGATGGAGTCTGCAGTCATCTCCTAGGACTTGCACAATATTTGCCTGGAGATGCAGATCATGGGTCGAATTTGGGGACCACGTTCAAGGGCTGCTCCCACCGGGCATACTGCCATAGCACAGCTTTGCTTGTGACCGACAAGCCTTGACCCATGCCCAATTGCTTCATAATGATACCCACTTTATCTCTTCCTGGAGTCTGGAGATGGGTCTCCTTGTAATAGAATTTTCAAGCGGGGCCTACATGAATAAGTGTGAGCACCGTGATGCTACATCCTGAAATGCTTAGGATGTCATTGTTTCCGGGGACCCTCGCACGCTCGTCCTGCAGTTAATGTTGGGTGTATATCTAGTTCTGGAGGGGAATTGACCTTCGGTCTTTCCTTGGTCAATTCTTGTGCCCACTGCCAGGCTATACCGTCCTTGAGGCTTTGAAGATGTCCTCAGAAAGGCCCTCAAACCCGTATATACCGGGTCAATCACCTTACACAGACCGCCAGCATACAGTGAGAGCTACTGCCGTTGCAGTATCCGTTGTAGCAGCTTTCTTCGTTTGTCTCAGGCTTTTATCGAGATATATAAGACGGATCAAGCTAGGACTTGATGATGCCTTCATCGTTGCTGCACTGGTAAGACGGCATGGTATATGCACAGTGCCAATACAGATGTTGGGGTTGACTGAGATAGGTATTTACCTTCGCTTCAATGGCCCTTGCTCTGCTGTGTACGTATCTCCAACAAGCTGCGAGGATACGGGGAAAGTGATGCTCACATAGCTCCTTATCAGCCGCACATTACGGGATGGCGGTCCCCACTGATAGAGTACGCCCCCAAGACACGAGAACAATTCTGATGGTACGTCTGATCGTCTCATAGCACCAGTTTCCCGGTGTCTAAGTAGCTATTCACATAGATAATGGTTCCTTGGGAGTGCGTATATTGCACAGGGGTCGTCCTGGTCAAACTTTCCATTTTATCATTCTACAGCCGCATATTCGAGACTCGAACCTTCAAGACTGCGGCTTATATTCTTTCCTTCACGACGATTTCATGGGGAATTGCCATTAATTGCGTCAGCATATTTCAATGCACCCCGGTCCACAGGGCATGGGACGTGATGGCATCCGGTAGCTGCATCGACACGAAAGCGTCGTTCATTGGGAATGCGGTACCTAATATTTGTACCGACTTCTGCATCTTACTGTTGCCGATGCCAGTTATATGGCGGCTTCATGCGTCTGTTCTCCATCGTTTATCTATCGCCACGATTTTTATCCTAGGGGGATTGTGAGTGGACTCTTGCTCGCATTCTGTTCTTCACTTTTAACAATATGATGCTCCTAGTGTTATATTTGCGAGTATCTATCGCTTCATAACGCTTTTCTCTATGGACTTCCAGGACGTGAGCTGTGAGTTCAGCCTCCACCAACACTGACTATGCCAGAACAAAAGGAAAAAAGAGGGAGGAAAGCAATGCTAACATTGGCGGCTCCATTAGACACCTTCTCAAATCCAAGCCTTTGGAGCCTGATTGAAGTCGCTTTCGGTATTGTATGCGCTTGTCTTCCTACCCTCCGACCACTCCTTTCTACTTTTTTCGATGCGTTCAACTCCACTCTAGAGTCCACTCGCAACAGCACCAGCCATCCAACTCAGCGCCCAAGAGCGTATGAAAACGGTTACAAAAGGAACATGGTAGACCAGAAGGGTGGGGAACCGAAACGAAATTTCCAGAGGATCAACGAACTTGAACACCAACTCAACCCAGACGCAAAACGGCGCTCCAAAAATCATTTTATTTCTGTAGCCCGGTCCAACAGGGGGAATATAACACCTTTCGAAGAGGATATCTCCACTACATCCGGGGATGAAGTACCGTTAAATGCGATTAGGGTCAAAAATAGCGTGGAATGGCAGGTTGCTGCCCGATGATCCGGTATCTTATCGCCGGGGGAACTTTGGATGTTGAAAAAGGTTTGAGCCTGATTGCCCAAGCAGAGTCGAGTATATAGAAAAGATTGTCCGAATTCTTCGCAACAATCATGTCACGATGCCATGTATATAAAGCTATTTATGTATCTATGTACATTCATTCACTAATGACACTATAACATAAAGCGGCACGATCATGAAGCCTACTCATGAATCATTTCCAGTGGCTGCCAAAATCTAGCACCAGCGCTTTATCAGACGCGAAAGGAAAAAATACGTAGAGGATGCTCGAGCTGGCTCGAGTTGACCATCGACCAAAAGAAAGCAGAGCATATGTCGTAAATCATGGCAACACAATATATTTCTCTAGGTGTTTGGGTATCGCATCTCTGAGATTCTTGGTTCTCAACCATTTATCAGAAAACAATCGATCGGCGTATCTATAAGCACCATCGCAAATCATCGTGACGATCGTATGGCCCTTGCCCAGTTTCTCGGCAACTTCTTTCGCCGCAACAACGTTCAGGGCAGAGCTGGCACCGATGTAAAGTCCCTCTTCATCAAGGCAACGGTACACCATTTCGATGCTTTTTTCGTCGGCGATTTGTAAGGCCCCATCCATAAGCTCAATATCTGGTTTGAGGTTATCTGTCACCCGGCCCTGGCCAATGCCTTCAGTGATGCTGCTTCCTCCTCTCTCGATGAGTTTTCCACCGCTGGACACATATTTGTAGAGAACGGAGCCCGGAGGGTCGGCAAGGAAACATTTTACCCGGCCGTTGCTGACTTCCTTGAGATATCTTGTGACACCGGCGAGCGTACCGCCAGTTCCGGTGGCGCACGTGAAAGCGTCAACTTTGCCTTTCGTTTGTGCCCAGATCTCGGGGCCTGTGGTTTCAATGTGTGCTCGGCGGTTGGCCGTGTTATCGAACTGATTTGTCCAGACGGCATTGTCGAGCGATTCGGCATGTCTTCTCGCTTGGTGGTTGTAATTTTCTGGGTTCTCAAATGCGACAGCGGGAACCGGATATACCTCAGCGCCAAGCAGTCTGAGGAGATCGATCTTGCCTTGCGATTGGGTATTTGGCATGTAAATGACTAACTTGTATCCTTTGGAGCGGCAAACGTGGGCGAGGCCAATTCCAGTATTTCCAGCTGTTCCTTCGACGACAGTGCCGCCCGGGCGCAACAAACCCCGTTCCTCGGCATCCTTGACGACAAATAATGCAGCACGGTCCTTGACGCTGCCGCCAGGGTTTTGGAATTCAGCCTTTCCAAGGATATTGCAGCCGGTCTCTTCGGAGAGCCGATTGAGACGGATGAGAGGGGTGTTTCCAATTGCTTCGAGAGAGTGATACGTTAGCATTATCGAGCTTCTTTATTCAATGCAGCATTTTTCAAAAGAACTGTCGAAATACCTCCGGTCAGGCCCTTCACGACGCCTTGCGCCCTGGAGACTCCGATTCCATACTGATTCTTAGCTTCGGCTTGAGCCACCAAGCTCTCGCTTCCCCGAAGGGCGGTGGAAGAGAAGCGGCGGATACCGGTGCGAAACATGGTGAGCCGTGCTGTATACCTGTGAAAAAAGGAGAAACAGAGCGAACGAATAACTGACGAGGATTGCAACAGAACGGATCTGCCGCTTTGGGGGGGGAGAAAAGGCCACTCTTCGATGCGACAGTAACTAGCTAATTGCGTGATCTGAGACGGCGATTTCGATGCTAATTGGCTCTAAATTTAGATATCACGTGAAGATTACGGCGATTGGCGTTCGGCTTAAATAATCAGAGCAAATAAGGCAAATATGCCAAGCTATCAGGAAGATTCAGAGCTAATCCAGACCAGGACTAGCGTTTGTTTATGCATCCATCCCAAAAGAGTTAAACCAAATCAATGGCCGCGATGTCGACGCTATCGGCGCGCGGAGTCAACAGATAACAATCATAGCAGCCCTGTCGACGCAGCTCAATGCCAGGACCAGCAAGGCCACGACCGCTATTTGGCTGATATATCTACCCTGCAACTTTCCAGAGCCTCAATAGACTTCGCTATATGTCGCAATCTACGGCATTTTCCGGGCTCGAGTGAACGCAATCCAACTTTCTGTGTCTTCGGAACTCATAATGCCTGCCCGTGCTGGAACGCGCGCTTCTTCCGTCGCATCTACCCGCAAATCCTCTGTTCCTCCCTCGACTACTGGCGCCAATGTATTCATCCCCGATGAGCCCGCTGAGCCCTCTACTTCACCCAATCTCCGACCTAGCGTCGTAGAAATCTTTGCCGATGCGCAAAGATCGACGACTGGACATCGGAAATTGGTGGTCCGGCTAAGGAAGATTCAGGAGGGATGTTGCGGTCTGCGATCTTTGAAAGACAAAGGGAGGAGCGGGGAGAGACGGGAATCTGGCCTTTTTGAGGGCTTTGGAGAGAAGGAAAAACCGGCAGAGAGAGAGTTTAATATCGAGGTGTCCCGTTGCCTTCTGCGAGTGCTATCGGTGAAAAAGACGGAGGGTGCTGCCGATCGAGTACTTAAATTTTTGGGAGCCTTTTTGACTGCTACGACGGAGAAAGGTAGGCATCCCGTTCCAATGCCGTGCGATTCCTGTTTCCCTGCCTTCTGACTGAGGGGTAGATCTTCAGCTATTTGGTCAGGGTGATCCGGACGAAACCCAAACTTTACCGGAGACGCCGAGCTCGAGACTTACCTTTCACATCGTTTCGACCATAATTCCTTTCCTCGCAACAAAAGAAAAGACAGTGCGATATCGGGCGACCCAAACAATAACACACATCGTTAACTCTTTAGATTCAATTGATGATGAATTATATCACCTGATTCGCCAAGGACTTGTCAAGAGGATCAGGGACAAGGAGCCGGCAGTGCGTGTCCAAGCCGTGATTGGACTCGGAAGGTTAGCGGGAAACGACGAAGACGACGACGACAATGACCCGAATGATGGGAACTCGGCTTTGGTGGATAGGTTATTGGATGTCCTTCAAAATGATACGAGCGCCGAAGTACGACGCACTTTGCTCCTTAATCTACCCCTCACTCCAACAACCCTTCCATTTCTTCTTGAAAGAGCCCGTGATATTGATGCCGCCACCCGGCGTGCTTTATATTCAAAGCTCCTCCCCACCTTAGGAGATTTCCGGCATCTTTCACTTTCCATGCGAGAAAAATTACTGCGTTGGGGTCTTCGTGATCGCGATGAAACTGTCCGGAAGGCCACCAGTCGCCTGTTCTATGAGCGCTGGATTGAAGATTGCACGAGCACACAAAAAACAGAAGCGAATACCACTGATGAGAAAGACAAGTCTCCGGCACCAAGTATTCCCGCCTTGACGGAGCTTTTGGAACGCATTGACGTTGTAAACTCTGGGGTGGAAGGCGGTATTGCTCACGAAGCCATGAGAAGTTTTTGGGGCGGGCGGCCAGATTATCGTGAGGCTGTGGTTTTCGACTCAGAGTTCTGGGAATCTTTGACAGCGGAGACGGCCTTTATGGCTCGCAGCTTCAACGACTTCTGCCGTGAAGAAGAGGACGGAAGACATGATGACCTTGCGGACGAGAAAATCCCAGAAGTTACGGCTCTAGCTTATTATTTGCACAAATATACAACTATACTACTAACAAGGATCACCAACCCAGAAGAAGCAGAAGGAGGTGAGGAAGAAACCATAGAATTTGAATTCATAGTTGAGCAGCTCCTCCAGATATGCCTCACTCTGGACTACAGTGATGAAGTCGGCAGAAGGAAAATGTTTTCTCTTTTACGAGAAACCCTGGCTGTCTCAAATCTTCCTGAACATGTGACGAAGCTCACGGTTGAAGCTCTTCGGAGTGTTTGCGGGCTAGATCCTGCCGCAGAAAGCGAATTCTGCAGTGTCGTCCTCGAGGCCATCGCGGAAGTTCATGACACAATCGTATCCGAAGACAGCTTTGTCTCCGCAAAGTCAGAAATTAGCGACGGAAGCTCGAGGAGAGGCCGTTCCGAGACCCCTGCTGATTCCAAGGAGGACGAAGAGGAACCTTTTAATAAGGAAGAGGCTAAGGCTAAAGTGCTTAAGGAAATCATGGTTAACATGAAGTGCTTATATATTGCTCAGTGCATGCTGCAAAATGTCGAAGGAAACCTTCAAGACAATGTTCATTTGGTAACAATGTTGAACAATCTTGTTGTCCCAGCAGTGAGAAGCCACGAAGCTCCTGTACGGGAGCGTGGTCTCGAATGTCTCGGTCTATGCTGTCTGTTGGACAAGGTAAGTAATCTCAATGGCCGACTTAGGACATTGCCCAAGCTAATCACCCAACCTGTAGACCCTAGCTGAAGAAAATATGGGCCTGTTCATCCACTGTTACAGCAAAGGCCACGAGGCCTTGCAAGAAATGGCCCTTCGCATCCTCTCCGATATTCTAACAGTACATCATTCAATCCTTCTCCCAGTCGCATCTCAGAATGACCCTAATTCTGTCACCCCTCCACCATTCCAAAAACCACTCCTCAAGGCGTTTGCGAAAGCTCTTAAGACAAACTCCCCGCCAGCTGTACAGGCCACTGCTGTCACATCATTAGCGAAGTTGCTGCTCACAAATACGCTTTCTCCATCTGGCCCTTCCGTGCCGCCTTCGATCAAGGAATTGCACGAAAGTTCCATCGACACGCTCCTTCAGGCACTTGTCCTCTCATTCTTCCATCCCAGAACACGCGATAACCTATCTTTAAGACAGGCGTTGACGTACTTCCTGCCCGTATACTGTCATTCCAGATTAAATAATGCCCAGCATATGCGCAAAATAGCTGTACCCGTTATCCGTGTTGTGCTAGCAGCGGCGGATGACTTTTATGCTCTTGAAGCGGAAGAGGACAGTGATGGAGAGATAGACGACAGTGTTGGCGAAAAAGAAGTCAAGGCTCTTATGGCGGGTGTAATTGGAATGATGGTTGAGTGGACGGATGATCGACGAATTGTCGGCCTCAACCCCGAGGCGCCATTGC